AGCTTCATGCGGACACAAAGGAGAATGTCTGATGAACAGCCTGGGAAAAAGCGCCGAAAGCTGGGGACGGAGGATACGGATGCTCAAGGTGCGAAGAACGAGGGTCAAGACCAGCCCCTCGTGAAAGATTCACAGAAAGCCATTACACAATCTGCGGAACAGCCGTCCGAGGAGTCGACCAAAGCTACGCCTGGAGTAGCAGTTGAGACAATGGATGCTCAAAAGGAACTCGCAGATGCCCAACCTGCCCCCGAACTTTTAGATGAGGAAATGATTCCGGCGACTAGTCCTGTACGCTCTTCACCAGCTATCTACCAACGGGGCACTGCGCCATCAGCTTCTGAACCGGAGTTGCCTATGCTGAGAGGAAGTGGGACTGAACAGGGCCAGGATGCCGTGGATAGCTCTGCGCTGCCACCCATTCGACGGAAATCACAGCGGACGTATGGCAAACGGGGGCGTGGCACTCGAACACGATTAGCAGTAGTGTCGTCTGCAGAAGAGAAGGAGCAAGAGCCAGCCGAACCTACCAAAGAGCCGGTGGACAGAGTGGAAGGGTCAGAAGACACAGCCAAGAACAAGAACAAGAACGATGCGCTACCAAGTTCATATTCAGAGCCACCGGTACCCATGGGCACAAGATCTCGCCGAACCGAACAAAGAACCCGGACACCACGCAGATCGATAAATGTCGACCGTCACGTCCTTACATCTTCCAGTCTGACTAACCTATCAGGCACACCCGTACCATCATCCAAGACTACACCTGGAACGCAGGACTCACACTGTCCGAGCCTCCCCGGGTCTGTTCATCTCGTGTCTCCCGAAAATAGTGTTCGGCCCTTGCGGAGGCATCCCCAGAACGGACTGAAATCTGAATCCCCACAGCCTGTGACCAAGGCTATGAGACTGTCACGGCGATCCTTGCGGTTGGATTCGGATTCCGCAGATGAGCTGTGCCATTCACCATCGGCTACGGCCCTCGACAGGAGTACACACTCTAAATCAGTGCGATCGTTTCGAACAAGCCTTACGTCGACATCACGTACTCGCCGGCTCTTTGACGGGATGGTGTTTGCATTGTCATTCTCAGGAAGTCAGGCACAGAGGACGAAGTTGGAGACCAAAATCTCGCAAGCCGGCGGCATGATTTTGCACGAGGGTTTCCAGGAATTGTTTGAACAGTGGACAGTAGCCCACGCCAGTTCCATTCAGGAAGACGGCTCACCGCCATTGCGGCTCACCAAGGCCGGTCTGGAACATGGCTTTGCAGCCGTCATTGCAGACTCCCACTCCCGAAAGGCGAAGTACATGCAAGCACTGGCCCTGGGCCTACCTTGTTTGGCGCCACAATGGGCGACTGCGTGCCTGAAAAGAGGCGAGATTATAGACTGGGCGCCATATTTGCTATGTGCCGGGGCGTCCCAAGTCCTTGGCAACGCTATCCGGTCACGCATCCTAGCGCCATACTCGGCCGTGGATGCCACTCTGCCCGAGACAATGGAAGCCCGAGACAAGCTTCTGGATGGGGAAAAGCTCCTCATTGTGATGGATCATAAGAAGTCGCGGAAAGAGACTAAGCAGCAGTATCTCTTCCTGGCGCTGGCCTTGAGTCCGTCCGCAGTATCACGCGTCACGACGGTCCAGCTGGCAGGAGACGCGGTTCGCCACGCAGAACTGTCCGGGTCGCCGTTTGAATGGATGTATGTGGATTCATCGACGGCAACCGTGGAGGATGTGTTGGCCGCGGCACAAGAGTCGGGCAAGAGGAAGAGAAGAGTGGCCAGCGAGCCCGTTGGGCTCGGGATGCGTGTGCTAACTGACGAGCTCATGATTCAGAGTCTGATACTGGGAAGGATGGTGGAGCTAGGTGAGATGGACGAGTAGATTTTGCCGGCGACGGCGACTGTATAATGAATAGTACACTATGTACAAGTTATGAAGCGACTCTTTTTTTTTAAACCCATGCCCGGGCTCCCTTTGAGAGGGCTTGCTACAACCGCATATCAGGCAAGACGCCGTGGTTGCTGTGTGCCGTCTGGAAACGCTGCTAACCAAGCATCGTTTGCTATGTGCTAGTGCTGGCCATCTTCCACAGTGCGAGCACAAGATCCAAAGTTGGTAGAGGTGCACCCTTTGTCTTGCTGTCTTTGGTCCTGCTTGTAGTTGTGACTTGTGCGCCGTCGAGTCAATGTCTACCAACACTTGCTATCTGATGGAGGGAAGTTGATTGGCACAAGCCGACTCCTCTTGTTCCCGATTAGGTAGCGTGACTTGTTCACGGCAAGACTCTTGATTTTTTGAATCAGTGCATTTGCTATTAGTATTAGTTTTCACTCAGGGTTCCGGATGAAGTTTTCCGTTAGTTGCTCGTGGGGGAACGGGCTTGCCGTGCAAGTATGTGTTGTGCGGGAGCATACAGGCCTTAGTTCATCAGCTGTCTGGTTGGAATAGGTATTTGGATTCTATCTCCAGACAGGCCGGTGGATGCTGAACGGCGGTGTTTCGGGTCAAGTCATTGTGGTTGTGAGGTTCAGCATTGCCGGGCGTTTGGATAATGGGCCTGGCAAGCGCTTGGCACATGTATACGGAATAGAGTCGAGGATAGGATCATGGCAATTCAAGCGCAGCAACTGTCGATTTTGTGGCCCGAGTTGGACTCGGCTTGGTCACAGCTCATCTGTACCTGCGTAAGCGTTTATCCGAGCTGCGGATGGCAGTTGCTGAAAGGAGGACTATCCCTAGTGCCTTGGAGTATGTAAGCGGCTTGAGCACACGACCATTTCTCGTTCGCTGGGCTACGTGTTGTAACCTCACGCGACAATTCTTGGCTCCGATGTCGTATATCCAGCTCAAGCAGGTACATCCCGGCAGGCAAGGATTATCGCAATCGAGCTCCTGTTGAGCCCCGGGCCGTCTGGACTGGTGTTGATGGACCCCGTTTAGCTTGCCAAGGCGATAGCCAAAGCATCCGGAAGCACCGGGAACGAAAATGTTTGATCTGCAACACGCGTAATGTCGATTTTACTTTTCAAGGTCACCAGCGGACTTTATGCAATTCTCCTACGTTGGTAGAGTGTGGAGGCCCAGATTCCCTACCTGGAGGATGTAACTTGACGTTGCAATCCCTGGCATCAGGAACGTGCCAACGTCTGGACAAAGTTAAAAAACGGCTCGACTTGGGGTAAAAAGCTGATGCCTCTTCTAGTTGAGCCCAGGCGTCATAGGCGACCCTTGGCAGCAGCCCTTATCATCTCATGGAACCCCCATGACCTGCCATTGAAACTGATTTTTGCACAGTTTTATAGACTTTATAGTCACCTCGGTGCAACGGAGACGACAAAGGTCCGAACCACAATCTAGAGTAGGGTGTATCTCCCCGGCTGCACACCCTACCCCCCATATTAGCCCATATTAAGGTGATAGGATAGACAGCCGTGGGATGATTATGGTTAATCGGGATGCTAAATAGTGGCGCTACTCAGCAGTAATGACCCAACATTCTGTTACAACTTACATGCCAGGGTGGAGCCAAGATGTGTAAGTGGTGACGTCGAAGATGTGCTGATTCGCACATTGGGCAAGCCAAAGGCATACAACGACAAGTTGTGAAGGAATTAACGAATTGTCTCTGGTTGCTTCTTCAAATTTCCTTCTTTTGGTTAAAAAAAGAAGCAATTTCCAGCATTAATAAGCTATGTTGCTGGGAGTAGAAGCATTGGCGTGGCCTTGGCTTCAGGGTCAACAGGTCGCGGGCCATGGAATGATCTTGTTGTGCACCAGTCGGCAAGACGGGGCAGCCTGAGAATCCCGTCATTGGGCATAAATCTGAAAGTCGCATAATTACGCCGTATACATAATGCCGTGGCGGATGCTCCGGAGTCCGGAGCCAATCCCTGTTTGCTTCCGGACACAATGTTGCTGCTCGCGTGCTCATCTTGCACGCTAGAGCCACATTGGGTTCCCCCTCTGGAATTGTCAAATGTGCCCATTCTGTGAGCAATTGTTTGATGCCTTTTTTCACGTCGTCTTGTTTGGGTGAAGAAAGATCAGTGAAGTGAATGATAGATTACGTGTTCAAGTCGCTGCGCATTTTGTCCTACTGGCAGAGTCGGCTGTCCGGCACCACGTTGAGAGAAGCACTGTCTCGCGACGCCTGATATCAAGCCACACCTGCGACCGGTTCGGCAGGCTATTGTCTGTGAAAATGAACACCTGCCCTGTCTATTTGAGGCTCGGCGCTGCATCAAGGGGCCGCTGGGTGACGTGTTACGGCCCGCTCGATAGAAGTCTGTTGAACCATCTGAGCACCTTCATGTCCCACCACTGGTGCTTGTTTGATATACCGACGTGATGGATTTGCCTGCATTTGCAGGTCAACTTCGGACTCGTTCAAGTCCGTCCGCCGACCTGCCGATAGAGGCTCGATGCGCGGCTCCTCCACCCCTGATCCCTCGAGTCCTCGACCCTCCAGGGCACGGGTGCGCCTATGAGAGCCGCCAGCAGTGGTCGGCTTGGGGCCGTTGCTCGCGCCACAGGCCTTGGCAGCGGGGGCTTCGCTCATCTAAAACGAGGACGAGCTTTTCGAGCCTCACGAGGACGGACATTTTCGGTGGGCTTTTGATGACAAGAATTGACCCCGAGTTGCTGCTAGTGGTTTGGGCGTCGACTTGGGTGGTCTTCCAAGTACCTATCAGCGTTAGATTCTGGGGGCTCTTGTTTGTAGTAAACATAAATTGCCCGTCGTCATCCCGCAGCTACCGTGTAAGTGACCAGGTTGATCAACTCAAAAAGGGACCACAAGCCCAATAGTGTCCAGTGGCTCTTGCGCCGATTGTGAAGTTGTCTCTCTGTTGATGCTGGAGTCATATTGAAGCCAAAGTCGAAATTGAAGCCCCTTCTCTCGGCAGTCATCGAAACAAGACCTGGGGTACTTGCTCACGTGCAAGATCCTTCCCTCTCAACAGCCATTCCATGCCGCTCGTGCCTGCCATTTTACCATGGCAGTCGGTGCTTTTGTAGAGCCGCTTGTCGTCGTGGCTCTATTGTTCGGCGGCGCCTGGTTCAACAGAAACAAAGAGTACGACTTTAGAGAAGGGCGTGCGGCGTGGGAGTCCATCGACGGGACATGCAAGAGGAGCGATGAGTTCTGCCAACCAAGTTCATCGCAAGAGAGCCTTCTCTCGGCAGACGACAGCTGGACCAAACACCCATCACCCTCGATAAACGACGTTCCTACCCTGCGCCGTCGCAAGATACAGCTATTTGGTTACAACAAGACGGTAGCCTCGCCCAACACACTGGTCTTCAAGCACCGTTTTCTCAGTCGCGTCCTGCAAAAGTTTCCTTTTCTCGTCGAGGCCTGGTACTGGGCTCTCATCTACTGGGTATGCAATATATGCGCTCTCATGTGGCTCCGCGCTGGCTAACACCGCTGCAGGTATACCAGCTTGGTCGAGCCTTTACCGCCGTTACTCTTGTTGAAGACACAGTCAATGTAGCCCGCCGCCACGCTCTCCAAGTCATCCATCTTGAACAGCGGCTTCACGTGTTTTGGGAAGTTCCCATCCAAAAGTGGTTCATGCAGCACCCGGCATTGGTGCATTGGATCAACCGGGTCTACTCATTTATTCACATCCCCGGCACCATTTTCTTCCTGGTTGCTTTGTACTATATAACAACGACTCGAAAAAACCGTGCCATGAGCCATAATGTCACTGCAGGCCCAGCATTGTACGAGGCCCGGCGACGCACCATGGCCATGTGTAACCTGTTGGCCTTTGTCGTCTTCACCCTGTGGCCTTGTATGCCACCAAGGTTACTGAGCGACCCCGGTTTCGATGGAGACGGCGCGGCAGAAGCCAAGGGTTTTGGATTTGTCGACACGGTGCACAGTTCTGACGGCCAGAGTAGTGTTTGGACGACGAATAGATTCTGCAACCAATATGGTAGGTTTGGCGTTGTGGAATTGCGGATTGCACGCTAACTCTCCTTAGCCGCTATGCCTTCGTTGCATTTTGGATACTCGCTGCTTATTGGCTTGACCATCGCGACGCTTCCGGTTTCTGGTGTCCGCGCGACATCGTGGAAACGATTGTCGATTATTGGGCTTGGAATGGCATATCCAGCCCTCATCCTGACGGCCATCGTGGCGACGGCAAATCACTTCATCCTCGACGCAGTTGCCGGAGCTGTTGTGTGCGGCATTGCTTGGAAGACCAACGGCTTATTGTTGAACCTTTGCGTAATCGAAGACTACTTCCTGTGGATGGTCCGAATCCATAAACCTGTCAACTATACCGATCCCGAAACTGCGGTGGAGGCACAGTTTCACAGCAAAATTTGGGGCGAGGCTTAGATGAACTAGACATGAGAATGATGGATGAAGAGTTGGATTATACCCGTTGAGAACATGGAGTGATCATGGCCAGGGTTCGGAGCATGCGACATGGGACTCGTAGTGTGCGGGTGATTTGTTGCGAGCGCCGAGGACCATAATTTTGCGATTGTATATATTTTTTCCTTCTTGCTTTTTCTTGGCCAGGTACATAATACGACGAGATGGAGACGCACTGCATATTTCCGGAGTAGTGTGGTTCTATTATACGAGCGCAAGTTGGACAACAAAGGCGACGACTGTTGAACAGATGGCAATAGGCATAGTAGCAAGATGACATAACTGCAACTGAATTCGTCTGTTTCAGCTCTCGAATCAGCAAATTTATGTCAACGACTTGCGTGTACCAATACGTAGGCAGTCACACCATCAGCCACCTCTGCGTCGGCGTGACGAGTCCACGCAATGTTCAACGAATGAGCGAGTACTGGTACCGCAACTCGCAGCCGATCGGCGGCGCCCCGCTCGGTACCAGTACTCCTGGTTTGCCCCTCCACGTGGATTAGCTCTGGATAGCGGCATGACTGCACCACCTTCGTCGTCATTGAATCACTCACTTGGCCACAGCCTCACCAACACTCACATGCGTCCCTTGCTGCAACCACAACCACGCCTGGGGCTTTAAGCACAGCCGGTGCTGCCCTCACCTGCTCCACCAGACACCAGCTTCCTCTGTCCAACGGCCATCAAAAACGGCGGCATCGAACTCCCAGCATCCGGCTGCCGTGCCCCGCAGTGCCCGCAGGTATATAGATCATGACATTGACGCCGTCCGCGCCCGAGCACCAAGATTCAGCCCTACCTGCGTCTCCGTCGGCCAGTTTCTACGCCATGAGTGACGATGAAGAGGGCGGCTACAACACCATTACACATGCCGAGACGGGGCGCGGCGTGAAGCTGCTGTTTTCCAAGAGCAAGGTATGCCCTCCCTCTCTTTGACATCCTTGCGGAAACTGATTTCTCATCAGGTCTACGTTCACCCGACCCCTTCGGCAAAGGACAATATACCGGGCTACATAGCCCTGCTGCAACAAAAGCCGCCGACTTCCGGACGCCCAACCTCGTCATCCTCCCACGAGTCGATAGCCCCCGGCTCGTCCGATCTTCTACTGGCTTGGGTTCCGGAATCAGCACTTGGGGACTCGACCAGCATATACGTCAAGGTTGATCTCTGCGATGGCGACTCGCCACCAAAACAGTCCTACCTCGTCCCCCCTCCGCCTACCGTCACGTCTCACAGCGGGTCGGTGGGCGGCTACTCCTTTGCTGTTCCCGTCAGCGCCGTCTATTCTCTCCTTGTGCGGCCACCGAGTATTGGATGGTGGTATGGCTCCATCATCATCAACTCCAGAGCCGGGGATAGCTTCCCTGCGCTGTTCTTTCACGACAATGAGTGCCAGAGTACCATTTTGCAAAAGAAGAAGCTGACCAGGGATAACTTTGATCCATTTGGCGAATCTGGACAGATGTTTTGGGGAGCAGACGAAGTCTTACGATGGCTCAAGCGATATGTCAAGATTGAACGATCAGGTGCTGAACCCAATATCTATCTTGTAGAGCCCACCAAGGACGACCTTGAAGGGTTCGGCTCCAAGACTGCAGGCGTGTCAAAGCAAATCACGCCGGGTGATAAGGCTGCGGGGAGCAGTCGTGAAGCCCAAATGGATCCGTTTGTCAAATTTGTCAAGGAAACGGGCTGGAACATTATGAATCAGTTCAGCAAAGTCACGACGTTTACGAGGAGAGCGGCCCAAGACTTTGCCGAGAATAACAACCTGCCCCCGCAGGTGAAGAGACTGCTGAGGAACCCCGAAGTACAGACTCTCCAAGATGAGTTTGATAGTGCCAGAATTTACCTTGCCCGTTGGGCCATGGGTATTGCGGAGCAAAGCGAGCGGGATCGACGTGGCCGCATTTGGACCGTTAAGGACGTCGTTGATCTGGAGGACACGGATGTGGGGGAATTTGAGCTTCTCGAAGGAGCGAGTGCCTTGTCTCTAGAAGAGAGACGGAGACCAGTTACCATGGCCGAATGGGAGACGTTTTTTGACCCCGAAACCGGTCGGTTGTCATTGACCGTGGACGAGGTCAAGGAGCGCATCTTCCATGGCGGCCTCGACGCCGAGGACGGTGTCCGCAAGGAAGCCTGGCTATTCCTTCTAGGTGTATATGAGTGGTACGGAACCGCGGACGAACGAAAGGCGCAGATTGCCTCACTCCGGGATCAATATTACCGGCTGAAGCACTCCTGGTGGGAGAGACTCGAGGGCGACGGGGGCGAAGGCGAAGCAGGAGAATGGTGGCGGGAACAAAGGGGCAGAATCGGTACGCACAACCAAGGCAAGGCCTCACAAAACTCTCGCACGCATTGCTAACACGCCTGCAGAAAAGGACGTCCACCGAACAGACCGCAATGTTCCCATCTTCCAGGGAGAAGATGCACCCCATCCCGACCCCAACTCTCCCTTTGCCGACGTCGGCACAAATGTCCACCTTGAGCAAATGAAGGAAATGCTCCTCACATACAACGAGTACAACAAAGACTTGGGATACGTCCAGGGAATGTCGGACCTGCTCTCCCCCATCTACGCCGTCATTCAAGACGACGCCATTGCATTCTGGGGATTCCAGAAATTCATGGAGCGCATGGAGCGCAACTTTTTGCGTGACCAGTCGGGCATGCGTGGCCAGCTGCTCACGCTAGACCAACTCGTCAACTTCATGGACCCCAAGTTGTGGAACCACCTGCAGTCGGCAGACAGCACCAACTTCTTCTTCTTCTTCCGGATGATTCTGGTGTGGTACAAGCGTGAGTTTGGGTGGGTAGACATCCTGCGGCTGTGGGAGGGCTTGTGGACGGACTACCTGAGCGCCGAGTTTCACATATTCGTCGCGTTGGCCATTCTAGAGAAGCACAGGGATGTCATCATGGGGCATCTCAAGGCCTTTGATGAGGTTTTAAAATATGGTATGTATCTCGCCCCCACGGCAGGGAAAAGAAAAGGGCCATAGCATACTAATACTTTCCGAATAGTCAACGAGCTGTCCAACACCATGGACCTCGAATCAACGCTCATCCGCGCAGAAGCTCTGTTCCGCAAATTCCAACGCCTAGTAGAAGCCGTTGACAAGAAACAGAATTTCCCTGGTCCCAGGGCAAGCTGCTCCTCCGAGGCGCCATCGCCACAGCCACAGTCACAAACACAGACACCACCCAAGGGCAAAGAAACAGAGACGCAGCAAAAGATCATCTCGCCCGAACTCAGGAATCTGTTAAATAGAAAAGTTGAGGTCCTGTCTCGCAAGACGGTTGCACAAAAGGGCGACGGCATGCCTGGGAAGTAATGATGATTGTCCAAGTGTAATTCTATCGTATAGCTTGATTAGCGGTTGTTTCTTGTCCTCGCACAGCACGACCACCTAATGATATTATAAAAAAAAAAGCGTGAATTAGTAAAAACCGAAGTTTTCCGCAATGCAGTCCAGCAGCATTCTCGACTTTCCCACCCATCAAAACACAACCATCACCTATACCCCCTCGGACCACTAGGCAAGCCCTGCCTCCCCCTTCCCTGCCCGCCGGGCCCTCCACCACTCTGCCCCCCGTACGAACTCCCCGGCGCAAACCTGTCCTCGTAGCTGGCACCCGGCGGCTGAAACTGGCCCCCCGCCTGCCCGGGACTCTGCCTCCCCGCCCCCCAAAGCCTCTGCTTGAGCCTGTCCTGCGCGGAGCCGCCTCCCCCTCCGGCACCGGCAGCACCCTGACTCGCCACCGGCCGGGCGACCACGTCCTCCCTCGCCGCGGGCGCCCTCCCCTGCTTCTGCTGCTGCTGCTGCTGCGGCGCCGAGTCCCACAGGCTGCTGAAGCCGCCTGACGCGCCGGCACCACCAGCACCGCCGGTCTGCAGGCCGCCGTAGCGCGCGCCGACCTGCGGCTGCACGTAGAGCGGCTGCTGGGCGGCGGGCGCGGGGGGGGCCTTGGGGTCGGGCGGCAGCCAGGAGGGCAGCGGGCGGCCCTTGTCGCCGTAGTAGTTGCGCAGCACGCGGCACACGTGCGTGTCGTCGTCGGTGTCGCCGTCGTTTTCGGACGCGAGCAGCGTGGAGCGCAGCGACGAGATTTGCGACGTGGTCCTCGTGAGGATGTTGGAGTACCAGGATGTCATTTTTTCTTGAAGGGGGACGAATGGACGACACTGGATGGATGATCTTGGTGGATGGTTTTTTTGAGGGGCGCGCGGTTTCAACGGATCGACTGGACTTTTGGGCTTTGGAAAGATTCGCTTGCTGGACGGGACGATGGGAGGATGGGATGTAGAAGGGAAGAAGGAGGTGCTCGAGTTGCAATGTAGCTTGATGGTGGGGTGTTGCGGTTACAAGTACGGAGAAGTGGGGCTGACGTCGGGGCTTAATTTAGCATGTGCAGGTTCCGCCGTACCTGGCGCTCGGGTTGGGAGGACAAAGAAAGATACTGGTTCAATGTGGGCTTGTGTACGGACTATACGGTGTCTATTTGACCGGTGCAGAGGCACCATGTAGCAAGAGAGAATACATGAGCTTGAGGAAAATAAAAACGCAGTCAATTGACGCCGCAACGCCAGCAATGCCATAATCATCCCGGCAGCCGCAAGTCGGCTGTGACAAAACACCCAATTTTTTGGTTCCCCCCGATTATGCCCGCAACCACAGGCCTTCACCAGGCCAGGTCGTGGGTGAGGGTCAACTTCTCCTTCTCCTGCTTAGCCTTCTTATTGTTCATCTTGACGACGCGGCCGCGCTTGCGCTTAGCCCCGACCTTGTCCTCCTCGGCCTCGCTATCATCCTCTTGCTCATCCTCGTCCTCCTCCTCGCTCTCCAGCCAGTCCTCCAACTCGTCCAGCTCGGCCTCGCTCTCGTCAATATCCGACACATACTGGATCTCCTTGTCGCCATCCTCTGCCTCGCTGTCCACCTCCTCGTCTTCGGCCTCCGAGTCGACGCCCTCATCCAGGTCCTCGTCCCGCTCGCCCTGGCCGTCCCTCTCCATAGCATTGAGCACCTTCTTCCAGATGTCCTCGCTGACGTTGAGCGGCTGGTCACCGTACGCACCCTGTCGCAGACGCTCAACCAGCTCCCGCTCAATGGTGCGCTCCAGCTTAGCCGCGGCCTCGGCCTTGCGCTCCCTCGCCTCCTCGCGGTGCTTGATCTTGGGCGCCATCTTGGGCACCAGCTTCTCGCCCAGGCGCTCCTCCTCGGCGGCAATCCTCCTCATGCGGATCTGCACCTGCGTCAGCCGTGTGAGGCGCTGCTTGCACTTGTGCAAGAGGAACTTGGGCCAGTAGATGAGCCGCTCGTCAATCTGCTCCAGCGCTTTGGTGTAGTTGTCGGACAGCTTGATCTTCTCCCACATCTTGGACGGCAGGTGCGCGCGCTCGACTGTCTTCATGTACAGGTACAGCGTCTGCTTGGTCGGGTGCTGCCGCACCGTGGCGTACCGCGAATTGGCGAGCGGACATGACTGTCGGTTGCAGAGGCCGGTGACGTTGTATTCATTGCGGCAGAAATTCTGCTTCTTGTCCGTTCTGCTCAGGTATCAGCAACATGCTTCTTTCCCCCCCTTTTGTAGATTGGGCTAAGGACGAAGACGAGAACATTGAATTGGGCCGTGTGCAGCCTCCCCTTCCCAACTCACTTTAATTTGAACGAGCAAAACTGCTGGTTGATAATTTGCCAAATAATCTCATCCGAGGCCATCTTGCCCCCAATGTCCGCGACGGCAAAGAAGAATGACAAGAAAAGGACAATCCCCAAGTCCGTCGGGAAAGGTTGTAAAGGAAAGGCGAAAAAACGAGGTCCCCGCCGCCGATTTATTTTGTTCCTGCACCCAGGAAAGTTCGCTTCCAGATTTTTTTTGCCAGATACTGATAGGCCCAAGCCGCTCGGGCCAATCCACCATGTTTGCTCTGGCACGTCTCACCGCCTTCCCGCTTGGCGGCAGCCGGCCGTTGCTCCCAGGGACCTTGTTCGGGTGCGGAACAACGCGGCTCCGCAGAGCACCATGCGAGTCGCTTCCCAGGTGACGACGTCGCGGAGCTACGAGCCGCATCCGCCAACCTCCACGACAACCTCCGACGTCACAAAACCACCACATTTCAACGAGCTTCAACGACTTTGTGCCCCCCTTCCCCTCGGTCTCTCTCCCCGTCCGTCGTATTCTGCGATTAATACACCCCCCCACGCGTGGGGACCGACTTTCAGCCATGCCTACCGCCGGCCTCAAAACCATCATCTCCCTCTCCTTCGTGCTCGCCGTCGGGTTCCTGCTCGTCATCCTCTCGTGCGCCCTGTACCAGTCGTACTTCCCGCTCCTCGTGGTCGCCACATACGTTGTCGCCCCTCTGCCCAACTGGATCTGCAGCCGGTGCGCCAACCCCGATGACTTTGTGGAGAGCTCTGGCGCCGCCGTGCTCGACTTGGGACGGTTTCTCACGGGCTTCCTGGTTGTAATGGGAATGGGTACGTTGCCCCCCACCCCTCGGCCTCTGCAGCGGCCACACTGCTAACGGGTGCAGCTCTTCCTATTGTTCTCGCTCACTCCGACCTCATCCGCGTCGAGGCCATGGTCATGTCGATAGTGGGCGGCTTGTTGATCTACGGAACCATCATCAGCTTCAGCTTGTTCTTCCACGAGGAGCAGGAATTCTAAGCGGACCGGCCATGGCGTCTGCTTATTTCTTTTTTAATCAAGAAGGGTAGTGACTACAGACTACAGGATTTACAAAGGGCAGACAAGGGAAGGGGAGAAGGGAAACGAGGAGGATACGATTTGGCGCACGTGTACAATGGATGACTCTTTTGGCAAACTGGGAAAATTGCATTAAGCGAGGTCTTTCTGGTGATTAGGTTTAAGTAATGTCGCTGTATTGATGCCCAGTGTATGATGAAGCGGAGTGTCTTCTAATCGCCACGTGTTCCTGACAACACAATCCTCAATGCCTATATCGCTTGTGCGATAGCCGTCTATCCATGCCTTGTTGAAATAACCGTACAAAAACTCCGTACTTATGCCTCACCCCTTTTTCCCCCTCTGTTGAAGTATTTCCCCCCCCCCCCCCTCGCATCTAATCTATGCAACGTCTGAAAATGTACCCAGCGGCCCGCACAGCTTTGTAAACATCTCCTCCCGTTCGCCCTCGGGCGTGCTGAGCGTTGTCACTGCGCCGCCAGCACCGATCCGCCAGACCTCGCGGGGTTCAAGCTCGCCAGCTTGGGCGGGGGCCTGCTCGTCGTCCCAGCGAAACATGGTGCGGATCGTGACGCTCCAGTCGCCTTTCCCCTGCACGTCCAGATAGCCAATGACGCCAGAGTAGACGCTGCGCTCGGTGGGCTCGATGGCTTGCAGGATTTCGCAGCTGCGCTTCTTGGGGGCGCCCGTCATGCTGCCCGGCGGCAGGCAGCTCGCCAGGACGTCCATGCCGGTAAAGGGGAACTCGCTGCGGGTTGGGTCGGTTCCCGCCTCGAGCTTCTCCGCGGGGAGCTGGCCGTTGACGGCCGTCACCATTTGGAAGACGCTGGCGTACTCCTCCACCCGAAGCAGGTCGGGTACGGTTACGCTCTGCGCGCCGCACACGCCATACAAATCGTGCCGTACAAGGTCGACAATCATGAGGTTCTCTGCCTCCTCCTTGGGCACGTGGAGAATCTCTTCGGCTTGTGCCAATGTCGATACCGCAGACGACTTGCGGACGGTCCCCTTCATCGGCCGCATGGAGCATAGGCCCTTGGGGTCGTGCATGAGGAATCGCTCTGGGGAGCTGCTGATGATGGTCGCCCCGCCGAGGCGAGTAAAAGAGCCGAATGGTGCCGGCTGTCGCGCTCTCAGCGCACGGTAGATTTGCCACGGCGTTCCATGCCGACACGCCTCGTCGGTGGCCGGCAGCTTACTGGGTGACTGGTCCCTTGGCGCAGGCGATGTTCGCGTGTGGTGCGGCTGGTCGTTGCCGTGCGGTCTGGTCATGGTTGTCTGCGCAGTGAGACAGAGTTCGTAGGATTCACCGTCTCTGATGTAGTCCTGGCATTTGCTAACATCGGACTCGTATCCATTCGAGTCCGGGACGGAGACGTGTAAACGGCCCCCTCCCTTGCGTACGTGGTCGAGCAGAGCTTCGTTGGAGAGGCGAGACTTGGCATCCGGGCGTCGCCCACGGCCAGGCTGTTGCCACGCAGGAGAGGTCTCGATGGCTTGAACAACATCGTCTATCCACAGGCCGTCGCAGTCTTCGGACGTGAGGGCTTGCACATAAGCAACGCCAGCTTGGTGATCAAGCACAACGCTTTTTGAGACCCATGCCATGCAAAGGTCGGGCCTATGGTGCCCGCGCGCCTTGGAAACGGACCCGGGACTCAGGGTACTCAGACCCATCTCATACGTCACAAAACCCATGAAGCCGCCTTTGAATGTCGGCATATGGGCATCTTCGGACACCTTTCTCCAGCGCCAATACTCCGACATGACGTGCCAGGGGCTCCAGGGATCGACATCCTCTCCAAGGTAGATGCGCTGGGACTTTTCTGGTCGTCCAGACGCCGCGGGCTGCCGGAGAACCAAGTAGCTGTCGCCTACGTGATATTCCAGGCGCAGGGCTTCATCGACACCCAGAGCAATAACGGAGCTCCTCGCCAGAGGATCACCATTGACAGTGCTCGAGGAGTCCAGAATAATAGTGTCTTTGCAGCCAAGGCCAAGCACCTCTGCAATATCCGCCGTATCCACACCCCCAGGCAGTTTGATTTGCCGACAAGCATATCCCGGCCGAATACCTCGTCGAGCCAGATCAGACTGCAAGTCGTTCCACCACGGGAAGGCGGACAGCTTGCGTCCAGAATCCAACCCAGGCAGACTGTGGTTGGATGGGTTCAAGCTGTCAACGTAGCCGACACTAGGATTCCGTGGGACCTCCCGTCTCGCCGCTTCATTCCACTTCAGCGCCTGGCGAAACCAGTTGCGTATCACACCCTTCGCCGCGGCATCAGTACACACAGACTCGGGATGATACTGAACACCCCACAACGGCCTTGTGGTGTGCCGGACCGCCATCAGGATGCGCTCCGGGTCGTGCCTGTTTTCGCCGTCGTAGTCTTCCAGAATCCACGCCAGGGGCTGCAGTTCCGGAGCCCGTCTGGACGGCAGCCATCGCGCCGTCAGCCAATCCTGTTCCGGAACCTCGTCCTGTCCGATATCCGCACACAAGCTGTGGTACAAGGTCGCCTTGAAGCGAGGCACCCTGTCAAAGATGTCGGTCGGCGGCACCTGCACATGGTCAATCTCCCGAACCATGCCGTGCAAACCCCTCCGAAGCCGTCGAATGCCGCCTCCGAAGTGCTCCACCAGGCTTTGAAACCCCAGGCAGATGCCGAGCACAGGCACGGATTGCTCCCTCGGCAGGTCCCAGAGGAGCTTGAAGGCGCCGACGTCGGCGTCGTGGAGCGGCGAGCCCGGGCCGGGTCCGCAAACGACGGCGTCAAAGTCGGCGAGCCGGTCCAGGAACTGCTGCCTGGTCCAATGGGGCGTGGAGTCGGAGTCGATGGTCCTGAGGTCCATGTGCAGGACGTGGACGGTGGTGTTGCTGCCGAGCGCGTCCTTGACGAGGGACACGATGTTGTTGGTGAAGGAGTCGTAGGCGTCCAGGAACAAGATGCGACGCCCGGCGCCGCTGGTCTTCTCGACACCATGCGCCGGGACTTGCTCCGCTGCCGGCGTGCTCGAGATGACGCCCATCGCACCTTCCGTGATGTCTGACGCGACAGCAGCGTCGGTTCCTGCTGCGGGTTGCAGCTGCCAATGGCAATGGTGGCAGCCGATGCGGGAACCAAAAAAAAAATGTTGCTGCTGCTGCTCGACGTTGCACGACTTTTTTTTTAGGTTAATGGGGAACCTTTGGAAACTTGAAATGTCTCTGCCCACTCGCCACTGGCAACTTGACGAGTCCAGCTGATGGCAGTCTGCGCTGCACGGGTTGAAGCGCTTGCAAAGTTTTGTTGGAGCGACACTCGCGGCACATTCCTGCAACTGGGCGGACGGGCTTGGCCGGATAAGAAGGTCAAGATGGAAATGCCGCGCCAACCCGAAGGACCCTGGTGGCTTGTCGCGAGGGAAAACGTCTGCCCCACTTGGCACCCGCTGACAGCTGTCGTGGAGAATGCATCCATAAAGGAAACTCGACTTGACTCTTGCCAATATGTCCTCGACTTGAGACTGGCCGTGTGTCGAGCATCACTTGGCTTGGCCAACGCTGGCGGCGGGACCGGAGGAACATGAAGATAAACAAGAGATGCCTACAACAGCAAAAACCCAATGTATTTTCAAACATACCTAGGTAGTAACTCCGTATACGCTATACATGGCAATCAAAACACCGCCAAGCCAACCCTCTCACTCAACCTGCCTCTCAATATCATCCCAGCGCCCGATGCGCATAGGATCCAAAACCCGCAGCTTCGCCAGCCACCCTCGCAAGTCCCCAGCCCTGCCGCGGCCTTGGTCCAGCCGCCCCAGGGCCAGAGTATACTCCAAAAGCGACTCGTAAATCCACTTGATGTCGTCATAGTCCTCCAGCAGCTCCTTGATCTCGTCAATCTCGCGCCCCAAGTAGGCAGCCTTCTCGTCGGCAGTCAAGTCCGGCACAAAGGTGCCCCCGACGCCGCCGCGGTCGACGATTTGCGCCACCAAAAACCGGTGGTAGTACCACAGGCTCTGGTCCTCGGGCCCGACGTTCAGCGCCTCCCTCACGAGGTGCAGCTCCTCAGCGAGCAGCGCGGCCCGCTGCTGGGCGCCGGCCCCCCGCTCTTCAAGCAGCCGCGCCATCAGCTGGCTGCGGTTGTGCCAGGCGGAAAAGTTGGACAGGTCGCGGTGGATGACGCGCGTCGTGTACGAGAACTCGTCCTCGGCCATGCTCCGGCCCTGCAGCTCGGGGCTTTCCAGCCTGCCGACGACGAGCCGCCGGTAGCTCCAGGCGTGAAAGTTGCGCTGGTCCTTGTCCAGCATCTTGGACGTCAGGCCCAGCTCCGTCTGCCATATCTGGCGCGCGGCGGGCGCGGGTAGTCGCAGGATGGCCTGCGACAGCGTCCATTGCCGGAAGTTCCAGATCCAGTAGCACTTGGGGGACTGCATCAGGAGCGGGATGGTGAAGCTGAGTTCGGACTGCAGGACGTCACGGTCCGACGACGCCTGCTGCTCGACATGGTCCGGCGCGGAGTCGCGGGTGTCTGGCGGCTGGTGGCTCGTCGCCGGGGAGAGCAGGCTGGAGAGCAGGCAGCGACGGCGAATGTTCCATATCGTGTAGTACTCGGGGTTGATGCTGAGGAGTTTGCTGGTGAGCTGAAAGAGCTCCGGGGTGTATGCTGCGGACGCCGCCTTGTCTCGTACCTCGTCTTCCAGGGCGCGGTATTTTCGTATCTTTTCGAGGTCCTGCAGTCGTTGCTCTTCGGTGCGCACCCGGAATGTGCGGGCTACGCCATGCTGTAACAATCGCCGGTCGGTGCGTTAGCCATGATGCCACTTTTGTTGTGCTAGGCGTGTGAGAAAAGAAGACTTGGTGGGGGTTCGGGGGTCCCTACGCTGGCCATGTCAGAAATGTCTTGAGTTTCTCAGAGACTCACTCGGCTGCTGCAAATATTGGAGCGCGCCGTTGGTATTTGTAGTCGTTTACGAGCTCCTACATTTACGTCGTTGCTCATGCATGTCTGTGTGGTGCTACAAGGCAGCGTGACGTGATGACATGTGGCCCGTGCGCTGTGTCCCTTTAACCGCATCCCAAAATAGCATCTACCACATGTGCACCGCTATCGAGTACTAATCGATCCCGGGCAGGTAACCAGGACCACATAAAATACAAAGAGACCGACAATACCAGGGAGCGCCTTCATATTAGTAGCACATTCCCTCAATAACCGCAAGACACTGTCCGAGGCGAAACGATGCGCCCAGTTCCGTAAACAAAGTTACTTCGAATCCTACACTCCCATCTGCTACCCTGCACCTAAAAAGCCGTCTAAAAAAAAAAAAAAAAAAGAAAAGAAAAACCAGGCAAACTGTCTCACGCAGTATTGAAGTTGTCATGTTGGTATACGGAGTACGGAGCCCCAATAAATAACCAATGCCGACGGGTGTAAAATATTCTATATTAACCACACGCTGATGCATGTCCGTCTCGCCGTGTTACAGTAGCTTTCGCGAATATGGCTCGTGGATATACAGAAATCGCCATGATGGCTTCGCTCATACAGATACAAAGGGGGCCTCTGGACGCACCCCGGATTCAACGTCATTCCCTATCCCTCACTCTCAAAGTGCAAGGCTGTCGCGCATACCACACCCTCCTTTCCTTAACCCCCAGTGCGGCATCCATCAACTTTTGGGTATCTGATCGCCGATGCCCCAAATCTCGGCCCTCCTTCAGCCCGCCATCAAGCACTTGCGCCTCTTCCACAGATGCCGCCAATTCAAACTCGCCACGACAAAGCGCCGTCACGCCAATCACGAATTCTGTCACTTGGTGCCCCTTGAGTTTGGGGAGCTGCTGCTGCAAAGCCCCGTTCCAAGCAAATTTCCTGGTATAGTCGAGTGCCACGTTGAGTGGCCGGTGGCATAACGCCGGCATCAACCTGACGAGCGGCAATATGGGTTTGGCTGTCCTGTTCGCGATTTGAACCCTCATCTGCATAAACTCATCCACATACGCCACGTTGTCCGGCGCTCCGTCTATCGATACGGCAATGTCAACCTCGTCAAACTTGATGGCTTCTATCATTCGGGGTGTTAGCCGAATATTTCGCAGTTCCACCACACCATTTCGTTTAGGTACCGACGTCGTCTGCCATGTCGCCTTTAGATTCTCAAGCAGCTTTTCCCGGTACCAAAAGGCCTCGCGGTTCGCGCGCTCCATGTCCGGCGAGATTTTGCTCGTGCTAACGACAAATTGTCTGTTGCGTGATGGATTGAGACTCGGCACTGATTCGTGAGGATCCTCGAGGTATACTCTCTTCATTGGGATGACGACCCTGCTTGTCTTTCCGGGGAGTATACTGTCCCCCACCATCATTCCATCTTCGCCTTCCAACTGGACCGACATCTGGCTTGGCCAAGCATTGCGCAGATCCACGGCGAGTAGGAAATACTTGTCTGGGGAAGCCGTCCTTTCATCGCCACCCACTCTCTTCAACAAGGCCGGTGGAACCTGTCCTTGCACAGAAACGGCATCGATACGAGAAAGCTCGACGCTGGCATTCACTGTGACAGTCAAATCCAGCAATACTTGACGCGTATAAAACTGCTCCGTCACCTCGTCCCGTGGAACACCAAGGCATGTATAGTCTGCTTGAATTGCGGCGTGTGTTAAACCAGGCTTGCCCAGAATTTCAAACTCAAAGGTCGCCTCTCCACCCGGTGGTATATATCGGTTTTGATTGTTTCGCGGGAGCCTTAAAGCCTGTTTCTTCATAAGGACCAACTCGTACTCATAAAGCTCAGCCGGCGTAGCCTCCCGGTTCTCTAGCGCCGCCTGCAACGGACCCTGTGTAGAATCCTTGAACGAAAAGAGCAGAAAGTCTACAGGCGTAGTGGTAGATGTGTTCTGCATCGTGACGGTAAAAACTTGCCTTTCGCCTTCGAGGATCATGACTGATGACTGGGCTAGACTAGTCGACTTGACAACCACTAGCGGCTGAGGCTGAACGACATTTAGATTCAGAACCTTCATTTCTGGTTTCACAGGCGCCGTCCTGCTGCCACCTTCCAGTGTAGGCGGACCCTTGGATTTAATCTTTTCGGCCCGAGATGGCGTCCAATGCCTAGCGAAAATGGGGAATCTGCGTTCTCGACAACCGCGTATTTTGACCACAGCACCCGTAATCTTGATGGAGCCAGAAGCCTTTGGACGGCCTTTCAGTCGTACGAGTTGCGTCCGATAGGGCCCTAGAATCACATTTTCTGGAACTGGTTCAAAGTCAACGCCCTCAGTGTCGAGTCGCATGCTTTCAATGTCTACCTCTACGTCGTATGTATTTTGCAGCGTGACTTTGAACGTGGCCAATTCGCCAGCCACCAGGTTCTCCGCAGCCACTTCGTCAGGTTCCTTCAAAAAAGGATTATAAATGAACGGATTAACGTCTTGCGAAGCTCTCGAGGCGTTCGCGCCGGGGAGCACACTCTTTGCATGAGGAATCGGCGTTCGGGTATTGGGTAATGGCTCTAACGCGATGCCCCGAACGAGGAATTCATCCCAGTACTCGGCTGCCAGGCCTCCCAGGCCAATTCGCTCCGTGAGAGCAGCTGTCCGCGCTATATTGGTTACAAGGCGGACCTGTTCGTCTTTATGGATGTGTGGCGCTGCGTCTTCGCGCTTGGGACCGGGAGCGATTCCAGAGCCAGCCGTTCGCATAAGATCGCTAGAGAATTTTAGGACACCGTCAAAATCTGGGAGTGCCTCAGAAAAATTAATGCATGCTCTGAGGATGTTTAGTTTGATTTCAGTGAATCCAAAGAACCGTGTCGATGACTGTATGAGAGCCCTTGCAACGGTTGCACTGTCAGAATCGTCGGCACCGTCGCGCTTCTTGCGCATGTCGAAGCCAACGACACCGTACGACCTGCATAGTAGCTCCAGGAACGGCTCGATGCCGTGCTCGATGTCGCCCTCGCCAAGATCCAGCGCAACCCCCGCTGCGCTGGTTCTGTCACTACCTGGAACCAGGGAGACCAAACCTGCCGCAGGGTGAATACCCGCCTCGGCAGCACCACGAGTACGAGCCTCCACAAGACCGGCAATGAGGACCGATACTAGCTCACGAATCACCATGGCTTTTTTCCGGTGGTACCCTAATGCTCCAAGCACATTCGCAATACCGCTCAATATTGACGTTCGGTCAGCAGTTGTGAGAAGTTCCGTTCCAGATGACGGAAATGCCTTGAATAACATGTTCACAATCTGCTGTCTTGATGGTGTCACAGTAAACCGAGGAGAGGTTGTTAGAGTCTGAGTCGGCAGTTCACCAGTGACAATAGCGCCGAATGCCTTCTGATCCAACATCCCGCCGCTGAAATGCATCGCTGACTGCAGTTTGCAAAATCGAATGGTGGTCTCAGCCAGAGGTAGGGGTGGCAGGTTTTCACTAGATATTCGAGAAAACAAACCCAAGATTCTATCGAGGAGCTCAGGAAGCAGATTCTGCAGATGGCGTATGTGCTTAGGCTGTGAATAATTGGCGCTGTCTGCTTCTGATTTCAGAACTCCCGATATGCTCGTGGACCTCTCGTGGCTCGGCAAGCAGACGGTTGGTATTTGGAACTCTAGTTTCGACCAGCCCAAGAGTACAAGATTCATGATGATAAGCTCGAGAGCCTTCCCATGCCAAATATGGTCGTTCAATGAGCGAGCAGCTGTTGCGCCTTCTGATAGTTCCCTGAGGGAGTCGCCCCATCGTCCTGCCTGCAAATACATGGATCCGATGAGCACGGACGTGCGTCCTTTGCCGCGCAACCTCCATCGATCATTGGCACCACCAGGCCCAAACCCTTGTACAGACACTCGATCTCGACTGAGATCGCGCGAGCCGTTCACATCAGATCTCTGCGGCTTCTGATCCGGGCTTGATGGCCCGGTGCTAGATCCACTCTGTCCACCGTTAGGACTCATGGGCGTGGTAGATAATCCACTTCGTGGCGGCGTTGACGGGCGTCCGGCCGCATTACTAGGTGATCTCGATGTCGTAGGCGGCATAGACAGTCTTGTCTGTGTCCTATCCGCAACACTCGACGCCGAGCTAGACCGCGACAGTTGCTGGGGCAGCGAAAACTGCGAGTTCCGACGTGACAGTGACGCAGGGCTTCCATCGCCGTTGCCGCCCCATGTATTGCCATTCATGTTTTTAGCCGAATACAATCCTGGAGATTCAATAGTAGACATTCCCTCGAATGATTTCGCCAACGTCGTCATCTCCGCTAATACTAATGACGAGATGTCACACATTACCGTTTTTATAGTCGTTCGCTTTCGCTTGTCCTTGGGAGGAACAAACAGTATCTCTTCTGGCGTATGAACATCTACTCCCTCGGGAGAGATGTAATCAAAGATAACGACTTGGTGTACCAGAACCTTGGGATAATTATCTCTCAACTCCTCCAATTCTTGATACAAGGCGTGTACATTTCTCTCAACCGTTGTCGCTGCCCTATTCGCCGAATACCTCTTGCTAAACGTCTTGTCCTGAAGCTCCTCTCCGTCCGCTAGCGCAATAAGTACGAGTGGTTCGCGGTATAAATCGAATGGCGACAAGGCGAGGTGCGACACTGGAGGCACGTGCGTTATAAGATCGTATAGCATTGCGCCGTCGGGATACGCCAATGGAGAAAACATGTCTAATAGGTCAGCACCTGTTACCTCCAAACATGGAAACACGACATCATAGAAGAAAAGAGGGTCGGCAAGTTACAAGATAAGGGGGGAGCAGGTATACTTCGATTTGGCCTCCCATCGGCACTGATGTCTCGAAGGTGAACGACATATTCGGCCTGTAGTAACTTGACAAACTCGGCAAAACGCTGCGTCTTGATTTTCCCCAAGGGCAGCAAGAGCGCTCTTACCCTCGCAGGAGCGATGGGAAGCAACGGATCCGAGGACATCTCTTATATCCGTACTCTGTGCACCATTGTCAGGGATCGTCTGGCCGCAAAGCGTTGTTTGGTGGTTGAAGGGTCCAGATACTGTCGCAAGAGGGGTTATTATGGCTGGAGGTCTCGGCGCATGCTCCGTTGATTCACTGCAATCCGTTTATCAGCTCGTTTGGGAGCACGACTGAAGGATTGTGCTTGGGGAAGCTTCGAGCGTGGCCGTGATATGGAGTTGAGCACGGAGGACGGATTACCTGAGCAAGCAACTGGGCAAGTGACATAAAAGGACAAAGTCGAAATGGTCGACTGGTGCGGTGGGACCTGCCAGGGCGTCAAGGAGGTGGGGCGGGGTGAGTCGGAACATTTATACGTACAAAGTATTCCGTATTCTGTACTTTATTATTCGCAGTTCTGGTCAGGCAGCTATTCGTACCAAGTACCTGGGCAGCTACACTCACCTAGCACCAACATAGAACCTGGACTGCAAGCGAAAAGGCCCTGTGAACTCTGTGTTGCAGCAAGCATTGTCAAGCGCACCAATTCGGGAACCGTTCTGGTGATTACAGACAGTCCAAGTCAATTCATGTACAAGTTGACGCATCAGACCGGAAATCGAGCAAACCAAACATCCACCTCCAACCCGCAACATACCAGGTAGAAATGCCTACAGATTTGCCCGCTCCGCTTCCGAGAATACTGTAAACAGGACAAGTCTAAACAAGTACATCCCGTGTACCAACCTATTAATGCTAAGTCACCTTCGTCCATCGCCGCATTATTCTATTCGACCGAATTCAGGGTATCAATGTCGTATATACAAACAAGCACCATCCGTATCGCCTATCGTGCAATCATGAATCCCTCTGGTGCCATCCCCATGGCGTACCAATCGCAACGCACCCACCCCGTTCTATGTACATCACCTCTTGTTCTTCTCTTCCTTCCACCTCATTGACTCGGTTGGTTGGACCCTCCCGCTTCTGGGCTCTTGTCCCTGGGCCTTTTGCCTTTCTTCGCTTCTTCTGTAAGTTCACTTTCGAAAATATCAACAGCCAAACTGGAGTCCACAAAGTCCTCCATTTCCTCCGTGACAGTCTTGAGTTTCTCCTTGACAGCTAGTGCGGCTTCTGAGCCAACAATGTGTCTCGAGGGGGGGTTTTCGTGGCCACCGATAGCTGTGAGCGCATGAACAGTTTCGTTGACGAGCGCGTCCGCCGCCTGAGGTGTAAGCCTTGGATAGCGGTCAAAAATTCCGCCGCGACCCGGTTCTGGTTCCAACGACGTGCTACCCGGCGTGGATGGCGTAGCCCCAGACTCCTCCAGGGGCTCTGGCACGGCGGTGTCGGGATCTGAATTCAGAACATTACTGAGCATATCTCGCACGTTTGGCGCCGCGGGGTACGCATCAACATAGGCCGGAATCTGCGGCGCAAATGTGAGGCGGCCAGTAAGGGATTGAATCTCCATATTTGGTTGCACAACTGTCACCTTGATGTTGAATGGTGCCACCTCGTAGGCTAGAGAGTCACAATATCCCTCGAAGCCCCATGTTGCAGCTGAAAACATGGACAAGCCGGGCGTCCCGAGGTGGCCGCAGGTGCTTGTGAGTGCAATAATGTGGCCTGTATGTTGTTTCCTCAGCTGTGGCAGCGTGGCCTTGATGAAGTTCACCTGCGAGAAAAAGTTGCTTTCGAACTGTTGTCTGGCCAGGCTTTGCGTGTGTGGATTGGTGGAAAGCTCCTCGACCGTGGCCACGACAGCTATGCAATGATGGCTGGTTAGAGTATGCAATTTTTTGGCATTAGAAATTTGGATTGCACACATTGCACACCTTCAGATCTGCAACAAAGCAAAATGTCTATTCGTCCAAACACTGCGACAGCGTCGGTGACGGCCGAAATACACGAGCTCATATTCCCATCACAGCGGATACCTCGGATGCGGTCCTTCCACCCTTCGCGGTCTTTGCGACTGCTCTTGCATTCAGCTATGAGCTCCCGAAACTCGGCACTGCGTTGCTCATGGTCGATTTCTTGTGGCGGTAGACACGCGACGACATAGTCGCCATGGGATAGCAATTGGCGGATGAGGCGAACGGCCAATGGCGACAACGCCGCAGTCAGTAGCCATGTGCGCGGTGAGTTGTGCGTAGCTGCAGGTCGATTCTCCTCGTCAGCCATGGTATCAGATGCAGGGAGTGCAAGCGAACATGTCGATGCTAATGGACTCCCGACAGCCATCCACAGGCTCACACGTCGCAGCAGAATTCGTCTGCGGGTGGGCAATGACGCGCGGGGAGACGGTCAAACGTTAGGTGTAAGATGTGAGCTTGAATTCGTAATGCAAACCAGGTAAAGATAGAGAGGGAAGACTTGAAAAAGAAGAAAAAAAATAACGAAACAGCTCAAGCAGGTGGGATTAGGCCAAAGATTGCCAGCCGTTAGATGGCATTGAGTTGCAACTCTGCCGCGCTGCCATCATTGCGGGGAGACCTGGCCACTTAGCATGTCATCGAAGCGATTTGTATGGAATTTGCGCCAAAGCCAGTTGGGCACATCAAGGCCAGCAGCCAGTCCAGCCATTGATCAATAGGGGGCGCTGAGTACAGATTAGCGCTTCAATCTTGTGGTTCTGTGGCTGAGGCCAAGTCACAAGCGCTTCGGGATAGGCTGTGGTCAATGAGTCGGCAACCAAGGCGAGACCGAGAGATGAATGAATCAGGCGTGGAGGGCATAAGCGACTAGGTTTCGGGAGCGCAGCGTTGCTTGAACTGAGGCGGAAAAAGAACGTACGGAATAAGGGTGGTGGTATGTAAGTCTGGTGTCGTGTGGAGCCGGGACCTGCAACTGGGGAGGATGCGGAAGTGGACGTGCTCGGTGTTGTTGCCGTCGTGTGTGTGCTGGCTCCATGCCGTCGGGACTGACCATGACCATAGGAGGCAGCGCCTGGCCTGTGGCTGTTGGATGCCATTGCTCGTGTTTTCAATCTTGCCGTGAATGCTGGCCCGATTCGGCGATTCGTTGGCGCGGGGACGAGTGGAAGAGGACGTCGGGCATCCACATAGGTGTGTTTCGACGGGATGGCAAGACTCGATCACGACGGCATTGAGTTAACATTGCACTGCATATATTCCCCGGATCAGATGAAAGGGGAGCAGAAGGGCAACATGCCTGACAGACGGGGTACATGGCGGTAATAAATAGCGGGAGGAAATGACGTGGAGGAGAGGCAAGGAAGGCTTGGAGCATTTGCTCCTGTGAAGAGAGAGAGACCAGACATGGGAGTCAGAGCCCTCTTTCTGAATGCGTGGCAGGCATTAATGCGACTGGACACAGGGAAACGACCAGTTGACCAGACTCTCTGATCAGAGATTGGTACCTGGGGGAACCAGGCAAGAGCTCCCAGTCAGGTTTGAAGGGAACAGAAGGGCCCAGGCATGGGCCGACATCGATGTCCCTTCCCCTCCTCTACTAACTTAGACCGTTGGGACATTTGGCTATTGACACTTTGACCCTCCTGCCATGTTGCAAAATCCAAGCAATCCAAGCAAAGCAACATTGAAGCGAAAGATCTTCGCTTTCAAGGGGAGCCAGAGCCCAAAGAAGTCTGGGTAACCGGCACGAGGTCGACCAAGCGCATACAATACATGTTGTACTTTGTACATCCGCAAACTGGTCTGGGGGAAGGCGCAACGGAGATACGGACCGGGACTGTGATGGGCAAGATAAGTAAGACGAGGCGGCAGGGAAGGAGCGACAGCTGCCGGCCGGCAAGTTAGCAACTGGCAACATTGAACATGAAGCCGGCATGGCTGGTGGGACAATTCGGCGTGATCAGTCGATATGTTACGAGCCTCAAACATGAGCCCACGCATGTGAACCAGCTGCATCCCGGACATCTGGAGCCGTGAGTCCTTTTGCCATTGAACCTCAACCCCCCCGGCCACTCTTTAGTATTGAATCTGATCTAATACCGGGCGGCCCGACTGTCTTCTTAGCCTGACGCGGAACCGCGAATGGACTGTGGCTTCTTCAGTGCTCAGACTCTCGTGCAGATGTCGACTTCACACCAGCCTTGTCTAACAGCATACAATCAAGCTAATTGTTCGACTCCTTCTCTCATCTTGGCATACGTTTAGTGACGTGCGCCCTGGTTGAACTTGACCACTTCAGACCGCTTCCCTCAGTGGCTATCCCAGGAACAAGTGGCTCGGTACGTGTCTCCTCGAGTCCTCGGCTTTCCATAGACCGGCTTCCTTGACACTGCCAGCAAATCATATGCCTGCTGATATGCTTTTAGCTTTTACGTCCCCCTCTCGTTAAAAAGTCAATCCCTCTGTCTCTGTCTTCCCTCTTGTTGGTGCCTTCATCGTCCACACAAGCTTAGTCAATATCCCCTTGGGTGTGATTGTGTGACACCTGCCCAGGGTGAGACGCCACGATGGTTTGCACGTCGGTGTCTCAAAGGGATGTGATCCCAAAAGTTCATACCCACCGACTCCATCTAGGGAGTCGTGGGGCCATCAGATAATTCCCGACCAGCCAATGTCGCAATCACTTTTGCCGCAAGGGAACAGCTAGTACTGAGCGGGAAGACGACTGCCAAACACGACAAAACAAGCCTGTTCGGATCTTGCCGTTCGAGAAAGGGGACAAGAGGTTTGAATGCTGTACGACGAGAAATGCAGTTGGTTTGCACCATGGCTCATGGCTGGTCGGCAAACAATGTACTGTATCTTCATGCATACATTTGTCTAGTGTCACCCCACGCGTTAGGGCTGCCATGGGCAGTCAGCCCTGCTACAGACACGTCTAGTCTTCTAGACGGATGCTAGACCCATGTCTAGCTAGTGTGCAGGCCTCTTCAATGTTCCATTCTCCTGACTCGGGCCTAACTCCCCAGTGAAACAGCCCCCCGCCCTCGATGGGCTGGTTGCGATGTTCTCGGTAGTCAAGCACGGGAATTCCTGGGCTTGTTCGTGGTAGGGGACGTTCTTTATGACGCTTGCGGCCGTTGCTACCCAAATTTCAAGGTTCTTGGGCAAACTGCCAGAGTGGAGGCTTGCAAGACAACATTTGCTCAGCTTCTCCAATCGATTTACCAACACAATATCCTTTCTTCCAGGGGCTTGATGTCAGATTGATGCCAGAGTTGTCGTTGGGGAGCAGTGGATCCATCCCGCATCACGGCTACTGGATTCGCCCGTCGCTGCGTTGGCTGTGACTGAATAGGTCACCATCAGGCCTATCAGTTCACATGCATCTTCCCATAGCCCTTCTCCAGCGCCTTTCACCGCTCTCAGCTCACAGTTGGCCCAGACAAGTCATTTTGGTGTCATTGCGGACATAACAAAACCACTTCGCCCAGCGACTCAGGTTCACCGACAGCGTGATGTTGTAAGGACGATGATTATACGATATTCTGAGTTGCGAATAAATTTGCCGAATATGCCCCATGCGCGCCGGTATACATTCCTCGTTCAAGTATCTGGCTGAACTTAACCGTGTAGGTCCACCAGCAGACACTGGATAGACCATTTAACCCCGAACAAGGGCCTAGCAAAAACGCTGCTTCAGTGTGAGTGTGGTGAAAGTTGTCATGCCCCTAGAAGAGCAGCCAACCGTCTTCTACTAAGGCTCGTTTAGCTTTCAACTTGACAAAAACCTGGTTGCACTCCAGCTGCATGATAGCAAATCAGTAACGCAACAACCCATCTATTCATAATACTCTTGCTCAGGTAGACCCAGCCAGTTCAGTCACCAAGCGCGAGAAAAGATCAAAGAATTGGATTTACTATACATACGCCATTTCGGTAATAACTAAAACGCCCCCACACAGTTACTCGGTCCTATGTCTTTGTGACTCGATCTTCGTGCACGCTAACAGGTCGTCCGGTTTCCGGCTCTGCATCTAGCTTCTTCGCGGTTTCATTCATGCCAAAGAGCTCATCCATTTTCTCCAGGCTGAGACCTTTAGTCTCGGGAACGAAGAAGAACACAAACAGCCCCATGAGAATATCAAAACTACCAAACATGAAAAACATACCCTGCGGCATATGCATTAGCTTGAATGTGGTTCACTCATAACTCGCCGTGTTTGTTTACACTTACATAACCCTTGTAGCCCATGGTGTTTTGCATGGTAAGGACGGCTATTAGGATATGTCAGTATCCGTTCATCTAGAAATACTCAAAGGACACATACTTCGAGCCATGATAAAGTTGAAGAGCCATTGGGTACCAGCACCAATGGCGACGTTCGCGGCACGTAATCTCGCAGTAGGGATCTCGCTAACCAGGATCCAGCAAGCCGGCCCCCAGCCAAACTGAAAGATGCTGTGTCTGAGGTCAGTTTACGCAGCGCCCGGAGCAGAATGGTCATTTACATACGCTGCCCAGAGGTAAATGCACGCCATAGCAACATATCCAAACGCAGTGACCTTTGAGGCATTAGTTTCGCCAATGGACAGGACGGGACTGTACACAACTTACGGGCTCTCCGGTAACAGGAGGCTGCACGCGCCCATAGATACCAATGATGAACAGCACGATGACCAGCATTGGGCTGGTCCACAACAAGCTCTTCCGTCGGCCCAATGAGTCCGCAATGAAGAGTAGGAATAAACAAACGGCTACAGTCTTCACGATGCCGTAGACCCCCGTTGCAAAAAGTGACGAATCCGTCCCATTCATTCCAAGGTTCGTGAAAATTTGAGGGGCGTAATAATTCTGACAAGAATTAGAATCATGCACTAGTGCAAAAAACCATGGATCAAGGGAGGCGTTCTTTCGACGTACAATGGCATTCACACCGGTGAGCTGCTGGCATATCATAAGGACAATGGAGATCACGGCGCGCCGTCGGTTGGCAGGGACGAGCCACATCTCTTTCATCAAACTCTTAAAACTGGAATCGCCCATCACACGGCGCTCATTCTCGAGTTGATCTACCATTTCTTGAATTTCCCCAGAGACGTATTCCGAGTCGGCGGGAAGTCTACAGACCGTCAGCAATCAGCAAACCTAAAGAAGATGCTGGGAAGAACGGTACCCTCGCAGTCGGACCAAAATTTGGGAAGTCTCTTCCCATTTGTCTTTTCGAGCTGTCCATCGAGGGCTTCAAACAGGTTAGCAGGTTTGCAGATGGATAGAACTTGGGATCGACGAACCTCTCTGGAGAAATAAGCATGCCGGTAATCAGAAAACTATTTGCAGTCAGCGTGATATCTTGGTGATAGTTTCACGAGGGGAAGGAAGATTACAATGCGGGTAGGGCTTGCAGGGCCAAGGGGACAATGAAGACTGCTGGTGCCGACACATGCAGCAGGCAGCCATAGTTGACCCAGAAGGCAATCATGATGCCGAGGACGATGAAGAGTTGGTAAAAGGCTGCCAGTTTCAGGTTAACCGACAGAGTCTTGAGACCGAACGGAGCAACGGAGACAACACACCAGTCAACCCACCACGAATTGCTCGAGGAACACATTCCGATACATAGAGCGGGGTCAAGGTCGACGCAGCACCAACACCGAGCCCTGCGATGAACCTTCCGACGTACATAACTGCCAAGGTGCCATCTATGGCAGATGCAGCCTGGAAGACGACTCCAATGACGGTGATGACACCAGCTCCAATGAGACTCCAGCGACGACCAAATCTATCGGCGAACCAGGACGTCACAAGACAAGCTGCAAAGCAACCAGCCTGCAGCGTTGAAACGATATTTTGGTCCAAGTTGGACTTGTCGGTTTTTGATCTATGCAGGTATCCAAACCTTTCGCGTGTCTCGTCCATGGTCAGAACGCCGCCGATGGCACCGGTATCCCAACCAAAGAGCATGCCACCAAAGCAGGCAGAGCAGACCAGAGCTAAGACTTTGGCATTGTAAATTTGGTCGGGATCAGTGCGCATCGCATCATTACGCACGATCCCGCGTAGGATCTTTGCAAAACCCATGTTCGACGGGACTGCTACTGCCGCAGGAACAACCCCTATGATGCTGCTGAGGTGTTGGTTGAATGGCAATGGGGGAGCAGCCAACAGCAGACGTCAAAACCTGGATGCTAACGATGCTCCCGTCAGGAAGCACGGCTTCGGAACTTGCAAATCGCAGGATGGGCCCGGTTCGCGCGGCGTACTTTGACTATGTAATGAGTGGTGGTGAGGCTGGAAAAGAGCACCACGCCAGCAAAAAGGACAATCAGATGCTTGATATAAGTATGTTGCTGAGGCTCACAAGATCAACGGGCGGAATTGATTGGAGGAAGAGATGATGGTTGATGGGGGTTGCGCCACGCGAGTCGGGGGAATGGATGACGGAGCGACCCTGGTAAAAGTCATCCGAGGGGAACGGTCCAAAAGAGTGTGGTCTGGGGTCCAATTTGGCGAAGCATGGACAATGTTCTCGATGTGGCATTTGTGGCATTCTGGGCAAGCCACTTGCTTACCACCTAGTTTCTATTGTGGTTCGTCCCAGGAGACTAGCGATCATTCGGCAGCTTACTGCTGCAAGTCGCATTGGACCTTGACGGCATGCATGTCCTCGTTCCTATTAACAAATCGCGGTTAAAAGGGATTTGCGCGAAATTTCGAACTGCACTGAAAGGGTCGAGGTTAAAAACACCATTACGACTGGCAACACCACTTCAACATCTGCCAGCCAACACTAGTGAAAGACATTGAGATGAATAAATCATGATTGGTACCTGTATCTTTGGGGCTTGCAAGCCGCCAGCCCAGCTGCCACACCAAAGACAACTCATCAGAGAACAACCTTCTGGACTAGGCTGGGACGGACAAGTCATGGCTGGGAGCCAAATGCCACCGGACAGGGCACGGAAACCAACTTTCATTCTCGATGCTGCGTTATGGTGATCTTTCGTCCCATGCTACTTTAAAGTGTTTTGGCGAGGAGGGGAAAAAATTACTTGGAATTGACAATTCCTCTATTCGCCTTATTAGAAACCATATCGAAGCTTTGGTCTCTACAAATATTGCTGTTCCGCCAATCACTCGAGGTGATCGATGTACGGACTACGGAGTACTCCGTATCAGCAGCCTAAACACAACCGTGGACGGGCGCCATTGCATCTACAGATGTCAAAGCTTCGGCATTGTTGAACGCTCAGTGGCGGAAGATATCAATCCACAAATAAAAGGTTGGCGTTACTTTGTCCCTTTGGCTGTATCTGCACCATTAACCGGCCGAGTCGCAACCAACCAACCACCCGCCACGATGCCACCAGCGGGGAGGGCTGGATGGCTAATAGCCGTCGGGACACAGCCACCATTGCCGGGGTTTGAATCCCGTGGAGCCTGGGGAGCGTGGAGAGGACAAGATGTTTCCTTCAAGTTTGTGGGGGAGGCGTTGCTCATCTCCACCTCTGGACCTAAACATGTGTGTGAAGACTATCTATGCAGTATTCCGCTGCGCAGGTTTGTGGCCAACGAATGGCTCGTGATAAGTTCACCGAGTGGACTGTGACAGGTGCATGTATTCGTCACACCTCCAATTATCATGTGTTCAGGTCTCTCGATATTAATAGTATAATGCGCACCAACTCTTGGGCCTTTCTACGCCTTGTCCTTGTTCATTTCGACCGACAACCACCGAGGAATATTTGGTGCCGTCTGCCAGCCGTCGAGATATGTCATCTTGGACACTCCATCTTGACCAGGCTTGGCGTATATGGCAGATACGTACCATGCCGCCTGGCCCGTTTCAATAGAGCCCTGCAGAGTCGGTATCGTTGTGCGACTATCGACGAGATTCGAATTAGGATCTGCATTGACCAGCATGGCCCGTCGGCTACCCATCGGTTCCAAAGCCTTGATACCAACCGCTCCCTTGGTAGCGTGTACGGCAAACGACCCGTCTTTACCGGTAGCCCAGCCGGCAGGCGAATTCGTGTCATAGTTGCCAATGATTTTAGGCATTGTGCCCTCGCACTGTTCCTGGTCATACGACTCCAAATAGCGGCCATTGACCGAGTTGACGTTGCAAATGGCGAACGATCCATCGGCCGTCATCAATTGCCGCCCCGTCTGTATGTAGTGCACCCTCAGGTGCCAGTTTGGGGTCTTTGGGGTAGATGGTACTAGGGTAGTCGTGATTCTGACATCTCTGAACGGTTTCCAGCGCGACACGAGGACTGGCTGGCCGTCGCGGTATTCAATGCCCGCGTACTCGGAGACTCGCCTCGTCTTCCAGTACTCACCCCCATCATCGGAGAGACCAAGCTGTGATGCCAAGGCGTACTGTTCCAGCGAGAACAACCCGGGGGGAACCGAAAATCCAAATGCGCTACTGTAGGCAAATGCGCCATACTTGGCGTGCGTAGCCTTCATGGGATAGCCACATGCCTGTCCCGACGATAAAAGCATGCAGTGGCCCCCCAGGCGGCTATGGAGAATAAGGGAAAGAAAACAGACGTCAGAAGCCTAGTATTGAAACTTTGATTGGCGGCACATTTTAGCTCACCTCATGATATGTCCGGGGTGTGGCAGCTCCTTAACACTAGGGATCGTGTGGCTAACAAGCTCTTCCTCGGACGTCCAGAACGGATGGCTTTCGGGCACGGCCAGACAAATGAAGGCCAAGCACGCCCAGTACTGTACGTGTTAGGCTTACGGGGCGCGAAACCCCGGGGCACGACGCCGACGGGATGGATGAGAACTCACCGGGCTCGCCGGGCTGTTGTAGTTCTCGGTTAACTGTGCTGCGTAAGTACATGCTGTACACCCTTTGCAGACGCAAATCACTCTCCTTGGTTTCTTCACTTACATACATGTTGGGGTATGAATACCCCAGTGACAGAGTGCCACTTGAAGTCCACATTTCAGTCTGTGTCTGCCACCAGCGCAGGTTGCGAAGGACAATGCCCTTTACCATCCCCCACGTCAAAGGCGCGGGGAGTTCAACATGTGCATATGCCAGGGCGCCCCAGAACGAGACCATGGCGAAACGATATCCCACGCTCCGCCCAAAGGGTATGGCCCTGCCTTGATCGTCATAGTAATGCACGAGATCAAGAGCCGCCAATTGGGCTCGTTGTCTGAACTCGGCTGCTCGATCCGGGTCCTCGTCTCCAGCTAGTTGTGCGTACAAGAGCTGCAGGAACTGGATGGCGAAGCTGGACGAGTAATAATCCATCTCTGGAGCACAATGGAGTGTCATTTCAGGTCCGTAATATTCTTCTTCTCTTTTCTTAAGAAGTGGTGATTTACTCACGATGAATCCCTTCAGGCCCATCATTGGACCAGCCGCCGCCGCGGTAAAACGTCTCGAGGTGGCTGATATCCCGGGCGAGTCTGTCCTGGGAGAATTTCGCGCCACACTTCTTGAGGCCGAGGTTTGCAAATACGCGGAACCAAAGCCAATTCGTATCGGGCATGCTATTTCCGTCAGCCGATGCGGCCGGAGACGGGCGGCGCAACACACATTTTCTCATTGATAGAGTTGCCAAGCCACGCCTCGATATTGCCTTGCTCTCGCGTGGTGAACTTGTCCCAGATGCCGGGTATAACCGCCAGGGCAAATCCTAACACTGCTCAGTAAAGACTTTGCTACGTGTGAGGCAGCGGAACAAAAACTCACCTAGAGGGCACATTTCCACCATTCGTTGATCATTGTCTCTTGGGTACCCCCAGAATTCATGACTGTCGGGATCTGTACCGGCCTTGATGCCCTGAATCCACCAGTCTGTCCCTTGGTATTCGCCGCCTCCCGCGAGCAGGGCTGCCAGGCCCCAGAGCGGTCGACATATTCCTTCAACTTCCGAGGCCGTTTGGTCGAAGCGAACGGCTGTTCCGCCAGGGCATCTCACTCTTGCTTTTGCAGGTGAGAAGAATGGCTCCAGGGGGTCGAGCACGGTTTGGAGGAGCTCTTGGACGGATGCTCGGTCGTGGATGCGGACCTTGCTGAAGGGGTGGGCACTGTTGTATCCTAGGTTGAGTGGCATTGTGATGATGTGTAATGAAATGATGTATACTAGGAAATGGAGTAGTGGTGCAGATTGGACATTTTGGGCGCAAAGGGTGTGGTGTATTTATGAACCGCCGCCATCGGATCGATTGTGCTTGGAGGTGGTGTTGATGCTGGCTGTCAAGTCGCCGTCAAGTCCACATGGTGGGGGCTGCTCGCGATAAGTATGACCGAGCAGGACCGAGGATGACCAAGGCGAATTGCGAGTGTTCAAGGTCGGCCTTGGTGCCGTATTCGCAGCAGGCAGAGGTCTGGTTTTCAGAGACGTGGGAATGAATGCAATGCAGCGCTAGTCCCTGCCAAGTGCAGAGTCTGCTTCGATGTAGTCGGTTCGGACGAGGTTGACTTGTCACTGATTCACCCGCGTCAACACGGTCCTACCCTGCATTAATCTACATCAACACATGGAATGCAAACGAAACACAGCCTCGCCCATCACTCTTCCAAACCACCGCTCTTCTTCTCGTCACGTCTTCTCGGCACGCACACCATGGCTCGACGGAAAAAGGCTGCGCCCAAACGCAAGTCAAAATGGACCCCAGACAACATCCTCAGCGACCCAAAGTCGCCGCTGGCATCTGCGGACCTTCGAGCATGTCTCACCCCATCAATCCCTCTGTGCATAGTATTTTGCCCGAAATGACTAACTTTTGGCCACGGCAGAGCGTGCTTGCGAACCCACTGGCGTGGACATCACTGAGCATCCAGGAGAGACGGGACGTGCTCTGCTTGTTTCCGGACATGGCGCACACGTTGGACGCGGACACTGATGACGCCCGGCCGAATTTCGAGACTCTGATGAATGACGATTCCTTCCGCTATGACTGTGCGGCGTATGTCGACAATCTGGCCATGGGGAGGCACGATGCTGTTTGGTTGGAGGATGCGTGGAGTGCACACGACAGGAGGAAGGCGGGTGAGTTTGACGAGTGGCTAAGGGACAAGTTTGTCGAGGATTGGGCCGTGGAGCCTCCTGACGATTCGAAGAAGGCGAAGCCTGAGGAGAGAAGGGTACAGGATGGCCAAGGAGAGGGAGTTGATGGTCAGAAAAGGGGCGACGAAACGGAGTCTACATTGGCGGGTTGCCAGCCCCAGGACGAGGCGGATAATGGCGATTCGAACCACTGCATGGGCGAGGACTCGCATCGCATCGCCATCCTGTGATGCTTGCTCCGGCGACGACTTTTTGGTGGATTTGATGGTGGTGGGGGGCCGTGACCCGTGGGCGAGGCAAGTGGGGCACCAGACATTTTGGCATTTGGGCATTTTGATCTTGATCCAACCGCCAAGACGCATTTGATCGCTTCTGCTTCTCACGGTACATCTCACACGGCCTTGTCCATGTGTGCCGCTGCGTCTGTCGGCAAACATGGCGGCCCCAAACAGTGTCCACAGTCGCTCGCATAGCCTGCTACTGCTGCAGAAGCTGCTCAACCTCCGCGACTCGGCGAGTCCTCTCACTCTTGTCCTCGATGGCCTTGAACAGCCGGCGCAGCCCGTACTTGACGAGTTCATGACCCGCGCAAAGGTACGCCGCGTGCACCTCATAGACGTCTAGAGAATACCAACACAATGAATGCAGATTTCCAAAACAAAAGTCATACTGCTCTCTTTCGCCACGGTCAAGAAGCCGCAGACCGTCGACGTCATGGTCAAGGCCGCCGGCAGGGATTTGCGACTCGTAGCCAAGGAACTGGCTGCGCATTATCCCGTCTTCGACCCGACCCAGCCAAGAGAAAAGCCGTCCCAAAGTAGGCAACTCCTCATCAACATTGTCGGACGTCGAGGCAAAATCGTCCAGGACTGACACCAAACGCAGGGGCCATTATTCTCATCGACTCACTCAACAGCCTCGCCTCCACGGCCCCCAGCTCCCTCTCTCACTTTCTCTCAAGCATCCTCACACCAGCAGTATCAATAGTGTCCGTGTACCACACCGACGTGCCCATCCTCCTGCCCCCATCATTCAACGAGTACGAACCGCACCCCTTCACCATCCTGAACCACCTCGCCACCGCCATCCTCCGCCTCTCCAGCCTGCCCCAGGAAATCGACAGGCAAAAAGCCCGCAACCGCGCCGTCCAGGAACCCGAGTGGGGCCTCAAGGAAGACCGCGAAGGCGTCATCATAGGCCTCAAGCCAAGGGCCCCAGACCAGGACAGAGGCGTCGTCGTCGACATGGAGCTGCGACGCAAGAGCGGGCGGACAGTGACGGAAAAGTTCATCCTGCAGCGCCACCTGCTGGCGGCGGGCAAGTCGGGCACGGGCAGAATCACGCTGTTGACGGACCACGCCATGTTTCGCCCGGCAGAGGCGGATCGCGACGACGCGGAGGAGCCGGAGAGCACGTTTAGCTTGGGGCTGACGGAGAAGCAGAGGCGGGACAGGGAGGGCATTGTGCTGCCGTACTTTGATGCGCAGACGGATATTGGCGCCGGCGAGGGCGGCAGGATATTGTATGAGATGGGGAGGGAGGATGACTTTGACGAGGAGGAGGATGAGATTTAGACGAGCACATGTGGAGATTGTAAAAACTGGGCATGGCTGGGAGTTTGCGTGAACCGTCGTTTCTGCCTAGGTTGACCAGCGAACCGTCTTGGAACTTGTGAATGCTGTGATGAAAGGGTATACATGGCCTCTATGCATACCGCGTCTGGCGGATTCCAGGCACCGGCTGAGGCGTAGTATAACGTGTGCCGGGAGGAGGCGGGACAGGGCGTCTACCAGGAGCAGGTTCGTGTGGCCGCTGCCCGGACGCGGAGTTCGACCTTTGCCGGGGACAGGCGTGGTATGGCCGAGGCCCGGACGAGATGCTCCCGCTGTCCCGGGACGAGGTGGTCTAGGAGGCGGCGAGATGGGGGCCCCTCGGAGAAAAAGCCTGCCCGAAGCAGTGTTGGGCTTGGGCGGAAGCTTGACTCCCTTGCCATGGCCGGCGGGAGCGGCGACACAAGTGCTTGGGTATAAGAGCACAAGAGCACACGATGGGACCGTAACAGCGCAAGGTGCGAGCATCATGGCGAAGATGGTATAGGTCAAGATGCTATGCGGCAAGACACTTGGAGTCTGGATATCTTAACAAGGGTAGCAAATCTTAGTGTTATATATACCTTCCGACTTTGATGTATCATGACTTTGACGATTGTCGCCTTCGCGTACGGGAACATGCTACTGACTCACGGCGCGCAAGACCTGCCATGATTCCACAATGGCATGCGGTTTATAGACAATTATAAATATCCCCTTTGGCATAATAATAGGATACTCGACTTAATAGCCACCTGTCACCGGAGAAAAATGCCAAGGGTTGGGGGCAGGGATATATAGCAGCAGATATTATCCAGTGGAAACGTACTGAAGCGGACAGCGATGGAAGGTGTAATAATGCCATGTTGTGCAGCAGTAAACCTATATTTTATTGCTTTATCTATTCCGTCTATTACATCCTAGAGCCCGTCAAATAGGACATGTGTGGAAACTACTCGCAGCTAGCATGCTGGGCTGGGCCCCCTTGTCTAGAGCCTGGGCATCTGAACCTCTTGCAACTCATTTTGAATGCAATACCACGTAAGCATAAAGATCCTGCGGGGCTTGACATCCATCTTATCTTGACATGAGAGAAGGGGGGCCATTCGACTTGTGTTCTTGGGTAAATGCTGTATACGATGTATAATGCCGTTTCACTCTCAGATTATCAGGTTTGCTCCGAATAAGTACTTGCCGCAGCTTTACCTTCTGGTGCATGGGGTCGAATGGCAGCCATGTCATGAGTGATTAAAAGCTCTGGTATATTTGGCCTGGCTACCTGAACCTGCTCGCTTGTAAAGAACCGGCGAGTGCTCACGCTCTATTTTTGCTTAATGTCTAATTCGGCGATATCATGAAACTCCTAGCGTATGACGGTTGGACGCTTTGGCTTCCGATAAACTTAGTTCTTTGCCATGATTTCCCCATTCTCAAAAACCGGCGTGGTGACTCGGCATGGACTCTCTTGCACCTGTCGAAGCCGCGATTCGCCCCGGGAGTAGGAGACAAGCTGGCTACACCGTCGAGTTTTGAAACTGTCATTATAGCAAGTCGATCCATACACACCGGGGACGTCGCCGCCACAGTCAATCTTGGGAAGGTTGGCGCAATCTCTCTGCAAGGTGACATGCCAGGTCCAGATTTGACGATGGCATTCGTGACAGGGCGGGCACGGGGAGCCGACGGTGATACTTGGCTTCATCACAAGATGACTCGCTTGGTGGAGGTAAAATAGCGAGTCCTTGTGCATTATTGTATACATAGGTATTCTTTCCCGTGTATCTTATCCTAAAACACTCATATGCAAACACTTGAAATCTGCCATTCTAAAACTTTTTGTTCCTACTACAACAAGCTTGTAAACTACTTGGCATCATCAAAGTGAAGCTGTATATTAATATAGCCCATAATATGCCATCAAACCTTCCCCTTCATTTATACAACGCTATAAAATCTTACAGACCTCTACTTGCCCACAGCGCCGCGAATTCAGACCCAGACTGTGCAAGGAGCTCATCAGGAGGACCGGTCTCGACAACTCTCCCCTCAGCCATGACAACAATAACATCATAGTGACGTATAACGTCAAGCCGATGCGCAACCTCTATGACGGTGCGCCCATCCAGGTTGGCACTAATAGCATCGCGGACCTGGTCGTCGGTGCGACGGTCCACGCTGCTTGTTGCTTCATCAAGGAGAATAACTGCACCACGGCTAGCAGCTCTGCCGTGTCGCAAGACTACTCTAGCAAGGCAGAATAGCTGCAGTTGTCCAGCTGAGAATATCAAGTCTTCTACCTTGGCCTCGAGACCACCCTTGGCTTCAATATAGGGCCAGATTGCCGTCTTTGTGAGGGCCTCTATGAGCGCTTCGTCAGCTTGGATAGATTGCTCCGGGTCGAGGTTGTGGCGGACGGTTCCTGCCAGGCGCAGCGCATCCTGCGGGAGCGAAATGAGTCGTGAGCGGATCGTTTGTCTCGGTACAGTGGCAAGATTGACGCCGTCAATGCGAATCGTGCTTCCGGGCTGCAATTCGAGAAGGCGGGCCAGCGTGGCCACAAGAGATGACTTGCCGCTGCATGGAGAGGATGGTAGGCTTAGTTTCAGTATACACATGCTGTCTTGGCATGAATCACAAACCTTCCAGATCGGCCACAGATTCCGACTTTTTGTCCTGGCGCAATAGTAAGACTGACGCCGAGCAGAACCGGATCGGCACCGTCTCTGGGGCGACACTTGTTAACACGGGAAGCGAGGAAGAAGAGAAGAGAAATACTCACTTGTAAGCAGCAGTCACATTATCAAGTTCAATTAGACCCCGTGATGGCCAACCGGGAGGCGGCTCCTGATTCTCTTGCAGCTTGTTCTCACTGGGCGTGTTCTTTATAAACCACTTTAGCCGGGTAATGGCACCAAGTGAAGTTTCCAGCTGCGTCCACTGGGTAATAACCATAGAAAGCGTAAATTCAAAGCTGATTATGTTTACCATGGCCAAGCCGATGGCACCGTTCGAGGTTGTCCATGGAAACATGACGGCGAATGTAACAAGCACGAGCGCCATACCGGCAGTAAATAAATCCAAGATGACTTGGAGCCACCGCTGGATGCAAAACATGGTATAGTAAGGCCTTTGGGACGTGTTCAATCTGCAAAGGTTTTCTTCCTTTACCGCCATAGTCCATCCAAATGCGCGAATGGTGGAGAGCCCGGCCAGAGTCTCCGTGAAATGTGTGTATAACGGCGACTTCATCTCCAGGTCCAAGATTCGAACTTGGCGAGATGTTTTGAGGTAGTAGTGTTGGATCAAGTACACAGCTACAAAGCAAACGGGCAAGATTGCGCCAATGTACGATGATCCAGAAGCAATGATTGCCGTCTCGGCAATGGCTTGAACCACGGCCGCAACGGTCGCAATAAATGCAAAGGGCAAGGCTTGATCAAGCAGACTCATGTCCTGGCTGAATCTGTTGAGAGTCAACCCGTTATCCGTACAGGTGAAAAAGTGAAAGGGGGCTTGAATCACGGCGGCCAGTAACATGGCATGAAGGCGCTTCGCAGACTTGGGAATGCCAATAATGGCGAAGAAAGCTATGTTGACCACTCCGCCAATCATGGCTAGGACAATAAACGCGACATAGCCTCCCATGTAGCTTAGATTATCAGAGGTAGAGGTAGTGCCGTGTTGTGTCCATAGGCGCAGCCATATTTCTGAAATAGAGTCAGCCGAATTCCAACCGAGTCTGGGGCGGAACTTACGGGGCATCTTATCCGCAGCCACGGTGATAATGACGAGGATCAAAGTAGCAGTGACAACCGGCAGTCCCATCGACTTGAGATAGATTTTGTAACAGTCAATATCACCTGTTTGGCGGCTGAGCTCGGCCTCGGCGTGTCTCATAGCCTGGGCTCGGTCCGCCTCTCGTCGTTTTGCATGACGACTGGATTCATTTCCGTCAACCTCAAATGAGGAGTCATCCGACTCGGTCTCGTCTTGGTTGATACCCCAGTCCTGTTGATCAAAGGCCGAATACTGCACCTGGTTGCGGACAATCTTACCTTTCTCCAACATGGTGATGTAATCTGCCGCCTCAAGGAAGCTGACTGTGGGTGAGTTAGACAAATGGCGAAACCTAAGCTATAGTTTTTCTCACCGTTATTAGTAGCAAGAACTACTGTCTGGCCGTCATTACGTAGCAGGCCGCCACTTCCAAGCAGCCTTTGGAAGACGGCGCGTGACGTCTTGTTGTCCAGGCCGCTGAAGACGTCGTCGAGAATTACAAACGTTTTGCGCGAGTATACTGCTCTCGCCATGGCCTGCGTGTACTCATGGCTTAGTGTACCCTGCTACTCGTATAGCAACGGATTCGTTACTTACCACGCGCTGCTTCTGACCGCCGCTCAGTGCAACGCCTCCTGATCCCACGATGGTCGCCACTCCCATGGGGAACGCAGACACATCCACGTCTAATTGGCATGCGTGGAGTACAGTTGCGAGCCACTGCTGGTCGTATTCTGACTGCGCGATAATATTATCCTTTACGCTGACGTTTGTGACCCAAGGTGTTTGGTCGCAATAAGCCAGGCTGCGTTGCCTGGTCTCAATTGTCCCGGACTTCAACGGAACTTCACCGGCCATTGCTTTCAGTAGGCATGATTTGCCACATCCCACGCGTCAGACTACCATTGAAAAGGTGCCTTGCTCAATGGTCATGTCAATACTGTCAAGTACCTCTGTGCCGTCATCCACAGAGAATGTGGCATCTACGAGTCTCAACATCGGGCCGCTTCGGCGAACAGTCTTGTTAGATGGTCGTGCAACAAGTTCGAGAGCGTCTTTGGTAGCCATGAGAGATTTTTCTGGTGAAAGACCGAGGCTCTCTGGTAGTGCCAACGAATTTGTAGAAGCGGTGGAATGTCGAGACGAAATCCATTGTCGCGGGTCCCTTCTCGACTCAGACTTCAGAAATACCTGAAGACGGGTGAAACACCCAATCACGCCGAATATCTGCATCAGAGAGACTAGAATTTGAATTATGGGCGTAGCTGCGATGGTCATTATAGACAGCGAAGTGAAGGCTGAAGCAACGCTCAGCCCCTGCCGCGACTTGGTCCAGAAGATAGCGGCGAGAATCACAACCGCTGGTGTGAATGCCTGTGATGCAGCAGCTAAGAATTTCGGTTAGCATTCGTACTGGGACTATGCTCTGCAAAGCATGCCTCACCAAACCCGTTGATGTAAACGAGAAGCCATCGAAACCTTGTCGATAATTCTAGTTCGTCTGCACGAAGTTGGAGCAGGCGATGATGAAACCAATTGCTTAGGCCCATCATCTTGACGCCCTTTATCTGACTGAGCATCCTAGACGTTTCCCCAACACGTTCCTGTATGGCCCTGTTCCATTGCATTCTCGCAGGGCCCATGTGCGGTGATATCATCGCACCAGAAATCGTAGTAACTTACAGGTTAGCCGTCATCGGGTGCTTTCAGGTCTGTGGAAGCTTACCAGTAGCAGGAATCAGAATAAACAAGCTGGGGACTCCGACATGCCGGTAGAGGAGGTAAAGCGCAGCGGGGAGCTCTATCAAGCTGGCCCAAATATCGTGAATGGTCATTGCACCAGTAGCAATGCCCTCGACATCGGTGCTCATCAGAGTAACGGGGACCGACTCGCGAACTGATTGCTCGCCCAGCTCTAGCGTCTTCTTAAAGACCAGCGAAATGAGAGCACCGCGATACATGGTCAAGAGCTGGAAGGTCGTATGTTTATACCACGCCCCGGCGACTGCACGGCCGACGTAGAGCAATAAAGTAGCTACGATGAGACTCTTGGCTAAGGCCATATTCCTTGTTTCGTCTGGCTGGCCGACAAAATCGACAACCGTGTTGATAAGAAACGGCTGCGCAAACGTGAAGCCGCCAAACAGAATGCGCGGTGCGATTCCAGCAGCGAACTGCCCCTTCAAGGCCAGAAACGTGCACTTGATCAAGCTGAATTTTCCTTGCTTGCTGTCTGCGGGTTTCAAATACGAATTAGCAACCCAGTTGGACGCGTATCTTGGCTCGGATAGCATTGACCTTTATCCCAAGCTTCCTCCAACTGTAGCAACAGTCTCTGCGAATCGAATTTTTCGTCTATAATGGCAATATCGTCAACATCTAGGGTGGTCTTGTATCCCGTTCTGAGAAATCTGTTTAACCACCAAAAAACGCTGCGGCTCACCACTCCAGCGCTGCTCTCCCTAGGTACCGGCTTTTCCGAGTAAATAGGTTTCTTGGGGACTTCTTCGACCACAAAAAGCATGACCTTTATGAATAGGGCTGCAACTAGGAGACTGGCCAAGGTGTGCTTGACCGGCCTGAGGAAAGCGGTCCTGACCTTGGCTAGGTCAAGGATGGCGGTGATGAGCAGGTAAAAGTTGAGCAGCAACGACGGCCGAACCGACCGCGCGTGCTCCAGATACGATAGGCCCGTGACAGAGAAGCCGGCAATAACGCCAAACACGGCTTCGGCAATCGATGTGCTGGCCCTGACGGTGCTGGGCAGGCACCAGATCGCGAGGATGACAATCTGTAGCGCCGTGAAACAACCACAGAGGACCTGAGACACGAGTTAGACCAGGATTGCACGTGTGCCACCTGTAAGAAGAGGCGGCGCGAACCAATTTGACAATCCGTAATTCGCGTGAGCCAACAATGTTTTCCCGGCGCCAAAGGCGACGGATACGCCATGGCCAGGCAAGGAGGAAAATGCCGGTCGGAACAAGGGATAAGAGGCTCTGCTCAAAAAGCAGAGTGAAATCAAAGTATCCAGGCAAGTGAGGGCCGAAACTATCATCGCCGGCAGCCATCTTGACCAAGTCTTATGAGCTTCTGTGCTGAGGAGGAGAGAGGAGGCCGAGTGGTCTCAAGTTTGTAGAAGCCCGAGCAGTCATGCCGGATTATATACCCCATTAAGATGCATGTTGCCTACGTGGTCTTACTAAGGCACTGATGCAGAGTTACTGCATGGCTGAGAGGCTAAGCAAGGAACATTTCTGCTCTGCATGAGGCTGGGCCATCTTCTCGTATTGCTCGATGCCACGAAGCTGTTCCGAATTCGAGACGATTATTCATCTCTTTTCGATCTTGGCGTAGCATCATCAGCTAGATTACACATGTAATAAATGAACAACTGTCTTTATAAACTGGCCATATGCCGAGGAACTTGTCAAGGCATGTTGATCGTTTAATCCTGAACTATGGAATGGGCTTCATTGCCAGCGTGGTGTCACAGGAGCCAAGGCCTGATAAGGTTTCATAAACAGAGGCCAACCAAATCAAGAAGCATTTTCCTCCCCATGCGCCCGCCGTACTGAAGAAGAAGAATGGCTGCAAATACCGCGCCCGAGGCATCTCTGTTGCCCGCCGGTTTAACGGATGTCGCCAAAGTCATCATCAATGTCCAGAGATGGGGCAACTTGTTTCTGTCAGTTCTGCTTCATTTGTAATAAACAAGATGATTTGTCTGTGATTTTGACAAACATGACATTCTGGGCGACGAACCTTGTTTGTAATGCAGGACTTTAACGGCGAGACTCTTGAGGCCACGCACGGCAGATTGCTCTTTGGCGCCTTTAACATATGGGTAACCGCAGGGTGAATGTCGCTCTGCGTTTCCCAGCTCTCGGATAGTAGCGCTTCTTCGGTGGCTTTTGAAACTTCCTCTTGGAATCCCCTGCGTTCCCAAATACTCCAGTTCTCCGAGGCCCGGAACACGCTGGAGAAGACGCCGGGCAATCTCCTGTGGTGACTTGGGCGTAGCTCATTGCAGAGAAACGATGGTTCGTGGAAATTTTGAGTGTAGTATGTGCACAAAAGCTCATCAAAGTTGTTGAGACCCATGGTTCCCAGATATCTTAGAATGTAGGCGACACGCTCTACCATGTCCGTGCCTGCCGGACTGGAGGTGAGGCGTCGCGGTTCATCGCGGTATTTCCGGCCTTGGGTTGCCGTCATCATGCGGTATCAACATGCTGAATTGATCATATCGCTGCTCGGCCGGCCGTATGTCGTCAGTCCACACAACCTGTTCTACTGGGCGGTAAGGGTGGTGGTGTGCCAGGAGCTGAATCCGGTATCCAAGTACGATGTGCGACTACTGTCATATTCGCCCATTAAGCTAGACAAGGTGGGTTGGGCTGCCATTTCGTCAGTTCCCGCTGATAATATTTGTCCGGGCACTTCGTCTTGAGCGCGACCCAAGACTTGCGAAGAGCAATTTTCTTCGTCGGCTACATCTGTGTCATAGTTCCCGTCACAATTCTCTGAAGTCTGGGAATTGGACATGTCTAGCACTCCTGGTTCCACAGAGTTTGTGTCGGTTGTCGTACCGCCGCTCAGAGATAAGGTACCATCCGAGGTAATAGGGCCTGCTTCTTTAGAGTCCGGTCTTTGAATGAGGTCCAATCATCACGGGCGCTGATATCACCAACATGTGGTGGTAAATCCGTTGGTGGATTTCTCTCTGAAAACCAATTTATTGACGACTCCATAGCTGCGACGCGTGCGGAGGAGCACGCCAGAGTAGCTTCTGGCGTTGGACGGCACGATTATTCAAGTGAGTTTGATCCAAGAGGCCAGAGCAGCTCCGATGGCCCGGCATGTCGGTGCTGAAGATTCATCTTAGCAAGCTGAGCCCTAGCACTCACGCTGCAAATACAATTTGAAAGATGCAGACGCAGCCAATGGCAAGGAGCCACAGCAGGATCAAGTCTGGTGTAACTGGCTGCTGTCGCCTTGCATAACGGACGCTGCATGTGGGTGGTCTTGCATTTGGTGTGACAGGTCGACTGGAGCCGCAATCACCGGGCTCTGGGCCGTGGTGTGATTATCCCTGTCCTCTTACACCAGCCGAACCAGCCTCATCCTCCTGCTCGGCCCTGCCCCGTAAAAGGAGATCACGCTCGCTGGAGGCTGTGTCGTGTAAAAGTACTATTAGGATTTATACCAAGTTATTAGCTACTAGGCCACTCTCTTAAATCGTTACCTTTATTCCGGTGTCAGCGTGAGGGTGTTTGGTTTCACCGAGGCTCGGAGGGCGGGTACAGGAGCCGGGCCGTCCAAATGTCACATGATAGGCCTGGGACCCACAAATGCGGCCTGATCCGAGATTTGGCACGCCGGCCATTTCCGTACCGGGGAAGTGGGGTTTCAACTGTCGATAAGTACCAGGTCGATTTGACGTTTTGTGCTTGCACAGCCTGGTCCTCCAACTCGGCCGAGCTACAGAATGCTTGTTGGCCGGGCACAAAGCAGTCATGTTTGCGGGGTGCCAACCAGCAGACTCTCGTTACTTGCACCTATAATTGGTGGCCTTGTGGCTAATCCCCCGCAAGGGGCAGTGAGCTGAATCTGACTTGGGGAATAATATCCCTGGTTTATAAAGATGCACGATGCCTGTCCACTCTGGAGGCGGGCTTGGGCACGGTTTACCAATAAAGCCATCGAATCGGATCCAACCCTAATCTGCTGCCTGGTTTGTGGCACAAGGGAGCTACGTCACTTGGGCGGCGAGAGCAACACTCATGCGCGACATTCTTACCAAGCAGCAACTAGTGGAACACCTCCAGCAAAGCTGTGTATCCTTTGCCATCATCGCTCTTCAACCACGGTTTACCGGTTTGATTAAGAGCCGCAATGCCACGTTCTGGGACGGTGACCGGTGTGTCTGATGCAAGTTAGCTGCACGTCTTTTGCCGCCTTGTCGGGAACGCCGTCTCTCACATAACCAGAGATCCTCCCAGGCCTTTTCCCGTTCTGGCGTCGGCGGCCCTCGGTAGAGTGTTTTATGCGGAAATTCGTTCTCAAAGTCGCCTTCCCAAAATTCAACTCCATCCCACGCGGGTGCTGCCCCCAAGTCAGTCACAATGCTCAGGATAAAGAACGTAAACACCTTCTGGGAAGCAAATGACTGACAAAATGGAGAATTGAGCTTTGCGCACTGCAGCTGGCTTGGGCTGGCCATGTGCTGCCACACCATGACGAACAATGCGGTGAGCAGGGCAGCAATTATTCCACAAAGGCCAACAACCAACCCCCGGCTTTGACCCCAGTGGTGGCTGGTGGAACGCAGTTTAAGAAAGCTAGACGCATCATCGCTTTCAGAATCTGACAGGTGGTCATATTTGGCCTCGGGGGTTCTGTTGGAAGGCATCTTGTAGCCGTCGTGTGGGGGAAAAAAAAGTCCAGACTGAAATGGATTGGAAGAGAATCTGCATTGGACGACGCTGGTCTGTCTGGGTTATTAGAAGGTTGACAGCTTATTCTCTTTGAAAAATTTACGGATTCAGCCGCATGTATCCTGGATGGCACTCAGTCCTCTGTTATTAAGACCTGCAGGGTTACAGACCGAGAGCATCGTATTATGGTAAGCTGCTTTTCAAGGCAAAACGCGCCTCCCATACGCGTAGACTGGGGTGGTAATATATGCGTTTTCCCCAGGTCCAGATGTCTCATGTCAGCTACCCTCTCGCCACCGGCTACGCCCACGGAGTGCCCCCAATAAAGCGTCAACAAGCAGCTAACATGCATGCTGGTACATACATGTATCCATGTAGGTCGGCACCAGTATCCGAGTGCCATTGCCCGAGTATTAGCCACCTGCCGTTTGCGTTGGCTTATGCAGACTCAAAGCGCCCAGCTTTGTAGCCCTGTCGTGAGCCGTGCTTACATAGGGAAGCCGTTTTGGCGGCACCAGACCCGACAAGAAATATTTCCATCCTCTCAACCTCCCCAAGCACGAGACTGACAGCCAGTGCTAGTGAATATGGCCCACGATACGCACAATACCGAGGAGACTAGTCTCCTGCGACACCATCATGACGAAGCTTCATCGGGTGTGGAACGCACATTGAGGCAGCGGCTCATGATTGCTGGCCGATGCACCACTGTGCTGTTGCTTGTGGTTCTTACAATGTCCATATCGTCGACTCCAATGCTGGAAATTATGGAAGGCATCATCTGTCGTTCCTTGCACCCGGACGTTGATGGCACACTCAACCACCCCGTCTGCAAAGGCGCAGACGTGCAATCAGAGTTTGCCCAACTTCAAGGCTGGGTTACGCCCTTTGCCCTGGTCCCCGGTCTAGTGATGGCCATGCCATACGGAGCCATGGCCGACAAGCACAGCCGCAGACTCGTGCTTTCTTTGGCTATTTCGGGCCTCGTTGTTGCGCAGATTCTTGAGATTGCCACATGTAAGTCATGGCGCAATGTCATTCGCAATCCCGTATTACTAAATCCTAGTCCACAGGCTGGTTCTCAGACACCATACCAATTCGTTTGATATGTCTGGCGGGCCTCGCTACCTTTGTTGGTGGCGGACCCATGGTCATCAATGCCATGATCTTCACCATGGTCGGTGATGTATTTACCGCTGATCAAAGGTTGGCCGATCCAGTCCCCTACGAATACTACAATGGCTTATGGAAAAACAGAACCACTGCCTTCTTCTACCTCGGTGCCTCCATGACAGTTGTTGAACTGATATCCGGTCCTTTGACGTACCTCCTCATGAAGCGTGGCGATTGGTTTTGCGTCTTCACCGGCTTGGCAGGACTATGCCTCGCTAACATTTTGGCATTGCTGTTACCGGAGAGTCGCGACGCCAATACACTGCGTAAACATAAACCAACCAGCCGTCAGCCAGAATCGCATCAACAGCAGACGGGCAGTGGATTCTTCGACTTGCTCTCCAAGCTGCCCAACGCTGCGGCAACTTGCATCATGGCTGCGACGAATTTCGTTTCCAACAACAGACATTCTACGCTACTGCTTGTGGGTGTCGCGTTCGGCACCCTCGGTCAAGACGTCATCATCTTGTTGCAGCAGTACATGACGAAGCGTTTCGGTCTGTCTTGGGCTCGTGCGAGCCTACTCTTGTCTATCAAGGGTGTGGCGGCTCTTGCAGTGACAACAACAATACTCCCCTTGACAAGTCAACTGCTTTTGAGGAAACTATCCCTTAGCCCTGTCCATAAAGACATGTGGATGGCTAGGGCAAGTGCCATGTTTCTTCTGTTGGGAGCCTTTTGCCTGGGCTTGGCACCTACATTGGAGACATTTTTATCGAGCTTGGTCATTTTTACGGTGGGAATAGGCTACAATTTGATTCTTCGCAGCCTCATTGCTAGCTATGCAAAGGACGACAAGACGGGGTTGATGTTCACCGCAATATCTGTCTCGGAGGGATTAGGGGGGCTTATTGCAGGGCCAATAATGGCGATGCTCTTCCGCGTTGGTTTGAATTTGGGTAGGGCCTGGGTCGGTCTTCCTTTTCTATTTGCTGGCCTTCTTTTTAGTACTTCCACATTGATCGTTTTTTTGGTACCCGTCACGTCATGAGACCTATCATCACCATGATTCTCAATAAAATCATACTTCTTCTTACTCTCCATACTGTGAACTCTATTTATAATCATCTTTTAAATGCCTAACAACCTTCTTATATTTAAACTTAACTTTGAGTCAAGTCTAACCATGATAGCCGACGCCATGACATCCAGCAATCACACCAAGCCCTGCGACTTCAGTCTACAGTGCAAATCACTGTGCTCACAAGAGACAGGAGGAGCAACTTGGACAATTCATTCTACTCGGGTATATCTATCGAATTTATCGAGGTATCTCGCAAATGCCCATTCCTTAATCTTTGCAAAGTTGCGACACGTATGGGTGATGTACATGGACATCTTTGACATTTGGTCTTGTTCGTCCCAGCGGTAGTATAAAGTGGAAACGTCGGCATGGCACATTGCCGCCTGTCTTAGATGTTCAAGACAGTGGCCAGTTGGCTAATTAGTCATGGTGTATGCTTTGTCTCTTGGTAGTGCGTCTTACCAAAATGGAGAGTCGTCTCTTCGTCTCTCGTGCCATTAGCAAACACTGTTAACATGCCGTATCTTTCGGGATACATGAGCTTGCGAAACATGTTCAAGCAGTGCAGCTGGTGAAAGACGTCAAGGCCGATAATGTATTCTCCCTCCTTGCCGGGAATTCCTACTGTATGATTTGGTAGGCGACGTGCCTCATGTTCGGGCACATGCAGGCTGACGCCATCTGTCAAAGGCACAAGTCTCAGAACACGTGTCAAATCTTGCCATGATGTGGTTTCTACTTGCATTGGTATAAGTCGTCCCAAGCGTCGTCCATGTCATCGTCCGGGTAGCCTTGGTATGGGGAGTGGCTCGGTCCGACGCCTGGGGCAAATACTTTGGTCTCATATTCAATCACGGCATTCGCAGTGGAGTAGATGCCTTTTGAAGGATCCCATAGCTTATATAAGTATATTATATATTAAAATAAAGCTAAAAATCACGTGATTTTAAATATTTAAAAAATAAGCTTATAACTTTAAAATTCAGGGAGTTATTAAGCTTTTAAATATTATTTTAAAAAAGCAAGCCCTTTTTTTTAGCTTATTATAACTCGCTTAATTTATAAGCTAGCGGTATAAGAATTAGTGTATTTGAAAGGCCTAAATTAGCTCTTTTTATATATATAAAGTAGGTCCTAATAAGCCTTATAATTCGCGTAATAATTATTACTAAAAAATCTTTTTATAATAAAATCTTTACTAAAAAACTACATATATTATAGTAAATTATAATACAAACTACACTATACTATATTACACTATAAATTACACTAAAATTATATATAGTGTAGTTTTTTCGTCACAGCTCTGGTACCTACGTAGGTCGGTAGTCCTTTCCGAATCGTTGTGCCATAAGTGGTGCGGATGACGGAGGAAGGATTTTCCGATGACGCCCTGGTCTGTTCTCCTGGCTCCAACCGAAGAGCAGCTTCACCCTGCTCTTTTAAGCTTTTCAGCTCATTCCCAATGCATTATTCCGGTGTCATTTGGCCTGTATCTTAACCTTTCTTGAATTTAAACTCTGACATTGTTACATTTCGTCGCGACTCGACTTCATCGCAGGATACTTGATGGCACAACCACCGGAGCCGGCAGCCGAGATAATCCTAAGAACATTGAATGGAGAGATTACATATGAGGAGGCCGCTGATCAGGAGACCAATGTCCTGCCGGAGCTGACATATTGGCGGAGGATGGACGACTTCGGTAGCTATCTCCTTGCCCACAAAAAGGAGATTGAAGATATCGTATCACGCTACTTGCGTCTCGACGGCGCCGAGAAATGCTGTCTCTCACCTCCTCCTGAGTGGAACTATGGTAGCTTCAATCTGTGCTTGCCTGCTTCTATTATCAACTGGAAGAAGCGCCCTGGGGGGAGGGTAATGATTCGCTTTCCGCTCCCTTTCAAAGTTGGTGAATCGGACTTTCCGGGCAACTCTGACGAGAAGCTTCGTTCTGAAGTGGCTACCTATTCCTGGATTGGAAAGAATTGTCCGGAAGTTCCTCTACCCTGTCTTTGGGGATTTGCATTCGCTGGTGGTCCTAGTGTGAGTCTATTTCTCAGGTTTACCGAAAGCATACGAGATTACGTTTCTTAATATGTGTCAAGGCAATGTAGTTTGCTGCGTTGGATACCGCTCCATTCCTCTCTCGATTTTTCGAAAAACTTCGACGCCAAATTTGGTCTCTGCTTGGTTACGCAGTACCATGCCAATATGTGCAGTTAAACTCTCCCTATAATCTCAACACAGGGCATATGGTCATTGATTACATTGAACCTGCTGATGCGGAGATGCTCTCTTCAACGTGGGAAACGAAGCGACACGATGAGCGTGCAAGAGCCAATTTATTTCGTGGCCTTTCACGCATCATGCTCGCGCTCGGAAAAGTTCCATTGCAACGTATTGGGTCTTTTACTATGGACAACCAGGGAGTTATTAGTCTCACGAATCGACCGCTTAGGCTTCAGCTACATCAACTGGAGAACGAGGGTATCCCGACGAATATCAGCAGAAACACCACCTATACCTCCATAGAACCATTCTTGCACGACATTCTAGCTTGTCATGACAGTCGTTTACGACATCAGCTGAACGCCGCGAATGATGAGGCTGATTGCAAAGCGCAGATGGCAGTTTTAAGCGCTTTCCGAACAATCCTCCCACTTTTTGTACGCCGAGATTTACGTTCCGGACCATATATACTAACTCTGACCGATATTCATGCGAGCAATATCTTCGTTGATACGGAATGGAACATCAAATATCTAATCGACCTGGAATGGGCCTGTTCACTACCACTAGAAATGCTACATCCGCCGTCGTGGTTATCAGATGAACCTTTTGAGAGACTGTCCCCTCAGTTTGACGAGTTATATCAGGAGTTTATAGACATCTTCAAGGGAGAGGAGGCCCTTTATTTCTCACCGTCACAACACCAGCGAGGACCACAGTTTTTCACGGAAACTATGAGACAGGGATGGGAAGCTGGAAATTTCTTCTACTTTCTTGGACTAGAGAGTGTTACTGGACTATATTTCATCTTCCAACGACGCATTCGACCTCGATTCGACACCTCTAATGAATTTCCCGATGAAGCTCTTTCTGCGTATTGGGGGCAAGGCAGTGAGCAATTTATTGCCGGCAAAGTCCAACAAAAAAAGGAATATGACGAGAAACTCAGGCAGGCGTTTAAGAGTGAGGATGCCTGAATTGAATGTCAGCTTGGATCGTTTCCTTTCTTCATTGTTTCTTACTCACCAACTCTTGCAGAATCCGTTAGCTTTTACCTTGCCTACTTCTTAGATGATTCCCCTTTAGCTATGGCATTCTGATTTTCTCTTCTCTTATCCTGAGCCGCCCTGCCCGACGAAGACAATTGTTTGGCGGCCTTTGCAGTGATACCGATGCCTGCAGAAGCCTCTTTCACCACATGTTGACTCGTTGGACGAGTTTTGTTATCAGCTATTTTGAGAATGCCAAATTCGTCTATGGATAATAACTTTGTTTGGACACTGGGGTTTGTGGTGCTAAGATAAAGGCGAAGAGTATGTCCAAGAAATGAACCATCTTTTCTTCTGTCTTCTAGTCGAGCGGAAGTTCCAGCTTAAATGGAAAAAATAGTGACTACGCTAACACATGCAAGTTCCGTCGTGAGAGTGGTGTTCAAGCAGGACAAACCAAAACTTGACACGCTTTCGAGTTGTCATCATGCAACTTCATGCTAGTGGGGTCAGATGCTAGGTAACAATATGATGTTGGTTTGCATTGCGAGGTTGCCGACAGTCAAGACCCTCTCATCCCTCCAGGGCGTACTGTGATGCCTGAGTACGAACTCAGATTGTACACTTTTTAGGATGAAAGATAAGGCTGTCAGTCATACTACGTTGGGTTGTTTCTTCACCATTTGAGCCCAGATCCACTGAATCACCAGACTGCTGCACAGGAATTCTGACATTTCAGTCAAGCATTTGCGTACCAGACTTCTACCAACATACATGACATGGGTCCGTGCCTCCATTGCCAACATTGACCCCGCTCACCAGCAAGTGCAACAGTCCCCGATTCTGGTGTTTGGCAACACCTCAAGCTACTTAAGTAAGAAATCGAACTAAAGTGGTCGCATATCAAGGTCGCCGAACCCCCAGTCGTGTTCGTCTGCACATAGCCCCCGAGGTTTGGAGAGTCTGGGTTGGAACACGTCGGATGGGATTAGTGCCAGCAGGCGGCCCATGACCCATGATTCTTTTGCAGGGGATCAAGTATTCAATGTTCTAAAGTGTCAATGGTAGATATGTCTGGTAAGCTAATGCAGTTTGCCCGTGCCGTGCCGCCTTGCTAAGCCACCAGACCCAATGCAGTCTGGTGCTCTCAAATGACCAGTTGACCAGACAGATATCATATCTCGACCCAGACCAGACGGGACCTCCGCACATGCACCCGTGCGTGATGTGTCCACACAGCATGTCTGATGCACAAGACTTAAAATTCATCACCCATAGCCTCCATGTCTGGACCCGCTGTACGAAACCTGTTGAACCACCTGCATGTGGCTCTGTAGCCGCCGAATACTTGATACCCCAGTCTCTTCAACCCTCAACTCGCACAGCCAACGAGCTCATTGTCACAGCATTCAAGGTTGATCGTAACCCCCAAGAACCCAAATACCTCCAGCAATGCCCGTTGCGTCGAAAGCGAGTTAAGTCCTGGTGGTCTGGGTATGATGTCTGATCCTTTGGTTGGCCGAAGGGGAAAAAGGTGCGGCTTTCCGGGCCTCAGCATCAAATACAATCAATGACACGTTATTTGAATGCAAGTACCAGACATTAAATACAAGCGTTGGGTAAAAGACTTTCCCCTCTGTACAACATACTCAAGCAGAAAGCCCAATCCATAAAGCCCAATCCATTCAATCCAAAGGTGTCTGGTTGGGTATAACATGGCAATATCACTAGCAGAATCGTTGGGCAAGGGTCATCCAGCGGGTCTAATACAACCAGGGAAGTAAGTCCAAGGCAACCGGCAGACGGAATGCTGAGTGCAGGGTGCTCTATATCTGTGACAAGGGCTCGGAAAGAGGGCTTGGAGCAATAGCTCAATTCAACTAATAACAGTCTTTGGTATCAAAGGTCCTTAGTTTTCCTCAAGGCCTTGAGGGACCAAAGCCGTCTATTTATACAAGAAGTCGGTGAGGGACTTTGCCCTAGGTCTCGTGACCGTAGCCCTTGTGTAACCTGCGATTTCCGTGTAACAGTAGCCGTCTTGGCTAATACTGCAGACTGTCAAGCTCAGCGAAACGGTAGTCGAAACTGCTCGTTCTTGTCCACACAATGGTCCCGGCTGCCCATTCACATCCTCCATCATGAGATCCTCAAAGGGTCAAGAAACGGGTGTTTTAGCAGCTCTTTAGCAGTCTTCCTTTTCTCGGGCAGCCATTGCAACATACAGGCGGCAAAGTCTAGAAACTGCTCCTTTTCCTCTCCAACTAACTCGGTCACCATATCAGATAATTTCTTCCCTTCTTCGACCAAGTCCTTGCGGATAATGCAGCCTATCATGTGACGATTGGTTAGGGTTATAATGTAGTTGTGTGGCCTTGTAACGTACCGTCTTCGTCAAAAAAAGGACCTCCCCAAAACTCGTTCATAGTTTCGCACTCTTTCCCCTTCTGACTTATGATAATCTTGCCGAGTTTAGCTTTACGACACATTCGTTCTCTTTGGACTAGAGCTTCAGGGGGATTTCCCAAGGTGGAAACCATTTGAGCAAGATGAACGCGCGTCGTATTCGCCGTCCTCGCCAGCAGGCCGGTTGAACAGGCTAGTATCTTCTAACAGATTCCACATCTGTTGCAGTTAGAATAATTGTACAAACATGTGTCAAGGTCAATTACCAAAGGGTTTTGCTTTACCATTAGGCCGAGATTCCATATATCAGCACTGTATGACCACGGACAACCGAGAAACACCTCCGGGGCACGATACCGATGAGATTGGATGGGAGATATATGGCCCCGATTATCAGGTAGTCCAGGGAAGCAGAGATTGAAGTCAGCAAGTCGAGGTAAGAGAGTAGTGCCACGGAGGCCACCAAGTTCATCATGTGACAAATACGTCACACGCCCATCTTCGTTTCTGACATGCTTGGGCTGGGAATTAGTCTTGTAGTATTGCACAAGATCTTTCAGAACAGAGTCATCCTCAAGTGTGACCATGATATTATCATCCTTGATATCTAGCAACGCGGTTAGCGACATAAATGAGGTGCGAATGTAAAACCCGAACCTGTATGGATCAGACGGCACTCCGTGTGCAAGTAATCCAAAGCTTGGAGGAGGCAAAACATGTAAGCTTTGAATATTGGAGGCCCTAGCCTTTGTCGTGGAAGTCTTTGCTGGAACTGGAAAAGAGTCTCTCTCATGGGCTCAAACACGAGACAAGTATGCGTCCCACATTCACCTTGTAAGTTAAACACATCAATGGGTGTCCGAATATGTGAGAGACCTTCGTGTGATGGATTGGCCTTTGAGATGAGCTTCATACATCTAATCTCATCAGCAGCATTTGCATCTAAAGCGGATATTTTGATGCTAACATAGCGAGGACCTGACGACTTGACCCATCTTTTACTGATTTCAAGGTTAAATTCATGTCGCGGTGGCGGACATTTGGACATTTGGAGTGTTCTCACTATGCTACATTTTCTGCCAACCAGACAGTGGATCCCGACCCAAACCCGAGTTTCGCAATCGTCTTGAATCTGTCGTCAAGTATCTGGCCGGGCTGTGTTGGATGGAAATATTTCAAACGACCATTCGGGAGCAGCTCCTCGTCAATCGGCTCAGGGAGGACATAAGCCGCTGGTCTTTTCGCGGAAATTGAAAAGGGCCGTTTTCTAAAGCATCCCATTTTGGGAGCTTTCTTAAAGCATGGAAGTTGCAGCTCAGTAATGAGCCGTGCACCGAACATGCTCAAGAAGTGGAGTGCGGTGAAGCTGAATTTTGTGGTTATTGTCTTCATCTGCCTTCTGTTTTGTCATCTGTCATCATGTCAAGGACTTGAAAATGGTCACGTGAGGCTTATTGCACCAATCCACATAGACTGATGGGTTTAATCGTGCCTGAGGTAACAATCATTAAGTTATTTGAACTGCTAATACTACACAACACCCAAATATTTTGGGATCACAATCTGTAATCTAGCATATAGTACAAGCATCTCGTTCAATGCCAGAATAATAACTTTTGTTCTGCCGTCCAGGTTAAAACCAAATGCGCATAAAACCGCCAGTTTCTATTCTTTGCTGCTCTGGACTATCAAAAGAGATGCTCTCTATTTCCTTGGGCAAGCAAGTGTATGTGTGTGATGAGCGCTGCCAAATGCCCTTTAGGTCGGAGCACTCTTCACCTTTTAACAAGAGCACGGCTATACTGTAGTTGGAGTCATTCACAGCGGATCTGGCTGAAGAAACAAGCAGAAGGTCTGGTATTAACCTAAAAAGTAAACATAGCCAAGAGACCATGAACATTCATCAACGGCATCCCTGGAGCCAAGGTAAACTCCACGTTCAATCATCTTCTTGTGACAATTTCAACTTGTATTCCACAATCTAATTAACCATTCTAACCTCATGCCAACTGGTTGATGGGAATATGAGCAATCTCTTGTCCCCAATGCTCAAGGCCATTGGTGACTACGATTTGACGCACCCCAAAGCACATTCGAATATGACGCAGAAAACCCTCTCGAGATCGCGCTCGAAGGATCAAATCTGGTGGCCCTCGCTCCATAGGCACAAGGCTAGTCGACTTATCGCGCTTTGGATGGTAATTTTGGCACATCCATAGACAGCCCCTGCACAAAAAGCCATGATACACGACGCCGGAGGTAATAGAGGGGAGGTAGATGTGTGCATAGCTTTCATGTGGATCTTCGAATTCATTCAAGGTGGTGGATATGAGAGGATCGGTGGTATAGGGCCGTAGTTGCGCAGCTCGGTAATGTGCATAAAGTTCCCGTTTTGTGTCACTAAGACGCGTTGAGAATGGGAGATCCGTGATTTTCTCCTCCGAGCCATGAATCGCAAGCGCAAGCCTCTTTGCACAAGCGACGCTGACAAAACTTTCCGGTTTTGGGGTTGCAAATCTCCCTTGGGGGTACATGGGCAAGCGAAGGATACCAGGTAATTGATCAACCTGACGTAGCGGTATACGAAAGCACTTCGCAGCAACACCTCGAGGCAGCACCCACAGTGACTGATTGCGCGAAGCACATATCCGACAACATCGCTGACAGGAAGGAAGAAACAACAACTGGCCATAGTGGCCGCACGAGAAGCAATTCTGAGATCGCAACGCGGCACGAAGTGCACCCGCAGGGTGATGGCCGATGAGACCTGAGAAGGCCAGCGCGGCCAGGCCTCGGTGAGCGTACTCGATCAAGTCCCTATATACTGGTGATGTTTGCACGAGAATGCTGGCTCGTCCACATGCGCCGGAGAATCGCAACAAGGACTGAAAGTCTAGCATCTCGAAGACGTTATGTAAAAGCTCAATAGGAAGCTTTTCAAGATGCCCGATGGGGGTTTTTGGGTCGTAATCCATCCTTGGTTCTTTGATTTCGATGTCTTTGGACCAGCGGCTTACATACTGTTCTATGTTGGATAGATATCTATACGAGAGTTTTTCAAGAAGAAGTTCATCCAACATAGAATCTTCGCTGTCAGCCATGTGAACATCTTGATTCGACACAGAATATCCGACGTGAGACATGGTCGTACGGGGTACAGGATGATTGCGTTGTGAAGCGAGTTGGTCGATGCAGGCTCTTGGGAGGGAGACCTGACACCCTAATATACCCGTAAAGGGGTACTGCGCCCCGTTGATGCATCTTCAGAAGATAGAGACGTGTCCTGAAATGAGTGGAGGGCGATGGAATCAGGCTGCGCCGGGCTGCCTAGAGGTTGATGTTGTACTACCAAAAATGTAGAGGATGGTCTGGGAGAGTGTCTCTGCTTTTGCTCTCGAGTTGAGTCGAGTGAGGCGGAAGGAAAGGCGCTTCCCCGCGACCAATTAGGCAATAGCTGCTGCGGTGGCGTCAAATGACAATCTGCAATGTGGCGCTGCCCCTGATTGGCCCACTGGGACCACGTCTCAGCTTCAACACCAGCAACACCGGCAACCACATCATCAACTCTCCTCGGCACAATTCCACCCTGCCCCAGAAAGCAGCACCAGCTTTCCACCACCACCGCCAAAATGATTCTCTCCACCCAAATATCACGGCTGGACGGTACATACTCCCCCCAATGCTCCCCTTCCTCATCGCGTTCGCAGAAACTAACAGGAACCAATGTAGGCCTCATGCTCTGCGCCTCGGTCGACGACTCCCCTGAACCCCCGGCCGTCTCATCCCTCAAGTCGCAAGTCCGCCAAATTCTACGCACCCTAACGCGCAACTCCACGCCCCAGGCGTCCATCGAATCCCCCCCTCACGCGATCCACTACCTCATCGACAGCGACATCGTCTTCCTCTGCATCTGCGACTCCAGCTACCCGCGCAAGCTGGCCTTCACATACCTCGCCGACTTGTCCCGCGAATTCCTCACCACCCACTCGCTGCAGCAGCTGCAGTCGCCTTCGCTGCGCCCATATGCATACATGGACTTTGACAGCTTCATTACCAAGACGATGGCGACGTATGCGGATGCCAGGGCCGCCCAGAACCTGGATAAAGTCAACGATGAGCTGAGGGATGTGACCAAGGTCATGACGAAGAACATTGAAGACTTGCTCTATCGGGGGGACAGCTTGGATAGGATGGGAGAGATAAGTAGTCGGCTGAGAGACGATAGCAAGAGGTACAGAAGGGCCGCGGTGAGGATTAACTGGGATTTGTTGCTGAAGCAGTATGGCCCGTTTGCCGGGCTGGGATTCTTTGTCTTGTTGTTTATATGGATGAGGTTTTTCTAAAAAAACAAAAATGGGCACGGAACAGGGGGAAAACAAGGTTCGAGACGAGGGAAGAAGAAAAGAAAGAAACAGACACGTGCATTGACCAGGAGATGTCATGGGGCGTTACGCGTACACAGTACAGCACAAGACTTGACGTATATGTATACATACTATTCTTAATGCTATTCGATCGTAAAGTCGTAATGGTATCCATGTCCAAGTTCCCCAAAACTCCAAATCAAACGCCAGCCTTGCCCGTCTACTCGCATCTATTTTGCTTCGCCGGCTACATGACGGCGCAGTTACCTGACTGTTGCCCACTGGGAACAGCAACCTCGACGTGTTGCCACTCCATGTGTTCCTGTAACGATGCTACATCTTCAAACTCGTCATTCGGCTTGTACAATTCTTCCTCATCATCCTCGTCCTGCGGCTTTTTGGCTTCGTCTTCACAAAAAGGACACAGTAGTCTTGCCTGCCAGTCGCCGTGCAACGGGGCCAAATGGTTGGCAACTGCTATCGGCGGGAATATCACCAGCTTCTCCTGTTGGCCCGATGAGCTTGTGCCGGTAGCTTGCCAATGCTGGCTATTTCCTTGCCGTGTCGGCAAAGATGCAGCTGTTCGTTCGGTCGGGACGTTTTCGAGATCCTCCCATATCAAGTGGCCGTCGCAAAAGTCGCAAATAAAAACCATGTCCTCCTCCCCGAATCGATCAAACGATCCGATTTTTGTGCATGCACCCAGCTCTTCCAACTGGCGCCTTTGATAGTCGGCCTCTGACACTTGCCGACTCGGCTGGACTGCAACCTTTGCCTGAGTGCGCCGTACCAGAAAAGCGCCCAGACATCTTTGCGAGGACTCCTGAGAGGATGTAAACACGCGCCTGGCTGCTCGGCACTGTGCTCGGTGTAACTCTCGCTGAAGAGAATGAGTTTCTCGTACCCACACAGGGTCAATTGGTCCGCCCGATCGACTCCAGTCCCTAAGGAGCTGAACATGAGCACGAAACTTGTCGCGGAGGAGCCTCAGCTCTTGCATCGTCTCGTCTAAGCACGTTAGCATTTGCCATTACCGAGATCTTCTGATTGACACATGCTTCCTTGGGAAAAAGGCACGTACATTTTCGATCATGCTCGTATTGAGATTGTCCGTTGACTAACGGGCATAGCTCCTGGAAGTCCTTCTTGGCCTCGTTCAGAGCTTCCTCCAGTGCCTTGACCTGTTCGTACTCGTCCTGACGCCAATGCCTCTTGTCGGCGAGACTAAATATGCGCAGTCCTTCAAGAAGACGATTTGCAATGTCAGCCAGCAGCGTGCCCACAGAATCGAAACCGCTCATTGCGGGCGTGCCCGATGTACCGAGGATTGCCGTCACTCGAGGCGGTTGCTCCCAGCGGGGTACGATTCACCGTTACGCCGTCAGTCCCAGCTGAAGCAGACGTCTGGAGAATAGATGGCAAGCTCAATGCAAGACAGGAGAAGAGATTATAGCCTCGGTCGCCTGGCGAGCACCTCTGGGGCGCGCATGGAGGACGGTTGGTTCACAAGAGCCGCGGGTGCAAAGCCGGAATACGTAGTCTGGTTGCTGAGGTCCACCGTTGCCATAAGGCTTGAGGCTGTGAGCGGCGTGGCAGTGACTAGGTGTGCGGGCTGGGCCGCGGAATAGAGCTGTGACAAGCAGCGCTGAGGCTGTGCCAACCGGCAGCCGTTGGAGCCAAATATAGGTCAGTAAACACAAAGGATGAAATGGAATGGGGTGGAGGAGTGAGGCATGCGATGGAGAAAAATGCGACCCGAGTTGGTGTCGTGGCTAAGACGAATGGTCGCTCCTTCCGCGATCCTGCTCCAGTCCCGTCTGGTTCCATGTGACACGGGAGCTGCCCTCCAGCTCAGTGCGCTTTTCCTCACTCCTCCACCACCAATGTTTGGCCGCCGACGAAGCCAAACTAAAGCAAACAATGCGTGGCACAAACTGAATCAAGCTTAACCAACGTTTCCAGCCTTGCCGGCAGACATTGATGATGCCACGCGTGTTTCCGAAACGCCCCTGCTGTTTGACCGCACGAGATCCCTGAACGCATGAGTTGCCAATGGCATGCTGTGGGGCTGGTTGGAGGCCTGCCAAACACACGCCTGAGTCGCGAATCGGTTGGTTGCCCGAGTCAACACCAGGTCTGGAGCTGTCAAGTTGGGCAATTCATTGGGACCGCTGATGTTCCAGACGCGTTTTAGCCTAGATAAGACCTTCATGATGACGTTTGTACGTTCCATTCTAGAAGGGTTTCTGAGCGGTAGCTGCTTCGACAAAAAGTAGGGATTAAAAAGTTAGTCTTTGGTAGTCCCCCAGCGGCCTATATTAGACTAATCCAAGCTGATAGCAGGTGTTTCATTCCGCTGTTGCTCCTCTCACGGTCTTGCTCTAACATTGCCCAGGTGGCTGACAGCACACAACATAACCCGACTTGTCTTGGCCGACCGAAATGCTGCGCCCAGCACCTTCTGACGAAACTCGCCTTCCCCTCGATTTATTTTTTTCTTGGCAGGCACTGTTCGTGTCACAGTGTACAAAGACGCCCGTGGGCGACTGACACGTTGACGAGTGCGACCGCCCATCCATTTTTGAACCAACAGACGAAGAGGCCGTGCGCGAAGATGGATTTGCCAACCAATGTCTGTGGGAGCGGCTATCTTGTCCAACCGTCGACCTGATACCAATAGCCTTAGCTTCTATTGTACCTACTAATACAGGCCATGTCTGCAAGCCTAACCTGGCGTAGACAGCGGCGAAGAGAAAGACGCAAGAGAGAGCAGCTTTAAACGCTTCAATGTTCGCAAAAGCTCCACTCGACTTGGTTTAGCTCATCTTCCACATTCTGTTGTAAAACAGTCCTCTCGGCCATGAGCTCCTCCCTCAGTTTCTTCGCCTCATCCAACACCATGATCGAATCCATATTTTGAAGAACGGTAGCCACCGCCTCGCTCTGGCCCCCACTTGTGTACCAATGCCTTTGTTGAGGGGGTACGTTGGACGTCGAAATTACCGGTATAGCCGGGTCAACAAGGAACAGTGCGAGAATCTTCCTGTGCCCCGGCTTGGTTGGGTCCTCGAGCTTGAAGGGCTGCACTCGGTGTTGGCACAAGTTTGAAAAGAAGAGCGACCGCCCAGGGCGCGTGAGTACGCTTCCCACGTCTTGGAGAGTGTCGAAACCGCTGCGGATGGCGAATACTCGCTCGATGGACGCCCTGTCGTTTTGTTGGTACTTGAGCCGCTGGCCGAGGTTCTCCACGTTGGCGGGCGTACGGAATGCAAGCCGGGATTCGGTAATGTTGTGGCAGTCGTAGTAGAACAGAGCCGTAGCACAAATATGCTCGTTTAGTTGACCCTCGATGTGCCACGAGCCGCCGTCGTAGGATGGTTTGTCAGGCGTGAGGTGAATATTGGCTAGTTTCACGATAACTTGGATGCGAGGAGTGCGATTGAAGAACCCCGATGATCTGACGTGTTTCTTTGAGATTCTAAAGTAGGGAGAGGCTTTATTTATGTCGTCTTCTTCAATATCCGAGTTGTCATATTCGTCGTCGTCGTCGTCGTCGTCGTCATCATAATCCTCGCCCTCGGAATCAACATCATCGGGATTTTCGGATTCGTCACTATTCTCACCATCAGAGGTGTAGTATTTTCTTTTTTCGCCTTCGGTTTCTTCACTGCAAAGTTGGCCCAAAGTGTCGCCATCCAATTCCCGATTTTGGTGTTCCTCGCCATCGTTATCATCCTCACTCTGTTTCGCTGCCTCTTCAGGGACAACGTCAGGTCGCGAAACCCCACGACCAACCTTTCGAGCGGTAAGGCGCTGCACAGGAAACTTTTTTACCCAACGGTAAATCAGATCCCAGGCCGGCAAGGATTTTTGGATAAACTCCTCTATGATGGGATACATCGCAGCGTGGTCCTTGGGGTGCAAGTTATTAATGTAACTCTCAATCGTCGCCCGACCATCTTCGTCAATGGCAACGTCACACGGCAACCACTGAAATCTGGGCGACACGACTTCTATTGGTGCTCTGCGCCAGTCGATTGTCGCCTCCAGTTGAGACTCGGAGTCGTCGCCTGGCTTCTCTAGTAGGAACCCACGACCGCAAAAGTTGAGGCACTCGTCCAAGCCAATTCGTTGATGCCGCATGATGCGAGAACGGCCATATAGTAGCGGGAAGAGCGATGGGTGCACCAAGTCAAGGACCTTGCCGTCGCTCCCTGGGTGCCAATCCTTGTCGCTGTCTGCCACATGCTCAAGAGACTTGACCGCCGTTTTGAGCCGCTCCGTCAAGTCTTCAGAGACGAGCTTGTCAGACTTGATAACACAGGTCGAGTGGTCCATGACGGGGATCAAACTCGTTTCTTCGTACAAGGCCGCCTTTTTGCGAAGCTCCTGGATGCACTACAATCTCGAGAGTTAGCCAGGGTGTATATGTACCGGGGCGCTCAGTGGACAATTGCCGGCTCACCATCTCTGCCATGTTCTTGGTAAAATCTCCATGTTTCCTGTACTCTGCCCAGTTTAAGCTCAGAACCTCCTGCTTCCATCTCGCTGCAATATTAGGGTCGCAAACTTTACGCCACCACTCGGGCTTGTTCGTAATGTCCTCCATGAACTTCAGCATGCAAACTTCCCGAATGAGCAAAGTCGTTGCCTTCCAGTCCTTGTTACGGTCGCCCATAAGCACAGGGAAGCGCTCTTTCCGAGGCGGAAGATAATTCAAGGGCAGGCCGTAACCCGGAAGCCGAATGGCTTCGGAGGGGGTAGGTATGGGTCGAGGTTTCGGCCGGGGAGAGGAGCGAGGAGATGCATTGTCCTACGTGCTGAGAATAAGTTATCCAAGGATCAAAATGCAAAGAGGATCAACGCACATCAAACTGAACGAATTGGACGTTTTCCATTGTGCAATTTCTATGGTCGAGCCGCCGTGTGTTGTGTGGTAGCCGAAGCTTCGACAAGTTGGCAGCAGGTAAAATAATTACGACATGTTTTTACGCAACGGCGTGGGTATATGTAGTTATACCTCGTTTCGCGCTACGATGACGGAGTAGTAGTGAAGAGGCTTAGCAATGCTGCGCAGTTCATATATGCCGGGTTCCTTAGAGACGGACAATTTCCCCACAAACGGCGGCATCACCGTGTCAGGATACCGTATCGCGAGTCATGCAGTTTTCGACCAACAGTTTAATAATATATAGAAGAGTGTATATAAGCATTCACTCTGTCTTCACTCTATGACGACGAACCAGGGATTGGAGACCCTGTATCCAACCACGACCAGCCATTGTGTGCGATCGGCAGCCTAGTAAGTGGGACGCGATGCGCCGAGAAGCCTAAATTGGCGATCATCCATGCAGCCTAGCTGGTTAATGTTTGGCTCTTGTCACGGAGCGTTGTGGAACGAATTTAGGCAGCGGCCCGGGATGTTGGGTTCGGGCGACGCATCTGCCGCAACCATCTCCCACTTGTTTGACCTCGTGTAAACGGTCAACCGGACTCATCTCACGCTTTACTTGTCACTCTAGGCTGAGCATGGCGCTTAAGAGTCGGGCCTCTACACCGTTTTTCCTACGACAACCCCCCAGAATTGGTGGAGGAACTTCAATATATACTCCTGTGCGATCTTTTCGAAGATGTGTAGGAACACGAGTGTGGACGCTATCATTGCTACATGGCTCAAGAGGGATGCGGCGCAGAGGTCAGAGAGCTGGATGACCTACCATGTAAGCATTTTGAAGAAGCGAATTCATGATTTTATCCCTCTCAGAGACAAATGGCACTTCACGGCGCTGCTTGACCCAAAGGGTACAAAAAGCAGTGTAGCCCCAAAGGACCAAAATACAAGTCAGCCACGCTAGGTAGGTCATTAAATTGAAACATCAAAACGACTTGATTGCAGAGAGGAAAGTATTTCCAACTAGCTGTCGGCACTTGACCGCCTCGTCACTTATTCTCCGTGTCTGTCCCCTTGTCTTCGTCCCCGTCTTCCGAGTTGTCCATCTGGTCCCAGAGCAGCTTTGCCTCCTGCAAGACGACCTTGAGCAATTCATTATCCGCCAGACTCTCGGGAATGTCCACCTCTGGCATGGCCCGCTTGGCCGTTTTCGGGGCCGGTTTTTCAGACTGCTCGTCGTCCGTCCCGAGTTTCTCATTCTCGGCCCCATGCTCCTGTGTCAAAGCAGCCCCGACTTCGGCCACAGCAGGACTTTTGACACCGTCCGTATCAACATCCGCACCGTTCTGGTCGCCATTCGTCTCAACGTCAGTGTTCTCAGAGACGCGAGAAAGGATAAGCAACGACGCGATAAAGAGTTCCTTGAGGTACGCAAAGCTGAACCCCGCGGTGAGTTGGGCGATAACACGGCACAGCTCGTCGGGAAAGTCGACGGCAGCCTCGCCGGCATATTTGCCCGCCCACTGTCGGCAGTAGGCCACCCGCTCCGGCTCCCCGGGCAGCTTGAAGTGAAACTTGCGATCAAACCGGCTGGGCCGCTTGGTGATGGAGGCGTCCAGCTTGTCGAGGTGGTTTGTCGACCCGACCATCAGGATGCCCTCGTTGGATTGTAGCCCGTCCACCTCGTTGAGGAAGTAGCTCCGGGTCTCGCCGGCCACCAGGCTGTCCAGGTCCTCAAAGACGAGAAGACACGGTGCCATGGCGCGGGCGTGCGAAAACATGCTCTTCATGGCGTACTTTGGCCCGCGGAAAATACTGTCAAAGGACTTGACAATGAGGGAGGGAACAGGCGGCTGTCGCGCCGCAAGGGAGTTGACAAGCGCCTTGATGCTGAGAGTCTTGCCGTTGCCCGGGACGCCGTGGAGGATGACGCCGCGCTTCCACGGCTCGCCCATGGAGGCGTAGAGCTGGCGGTTGTCGAAGAAGGACAGCACGTCCTTGATCAGGTTGGCCTTTAGCGAGGGGACTTGTACCACGTCGTCCCACGAGAATCCCCGCATGCTCTTGAACATTTCGGCGGATTTGGACCAGCACGAGTCGTCAAAGACGTAGATTTCTTGGTGTAGCGTCTTGGCCCAGGCGCCTGCGGCAAGGATCAGGGCGTCAATCCGCCCGTGGTGGACGCCTTTGACGTTGTCATCGGCCGGTGCTAGAATGTAAAACTGCTTCTCGAGGTTATCGAACCTGTTCAGATAGCCAATTTCGTAGATGATGAAGTCATAGCCATTCCAGGAGTAGGCCCAGCGGCAGAAGCGGATTTCGTCCTTGAGAGTGCCCGCACCTGCATCGCGGATTGGGGAGCGACACGGATCGGAGCATTTGGTACCACTGCGTGTATATTCGCGCAAAGCGTCGTAGCCCGCGGCGTCGTCGAGCGTCTTGGACGCATGGCCTGCATCAGCATAGCCGACGACATCGCAAGAGGAGCGTTTGGTACGCGTGACGTGGTAGCCAGGATGAGTGTCACGGAGCATCTGCATGGTTACCAGCTCAATATCCGTACGGGCTAGGCTGCCATGTTGCTTCCAAGCGTTGAATGCGGGTTGGTCGTTGACCGTCATGTTGGGCCAGAGGATATTGGCACAGAGATGGCCGAGAGTACGACTGCAAGTATCAAAGAGAGGGATGATCAAACGATGACTCGATGGGAGCTGCAAAGTTTGTATCGGGGCAAAATGACTGGAACGGCGAAGGCAGAGTCCAGTCCAGTCTGGTCTGGTCGATATATATGCCAGTTGGCATGTATGGAAAGATCAAGTCTGGTGGCATCGTGCAGGTGGCCAGCCTGGTTCCTTCCACCACACCGCCCTCTGTGATAAGGCCGTCTGGGACATCTGGAGCCTAACATTGAAACCCCGACATTCTCGAGGGGGTGTGAGTATAGTGCCAGCTGTTGACACTGTCAACTGGTGTCTGGTTTCTGGTTGTTGGTTCAATGCCAACTTCGTTCATCTGTACATGTATGATGCAGGCTGCTGCCTAGTTCTGCCTGAAGCCCGTCCGTGCAGATTTGCATCCAAGCTCCAATGCTGCAACAGAACCAACAATACTCCATAGATGCCAGACATGTCTGGTAGGATTGACAAGGAGACAAGCCCATTGTGCACATGAGCTTTGCGGCTGTGCGTCAAAGAAAAAGGCCCGGTTGGCAAGACTGTCGAGTGAGGCTGAGCAGGCCATCCCCAGGCGGAAGTTCGGGCCTCATGAAGAAGAGGTCTGCATCGTCCGAATTCTGCGCGAGCCGTTACCATCTTTGTCGTCTTTGAACAGCGTATCGCCATGCGTGTAGAGCATTGCCGTTGAGAGTGGGAAGCAGGTTTCGGGTAGATGCACCTCTGAGCAATGAAGCTACATATGTAGTTTCCGAGACCATTTCACTCCTACAGAACGTCAGAAATTTGTGTATACAGGACCTAGTAAATTCACTTTAGCCACGAGCTCTCAGCGTCATCGGAGCAGTGCCCTTGTAAAAGGCCCTTGCGTTTTTTCCCCTTGTTTTTATGCTGGTCGATGAATCGCTGAACGTCTTACGTTTCTTCGGGCTCAAGGGCGTCATCTCGCTTCTACGATGACGCTGAAAACTCGTGGCTACTCGTGTGTGATTTCCCCCAGGTGCCGTCACGGGTGGGTGCTGATAACAGAGTGACTCTGTGAACCTCGTAACCCTTAGAGGTGTTAAGTCTCAATTGCTGTCAATTGCCTTTTTGGATTATGTCAATACTCCTGGTGGATCCCTGTTAGCCCGCACGCGCGCGTGCATTGGTTCCTCGTCATTGATCTCTGATACTTTTAGAGCAAAATCGAAGCATTAAAACCAAACATTACCATATTGATACTTTTCAGCGCAGGATGAATTGGCCATGTAAGCTGTCAAGAAGCCTCAAATATTGGCCTTTCCATGCCAAAACCCCAATCTTTAAACCGGCTGCCGTATCCCTTGGAAGTTGGACAATGCCCCAATTAGTTGTAGCGGAGTGAACACGGTCTTTACCACTTGGCTTGTTCCACAACAGACATCTATCGTACATCCATACCATCTTACGTAGCTCAGAGCTATTGCCCTTTCTTGTAAAGTCCAACTGCGCTACCGCCTGGCTCTGAAAGCAGGTCGTGAGATGTTGTGAACAGGAGTAATGTCTTTGGGCATCTTGCTGCTCACCGAGTCTCTCCCGTACTTTGCATATGAGCATGATGCAAACCCAACCCCCAACGCCGCGACAGCTGTACGTGCAAGTGTCAGGGTTGCAAGCAGATGCAAAGATGCAACCATTCGTGTTTTACGCCCTTGTTCCTCGTAGCGCCCATCCCGCGCTCTGTACGCAATGCGAAAGCTGCCGCTGAGACCGGGTCTTTTCGGATCTTCCTGTTGGCGAGAGCCCAGGTTGTTCAAACAACTCTGTACCTGTGCGTTGGCACTTTCAAGGAGGTGTTGAAGTTATTTCTTCCAGATAAATATGCGGACCGCTGTCCAAGACCATGTGTTTACTTTGAATGTCATGATAGTATAAAACATCACAGAAAGAAAGGAGATTGCGAGGATTTGTAAGGCGTAATTGACGGCACATCAAGTACCGGATACAGTCATGACTGTCAACAAGCTATGCAGACAAGTAGCAAACAGCAGCAGTAGACATGAGCTATAAATGGGCTGGGCCCTTCTCGTCACTGCATGATTGGCCTTGTCCCTTTGTCAATCAATCAACTCAGAAGACCTTGCAGCCAGGCCCAAATTTGAGTCCAAACCCCCTTCACCGTCTGCCAGGCAGCCTTGACTTGCTCCCAAACTTGACTGAGCCACTCGACTACAAACTCAAAGATTCGTTCAACTTGAGTCAGAATGGTGGACCAAAACAGCATGAACCCGTTGCCGAGGGCATCCCAAAAATCGGCGGCCCGCTGCTGCTGGTCTTCGGGGAGGCCCTCAAGCAGGGCCAAAACTCTCTGCGTGCTCGCATCGATATTGGCAATGGACTCTGCTTTCATCTTCTCTCCTTGTGCTTTGACCCGTTCTATAGCAGTGGGTTTATCCGCATGGCCACTCTCCAGGTCTTCGGTGACAGCCTGGTGCTCATCAGTGATACCCGAGTGGTAGGTGGCTTGGTCCTCCATGACCACCTTGACCTCTGGGAACTCATTGGCCATGGACTTTAGATCCTTGTCGCTGTATTTGGACTTGTCATCTTGAATCTTGGAGAAGTCTCCGGTTTGGATGGCCCGTTTGTATGTGGCCGCGGAGTTGAGAATCTGAGCTTTCCACGACGCCATCGTGTCTGTATGTACTAGGTCGCAAGTCTCGTTAGTTTTAACAGACAATAGTGTTTGAAGACGCGAGATGGGACTAGGGGCAGGGGGAGCATACAAATGTAACGTGAGATTACTGTGGTGTAGGGCGAGCAACTGGAGTGAACAGGATTTCGGCGTTTGAATGATGCTAAAACCAAGTGTAAAGAAGGCAAGTCGGATGGTGCTGTGTGGCCTCCTTTATATGTTATTTTTTTTACTTCAACGTTGTATTACAAGACATCGACTACCACCCCTCTCTAGATGTCTCTCCCCGTGTTTCTTCACTGGTCTGAGACACGAGCATCCAGATGCAGGCAAGTTCGGCACTCTGTGTGTGACTCTGCGCGACGAGAGCAACCCCTTTGGCCAAGTCTCAGCCTTCCATGTCTCCTTCACCGCATCTCGTACATGCTGGGCACACTGACCGAGGTGGGGAAAGATCGATCTATTGATAGGAAAAAGCAACAGACACTACCCAAGCCCGAGCCCAAGCTACTTCTCGGCGCCAAACTGGCGATTTGCTGCCCAGCAGCTCGCCCGAGGACACACGCCTGCATGTGTGGCTGGCTGAACACCAAGCTACGAAAGACGACGATCCGTACTCTACCGCTGCAAGTGAGCGCTTTCAGCATATGCGGGGTATTTCGGCTGCCAGACTGGAGATGTCTAGTAACACCGGTCACCAGTAACTATACTACTATCAGGCGTGTCGTTGCTTGTATTAATGGTCCATCTCATATAGTGCCATTGGCGTATTGTCTAAGAATGAAAAAAAGCTGCTATATCGTAGATTTCTTGAATACACGTTGACCCCAGTCAAAATAAGCGCGGGAGGAGCCTCAAAGTCATGGATGAATTTGAGGGATTAATTCATACAGCAGCAGAACCTGTAAGAAGTCACCAGCAGGAAAGCAGGTCAAAGGATCTTTATTTCGGTGCAACCACACCTCTCGGTACTCGGTAATGCTGTTTGGTTCAACCTTCCCCCCCGCTGTGGTTGTCTTTCCAGTTGCATCCGGTTATGCTGTGGAACAACCAACGTGGCACCACATACGATCTGTGGCAGAATATATTTGCACACAGAAAAGTATACACTACTACGCTACAGCATGTTAGAATATGGAGCGTGATAGCGAGTTACCTGGTCTTGTTCAATAGTTTTTGTCTCCCACTATAACTAAACCTCTGTGTAGCGGGCGGTTTGTTTACGGCCGCATATGTCTGCATATGGATCTCAACAGCCATTTGCAAGCTGAGCCTCTTAGTGTTACCACTTGAGTCCGGCAGTGTGCGTGCCGATCCCATCGTCGGAGACTAGAGGATAGTTTATCGCTTGAAAAGTGTGATGAAGGCTGAATGGAAGGTGAAGGCAAGTGCTTAATTCATTCAACAACCGGCTTTATTTTTAAAGGTTCTTAACTTTCTTAAAATCGTTTAAGGTGACAATGTCATAGTTATATCAACCGTTGAGCATTTGAACCTAGAAGCCTAAGGCCTCAACTAGGCCTTGAGCCCTCATGTAACTACGATCAGTTTTAGGCCCAGCCCATCCTACAATGCTACGTGGATTTCCTGTAGTAGAGGGCATTAACCATGCATTGCGCAATGAAAATAAGGAAAATGGGCGCCCGTTTCATGTAGTGGCTAGGTCTAGATTACATTCAGCTTTTCGTATAACTATTTCGTATGACTCATTGTTACTATTCGAAGAATCGTGTTTCTCGTCACGTTCGACGCCCGATCCGCGTGGCTTCTCCTTCCCTAAAGCCAATTATACTACCTCTCGCATCATTATATGCCAAGAATATCTCGTAGTCGTAAAAGTTGTTTACAGCATTAAAGTAAGCTATCTCATCTCACTGCCCTCTTCTGAAAGCTTCGAGTATTCGTGAAGACTGACGAAACGCTTTGCTACATGTTAAAGATGCTGGGCATCTTGGATATCCACGTACAGGCCGACTTGCTGAAAACGATCCGTCCGATATTCGTTGCCTCGGGCCCCTTCTGCATGATATGTCCACAGGAGCTTATTGAAGACTCAAACGGCCACATTCATTGCATATGTGCTTGCACGTTGGCCATTGCAACAAATGTGATGACCGTTTTGGATAGCGAGCCCGTACCTTTCTCGTACGAAAGGATGCTTAGTGGCACCATGAGCCATGAGGAGAGAATGCAAATGGCTAACCCTATACTATCGGGCGCGAAGCAATACTTCGCCTGCCTCAAGGATGCCGATCTTATTGATGTTCGGTTTGGCACGGTTAGAGTTCCATACGGGGACGGACACAGCATGGATTTACATGACGCAGCCAGTGAGCACCATAGGCGGAATTATCCAGGATGTTACCGACTTGGCGACGGGTTGTATGTTAATGAAGCAATGAAAGTTGCTTATAGTGTCTACAATGCCGAGATGCTGATAGATTGGGTTGGCGCTGACATTTCCGGCTGACACGCGGCTCACAGGCATTTCATGACCTCTTTCATTGGTCATGGATAAACTACAGAGTCAGACTCATCTTGCCTGAATTGCTGAATGCATGTTATATGTCAAGACGAATTTATATTCTTTATGTGGCATATGTCAAGTAGCCTCGGCACTAGTCAGATATGAATATCGTCTCTACAATACCTTTGTAGATAAATTATACAACACAAAATATTGGAAGAATAGTGGTTTCGATAATACGTTGTTACACGGATGACACGTTGCCATGAAGGCACGGGCCGGACCTTGAACCCGACGATAGTTACACAAAGGCTCTGATCACGAGACCTAGGACAAGGTCCCTCACCGCCTCTTGATATAAATAAAGGCCTTCCGCCCTCAGGGCTTTAAGAAAAACTAAGAACCTTTAATATTAAAGCAAAGTATTAGCTGAATACGAATGTTGTTCCAAGCCCCTAAATACTAGGCCCCTGTCACATACGTGGCTGCCGCTCGATGAGCCACGACACCGATCCAGCATAAGATCTTCAATCTGGTCTTTTGTAGTTAGCAAGTTGGAGGAAATATATGTCACTTCACATAACTGGCAGGCAAACAAATAGTATGGCGTAACCTCTTATTGATGAATAAGCTGCAACAGTAGTCATGTGTAGTGGATGGTCAACCATATACATGCAATGCCATCCAATTTCCGTGACAGGTCTGCAGATGAAGACTTCACTCCCAATTTCGTTTCCAGAATACCATGCGGCAGTAAGAATAGCATGGAGAGTCAAGATTGCCATGTTGTAACCGAAACATAATGATCAAGGCGGCAGCAAAATTTTTAATCATGATATTTATCTATCTCGTAGTGAGGTTGACCTGTGCCAGCCGTCTCAGCTCATGGAGAAAATAGACAGTTAACGCCGAAGCTGCATTTCTTGTCATGTGCCTTTGCTCTAGCTATCAAGTGTACAAGTCAAATACAATGGTCAAACTAGTGATGAACCCGTTTAGCTACCATCATGTACATCGGCATCTCTTTCGGCGCCCAGTCCGCCAACTCCTTGGAAGTCTCAAATCCCTTCTCTCGCAAAAGCGCTTCAGCTTCTTCCAATGCTCCATTGTGGTCACAAATCTCCAAGGCAATGTTTTCAATCAAGTCCCAGTGTACATTATCCAGTCCGCGGAAGATGTCGAGCTCCGCTCCTTCCACATCAATCTTGAGCAAGTCAATACGCTTCAGGTCGGGAAGGTCGTTTAGGAACCCCGATAGTCGCTTGACGTCGACCTGGACCTGCTCGACCTCTCTTAACAACTTGATGACAGGGTGCTCAGAATCTGCCCTCTTGATAAACTCTTCTTTTTCGCCGCCATGCAAGGTTGAGTTGCCGGGCATGCTGGGATAAAAAGTCAACGTCTGGTTGGCATTCTCACGACCCAGGCCGCACTGGTAGACCTGCACGCCTGAAATGCTGTGCAGCTCCATGTTCTTCTTGAATGTGTGGAAAGTCGTCGGTGCGGGTTCGAATGCTAGGATTGTGGCAGCCGGGTATTTCTTCTTCATGTACAGGCTGAACATGCCAATGTTGCCTCCCGCATCAATCATGAAGGCGTCCTTGGGGAAGGGTGCGACATCATAACATTTGTCTTGAAAGATTTCCTTGTGGATGAATTGCGTCTCCATGGCTGCCTTGGGGTTGGCGTAGACGAGAAAACCGTCCGACATTTCTAGTTTCTGTATTTCGGCCGCCATGATTGCGCGAGCGAGATGTTAAATTGTTTGACGGGTTTATATTTCAAGTAGGAGATTGAAGTCATAAATGAAGGTGTGGAGGAATTGGTGTTTGGGCATGAAGACCCTACTTATACACATATGGCCATTGGGTATCCAGGCTTGGTGTGTTGCCGAGTCGTACAGACTGCCTGAGGTTCATTTCTTCCACCTTCAAACAGCTTCGTCAAGTTTTGCCAACGGCAGAGAAACAACGGCCATGCATATTGCCAAGTTATTGAAGCCGCTTCGTCAGCGGACAAGTCTGCTGCATGACGGTCGACGATGTTACACTATAATATCCATATGTAACCCTATCCTGCGTCCGGCCGTTCCGTGGCACGGGAGATTTTTCTTTTAATTTTTCCTTCCACTCATAACCTAGCTGGTGTAACCGAAAAACTTGAATTGCGAAATTCTAGGCATTTGGCCTATAGGTTAAAGCAATCGGCATCTCTCGGCGTCCGAACAGCAAGGCAGCGGAAGAGCGAAGTGCGAAGTGGCAAGATCTAATTCACATGATTCACACAGTTATCCACTACTATTATACACTCCTCATGTATATTATGTTTGATAATAGCTGGTTAATTTTGTCTTGCGGGAATGGGGAAAATAATGAATCAAGCCAGATGAAGCGACAAAACTGACATTACACTATGAGCTCGGCAACCGAAAATCGAGACTGCACAAGACTATATTACCCCACGATTGAATAAAATTTCATATTCTGTATAAGTGGGTACGGCAGATGGGCGCATGAATCGACGTACATGTGTGTAGCCTATTCGGCAATGGACCTCCGACCAACCATCCGACACGGTGATGCCACATCTTCTTGGCACTTTCTTGTACACATAATGCTTAGACATCACAATGGCGGTCGGTGCTTCGGCCGCAACCTCTTCAAAGCCGCCCGGCGTGATGAGATGCATATAGTGCAACATCATGCGGGAAAACAAAGGTGGCGATCGGCAGTCGCGCCTTCGGCCAAGGCGTCTCCCATAATTTGCAGTGTGGCTTTTGACTTTGTAGGACTCGAAATAGGAGCGGGATCGGAGGCATGCGGGCGGAATACGTGATGCCCCTTCCACACGTGCTTGTCTTTCAGGAAGAATTTTGCCAACCGAGACATCGAGAAATTCCAGCCCATGGTAGCATCGGGCCCCGACATCAATGTTATTGGTCGGGGCTCACAAATGTCAATATCGTGGTCCCGTAGTCGCTCCATATTCTCTGGGAGAGAACATGGTCTGTTATTTCTAGATATAACTGCGGCACCCTTGAAGCGTCCATCAGATTCCCTGTTGTACGATATGGTCATGACTGTGAGCTACAGCAAGTTTCATGGGCTGAACAGTCAATTTATACTCGTTAACGCATATTCTCGAAACCCCTTTTGCCTTTTACAAGAACCTCACATTTCACCATGACGGCATCGAGTCTCATTTTCGCAAGTAACGGGGGTGTGGACAAGACCAGGCTCAAGATCTTGGCCTGCGCTTCCCCCTTCACAGGCCACACGATGCCCATCATCAATATCGTCGAGGTTTTAATACAGCGGGGATATGATGTCACATTCATCGCAGGAGACGAATTTCAAGAAAGAATTGAACGTATCGGTGCCAAGTTCTTCAGCGTTCCCACTATCCATCTTGTACAGCCGCCGGAGGAGAGAAACCCTTCTGGGCAAGAGTTTGCAAGAATGCGGCACAGCCTCCTGAAGTACTTTATTGAGCCAACAGAAGCTCACAAAAACGTCTTGTACAAGGTCTTGGAGCACATGAAGAGAGAGGCGCCCACGCACAACATTGTCATCCTGACAGAGACGTTCTATTTGGGACATGTCCCCATGTATCTCGGCGCTGCACTACCACGTGGCTTCACCAAGCGGCCGAGGACAGTCAATATACACGCTGTTCCCTATACTTTGCCAAGTCGGGACACTCCGCCGTTCTGTCTAGGGCTCATCCCCGATGGCAGAGAGGAGAGTCGCGACACATACCGTGCTCAATACGAAGACATGGTAACCGTCACATTCGCCGATGTCATGGCAGCTCATGAAAAGACGCTTCGAGAGCTGGGGGCAGTGAATTACAAGGCGGCCTTGCCGGTCGACGCTCTCGCCACCGCTGCAGATGTCACTCTCCAAATGTGCCCCCCGAGCCTGGAGTACAAGCGATCGGACATTCACCCCAAAGTCAGATTCGCAGGCGCGCTCAACCATCGTCCCGCCAAAAAGAGCTTCGTTCCTCCCAGCTTCTGGGAAGATGTCACTCGCGGGGACAGGATCGTCGTCGTAGTTTCGCAGGGAACCATTGCTGTCGACTACGCAGATCTACTTATCCCCGCTCTACAAGCACTCAAGCATCGTTCAGACATTTTTGTCGTTGCCATCCTCGGCCATAGGGGGGCAAGTCTCTCTGCTGAGGTTCAAATACCGCCCAATGCTCGGGTTATAGATTATCTTCCGTATGATGCCGTTCTCCCATATGCCTCTGTCTTCGTGATGAATGCAGGCTATGGTGGGTTCATACAGAGTGTTTTGAACGGAGTGCCCATGGTTCTGGCGGGTGGTTCGGAGGACAAGCCGGAAGTGGCTGCTCGTGGCGAATATTCTGGTGTGGCCGTCAACCTGAGGACTGCGACGCCCTCGGAGGCAGAGATTCGTGGAGCAGTCAGCGCAGTCTTGAGCAATCCAAAGTACAAGAAACGCGTGCTGGAAGTCAAGAAGGAAAACGAGGAAATGAGGGCAATGGATACTGTCGAAAGGGCGATTCTTGAGATGGCTGCTATCAGCTGAGGCGGCGTTACAAGATTCCAAGTCGAAGTATGCAGGATGTATGGAGACACTTCGCCCTTGTGAATGATACAGTGTTGAGGGCTGCTTGGTCTGTATGAATTCCTCATTAATGACAGAGTTCACAATTCAACAGGAAAATGCGGATGTGTTGGAGTGTTTCTGCGAAGCAAGAATTGCCTTTGATACAGATAATGGTTCTTTGGGTTGGACCTGTTTCTAAACACCAGCATACTTTGGTCGAGGTATACCGGGCTCTGAAAACAAATTCTCCACTCTTCCTGTTTTACATATATTCAATTACGAATTCTATTCATTGTTCATATTCCACCTTGCCAAGACCCAATATAAAGCGGTGTTGGCCAATGTTCCGTGACCCTTATTATCTCCCACCACCGACCAAAAGCGATGGCACGAAGCGCTGTATTCCGCGCGCTCAGCCGCGCTTCGTACGTTTGATCGGGAAGCCCAATGCGTACATATGCTTGATGTAATGGCATTGTACACTTACTTGCATCTTTGAAACCAACACAATTTGTTTTACTTTACAGAGTTAGGGTTATGGATTCCAGAGCGTCTGACAAAAATGAAGATTCACTATGCATCTTTAACAACTACCCCGACCACTTGGAAGCCTAGTCCGCGGCGACTTCCAGTTATTTGTACAGACACACGGACGAGAAGAAGGACAGTGATAAAATGAAGTTGCCCTTGCGCGCAATCGCAGAAATACAGGTCGAGGCTGATAATTGCGCGACCAACAGGGCACTGACGAGCTCAAATTAGATGTATAGAGCCTAGCAAATCTACACATTGATGGCTTATGTAGAACCCTTTCCAAAGTAGCCGCGTTGCGCTAAACTACTCGCGCTAATAGTATGGTCATGTCGCGCCTTAATCACTTTGAATTCAAAAACAAGACGATCTTGCTCGGTTCCCATTGGCTGGACCTGAACACCTTCCTCGCTAAGCCGTGACACTCCGGCCCGCAGCAAACTTGGCAAGGCAGCGGGCCGAAACGGAATTCGTGGAGATTTAAACGAGCGAGCCAACCAGACACGGTCATGGTGTGGGTCTCCTCCGCATCTTCCATGGTAGGCGGTAGAAGCGTGACGGTCGAGATCTGCAACTCCTGATGTCCTCAACAAATGTATGGTCAAAGCTCTACAAAGTTCCGCTGACCGAAACACCAACCAACGGCTGTCAGGCCCTCCTTCTGGACCCAGTCACCCAGAAACAAGGTTCATCCACGGTCTGAAGATACACCAACAAATAGCATGCCCAAACCTAACCATGCCCGGAGCAGGAGGTGGGCTCCAAAGGTTAGAACCGGGTGTCTCACTTGTCGGTTCGTGTTCACACACCCGTACTAGTTATCAAATATCTTGTTATTCCTGCATGAAGAATGTCATTAACCTGAATCCTGGGTACTTGCCAGACAGCGTCGAGTCAAGTGCGATGAAGACAAGCCCAGCTGCAATAAGTGTTCATCTACGGGAAGAAAGTGTGATGGGTATGCATATCATAGAGCGCTGGGGAAGCCGAAAATCACGCCACAGCCTGATCTTACATTAGCGCCTCCTGGGATTGAATCCAGTCATATGCACAGGCAGGTGTTCACGACGCTCTGCCATGCAACCGTAAACCGAATTGCCGGATGCTTCGATCTTGCATTCTGGGCACGCGACATCTTGCGGGCTACTCAAGTAAGCCCAGCGGTGTGGCACGCTGCTCTTGCATTAGCGGCTATGGACAGTCGGAGAAGGATCCCTGCAGAGACAGATACGCCCGCCCGGCAGCGGTATTACACGTTCTCGCTGTTGGAGTATAATAAGTCCATCCATCAGCTTATTACTATTGCGCGCCGGAACGACGCCATGTCGTTGAACGACCAAGAAACCATACTCATATCGAACGCGCTACTCTTTGGACTATGTTGCTTGCAGGGCCATCAAAAAGAGGCAACGGCGCATGCACGCAACTCGATCGAACTTTTCTATCGTTGGAGGTTTTGGGAACATGCAGAGAAATCAGAAGCTTCTGCTACTCGCAGTAGTTTGGTTCATTCTGGCTCTCTCATCGCCTTGATTATGAGCTTTGAGTGTCAATTTATAAACAGACTTGGCCACCTAATAAGCCCTACGTGTCTTGGGGATCGCAAGCTATGGAAATCATCATCTGAGTCATTTACTTCGATAACAGATGCCTATCTAGAATTCCTACCTCTTCTTACTAGCTTCATGGACGCCACGAGGTTTATAGGCTCGCCTCCGGACCTGGTACAGCCTCGTCCAGATGTACAAGTCGCCTATCGCTACGAATTCATCAACTGGAAGACAAAGTTTGACCGTCTATTGCGGCTGCGTAACCCCAGCACACCATCCGATCTCGAAGGCATAGCGATACTACAGATGTTTTTCACCACGCTGGAAATAGGCTTCAAGATCGACCTTGCCGCCTCGCAGGTCGCGTATGACGTATGCGAAGACCTGTTCGAAAATATAATTCATCAAGCGGAGGATCTTTACAAGATACTAGCCGCGGGCGTCGATCAGAAAAACCCAGCGTCGAGCTTCTCGTTTACTCTGCCAATCTCGGACGTCTTCATCTACACCGCAAACAACTGTCGCAATAGCGTGCTGCGACGAAGACTCATGTCCCTGGTTCGAAAATGGCCACGCAGTGATGGCCTTTGGAATAGCAAACTCACTGTGAAACTTTGTGAGGCCGTGGTGCTGGCAGAAGAATACTGGATGTCAGCATCTCGCAATAAGCCGGCTCTAAGCGCAGATGTCTGCTACTGTATTCCTAATACCTTTGTTTGCGACAATCACCGGGTCCGGGATTTGGATACTTACTTCACCTCGGAAAGAGAAGCGAGAGTCTTGCTGCGGACTGTGGGGGATCTCAGAAATAACCTTCCAGGCACAGAAATTACAGTGACTTGGTGAAAGGTGAAAGTATTTAGGATGCATTTGGCGATTGGAAGTATACCTCAAGGCGGCTTAATTAGTCGACGTTTAATCCTCAAAGCAAAAAAGGCCCGCTCTTGTGTTTATTAGAACCATATTTCGCGCCGCTCAAAGCTGCTGAAGCTTACACGCGAGTCGGCTCTAACGGTAACTTCTTCTGCAAGTTTCCTATCAATGCCAAAACATATATAAATAGAGGGACATTATCCTGCCTCATAAAGCAAGAAGGGCCATAAAAGAGCACTGTTTAGAAACCGCACAATGCGGATCAATCACCGGGCTGGGACACAGTCTACCATACTCGTGGGACAAAGGAGTACCATTTTTAGAGCTATATAAAGGACAGTCCTGCTAGAGCATTGCTCATTCTGTCTTCTATAGAGCCTTGCTAACTATTCCACCCCGTTCCCTATCTCGCCCCCATCGGTGGGTGGTTTTGGCACAAAGCCACGCAGTCTTAGGCACCATACTTGTCATGCAGAATCTTTCGGTTTACCTCGGCTTGCTCCTGCTCATCGGGCCCAAATGCTTCCGGCGGGTCGATCCCGTCGATTCTCCATAAAGCCGCCGGCCCCTCAAGGACTGCGTACTCGAGATGGATTCCCTTGTCAATTGTAAATGGTCGCATGACGCGATCGATGCTATCCTTGATTACCGTCGCTCTTTTTTGGTCGCCGTCCCAATTTCTTGCAATGTGCGCAAGTTCAATGATGACAAAGCGTGATTGCGACGTGCCGCCTGTGAATTTGTTCTCGTTGGCAATGGGGAAGAAGATGACGTGGACGTAAAATGACGGAAGGCCCTTGGAGACATAGAACTCGGTTGCACCACGGGCAACAGCATCCTTTTCTTCTTGGGTGGTGAACGCGTCTGCGCTATGGTAGATCTTCCAAAGAGGCATGATGAGGTTGAGTTGCGACAAGGTTGAGGTTCTTAACAATGATGGGTGTTGTTCTCAAGCCAGGGAGAGATGTGCAACAAACATTTGGGAAACGGGGAATTTAAATAGATTTCGGTCACCAGAATCCGCGCAACGCAAGGATCCGTAACACTTTCTTTAATTCTACTGAGCGAGCGATGTAACACAGACATGATCACAAATCATCAGCCTCGGCCTTCGACACATACTGTTGTGACCACAGGATGGTTTCGGGGATGATGAGTAACCTGGGGGTACGCCGAGGCTGGTCCGCGTTCGACCTACGTTGCGGTGCCAATATTGGGGCTGCCTCTGCTCAATGTGGCGTGGCAGTGCAAAAATACACACCAGACATGTTCGAGTGCGACTTGAATAAAGGGGTTGTTCAGAAGAATCATGGAATATTGTATTTAATATTGATTCTATTGACAAGGTTTAGGGTAGCCTAAGGTGTAATCTAGTCAGGACAAGGGCTATAAATGCTTCTGTCACCAACAATACTATGCCCTTTCTGTCCTTTTGGGACTTTTAACTTTACGTCAATGAAGGCCTGGCACCAAAGTGTCTGGTGAGGCAAATAAGTCTAGTGGAGTTGCCAGAGTGAAGCATGACATACCGGAAGGGATACTAGGCAAGAGTCGCCCCTATATTCTCATGTTTTAACACCATTTTTTTAAAACTTATTACGCTGGCATAAATACTAAGAATTAGGAGTCACGCTAAAAAGCTACGAATATTAAATATAGTCGTGGAACCGGCAGCACATTTCCTTGCTCATTCCTGGTGACTAGGTTAGTTAATCCGGACCAGCAGGTTTTACCACGAATTTATTTTCCGCATCCTTCTAACTATCACAGAATCGTGTCCTTTTTAGCAAAAAGAATACATGAGTAGAGAAGTATATATCAATTTTCACGCTTACGAATCCTTACAGTTATACCCGCAAGTGTCTTTGCTAATCATAGATTGCAAGGGCTGAGCCGAATAGAAACACTGTTAATCGAAGACCCTGAAAATGCATTGAAGTTTCTACCGCTTGAGACTTATTTAAGATATCTTCAAAAAATGCTCAACCCGCTAGAACTCTGTTACGTGATGATTATACCTGTCATATAGGCTGCATCTTTCCTTGCTTAAATGAGGATGTATAAAGTCGATTTATTTTCATGACCCATCCAAGTACTGGTGCAAACACTTCGTTAAACTAGGGCCTAATAAAGCCAACACTATGTTCTGGCCGTACCTAAACCAGAGAAGTATTATATACTACCGTTGACGTCATGCACCGCAAATACACGCATCATGATGCGTCAGAAACTGGCGGATCGATGATTCATCATGGAGCGCCGGTAAAGGCTATCACATGATGGCGTTTGCTATTATATACAAGTAAAATGCATCTTTCGTAAGTGATTCACTCTAAAAACTTGAATTGGCCGCACATACTCATGTCAACGGGTCGACTCGTCGGCAATCCATGATTCCAAAGCATCAAAAAGTAGCTTAAAAATAAGCACTGCCTGCTAGTTTTACCCCATTGCGAAGGTTATATATAAGAAATAAATTTGCCAAGCTTGGGCCCATATTGAGCCACCGATATCATTTGCAACCGCGTAGTCATGGCCTCACAGTTGCCCCGTCCTGTTGACTTGTCCCCCTGGCACACTCTGCCGAATTTACAAATACTCTTGTACGACAATAGGCTCAGGACCAAGTGTTGAAAGATACTCCCATACCGGATCCTTGACCGGTTTTGCATATGCTTTGAATTTCAGGCAATCCGTAACATCGCGGCCTGGCACGCTTGAATTCTCATCTGCAATAATGACTTGCCACGGTCCCTGCCCCGGTGTCCCAGGGCATGCCCAAAACTCGTGCGAATCGATTACAAATTCCCAGAAGCCATCAAACGGCGTTGGGATCAGGTGGAAGCCCGTTCTGATTGACCCCGGAGGTATGTAAGCGGAGTGAGGCGCTGTGTACGAGATTGTCCCGTCAGGGGCGACGTAGGCTTGCTGGCCACCAGGGACAATAACATTCTATGTTTGACTTCATAAGTCCACGAGCGCAAAAACACGTACGAGGCAGCTCTTACCATTCCACACCGGTCATTTACCCAAAAGCTTGTGTCTTTACCCTTGGGACATTCTCCCCGCTCCTCTACAACTGGTGGGCAGTAGGAGGCCGTATCCTTTCCAATCCAGATAGCGCTTCCGTTGGCTGCGAATAGTCCGTGATGAATGGGAGTATCCCGCAGAATGGCGAATATAATCACCGCAGAGTCTACGGGAGATTCGCCGCGAGAAACCGGGCTTGCCTCGGCAAAGAGGCTGAGAAGGCAGAGAACGATCAATGCGGTGGGAATCATGGTTTGCTCCAAGGTAAATTTTGGCACAGGAAACTATGATTTACCGTGTGAGGTTTCTGGTGGAGAAGAGACGGGAGTTTTGGGACGAATCGTTTGGGGGAGAAGCAGCAATTTATCCTTCCGAGACCAGCACGCCGTTGTGCGGGGTGACGCAACTCAATGTCGTGGAACTTGAGACTTAGTCATGAATGAACAAGCATACGTAAGGGGTGCTTGATGTGCCGCTTACGGCTGGATACATGTGGAAAATTTTCTATCTGATTTGCAGTCAAACGCGCCACAGCGGCGTCAGTCAAGAAGCTGGCACCCGGGTCATGATGCCCGCGACGAATTGCACGCAAGGGCCGTCGTCTGGTATTATCAGTCCAGGAGGCATACCGAGCCTAGGGTAGGAAGTTGAACTAGGAACATTGAATACTTCGTGGAACTCCGGCTACTAGTGCCGGCGACCGAGGACGCCAGGGGGTGGTGAGAAGTGCCTGGCTATAAATATTGGAGACGCTGCAAATTACCTACTGCCACACTCCTTGCGGCTCCATAACATCTTGAGATAGCTTGAAATAACTCCGGGCACCCAATCAGCGTGAATCATCGTCAGAAAACTCGGGAACTGGCGCCTGTGTCTCTCCTATTCTCGTGTTTCACACTCCCAGGAAGTCAGGCCCATCTTACCTTGCTGACACATGTGCCAACACAAAACGTGTTGATGATGGGGAAGGGTAAAAAGAGGAAGTAAGAGCGGGGGGCGTTGGTAAGAGTGATTTGTTTGAGGGGCCAACTTGGAGATGTAACGAGGCCGCATGAGCACTACATCACGGGACGGCAAGGCGTCATTGTTTTGAGCCGTACCTGACCAGAGCCTGATGTTGTTCTTTTCAGGCTCACGAGAACGAGGGGTAGGCAGAGTACCATTTCTACTGCTGCAGAGCACTCAGCCGGACGAGGCGATGGCCTGGCTGGCTTTTCAGCACGGAATCCGACTTCTCAGCCCTGCTTCCCCCTCTCGCGAGGCGTCGTACCTGTACTACCTAGCCTGGCATATTGAAGCAACTTCAAGAGACGCACTCGATCCGAACAAAGATGCAGCTGACGCAAAGAGGATTCTTTGTGCGTGCGGAGTGCCGTGCATTCCCACACCACCAAACCGGGCTCCCGGAATGACGACGCATACAAGGCTCAAGGGCGACAATGGCAGCGCGTTTCGGACTTATGCAACATAATGCAGTACCGGACATTCCAGCCAAAAATGGCATCTCTCTTTCCCATGTTTGGGCATGGCGTATCGGCAGCCACATTCCACAGACCTCGGTCTCCTCTTCGTTCAAGATGCAGGACGTCAAGGCAGCCGTGTTTGCTAGGCGCCTTGCATGAAGGCGCGACTACAACACGGATTGGGTGAGAAAACATGTTTCTTTTCGTCTTTTAGGCTCCTGTTTTCACAATGGCCCCCCTTTCTCTGCATACTATGCTGCATGCTGCATGCCGCATGGGCTGGGCCGGGGTTGCAGGCCAACCTGCCCATATGCGGTTCCATTCTTACGGCCGTGATAGTAGGAGGAGATGAATTACGGATGCGGCAGTAGGCTTTTGGCGAGATGATAAATAGTCGTTACGACCCAGGAAGCTGAAGGGCGTCTTCTTTTCAAAATATCTGGCTCTAATTTCATTATCTGTGCGACAAGAAAATTCTCAATCTATACTTTTGCAAATCTACTCGACAAAGCTATATTACAGTATGCCGCACCAGTCTGCTTCGTCTGCTGTTGTTGAGGCCAGTCAGGAGGTGCATGAAACTACATATTACATGTAAGTGACTGCTGAAAAACATTATTCTTCTACATCCTCGAATATTTGAGAGTCCTTTCTCCCTGCTATACCATGTTATATGATACGATGGGCCGGTCAGGCTCAGCATGCTTGCTCTCTTGGAAGTCTCAGTGCGTCCTTGACACTTCATCCTAATGACTTGATTATTTTTAATGTCTATTCTATACCTCGCATACCCCTACATTTGCTTTCCTCATTTGCTTTCCCCTGTTCAAGCCATGCCTCTCAAATGGCAACAAGGTGTCTCATACACTTCTACAGGGCAACCTCGAATCAATCCTACTCGTTGGACCAAGTTCCAGAAACAACCCTGGCGTCTCTGGGGTACTTTGTGTATGAGAACCGAGCGAGCGAGATGCCCATCAGTGAGCGACTTGTGAAGAAGCAGTTTGAGTAGATGATGTGGGCATGGGATTAGCAATGGAGGTACAGCATGTATGATTATTGGAGTAGGCTAAAGAAAATGCAATATTACTGTTTATTCGTTGTACTTGCAGTTGAAGCAAAGGCAAGAACGGGCGTGATCTCCCATTCCAGCATTGGTGCTGCATTATGCCATGCCGCCCCCCGACGCACAACCAGCCCTGTTTGGTGCAGATACCGGCCGCTAGTTGCTTAAAACAGTCTCCGCGTTCAATTGCGGGGCCGACAGGCCATCAAATTTCGTTTGACAGATTCTAGATGCCTTCTCTCGCAGACATGCAGCATTCATACGTGGCGCGCCCGGCGGAACAGTGATGACAAGCAAGCTAAGCTGTTAATTTTAGGACATCTGCATCTTGACTGGTCTGAACGTGCTCCAACTTGACGCATGAGGTGGGCCCAAGGGAAAAATTATTGCTGTAGTCTCGAGGCCGAATGGTCCTGTTCTGGTCCGTCGTGCTGAAACGCGAGGCCGTCCCGCCACGGGAGAAGCCGAATCACAATAGGCACGACATGGTAGCCCTGTCTTTGGATGCAGCCCTTTGTTGATCATCATGGACAAGTACGTAGTACCGGATGGCGCTCTTACCATGCACCCACGTGTGCAACGTAGAGCCTTGGCTTGGGGTTGTATCCGTTCCCTCCTCCTCATGCACTGGCAACCCTGACGTTTGCTGGCCCTGACCAACATTGACAACCAGGCGCACCTCACGGTCGGACAAGTTGGATTTCAGCTGATGCTTTGCAGGCGCCGTCTCACTGCGCAGACCACCCTGCAAAGCCGACGAGAAAAAGCAAATTGAGACATGGCAGGCAGCGAGGTTTCATGCAGCGCCGGTGTGTGCCTGAGTTGGCAAATGGAACACGAAGCCAGCTACGAGTGCTCGTTTACGATTAAACGATGACCCCTGAGTCCATGGAGACTGTGCCTGGGATTGTCGCGCCCGGTGTGGCCTGCATGGCGCTGGGGCCTGATGAGAGTGTCGCATTGGATGCCTTGTTCTGGGGCAACGCGTGGGAGTAGCATGGCAACAAGAACTGCAGGTCACAGTGCATCGATGTGAGTGCTAGTTTTCAATGTTTATTTAAAGCCGTTCCACACTCGTGCGTCTTACCAATATCTCCATACCGCAGGGGCTCTGGAGTTCTATTTCTGGTGCCACAGGCAGCAGGCAATCCGTCTTGCTTACGGATTCGCTTGGTTGTCCATGCCGTAAGCTCTCGACGTTTTGCGACCGTATCCACTAATTGTTTATGCCGTGCATCACATGGAGCCTTGATGTGAAAAAAGAGCCTCATACCCAGCAGGGTCAGCACCGCACATGCATGCTTGATGGAACAGACGTTGGAACTTGATGGGACCGTCAACGAACAAGTGGGCCTGACCGACTCAATCTCCACTCTGAGCCGAGGCCGACTCGGGATTGTGATCCACAATTCCGGGGATTCCGCGACTTGTAGGTCCGGCCCGACCCGGTGCACGAGGAAAGGATGCAGTCGTCACATCTTTGGGGGAATTTCCTCCGCCCAGAACCAGTCGCCCAGCATGACGGGCGCCTTGTTGGTGGCCCGCCGTAGACGATGACGAATCTTGTCTCTTCTCTCGAGCGCCTAGACGGTTGGGAGAGCGGCATGGCTTTGCGTCTAGACTCTACGGCCTCACCCAGGGACGCGTCTCAAGGCGCGTCGAATTTCCTTGTATTGCAGGTGAGCTGTCGTTTGCGACATGCATGATATAATGCTGATGTGGGTATCGCCAACTGTAGGCCAGACTGTCTTTGGCTTGTTCATTCCGCATGCTGCCCGTTCACAGAATAGCCCCAAACTTTTCTGAATAATTCCCAGTCATCTCCAGTATGAGGCAGGTCCGTTCATCGGTCGGCACGGCCAGATGCGCCGCTGATTTCTGTCTTATTTACTGGACTGGAAGCTTGTTTTCTACCTGCTTCTGTCACAAGCTTGCGGACCGGCTGCATTGGCACGAAGGATGCGTCGTGACTGTGACAAGGGTTCGTTATGGAAGGCTTGGAGCAAAAGGGCTCAATTCAATAATAATATCGAAGGGTCTCTGAGGCCTTGAGTTGCTACGACAGATGAAGAGAAGGGCGACCGCCTTATATACATGAATGGAACGCCCGGGCCTAGAGCTCTTGCCCGGGCACGTGTTCAAGCTGTGTCACCAACAAGTCCTTTATCGGCGAAGCCCCTTTGCTGGGCCTTTTCCGTGTAACAGTGACGGACCACAAGACGGACAGGAGGCCTTGTTAGGGTTTCAAGTATGAAAGCCCCAGGCAGCTATGACCAGATGCCTCAGTCACATAGGTCAAGTGACAGGCGCCCAGAATATCATGTATATACAAAGGCCGTAGATTGGGGTCCTGGATTGAATTCCGTAAGCACCTCTTCGTCATAAAAGAGAATTGCTATGTTGAATTTCAAGTCATTCAAATGCCGTCATTGTGCTTTGTGCCAAAGATACGACTACTACCGCCCCTCCATTGTCTGCCGCAGTCTATTGGCACAAAGAAATCTTACCCATCTTTGTGTATCAAAGTTTATTTATGTTTATCTACAAGACGCAATACCACATACGCCTCAATATTTTCAGTTTTCTGTGGCAAGGATAGGAATACTGGGCTTAAAACGTAATAATTCAATTCAATATGAGCAATCATTTTTTGAGGCATCAAGGCTCCACGAGTTTCAAAGCGGCCGGAGACGGCCCTGGCTCAGGGTCCGACATGGGGTCTCGTGATTACTTCTTTGTTCTCCTGCAGCCTTTGTTGGCCCAACAGACGCCTTTGTTGTATTTTAACCGTGTGGGATTTCTTTCAGGCGACGTGTGTGTGGGACATGGCCCGTTCACTTTTACATGACAACTCGATGGACAGCATTTGCTCGAAAACACACGGAGACATCGCTTCACTTCTTTAGATTATGATTATTAGGATCGACGGCAGATGAAGAGACATTGTGTGCGAAAGATTTTCAATTGAATAGAAACAAAAATTGATCCGGGGCCACCACTTTCAAGTAGTCTTCGATGATTTCCGTCACATTATTCCCCCTATGCCCTGCTCCTAGTGGAGAGCATGTCGCTTGTAGTTGCCCCCTGAATCCAAACCAGATGACATGGCAAACTGCCCTCTGCGAGAAAAGAAAAATTGCAAACAAAAGATGACAATCTGTCGGAGTGCGGGTGATGAAGTGAAATAGTTGAAGACGTGGATAAAAAAAAACCCAGTGGTTCGCAAGGCCGATCGATAACACCCATGGCGTTGAATAAGGGTTGACGGTAGCTTTTGAGACAGGCGAAGGTGGCGGTCAGCTCCCTTGTCGGTAATGGTGTTCTGATTAAATTTCCCATCTCTGCCCGAAAGATCTAAGCCATGTTCCTAGCGGGAGACCCGTCCTGCGATGGGAGTCCTGCAACGCTCGCACCCTATCTAGATCTCGAGCCATTCGAATCCCCCTCACACCATCCTCACCTGCCATATACATAGCAGGAGTAATTTCCCAACCCGTCCGGCCTAAGATCTTCCCCACTAGGCGGATATTTCCACGAGCTGCGGCCATCACAACTGGCCGCACATCATGATATGCAACGAATACATCAGTGTTTTTCTGAGTTTCAACCTCCTTCAGACATTCTTCAGTTTCATCAAGATTGTTGGTTTCGGCAGCCCACATGAGATATTCGCTCACAGCCGCACTGTGAAGCATCTGTGCTTCAGATAGTTTCCATGCCGCGTCATAAATTTTGTCTCTCAAATCAGGTCGTCCTTGCAACGTCCTTTGGTCGAATCGTTCTTGCAACGTCCTTTGGCCGGACATTATATATGTTCTCGGGCGTGTAGAAAAAAGCTCTTGTAGTTGGAAATCGCGGAATGTTTCTTTTGGAAAAAGAAAAAGTTGGTCGTTTTTAATCGGCTTTTCAAGAAGAAGAGTTGAAATTGCTGGCGGCTTTCTGGGAGAAGAAAAAGCTGCTAGCTGCAGACTGTTTTCTGGGAAAAGAGGAAGTTGGTAGCTTTTTTTTGTCGTTTTTATAAGAAGAAGAAGAGGTTGAGATCGTTCGCGGCGTTCTGGGAGAAGAAAAAGCTGCAAATTGCAGACTGTTTTCTGGAAAAAGAGGAAGTTGGTGGTTTTTTTATCGTTTTTGTAAAAAGAAGAAGAGGTTGAGATTGTTGGCGGCTCTCTGAGAGAAGAAAAACTTGGAGTTGGCTGTGGTTGAAGGTTTTCCATGAGAAGAAAATGGGATGGTAGTTATATTTATATGCCAACCAGCGCTCTTGTATTGTGTAATGAATATCATTTAACGCATAATCTTCATAAGAGTATCCGTTATTCTACATGCTGTAGGAAACCCGGTTTTGCCTGATTGTGAAGTTCAGGTCTTGATGCCGCTGCATTGTCTTGTGTCGTAAGCCAGAACCATCAACACGAGTCCGTCACACGTTGAACAAGGACAAAAGAACGACAAGTTAGCCAACGGCTCGCCACTGGAGTGCATTCACCCGCGTCGGGACTGCCTCAGAATCTTCGCATTATTGACACACCGGGACCGTGCTGGAACGGGCCGAACCCAACATGTTTTCTGTACGAGACGACAGTTGGCTGGATTTCTTAGTATTTCCACAAGGACCCGTCGCACAGGGGGCTGATTCAGTTAGGCATAGATATGGAACATCTGATAGACATAGGTTGCCTTGTTGACTTTGTATCGAGTGTCACAAATGAGGTGTGCAAATAGCCACTTGATAAAAAGATGATGGGGGAGAGATGACGGGGGACTTGTGAACAAAAAACCCACACAAGATTCTGGTGTTTTGTACAAACCACTGCGGACGCAGTGATCTCCCTGCGCCACGTTGCAAACGTGTCTGGTGGGTTGAGATATGCAACCTCCCTTAAAGCAAGGGCCGGCAGACGCATGCAGCTGAGACAGACTGCAGAAACTGATGCACACTCACGGCTCCCCGGCTGAGCCTCCATGTTACACGGTTAGAGCCCAACAACAATGAAACCCAACAAAGGGACATGCCCAAGATCAGACCTTGCGATTACACTGGTCGGAACACATGGCCCGGTGGAAACCCTGGGCACCAACTTCCTTTCATGTATACAAACTGGTCACCCGCCCCCTCCTCCCTCCTGGAAAACCAAGGACCTTTGACATCCTGCGAGATCATCTTTGAATCGACCCATTTCGTTCCGAGCCCTTGTGTCGAGCCCTCGTCACGCTCGATCGTCGCTACGTGATGGCTCTCTTCCCCGACGTTCGGGTGGACCAACGACGACCGCGACTTCCTCATCATTGCGTCGGATGAAGTCGAGCTGAGGTGGTAATTTGGGCGACCGACGTGCGAAGCCTTCCGACGGCGGGATCGATTCGGCAAGCAAGCTATTGCTATTTCCTTATGCGACGACGACCGCTATAGAAAAAGTGCTGGTGACAAGAGCAATCTACTCGGCGCTTTCCCGCATCGCTAAATAATGGAAATACTTGACCGACGTTTGCTGGATGCTACTGTGTTCCAACATCAAAAGACTATGATGACTGGGAGAATATCGCAACGTGTGCCGAATCATACCGACATGCCCGGATTAGAAAACGGTCGCGCCAACATCCATGACATAGTTCTGGTGTGAATATCTCGAACTGCAGGCGAGACTGTCTTTGGCTTGTGCGTTCCGCATGCTGCCCGTTCACAGAACGCAGCAAATCGACGTTGGTTTATGAGATTAGCACTAATCTTTTTAAACAATGCTTGAAGATATCCTTAGTACCAGGCAGGCTCGCTCACGAGTTGGCACGATCCGATGCGTCGCTGATTTCCGTCTTTTTTACTGGCCTTGAAGCTTGCTTCCCGTCTGCTTCCCTCTGGGTAACATACATACACCTCGTATTTGTGTCGACACGATCTTTCCTGGGGACATCTATAACCCCTCTGTTATTACTATGACGCATTCAAATGGTATAAACCAATCTTGCTCATCTTTATACAAGTGGCACGGTCCCTGTCCGGGGATACATTTGGTACCATGGCGGGTGCATCCATGCTGGCATCTTGCATGATACACCAACTCGAATTGAAAGCATTCACGAACGAATTTATGAGTTTCTTTTTTGAATTTGGGCTAGCGCGATATGGTAAGCGACCTGGACGACAATTCACCTAGATTTACCTCTCCCGACTAACTCTTCTGCAATGGGACTCAGCGCTCCCGCAGCTCACGACGTACGGAAGTTTATTCACGCATAGTTGTAGTAGGTAATTCCACAAAAGCCCGAGTGGTTTTCAGTTTTCTTGGTCAACGTGTGAGAACAGACTCGTTTACTTTTACACAATGAGTTGATGGACAGCATTCACTCAAAGAAGTATAAAGAAAATTACTCTCCTTATTTTAACTTTTTTTCTTAGGATCAACGTAAGATGGTGTAAGCAACGTATTTTATTTAATAAAAACACACATTTATTCTGGTCCACTAGTAAAAAAGTACTATCCGATGATTTGCGTTAGACTTTTCCGCCAATGCCTTACTTAGTAAAGAGCGTGCTATTTGCAGGTGCCTTCTGAAATCCAAACTTGCTGGCATGACAAACTGTCCTCTGCGACAAAAGGAAAATTGCAAAATTGCAAAATTGCAAAAAAAAAGAGAGAGAAAAAAACAAGACGGCAAACAGTGGGAGCGAGGGTAATAGAGTCAAATAACTCAAGATGTCGATGAAAAACACACAGTAGTCCGTAAGGCTAATAGGTAAACCCCATAGCGTTTGAATAAGAGTTGACGGTACATGTAGCTTTTAGGACTGGCGAGGATGTCGGCAAGCTCCCCGGTCCGTAGTGACGTTCAGGCTGCATCTTCCATCTCAGCCCAGACGTCTTCAAAACGCATGTCAGGGCTTTGCCGCCAGACTTTCCATCCTACTCGAACCCTATCTTTGTCTGCATCCTCCAACACCCTGGGCTGTTGCTGCCACCTGACCAGAAAGGCAATCATTTCCTGCCGCTCAAAGGTGCGGGCTCTCGTCAACATCTCTTCGGTAACGCTCCAAGATGTCAAGAGCAAGAAAAGCTTCACTGTGTCGATATGACCATTTCCTATGGCCGCCATGACTGGATCCAAGTCTTTTGCTGCGAAGTACCATTTGAGTAGAAAAGAATCATTCAAATCATCCAGAACCCATGCAGTTCCACAGTAATCGCCCACTTCGGCAGTGATCATGAGTAGATGGGTCGTAGTTCGTAGGCGCATGGAGATAAGGGCGCCATCAAACATCGTACCCGGCTGATTGGCGTTGATGACGTCTTTAGATGATTTGTAGAGCTGATATCTCAATTGACACGTCATTTGGTCTAGTGGCAGAAGATCGTAGGACTCCATTTCTCCTTCCGGAAAAACCAGTCGCATCAGGAAACTGGGGGCCATTTTCTGGGAGAAGAGAGAGTTTTGAAGTATGGATTGTTTTTTGGAGAAGAGGAAGTTGAAAAAGGCCGAATAAGTTCCGGGAGAAGAAAAAGTTGGAAATGGTTGAACGGTTTCCAGGAGCAGAGAGTGGGATTACGCTTGAATTTATACACCAGCCAGTGCCTGTGCATTGTGTAGTAGACACACTTGAATACGTGAACTTGAAAAGAACGTTTATTGTTCTACATGCTGTAAGAAAAGCGTCTTTGTCCTCTGGGTGAAGTGTTTGGTCTTGATGCCAATCACTACATCAGTCTGGCGTTGCAAACCAAGACCCTGAACACGCTGAACAAGGTCAAAATGACGACACTTGCAAGTTGGCCAACAACCGTGCCGATACTGGACTGCATTCAACTGATGCGGAACTGCTTGAGATTCCTCACTGCCATGTACCGTCGTTGGCCGATGCATCTCCGCCAGCAGTCACGCACAGACAAAGGGCCTTTGACTTCCAAACCCCCGGGCCGTGCTGGAACGGGCCGTTTTCAGCGTAATTTCTGCAGGGGGAGACTCTTTGTTACTTTGGCAGGTGATCCCACAAGGACCGGCACGCACGGGGCTGATTCAGGGAGGCATAGACATGACACACCTGACAAACACAGGTTGCTTTGTTGTTACACGGAAAAGGCCCAACAGATCGTAAAGCCCAACAAAGGGACTTCGCCGATACAGGGCTTGTTGGGTACACAGCTGGAACACGTGCCCGGGCAAGGACCCTAGGCCCGGGCGTTCCTTTCATGTATATAAGGCGGTTACCCCTCTCTTCCTTTCTCGTAGCAACTCGAGACCTTGGAGACCCTTTGAGATTATGATTGAATTGAGCCTTTATTGCTCCAAGCCCTCTTTCTGAGCCCTTGTCACATTTGTCGACCTTTTATCCAGCATCACAAACGGCGTCTGCAAATACACACTTGAAAAGATGATGGGGGACTTGTGAAAAAAACTCGCAGACGATTCCGGTGTCTTGTGTACGAAACCGCTGCGGATGCTGTCATCTCCCAGCGTCACTTTGCGCAAAATGTCCGGTAGCAATTGTGGGTGAAGCAAGTCCAAATTAAGCACAAACAGAATATCCCCGTTTCCTTCAAAAGCATTCTCCTTTTTCCCTGACGTTTCGGACACAAAGTATGAAGAGTAGGCTCTTTCATTCACGAGCCCCCTGTCACACGGAAATGGGCCAATGTCACACGGTTACACAAGGGCTACGGTCACGGGATTAGGGCAGAAGGTCCTGACCGACTTCTTGTATAAATAGACGGCTTCGGTCCCTCAAGGCCTTGAGGAAAACCAAGGACCTTTGATACCAAAGACTGTTATTAGATGAATTGAGTAAATGCTCCAAGCCCTCTACTGAGCCCTTGTCACACCCCCTCATCTTTTGTGCTCCTTTGACAATTATTACCATCCACCAGAGATATCACATGCAAAACGACGGCTGCTTGGCCGTCAACTATAGTTATCCTACCGAACTCTGCCAACGACCATTTGCGGAAAGTCTTTTGTTCAAACTACACGGGCATCGTGGTAACATTCCAGACAGCACCTACACTCAAATCTACTACCGTTCCAACCATGACCCTTGGGCTGAACTCGCCAGAGGGACAGTGAGTTGGCTCATTGCCGCGTTCTCGTTGGGGACAAGGTACAAAGAGTCGGTAGCTTCACTCATGGACGGCGTCGACTTCAGATACAGGCGTGCCGTAATCATCTACAGAGATTATGACACACGCCTTGTCATTTCCTCATGCGACGATACGACGACGCCGTGAAGCCTGCTCGTCACGCAAGAGCTTTTTCACAGCCTTGGACGCTGTTCTACGATGGGAAAAGTGCTGGATGACCCGAGCAATGTGCTCAGCGCCTTTTGGGCAGCGTGCCGTCGCTGAATGGTGGACATGCGCTTCCGGATGCTACTGTGTTCCGACATTGAAAGACTACATATGTATTGACGGGGAGGATATCGCAACGTGTGCTGAGTCATACCAACGGCCGCGCTACCAGATGCATTTGCGCGATATAATACCGATGCAGAGTCGATACATGTATGAAGATGGAATAGGTCAGCGGAGCGCATGCCGTGAAACGTCTCGGCCGACGAGGCTCGGAAACTGCATCGACGCAAGGGTGTCCCGTCGCGTGGATCTGAAACAGCACGCGAGTGCCAGATTCGGGGCAAAGCGTTTTACGGCAAGGGCGCAATATATCAATTGATCCATGTCGCCCGTCGGGTTCAACTGCAGCCGCCAGAGTCGGGCCCGAGCGCCAATTCACAAGAGAGCCGAGGATTCAATGTCGGCGCAATGCATGGAAATGGAATGGTCATGACCGGACCGGCCCCAGCAACCTAGCTAACAAAGGCAGATTATCAGTGCCGCCATTTGCATTAATAACGTCTGGTAGCACAAGCAAGCACACGGATGTAATGCAAGATTCACCGCAAATCCGACACCAAATCCAATTCGGCACAGCTCATTGGCCGAGCACCATGAACGCCTGGCTGGTCAAAGTCATGCCAAGCACCGTCACCCGGCGCCGGCTCCGATCCGACTGGTGACATCTGAGTCCGTGGTACCGCCAGGGGCAGCCCGTGTCGGATGGCAACACAACACACTCAGATCACATTGGAAGGCATCAACGATTGAACCCGAAAAAAAGTCGACCGGCAATCGAATAAGCCCGGCAAGTGCGATGCCTGGACCTGACACTCTAGCGCTGGCGCTAAGCCGTCTCCCGCCTCCCGCCTGGCGCTCGGGCTTATTCGCGACTTGTTAAATCCGATGCACACATGCAACCTCTCACAAGTTTATAATCACCAGACCATCAATTGATCTTAAAAGCTCCATGCGACGACAACACAGGGCTCCCGTTTTCCATTGCCAACACCGCATCGAGCCGCGACAATGCCACCCGGGCGTGAGCAGCCCTCCAGTTCGCCCCCCGTCCCCAACCAGTCCGACGCGCCCTCCTCACTCCCTCTAGACTCGAACACACACGATCATCCGCAAGGCGACATTGAACAAAAGCCCGTCAATGACACCCGTCCCGCCCATGCCTCGCCGCCCGCCGACTCGCCACCCCCCAACGGCGGCTACTGGGCGTGGATGCAAGTCGCCGCCGCCTTCAGCATCTTCTTCAACACATGGGGGGTCCTAAACACATTCGGCATCTTCCAGACCTACTACGAAGGCGGCACCCTCTTCCACGAGTCCTCGTCCAACATTTCCTGGATCGGCTCCATCCAAGCCTACTGCGTCCTCATCGTCGGCCTCGTCTCCGGCCCCGTCTACGACCGCGGCCACCTCCGGCTGCTCCTGTTCGCGGGCTCGTCGCTCCTCGTCCTCGGCTTCATGATGCTCAGCCTCTGCCGCACCTACTGGCAGGCCCTCCTCGCGCAGGGCTTCTGCATCGGCATCGGCGCCGGCTGCCTCTTCGTGCCGTCGCTGGCCCTCCTCCCGACATACTTTAGCACCCGGATCGGGCTGGCCGTGGGCATCGCCGCCTCGGGCTCCTCGCTCGGCGGCGTCGTCTACCCCATTGTCTTTTATCGGCTGATTGGCGCCGTCGGCTTCGGCTGGACCGTGAGGACGATTGGTTTTATTGCGCTGGCGACGCTGGTGGTCCCGCTGTACTTTGCTGAGATGCGCGTCAGGCCGCTGCGGGCGAGGGCCGTGCTGGACCGGTCTGCGTTTACGGACGGGCCGTATGTGTTTTTTGTGGCGAGCACGTTGGTTGGGTTTGTGGGCTTTTACGTCGTCTTGTTCTATGTTTCGTACTTTAGCGCCGCGACGGGCATTGCGTCGTCGGAGATGTCGTTTTATCTGATTCCGATTCTGAACGCCGTGTCCATGTTTGGCAGAATACTGCCGAATGCCGTGTCTGACAAGACGGGCCCGTTTAACTGTAAGAGAGGACGCCTTCTCGTAGCCGCGGGGATTGACAAGCTAACAGCAGTGAAAAGTGTTTGGCCCGGCGGCCATTATTTGCGGCGTCTTGACGTTTTGCCTCATCGCGGTCAAGAGCCTCGGCGGCATGATTGCCATTGTCGTTCTCTATGGCTTCTTCTCGGGCGTCTTCATCGCCATACCGGGCGTTTGCTTTGTCAGACTGACCGAGGACAAGAGCAAGCTCGGCACCCGTATCGGCATGGGGTTTGCTGCGTTTGGGTTTGGCGTTCTCGCCGGCGGCCCCGGAGGCGGTGGTATTCTAGGCACTGACCGGAGCGACCTGCACTGGAACTCGGTGTGGGTGTATGGAGGATGCACCATGACATGTTCTGGTGTTTTGCTGATTGTTTTGCGATTCTGGTTGTCGAGGGGGAGGCTTGCGCTGAAAATATAGAGGCGGCTTTCCACAAAGACTAGAGGAACTGCCAACCAGGCACGGATGGCCATTTACTAATAATGTATTACTACTACAATAAAGAAGAATAGACCGGGCTATTCCCCGAATATCCGGGGCTGTGCTGGGGCTGGCCGCATGCAGCTTACATGTCATGTTCCACAAAACTCCGTCCCTTCCGCAGCCCTGGCCATGGTTTAAAAAGCCGCGGGAGGATTGTACATCAGACATGGAAACACGGAACGTGTCCAACACATGGTTTGGTAAATTCTGAGAAACTGTCGCAGACAAAGCCGCGCGACCATTCCACCATGGCATTCGAGTGGGCGTCGTGGCTTGAAAACAACCACATCATTGTCCACGCGGCCGATTTACAACTGAACCCGCCCCAGAGCTACCTCTTCGTCCAGGACTTTCTCATCATTCTGTGCGCCCTGCTCTACTGCTTCTGCTATGTGTTTTACACGCTCCGCACCAAACGCGACCGGTTCCTCGCCGGGCCCGTCGACCTGCTGTACGTGCATTGATTTCCGGCCACTGCCACGAGTCCGTGACTTACTTAAAGACTCTGTTAGGTTCGGCAACCTGGCCTACGAGCTGTACTATCCATTCGTCATGGCGCGCGGCAAGCTGGAGCTCGTCGGATGCCTCGTCTGGCTCCTGCTGGATGTGAGGTTCGTATACACGGCCATCAAATATACCTGCCCGCCTGGGACGCGCATCAAAGTGACATTGCGCTGTGCGCTCTCCACGCTCGCCCTGACGGCCGTCTACTACGTCTTGGGTCTGTACTTTCCCGACGACGGCGAGCAAGTCACGGCGTATTGGACGGGGTGGCTGCTGGAGCTGGGAATCGGATGGTGCGAGGTGCTGTACCTGTGGAAGCACGCGCACACAAAGGGCCAGTCGCTCGAAATTTGGTGAGTTGCAGGGTGTACAAATGTCGCGATGTTCTTTTTGAAAGCAAGACCACCGTGAATGGCTAACAGGTGCAGGGTTGTGAGATTCTGCGGCGTCCTGTCTGCCATGGCCGTCTTCTTTTGGCGCTATTTGAATGTGCCGCAGAACTGGGCGTACGTGGTGTCGTGGCCGAGCATCATCTTGGTGGGTTTAAACGTCGTCCCGGAGTTGATGTATCCGTTTTTATATCGTAGGGCGGAGAGAAAAATGAGGGAGGCCGCGGTGCAGAAGGAGAAGACGTACTGACAGCACCATCAATGATCTCAAGTGCTGTTTCAATGACGTCAATGACGTCAGAGCAGGATGCGAGACAATTAGTCGCTTTGGGCTGCCAAGGCCCTTGAAGGTGCTGTGTTGAACAAGATATAGGAGTCGTGGAGGAAAGGGAAAGATGGAAAGTTTGTCGATTTTTTACACGGCCAAGTTGGTCACAATCTGTCTTGTGCTGTGACGAATACACCTCTGAGACGGAATCTGGAGGCATGGACAATCCTAGTCAGCAACAATCTATTTTATGACCCCGGACATGCAGCGACGAGGAGTCAAAGGGATGAGGAATACAAGTGCTTCGTGCATCTGGTTTACAGGGCCCATCCGTGCACATGGCAGACGGCCAACGAATTAAATATCTTGAGATGAAGCCGTGCGGCGAGCCCAAGCGCTCAAGGTATAAAATTCTGTGCTGACTCTTCTTTAGCGACACAGACGCCCTTCTGGCATGTGCGCAACCGCACGTCCATCTTCAGGGAGTGAATGTAAATCATACTTCAGCGTACTCTGACCTGGCGGCTTCCGGACTTTTTTGGTACCATGACCACCCAGGCACTCATTGGCCTCGAATGACCTTTTCAAACGCATACTTTTGACAGGTATACGTACCGGCAAGGAGAATACGCAAGCAGTTTACATCTCATTGGCATCGACGCGCCTCTCTTTCCTGGATGGGATGTTGGCTGCATATGGGATCCAGTAAGATGCATAATCGTCCATGTGAGTCGGTATTGCTGCCTCTTTTTTCAGAAAGCAAAACACGTTCAATTCAAGACAATCAGAAAACTCTAGCTGATCGTAAAATAATCAAGACTCGTGTCAAAATCCCCATGTCCGACATACATGACTGAAGATACTCTCATTTCCTTGTTGTCCACTCTACGCGTTGCTCATCTTGTATGTATAAAACATCTTGTTCCATGTACGAAATCTCACATACGGAATCACGACTCACTAAAATAGTTTCTTCCAAAGACAACACTACCAGATACCCATCCCATCATACCCAGCCAAACACAGCAACTCATCCAGCCCAAAATTCGTCACCACCATACTACACATGTACACTGATGAGCTAAAAACGCACGACGACTTACAACACCATGCTCTCATCACAATCTGACGTCTAAACAAAAACACCTACCCGCGCCTTAGCGTCATGTTCGTGTAGGGGAAAACGCCAGATTTAGAATACACCACCTCCAGCAAGCCCATCCGCCTACACAGCTCATCGCCATGTAGCCCTGCTTGCATCCCCAGTGCCGCCATCTCAACCATGCCATGGGCGCCATATTCGGCACTTCGGCACGCATTTCTGACTTCCGCCCTACTGAGCTGGGTGAAATCCCAAGTCGGCGGGAGCAGCTGAGCCACTCGCGCCCAGCCTCGTCGAGATGGCTCAAGGTTTGAAGCCATCCAGTGGCGCCGGTCGGCAGCATGAAATGGACCGCTCGGCACATCTCTCCTGCCACGGGCACAAGTATCGGGCGTGTTCCATGGCAGCGCAGGGATAGACTGGGCGGCGCATCAACTGTCCGAGTACCATTGCGTTCAACGCCCATGCTGCCATCGACTGCTTCCCGCCACGGGGCTTGGGACTAGACCCTTGTTTCTTTCAAAGGAGATATTTTGGTGATATCTGAGGTTTCTGTTCGTGTTGCGCCAGTGGCTGATGCATTCAAGTGACAGCCAGGCTTCCGATGTCGTCGCCACCATCAGCAGCGCTCAGTATAAAGACCAGCTGCCGCCGTCTACGTCGTGGAGCAGACATCGTGAGTCGCAACACCATCACAGCAGGTGAGACGTACTTCCAGTCACCATGTACACCAGCCTGCCACCCGCGCTGTTTCTAGCCCTCTCTGCCGCCGCCGCCGCCGCAACAATCCGCGTCGACGTCGGCGAGGGCGGCGCCTTCACCTTCTCCCCCGACACTATCAAAGCGAGCACCGGGGACACGCTCGACTTCCACTTCTACCCGCTCAACCACAGCGTCGTCATGGGCGACTTTAGCAGCCCGTGCGCTCCGGCCAAGACGGGCGGTTTCTTCTCGGGCTTCATGCCAGTGTCCTCTGGCGAGGCGGTACGCCCATCTGCATGTGGTGCCTCGTGTACGCAGCGCTGACTTGACCGGCAGACCGACTCGTTCCAAGTAAACGTCAACTCGACGGACCCCATCTTCTTCTACTGCGCGCAGACCGTTCTCGAGCACTGCAAGAACGGCATGTCGGGCGTCGTCAACCCGTCGTCGTCGCAGACGCTGAGCGCGTACAAGAACGCGGCCAAGTCTGTGAGCACGGCGAGTCATCCTGCTAATTCCTTTGGGGGCACGCTGGTCTCGTCTGGGCAAACGTCGACGTCTGCGTCGGCTAGTGCTAGCCCGACGAGCTCGGGGGGAGGGACGTATGGAGGGGGCGCAGGGAGCGGAGTGAGGGCGCCGGCTGAGGCGGTGGTTGCTTTTGCCGTGGGCATGGCTGCCTTTCTTGTTGGCTAGAGGCATGCGGTAATGCTGACGGTGATGGATAATGTCTTGGTGATGGAATTTGAAGAATGGTTGCACTGTTTGTGTTTTACGTTTGTGAACTGGCCGTGTTATCAGGAAAATAATGACTAATAAGACTATTTGCAAAAAGCCTTTGGCTGCTCTTGTATGTGACACTATACAAAGCTGTTTGTATACTACTTGTGAATTTATGAATATAAAGGGCAAGAAAAGAATGCCTCGGACATGACCCTTCCATTGACCGCGTCTAGTTGCAGTCCTCCAAGATGAGCTGGGCTGCTTTTTGAGCAACAGCATACAAAGTCGACATCGTGTGCGAGGTAAGTTGGAACGGGAGGATACCAGCATCAACAACGCGGAGGTTCCTGGCTCCATACACCCTACCACTCGTTAGCAACGTCACTTTGGCCTTGATCGACGCAGACATACCGTAGTCGAGAGTCCACCACGCCGCCCAGATGCCGTGGCATCATGGCCGTCGACCCAATCCAGTGACTAGCAGGCCCGGCCGTCCCTTTCAACCACGCGAGATACTCGGCGTCGGTACCGTTGGGCCCAATCTCAGGGTCATAATAAGCGTCGTCTACGAACCCTTCAAACGCCGTACTAGCCCAGAGCGCTCGTGAAAGTCGTGCCACTGCAACCGCTACCTGCTGGTCAAACTGGTCCGTGAGGAACCGGGGCGTAATGACGGGGACCTCGAACGGATCCGCAGAACGAATATGTACGTGGCCCCTTGACAGCGGCGTCAGAGGCCAGAAAGGGGCGCCAAAGACGGCTGGGTACGTCTCGGCGATGAACTCGGCAACCGGCACTTGAGCAGCTTAGTATACGTGTTTGGCCAAGCAAGATAGGGGGAACTTGCGTCTCGCTTCGACAGTGAGCTGTATCGTGGCATTTAGGATACTCTCGGCGCCGGCGATGCTCACCGCGCCGCCGGCACGGACGAGCTCCTCGGCCCGGGAGGCCAGATTTGCCGGCGACGTCAAAGATTCTGCGACACCGTGCGCATCTCACGGTCGTCAGTACAGGACGTGCCATATTGAAAGAGAGAATGCCTACCAGTAGCCCATATCTCGTCAATATTGACCAAAGAGATCTCTGGACCAAACAGCTTGCCACCGTCTACCAGGGAGGTGTCATTCTGATGGTTCTCGGACATGTGAGCATATGTCGTAGACCCGGGTTGGTCCTGGGCACAGCATTAACGGCCATTTATTTGCATTCATCTTGACCAGCTCAGCCACCACTCACATTGAGGTTCACACCCACGCCCGGCAGATCAATCATCTGTGCAACGTTGGCCGCCGACAAGACACTTGCCCCGCCGACCCCGGAGCGCTCCAGGATCGCCGGCGTGGCCAACGTGCCCGCGGAGAGGATGACGGATTTTCTAGCCTTGACAGTGTAGAGTTTTCCCGCGTCTCTGGTTAAGCTGCTTGCGAAAAGAACCCCAGTGGCCTGGAGGTCTTTGTCAAAGGTGACTTTGGCGACGGTGTGGTTGGCAAGCACGGTCAAGGTTGTCCTCTGCTGGTCCGGCGCCCAGAGAAGGGCGTCCGCAGCTGAAGACCGCACGTGTTTGCCCGTCACCGGATCGTTCCAGATGGTCCAGGACGTGGACGCTGATACCACCGAGGTGCGGCTGGAGAGGTCGTTACCAACCTCGAGCCCCGTGAACACGAGAGGCAGGCCCTTCTTGTACAGCTGTACCGCCTTGGGAATACGCATGGGCGTCTATGCAAAGCTCAGTCAGCTCGAACCTCTGGGATGCCGGCGCCAACGCCTTACAGGAAACGAAGTGTTGACTTGGCCGTGGTAGCCGTGCACTTCTGGGTCATAACCGGCCCCTTGGGCGACTTGGTCGGCTGTTGGGGGGTGGTTGCGCTCTATTGCTTTCATGTACTTGGGGGTTAGGGTTAGGGTTAGTTGCTGATCCTAACGTTGTTCTGGAAACCATGATGAGTCTGGTGCCTACCGGCTCGAGATTGTCCCAGTTCCACCCGGGATTGCCCAGCGTCTCCAGCTTATCAATCTCTGCCTTGGTTGGCCTGTACCATACCATTCCATTGACTGTGTGCGCCTGTTAGCTGGGCAGCGCGCCGAGTGCGTGGCCAGACTCACTGGATGTTGATCCGCCGATGCAAGCGCCGGCGTCAATCGTGGAGTTGAGTTTATTCCCGGCGTCGTCGTAAACGGGGTACCTCCAGTTGCAAAACACGGCTGGGTACACTGAGCTTTCTACATCCCATATCGCTGGATTCCATGAGCCGTCGGGGCCGGCTTCCACCAGAAGCACGGAATGACCTTGGCCGCTGAGCTATATCGGTTGCCATTAACCCGGCAAGTTCAGTGACTGCATGTTCGACACGTGGAATGACACGCACCTTGTTGGCCACGGTAATTCCGGACAGGCCAGCGCCGACAATAACAAAGTCAAACGTCTTGTTGGAGGCGAATGCCGCATTGTCCGTGACTGTGGTTGCCCCCGCTGCGGAAGCAAAAGCTCCAATGCAGACATGAAGTGGGGACAAGCGCATTTGATGTTTTCAATGTTGTGTAATTGATGTATGTATGCGGGAGCAGTACCTTTTTGGGCCTTGTCTGAGCAAGCAGACACGGGTTTTGAGAACGAATTTTGAGAATGTGTATCAAGATGGCGCAGAGTTATATCGACGTTTGCTCCTCTGCAAGCTGGCTCCTGTTGCGAACATTTGAAGTGTCGATCGATGAGGGGCAGCTGTAATTGATGTATTTCAATCCATTGACATTGTCCAATGTCGACAGCCATGTGACGCATGCATCCCAGCCGTCACAAGAAAAATGGGGCAACGAGACATGGATCGGCAACATTGTCTGGTAATGGCAATTTGGCATCAATGGTTTGAATTCCCACCGTCATATAATGTCTGGTGCAAAAGCTGAACTCGCCCGGTAACCCTGCAGTCTGGATCCGTCGGGCCACAACTCACCTGGTGTGACTATGCAGATGTCCAACAAACCACATTGCATGTAGAAATATAGTAAAATTTCCACAATCGTATAAACGATGCTCTTGTGATAAAGTTTGCTGGTAGTGCCAGGCTCAACGGCTTTTGAAACTCTCACAACGATGCACCAGAACTCGGCGCTGCGGATCGGAGGGCTCCATACACCTGCAACATTCGAGTCCTACTAGGGAGTCAAAAAGGCGAAAAAAATGAGGGTTATCGTAGGGATCCCAAGGGCTTGCAGGGCCCCGACCGGTATGAAAGGGGTCAAGTTGGCGGGATTTTTCATGAGTCAACTCAATTCCATCATTGATAAAGATATCTATCAAGGCCCAAAAGCCTCCAAAACATCATAGTTTTCCACTAGCAAATTGCTGTTATGGACTTAACTAGTCGCAATCTACTGCGAAATTGTAAGTTGGTCCGTCAGCAGAATTTAGCAACTGGTGGCGCTTGATATAAATGGCATCAAGGTTCATGGCCACGGCGAGAAAAAGGGACCGTCGAGTAGGGGCAACAAAAGGGCAGATTTCTCATCGTAGTCCACTACGTCGTATGTAAGATGGCAATTGCGTCAAGGGCATTTTGAGAAGTCAATAGTCAATCCGCCTTTGTCCCGCGGCTTACAAAAGGCCATGATGCGAACAACGCATTTTACTGCCGCTATTCGGGTATATCGGTTCTGGTTGTGTTCCAACATTCGCGGTCCTTAAGCTGCAAAGAGCAAACCGCTTTGAACAAACATGTACTGCTGCCCATGTGAGGAGTGAAAGAGACATGTCATGGGTCCTAGCTTCACAAACGTTCAGTCGCATTCCTTTGTGCTGGTATCGATATCCGTCACTCGACCAAGTGTTTGTCCTTTGTCGCCGCACAACTACGTTCCCTCCAACTTCTTTCTGGGCTTCATTGCGCGCTGCTTGTCCCGCGGACAAAGGGCTGCGGCTCAATTTCACTACGCAATGCTCTGCATTTCTTGCATGAATATTGTGCCAGATTTTCCACAAGGCAAATCGTACAAGGTGCTTGTCCATTCTAGAGATTCATGACTAATGAAGCAGTATCGAGATTCCAGTGACATTAGTAGTCTTGGACACAATGAGTTCATTGCCAGCCTGATCATTCATCTGTCTTGCAGCTATCCACGCAAAGTATGTGTTTGTATTTGATAATTGAATGCACTATTCTCAGCTCCTTCGAGGTCACAATGTAAATTTGCAGCCCCCATCCCCTAGGAAGGTGTACATAAGGCCCCCTCGCTCCCAAGTTGATGTAAGCGACGAGCAACTTTAACAAACATAGGCTGTATCTAAGCAACACGCATCGAGTCGAGGAGGCGAAATCACAATGACCAACGGCAAAACAGACTCTCCTAACCCCCCAAGCATCCCATCTTTTCAACGCGAGGGCCCAGACAATGTGTGCGTTTTGTATCGCCGTCCCGGATTCACCATGAGTGTGGAAGCATATGTACTAATTAGTTGATAGCAAGCTAACAGTGACAAAAACTGGTTTCATTATACCCGGAATAATAGTGACGAAGCCTCAGGATTCCCGCCCTCCTGGTTACCTTTCGAAAAGGGAAATGGACGAGTTGAAAAACGTGCTGTCATGCCCGCCTTTGCCTGTAGCAACACCAGTTAAGCGAGGCAATAACTCTAAATAGTCTTTTGACTCGTAACTAGCTAATTAAATAAGGCAAGTCGCATCTATCTATATGATACGTCTCGAAACTAACTTTGAAATCTCAAAGGTCCAGCTTTTAGCTCGTCTCAATGCCAGTCCTTTTGTGTATAAGTTGGAATAAGCGCAGCAAAGTGCGTTACAAATGCACGGCGCTTGCAGGTCAACAGCAGCATATAGCAAATTCTACAGTCGAGTCTAGAAATAATCCACATCATCTACCCGTCTTCCGGCGTCCATTCTTGCAGCAATTTGTCATTCACGCTAAATCAAAATCCATCCATCTAAAACCAAGATCCCTGCCTCAATACATCTAGGGTGTAAATCTGCCCCAGTAGCTCTTCCCTCCGCGGGTGTCGGATGAATTCCGACACCGCGGATGGTAATAGTCCTCTTCGTTGCCAAACGGCCACATGGGAATCACACAAACCTCATCGACGCCACACCCAGAACAGCGCTTAAAGCGCGCCCAGTCTAGATAGTCCACCAGCGACTGCAGCCTTTTTCTAGCCGCTGCGAGTGTTTGCTCACCCGTCAGCTGTTCGCTCTCCAACAACTCGCGGACGGCAAAAAGCGCCGTGCAAATCTCCGTCGTGACTTGTCGAAAGGCCGCATGAATGAGATGATCAGATTCCGACGCCGGAGAAATTGCCTGTAGATAAAAATCGCGGCAGTGCTGCGCGGCATTTTCCAAAGACGGTTCATCCTCGTCGGGGTAATCGATGTATACGTCGAGCAGGAAGGCTACTTCCAGCGCTAGCACGTCCACCGAAGGGACGTGTTGGACCATGTATTCCAATCTGTCGGCGTACCGGCTAACAATGATATCCGAGACATCTTGCCAGTCTATACTTGGTGGGGTTTCATCTCGACGCTTCTCAACAGTAGCATTGAAATACTTGTTGATAGCAGCTAGCTCGGCACCAGTAGCTTCAGAAAGCCTCGGTAGATCAGGCCGCCCAGCATCAGGATTAGTCAAATTAACCGAGAAAAAAAACGCCGACACCATGGACGAATAGTCAATCACGGTCCGCGACGATCCAATGTCAAAGTACCGCTCCGCTATGCCGCGGAGGTACTCAAACTGCCGCGTCTCGCTCCGAAGTTCACGACTACTCCGCCGAAAAGCCTGCACTTGCTCCAACCCATCCGTAAAATCGCACTTGATAATCTCAAACCCAGCCTCCATGCGAATAATCCCCTGCAGATCCCACTCCTCACAAAGCCGGCATAGGAACTCGGCCCGCTCCCGCTCTCGTATAGGCGTGTTGCCCTGTCGTTTATCTTCATGAGAGTAGCGGCTGCGCAGCAGGTAATCCTGCGTGTCGAGGGTCCCCATGTCCGTCTTCCCGCCGCTCATGCCGTCGACGTAGAGGAACCGAAGCGGCCGAGTGGTCCGGTACACGTGGAGCCAGCCTCTTTCCGCGCCGCCGCCCAGGACGTTTTGCCGGTGTGCGGATGACGACCCCGGATTCTGCTTCGGCGGCGGGCCGAAGCTGCGCGTGAATCCTTCCGCGTGTTCAACCTCGTACGCGAGCCAGTCTGGCTCGGAGGGGCTTTGTGGGCGGAGGTTTCCGTGGTGGAAGAGGACGCCTGGGGGGACGGTGGCGAGGAAGAGCGACATGCCGTTGTGGTGGACTGACGAGCCCCATTGCCGCAGGGCGTTGTGGACGGCGTTGAAGATTTGCGGTGCGCGAAGGCGTGCAAGCTCGGCGCTGGGTCGTAGATGCTCGTCCTGATTACTGAGTGCTAGGTGCGACAGGGCGCAGAGCCCGAGGAGAATGGGCGCGGGAACCATGTTGTCCAATTTCAATAGATGTCAATAGCTAGGTCCTTCGAAGTTGTGACCTCAGCACTCGACGGCCGTACCTCTCTTTTAATGCCGGGCTCGGAGATGTCGTCTAGCGCCGAGACGGACACGGATCCGATGGCATCAGATAAGATACTCCGCAGATAGTACGCGTCCACACATTTCGTGTGTGTGGATTGATACCCCGTCATCTCCACGAGGTCCGGGATTAACTACCAGACGCACTATGTTACACAGTTGGCACACAACAAAGGGCATTGGGCCAACAGGTTACACAACAACAAAGGCAACGGACGAGGCCCGAAGTCGGTCACAAGCAAGGGCTGCCTCAGGCACACAGCCCTCACCAACTTCCTGTATTTATAGGGACCTTCCGTCCCTCAAGGCGTCTGGTCGTGCTAAACCAAGGACTTTTGATGACCTAAAGTCGCACGATTGTTATAGATTGAATTGAACCCCCTGTTCCAGCCCAGTTATCCTGCCCTTGTCACAGCATATCAGGATGGCCCATTCGAGTACATGATACAACTCACCCATGTATTTGCAGCTTCATACAGTCGTGTCGTGACTCTTGATAAATTAATTTATTACCCTTTCCATGGCCATGATATTCTATCCCATGTTTCATGTCGGCCAGTTTTCGCGCAAAATGCTCCTTCTTCCCGTGCCGCTAACATGCTCATTTTATGCCAACTATATACAAACTAGGCTATAACTGAGATTTTGCCCTCGGACTCTCCTGATAATCAAACTGCATGTACCCCCCGTGATCTCGCTCCGGATCGCCGCTCCACGTACTTCTCGTAGCCGTGCGAACCACGTCCGCAGGCTCGGTCAGTCTAGCCGTAGCATCCAGCTCATGCTCCGCGTTGTTGACGGGGCTCTTGTACAAGTATCTCGACGGCTCTCGATACGACGCCTTTTGCGAATTCCCATGGCTCGAGGCAATCGACGTCATGCCAAATACTCTCGGCCAGATGCGCAGCAGGATCAACCGTATACTAGGCAAACAAGTGCAGATCAGACCGATATTTACCTCGACGGCCGACCAGAGAGTGACGGAATACTGGTCATACGTCGGGTTTGTCGTCTTGGCATAGTCCTTGAGAGTGTTGAGGCGAAGGATCGAAATGACAGTGACCCTGCCAGTATCCAGTCAGTTGTTGCATTCCACGTTGATGTTCTGATTATGCCCAACAGCAAAAGGGGGTATACGTACAACAAGCCCGTCATAAACATGAAGGAAGCGCCAATCTTCTTCTTCCAATGAAGCTTCAGCCTGTGCAGCTGCGTGATAGGTATGCCAATGAGCCAAAAGTCAGTGGCCACATTGACAGCAGCGTTAACATACGCCGATACGTGAATGTTGACGCAGTGGCCGTGCGTCGTCGCCGCGTTGCCCGCATCGTACCGCAGCCAACTATACTCGACGGGGGTGCATTGAAAAATCGTCTTGCAGACAAATCCAACGCCAAACAGGACGTGGAACACCACCGTCCCCAGAAGAAGCTTGCGGATCACGGAGCTAGGAAAGATCTCCAAGTAGAACACGGACAGCGTCAGTTTGACAAGCGTGAGAAGCGTCAGGTACAGCATCTCCATGACGTAGAGGAACAGGCCAAAGGTGACGACTTCTTCGGAGCTGAGGCCCCAGACGTCCTTGCCGATGCCGTGCTTCCACAGCCCGGCGAGCAGGGTGGTCAGGCTGGCGATGGCGACGGGCGACGCGAGCAGGATCAGGCCGTCGTCGATGTCGAGGCGCCCGTTCCGCCGGCTGAAGAAGAACCTGTACGCGAGGCGCATGACGATGACGGCGGCGGTGATGAGCCCGAGGACAATGTTGATGACGAGGAACGGCGCCGAGGTGTCACGGACGGGCGTCTCACATGCTATCTCTGTGGCGTTTCTGGCGACTACACCGCGTGTCAGCATACACTTGAGCATCGGCTACAGTATTGTGGTTCATACAGATTGCCTCGGGCAGCGGGCACGCGCCGAGGAGGCATCCTTGTAGTGATTCGCTGTTGGAAACGGCGTGGCAAGAGTAGAGGTTTCCTGAAGCAGCCAGCGGGCTGTAGCAGTCGGCCTAGACGGCGTGTCAATATATGTATCGACTCGACATGTCTGGTCGGTCTCTGAAGACGACGTGTGGACTTACGGCACAGCTTGGCAGGTTGGCAAGCTCGACAATGGCCCGGCGAGTCGCGTCGGCCGACTCTTGCGACATGCCGCCGGGAAATGCCGCAGCAAGCTACCCGAGGAAAATCAATGGACTGTCCCAAGCCGTTTATACTGAGGCGATTGGTGTCGTGGAATCCATCTGTGTCTGGAGGCGTCGAGTTGGAAGCAGGGCGAGGCTCGTTGACTCGTGGGATCACACCGAAGACCAAGGGCTGGAGAAGCAGTCAGAAGACGAGGCTATAATATCAATTGATGCCAGGTGGACATTGGATAAGGGCCGTGTTGACCTTGACTGGGCAGACTCTTCCGCATGGCACCAGGCACGCCACCAGACCAGACCAGACCAGACTCTATATAACCGCCACGCAGAGCCTGTCCATGGCTGACAGTTGGGATCTGTGCGCAGACTCGACGGGCGTTTCTCGATTCTTCACGTCGACTGTCGCTGACATCGGGACGCCCTGACGCCGGGGACATGAATGGAGGCCAGGAGAGCCGGCGCTGTTTTTAGGTTGGACGGGCCCAACTATCGCCACTAGCTGCGAGGTCTGAGAGCCAACATGAAATGTCGTCGGGGGGGATGATTGGCGCGAGTGGGCATGGTCATGTATGTAAGGGGGGACAGATCAGGCTGAAGTGGGAAGGGGGAAGAGGGCAGTGGCATTGTGTTTTGCTGGCTTGACGGGAACTGAGGGTATCGCGTGACTTTGTACCAGACAACCAGACCAGACAAGGCAGGAGCGGTCTTCGGCGTTGGCCGTCAGACTTGACTCCACGGCCACGTTTTGTTTCCATCAATTGATGTTCCATTGGTGTCTCCAATTGATTATTTGCTGCATCGAGTCGGCACACGTCGCTGGTGACAGTCCAAGCCATCAATCCCAAATCCCTCAGCTGCAAGTTGACCTCTCACCTTTCCCCCCCCCGACAAGACGGCCATCAGCCTTCTGGCTAGACTGCCAAGTTCCATCAGTTAATGTCACCTCGGCATCGCCAACGGCTCGTAGCAGAGTCAATGGCCCCGGGCATGAGGCCATTCTGACCTGGGTGCAGTGAGCACTAGACGGCCCCGACGTTTGATTCAGCACCGATCCGTCACGCATCGAGGCAAGCCGGGCGAGGCTAAGCGTAACTAAACTGAGCCGGACATTGACAGAGTGACATTCAGCCTCCCTTGACCAAGACATGCAGCAACCCGGCCGACGGCCCCGGTCGTCGATCTGGTCTGGTCGCAGCGAACGACTTGCCAGCGTGTTTTGGCGATGCTACCCGTCAGTCACCTAGTGGTCATTTTGGCATCAATTGATGTCTCTCTTTTTCATTACGGAGTATACTGTGTGTGACATGGAGGGTCAATCGACAGCCCCGGCCCCTGTCCGCCTCAACGGTCGCGTACATGCAGTAGTCAATATGTCTGGTTCGCATCAGCTCGTCTCCATCCCATCAGGCCAGACCAGGCCCGTGATAGGGCCATTCCGGCGACACTAACCCTGTGCTACCGACGCATTGACTTTGATGGCACTTGGCTCAACCTGTTTCCTGATGTCTGGTCCGCTCCAGGGACATCGAAATAATGAGCCCAGGCCAGGGCCCTATATTCACCAGACGCTCCTATAGCACCAGACTTGACATATTGACATCAGGGAACAGCAGGCCAGAAATATCGATGCAACCCGACCAGACGCCACAAAGTCTGCAACGTCTGGTTTCCAGGAAATTACCCCGGCCTGTTTTCCCTGCGCCACCCGACATGAGCTGTGGCGCGCCAAATTCCCGCATTTCAATGTTCCTACTCCGTATTCTGCCCTCAACGCCCTCCCAGTCCTCCGACTCATCAACATTCAAGTCATACTCCGTACCAAGCAACAACCAGTCGTTCCCAAGCCCCCATCTGTCCAAGACCACTTCCCATGCTCCCGCTCAGCCACAAACAGAAGTCATAGCATTGCAATTGAGGCCCGCGCAGCACGGGACCGCATTCCCACAGCGTGCGCCGCGCTCGTTGCACGCCTGACAACGCGAGTTTGGCCAGCTACAATAGAGTCCGGCGCAGCATGGGACGGCATTGCCACAGTTCTGGCCCTGTCCGCCGCACGTCGTGCAGATGCTGTTCGGCCAGCTGCAGAAGAGTCCGGTGCAGCACGCGTTGCCGTTGCCGCAGTATTGGGCTTGCGCAACGCAGCGCTTGTCTAGATTTTGAGGCGACTCTTTTGTTGGGCTGCAGAGGCCTAGGCCTACGAGGGTGGCCGTGACGAGATGGCCAATCATCATCTTGTGGTTGTGACGGGAAAGAAGAGCAAAAGATTGGTACAGGAGTCGTGGAGAAAACGAGAAAAGGCAGCTTGCAGAAGCACGTAGACTGGTATATATACTTGCTTGCTCGCGTTCGTAGATGAATGTGGTCAGCTGGACGGGGGCTGCTGAGCTGGTCTGACTATTCTCCAATGAGGCATATGCGAAAGCAAATATTCTGTCGCTGCGTTGATGTAGGTTGCATGATTGGCTGGATGGTGTTGGAAAGTGATGCTTACACGATCCTTGCAGGAGGCGTCGTGCGACGCCTGAGTGCGTTTAAGCTCTAGAAGGTATTAAGTATCTTTCCGAGGAAGCAGTCACAGTGTTTACGGTGAGGTTTCTGTTGGAAGCATTACATGGTATAGTCGTCCAAGGACTCTTAATAGCTGGGTTGTAGGATAACAATTCACAGCTTAGACATTCTTTCCATCCATGTGCCGCGCGAGGTTATGGGAATGGCTTATGGGTATTTTGCGCCTATCCCGCAGCCCGCAGCTGAACATGCAGTCGCCGTTCCGCTTCAGCCGCATGCAATGTCGGCCGACTTTGGGCATCATGTTGGCGGATGTGACTACTGGTCGCTCATCGAGATTCATAAATACTCTGAGGCGGCAGGACGAACCACCATATCACCACCATACGGCGCGGCGTGTTAAGAAACTATCTGGGACGGGAAGTTTCTTCTACCGTTGGATGACATTTGCTTCAGTAGCCCGCACTGAGTAATACCAGGGAAAACATGCGGTTGCATCAATGCCGTTTTAGGTACTCCGTACACAGCATGGAAACTGCGGCCATCAATTTGACCTACATGTGTATCACGACACGTCTCGTACATGTCGACAACACGCAACATCCTTGTCCTCTTGCCGTCTTCAATGCATCTCATCTATCCCCAAAGCCAGTAACATTATTGCTCCGCCTTGTGATACACCCAGGCGGTTACATTGTCAGTCCCTGGGGTCAAGGCCGCTTACCGCACTAAGTGTATTTTCTTCATTACATTTTCAAATAGATAACAATAATTTTGTCACGCGATTTTTACAATTATTATTAAAAACATACTGCTCTAAAAACAAGGAGTAATTATGTTAGCACTTGAGCGGTGTCGCCTTCCTGATACCCTCAAGTTGCCCCGAACATGAGCCACGTTGCATATCTCGTCATAACTGCCTTTTGATAGAAGTTTTCATGTTAAATATTGTATACACGATCCATGTGATACTATTCAGGCACATTCACTCGGCAACCCGGATCTGCAGCTTGCAAATCATGCTTGGCACAATTGCCGACTCATAATGCGTTTCACCAACGCCAAGATTCAAAACCTTCAACCACAATTCAACCTTTTACATTCGTCAGTTGCATAACACGATAATGGCGCAGCAACTTCAACTCCCAGACTGTCGGAGCCTGGGTTCCCGACTGTCTGGCGTACAGCATCGGTTTCCGTTGCTTTGGATACACGGTGCGGGAGCCTACGCCGTCTTTCCCGCGTAAGAAGCGGCCTGCGGCGGCAAGGGTCTGAAACAGATTACCAACGATACCTGGATATGGTGGCTCGACAAGACAACGAGGAAGGAGGGTAATTCATATTGCACAAGATCTGCAACGGCGAACGGAGCATGCCAAACATGATGATGACTTGGGATTCGTAGACGCGTCTACTATTCTCCTAGATGCGAATAGCAAGGTGCTACCGGAAAGCTATACTCCGAACGAATCATTGTTGGAAAATATTCAAGAGGAGCTGAGGAACGGCTCTGGTGGCTGAGTTGATGATGATGTTGCTTTTACCCGGCTGTGGGCTTTAGCCCAGAGAGATTGAGATCCCGTTCCGTATCAAGGAGACGACGACAATATGGTATTTTCTCATGGATGAGTTGCTTGCCCCAGACACTCCTTTCTCTGGATCTAAGCCTTACTTGCTGCGAGGAAAGGGCACATTTCTGTCTTTCTTGAACATCTCGACCTGTGCTTGGCGGGTTGCCGCTATATAGATAGACCTGCAATTTCTCCATATTCATGATGGTGGCAAAGTTCAGATCGCAATAGGGTTAATCAAGTTGTGTTGTCGGGCTCACCTGAAATAAACATGTCGACATATTAACCCAAGAATAGGTTCCCCAATGTTCGGTTGAATCCATCGAGGGTTTCCTTTATAGGTATTTTAGAACTCTAAACTTAGTCTTTTATTCTACTACGAAGATAATAGTGAGATGGTTCCGCCGCTTTGCCTGCAGGGGCACTTGCCAGGTTTCTGGGTTATCTGGCTCAGGGAATACATTATCGCTAAACACGGAGAATTCGGCGAGCCTGCGACGTCGGAATCGCATTTCACGGTACCTTTCTCATTATAGTAAATTCACTACGCCTGAAGCCACATCTCTCCCGACGGCACCCCAAGCTGTAAGCGGGCGGCTTGGATCAACGCTGGGGTCTTTCGAAACATCGTTTGTATTGGTTCCATTTACCGCAAACTGAAACCATGCAAACGCCTTTCTTCCTGGCCGTGACAAGGGTGCATACCAGTAATGGGCTGTGTGAGCGCGGAAGGAAATTTTCCCGTAGGAGTAGAAGGGGTGCCATTCCTATACTCGCAAGGATCGACGGTTTTCAAGAGGGCCAGCCTATTCATAAGGGGCTTTGGTGCTTCAAACCGCCCTGAATCGTATTCCTGGAGGAACTACCCCATGGGGAATGAATGCCGCGTCTGATGGTTTCCAATTAAGACTTGTGTGTTCCGGGGATTTATTGTAGCCTTTGACCGAGTCTGTCAACCCGTCGGCGGGTAAGCCGGTGTTTGATTCTCTGTTTCCCAAAAACAACTCGACATTTGGAACTGGATGTAGTGCGTATACTCTACTCATATCAGTGATGGACGAATTATCAATTATTCGGACCAACGTGGCTATGTCCAAGTCATATCCCTCCTGGACAGATGGAAATCAGTGTTATTGCTACTGAGATACAATTCCATTCCCATTTCGTTTCACTGCTTGAAGCCTCTACACGTTTGCATGCTTTAAGAGGTGGTCACGGCTCTTTTGATTTGCATACTTCCAAAAGGCATAATGAAGTAATGACAATGAGACTCATGGGCCATGTATGACGACTCGTCATGCCTAGGACACATACCCTGTAGCATGTAGTACAAACAAGCAGCAAGTCTTCCAGCATGATGGATAGTCTGATGAGTACGGAAAGAGGAAATAGATCTTAGAATTTAGCTTTTTTTACAGCCAAGGTCAAAGCATTTTACTATGAATGCAAAGCCCCAGCCCAAGACGTCATCTCAACGGCCAAGAGATGCAGCGGTGATGTATATTCCTACTAACACTACCACAATGCTTTCAGTCCTTTAATCAAGTAACTATCCCATTAAGACGCATAGTACGTGCCTTCACCAAAGGTCTTTGATAAAATTGCCTTTTTTGAGCGTATTGCTTGGAGAGAAATAGTCGACCTACTGTCAACCAGATGTAGACTCATAGAGAGCGCCGATTACGTGATTCGGAGTAATTTCCTGAAAAGTATAAACATAAACCAGCAAATCGTTGGCTGGTTGCCAACAGAAAATCGAAGCAAGGATAATCACCCAGCCAAGATTCCGAACTATCGCGACTAGCACATCAAGATAAGTCCCCTAGCCATATCAGCATCTGTTCCAAGGAGTAACACAATTCAGAAGCATGATCCTAACCCCTTAATATCACACATTCCCCAGGATACGCTCGGACGCAATATTCTCGTGCATGACTATGTCGCACAGCCAGGTTCGCCTACTGTATTCTGATCATCACTGCATCAATTCGCTTCATGCGAATAGATGACTAAACAAACGCCTCGGGCTGACATGTGCGAATATTGGTTGCCAACACCACATTTCATAACTTCCAAGCTCAACGTATTTAATTCAAAAGGTTCCAGGCCTTTCACTACGAAGCAAGACTCCTCCCCTATCACGGCGGCCGGGTTCCTGGAGCCGCGTTTAGAATGTCCCAATTAGGCAAAGCGCCCCGTCAGTCCAACAACTTCAAACGTTATAAGTGTGAACAAATAGGTTATCCGATTAAAATAGACACTCAGACTCTCGGATTTGAAACTCGACAATCGCAACAGTGGGCCTCTTGGGTATCACTGAAACACCAAAAAACGGCATCAATCAAGTACGCTTCGCCTAGACCCCAGACTCTGCCTCTCTGCGCGGCGATTGCCCAAGCCCACCGGTTCATCACAGGGATGTCAACGGTAATGCTGATGTAAAGGCAAAAGTGGCTTTGACCACGGACGCATAATCCCGTGGATGCGCAATCGCAAGCTTGCCCCCTTTCCGTGCAGACACCACTGGACGACTTCTGCGGAAACAGATCCCAAACACGGTTCCACCGCGCCTCGCCTGCGGAAACGAGACGCCCGAATCTCGCCTGCACCCATGTAGTAGATCAGAGCGAGTCGCCTAGAAGAGAGGCCCGCGGGGGCTGGTGTATTCTTCCCCTTCGGCAACATGTGGGGATCGCCGGGGAGCGTCCTCTTCAAACTCAAACGTGTTATCCTCCGGACCTGGGTGGAAACAATGCGCTCCGTGTCGACGGCCCATTCAATAAGAGGGCCTTGTCCGGGCACGCCGTGCCGATTCTACACAGCGACTGACCTGTGCTTCGTCGCGCTGGACTCGAGCATCCTGTTGTTGTTGGTCGCAGGTCGACGACATGTCATTGTTGGACCCGGAATCCCTTGTTTATACAACCTTGTAATACTCGACGCGTCGGCACTGGCATTCTGCCTCGTTGCATAATGGTTCAATACTTGAACTGCCGATGGAGCCACCTATTTCTTTCTGTTTTTCTTCTTTTCAGCGTAATATCCACGGCGTGGGCGCAAGTCCAACATGCCGTCGAGCCGGGCGACGAGGACGAGGATGGTGACGGGAGCCCGCAAACACCAAACTTGCACAGCATCATGTCGGCGGAAACGGTGCGGGCCATTGTGCAAGATAATCAGCTGCGGCACACGTACATGGCTCTCGTGGGCGTGTTGAGCGACACGTCCCGCGAGGCAGCTGGGCGCTACGGCGTGTCTGAACTTGGCATGCTGGCGGATGACTTGGACGCCCACCTCCGTAGTGTGAATGACAACACGGACGAGGCGTACCGACTGGAGCTCAAGAGGACGACTGCCGCCGGTCATGCGACCAAGAGGGCGGGGCCGCTCGGGGGACTGCTTTCCGGGCTTTTGGGAGGCAACAAGGGAGGGGATCGGGGCAAGGCGGATGCCGGCGATCAAAACGGCAGCGGAGCAGACGACGCCGCTGGAAACGACGGCGGAGGAGGACTCGGCGGACTGCTGGAGGGTTTGTTGGGCGGCGGGGGAAAAGGCGACGGTGCCGGCGGCAAGGCGGGAGGTCTCATCTCGAACGCCATAAGCGGTGCCGTCGGGAATCTTCTCTCCAAGACGGGCGATGGCCTCGCCGGGGCAGGTTTCTTCGGAGGCGTCGGTGCCGGCGAGGGAGCGGCCCAGGGTCTCTCGCTGGCTCCGGCGTCCATGACCAAGAGCACCGCCCAGCAGGTCGCGGCGGACAATGGCATGAAGAATACAGGACTGAACCCGGTGATTCAGAATGCGGCCATGGGACTCACGGCCACCGCTGTCAAGGCCCTCATGGGCAGCAATATCTTGAAATTGCCGCCGCTCGGTGGTCTGGGGACATCGCTTGGATCAGGGATAGGCAACGGCGCCGCCGTGGGCCTGGGCCTGTCGCAGAGGAATTCCGGGCCGCCGCTGAACGGGACAAATCTCGAGGACGCGATTGGGGGTTTCGGCTTCGGGGCGAGCCAGGCCTTGACCTCGAGCTTGAACGGGACCCAGGGTTTGGCGTCGTTCCTCCCGCCCATTGACGTCGGGGCGACAGTGGCAGATGTCGGGACGGGAATTGGAAAAGGCGCCGCCGTGGGACTCAAACTCACAAACAATACTGGCGTTGCGCCTCCGCCGCCTGCATCCGGGTCGGATATCCCCCGTCTCGCGGGCACGCTTGCCTTTGGCCTCAGCCAAGGCCTCACCGGCTCCATCGATACCGGGACTCTGAACAGCCTTGTCCCCTCCAACCTCGATATTGGGGGCACTGTTCTCAACTTGGGAACGGGACTCGGAGGCGGTGCCGCAACCGGGTTGAAGCTCGTCACGCAGAACAAGAACCTCGCTCCTCCTCCGCCCAAGTCCGTGGCCGACATTCCCGGCATTGCCGGCACGTTGGCATTTGGTCTCAGCAACTCGTTTACAGACAACCTCAATGTCAGCGCGAATACCCTGGCGTCCATGTTGCCGCCGATAGACTTTGGAGCGGCGGCGTTGGACGTCGGCAGCGGCATTGGCAACGGAGCAGCTCTCGGCCTGAAGCTCACCAACGCCACAACCTTTACACCGCCGCCGCCCGGGTCGCAGTTGGATATTCCCAAGGTAGCAGGCACGCTCGCATTCGGCCTCAGCAAGAGCCTGACGGACTCTGTAAACGTCAGCAGCCTGGCAGGCAGCCTCCCCAGCAACCTCGACATTGGCGGCGCGGCGCTCAGCGTAGGAGCCGGGCTCGGAAGCGGTGCCGCGCGGGGACTCAAGCTCACCTCCAAGAACATTGCTCCGCCGACGGCAAAATCGGCCCAGGACATCCCCGGCATCGCGGGCAGTCTTGCGTTTGGCCTCAGCAACTCCCTCACCGACAACATCAACGTCAGCGCAAACAGCCTCGCCTCCATGCTGCCCCCCATCGACTTTGCCAGCGCGGCCCTGGACGTCGGAACTGGTCTGGGCAAGGGAGCCGCCGTGGGCCTGAAGCTGACGCAAAACAACGGCACTGGCTTCTCCATGGCGTCGCCGGCGTCCGCGGCCGATATCCCCAAGATTGCGGGCTCGCTCGCCTTCGGCCTGAGCAGAAGCCTCTCCGAATCCGTCAACACAAGCAACGTCGGGCTTGGAAACGTCCTCCCCGCCGACTTTGACCTCGGAAGCGCCGTCCTCGGTGCCGGGCGCGGCCTGGGCAGCGGCACGTCCTTGGGGCTCGGGCTGGCGAGCAACAAGAACTTCACGCCTCCCGCGGCAAAGTCTCAGTCGGATATTCCCGGCCTCGCAGAGGCATTCACCTTTGGGCTCGGCAACTCCTTCACCGACAAGATCAACGTCAGCTCGCAGGTGAGCAGCCTCGGTTCCATGCTTCCCCCCATCGACTTTGGCGCGACGGCGCTCAACACCGGCGCCGGACTGGGCCTCGGTGCCGCCAAGGGGCTCCGTCTGACAAACAAGGCTCTGGCCCCGGCTAGTCCGGCAAGTATCAATGACATACCTAATATTGCGGGAAGCTTTGCCTTTGGCCTCAGCGACGCAGTGGCCGGCAATCTCAACACGACGGATCTGCTGTCCCAATTCGGCGGCGGCAGCGGCAGCGGCATGGACGCCCTTTTCAGCGGAGGCGTCAACGGCCTCCTATCCAGGTTCGGGTCGCCGGCAGCATCCGGCCTAGGCAAGGGCCTTGGGAAAGGCGCGGCCATCGGCCTGGGTCTTCAGCCCGACGGCCCCCCCGAGCCGTTGGCATCCATGCCCGCCGGCGACGTCGACATTGCCGGCATCACGCAAAACTTTGCCGAGGGGCTCTCGTCGCGGTTCCTTGCGAATGGGACCGCTACCAAAGCCCTTGGGAGCTTGGGCAACGGCACGGGCGGCCTGGCGAGTCTGACTTCGGGGATCGACATCGCCCGCGCGGCCGGTGGCTTCACACGAGGCCTGATCACGGGTGCCGGGGACGGCGTGCAGGCCATTGGCGGCATCAACGCCATCCTCAACGGGACTTCTAAGCAGCCGAGCGCGGAAGTGCCCGACAGCAGAGTCGATTTCAACGACTCGACGGGCGGTGCGGCCGTGGGCTTCGGCCAGGGCTTGGGGAGCTCTGGCGTCGTCACGCTGCAGAAGTTGCTCGCGCAGGGCATCAACTTGGGCGCGGTGCTGTCCGGGGGCTCCAAGGTGAAGAGGGATGTAGAGGAACCGACCAGGGCGCTGGCGCTGGCAGGTCGAGACGAGGGTGCGGCTTCCGGGCTCAACTTGTCCAGCCTGTTCACGGCGGATTCCATCTCTGCCGTGGCGCAAAAGGGCGTCGACGCCCTGACCTGCGATGGCTTCGCGGGCGTGCTGCTCGTGGCCAGCGGCCTGCAGAGCAGCGGCTCCGTCTCTTTGGGTGGCGGGGGTTTGAGCGAGAATGTGCAAAACGCCCTGAGGGCGCTCATCCCCAAGAGCATGATTCGCGTCGTGTCGCAGGGAAACACGTTTGACATTGACGGGAAGCAGTTGGGCGACGTCTTCATATCCGGCGGCAACGCGGTGCAAGCCTTGTCCGTCAACGGATTTCCCATCAACATATATACTGCGTTTGTATCTTTGCATGGTAAGCCCGTCACAAATCCTTGATCCACGTGTAGTCGAGCACAAAAGACACTAACATGTATGATGTGGCTAGTTGGGTCTGCCATTATTGGGTTGTTTTTCCTCATGCCCTTCGTCATGAGTCTCACCAGCCTGCGAAACATCCTCACTCGCCTACGCGTGCCGGATGTGCTGCCGAAATGGACACCCAAGGTCTGCAGGCTGACCGTCATCTTTGGCGTGATCCCCTCCCTCATCCTCCTCCCGGTCTTTGGTATTCTCGCCGCGTCGGGTACTCAGCATTTTCGCACCGCCCACGGGGTAAGTTTGATTCACTCCTCCACCTTTTTCCACCCCCAACGACACTGACAACTCGGCAAGATCCTTGGCCTCATCACCTTCATCGTTGCTATAGCTGCTGTCGTGCTGTACTTTTACTCCAAGCCTGCTGCGCTCACTCCCGGAGACCCCATCCCGGGAAACAGCCAAGTGACCCGGTTGTCACTCGCCTCCAACCTCGTGTACCAGCTTCTGTCGGTGCTCTTGTTCTTCACCGCCATCACGGGATACGCCGACTTGAGCAGTGTGACATTGTGCTTGACAAGGGCTGTGGTTAACTTTGAGACGGCGGTTTGGATCGGAATGGTGCTCGTGCCAGCTTTTGTCATTGGCCAGTTTTTAACCGGCTCGGAACTGCTGCTGGTATACCGAGCGCGCAGGAAGGCAAGAAAAGCGAGAAAGGCGGCGGCACGCGAAAAGACACAGGGGGTCCAAGTCGCAGAGGAGCAGTAGAGCTGTTCTGGTGCTGGGAGAGAGGGTACATTGCGAAGAAATCAGGCACGAAATGATGAAAAATAGCACCCAACTTGTCTGTATCATGACTGAATGTTTGCGTAGCTCGTCCATCTGCCATCAGTTGACACCGTTTAGCCGCAGCCGGCAACTTGAAATATGAAAAATTTGAATGCCAACTTTTGACTCTTTATGTGTCAGTGCCAGTGTGGGAATGTGGTAGCCCATATCGCGTTTGTTTTGCGACGTCGCCATTCTGCATAGAGGCATATGTTTCCTGATTGAAATGAAGCTTCTACCGGCGCAATCTGACCCAAACTACCGTTCTAAACGCCCTATCAATACAGCAAGAAATCCACAACCTATTCCAAGATCAATAAAGGCTTCTCCTATAACTTCGGCTTGAGAATTTCACCCCTTTCATCCCTATAAGTAGCAAGTTTGTTCCTCTTGCTGTCTCCGCCGTGGCTGACTTGACAGGGGGCGTCGAACACTCCAGCGCCCGTCTTTTGCCCTCGTCTCTCCGCTTGGACGTAGTCTCTCTGCCCCTCGCCGAGATACAGCTGCCTCGGGCGCCAGATCTTGACGCCCGACGGGTTCAGCATCTGCTGGCGCCAGTGCGCCAACCAGCCAACACACCGGGGCACTGCGAACAGGACGGGGTAAAAGCTACAAGGGAGCGGTTAGCAAGATGCACGTATAAATAGGCAGACAAGGTCTGGAATGATACGTACTCTAGCGGGAATCCCATGGCCTGATAGATGAGGCCCGAGTAAAAGTCCACGTTGGGATACAGGTTTCGGCTGCGCATAAAGTCGCTCTCCCCAGCAAGCTTAGCAAGAGCCAGCGCCGTGTCGAGGAGCTTGTTGCGGCCAGTCACCTCAAAGACCTCCTCTGCAAGCTGCCGAATAGCCTTTGACCGCGGGTCCACGTTCTTGTACACGCGGTGGCCGAAGCCGACGAGGACGCGCTCCCGCTTCTCCACCTTGGCCATGAAGGCGGGCACGTTCTCGGGAGACCCAATCTCCATGAGCATGCGTATGGCGCTCTCCGAGGCGCCGCCGTGGGACGGGCCGTAGAGCGCAGCACACCCGGCGGCAACGGCGCTGTACGGGTCGACCAACGAGCTCCCGACCTGGAGGACGGTTGCCGTGGAGCAGTTGACTTCGTGGTCGGCGTGGATGATGAACAGGGCGTCGAGGGCCCTCTCGAGCACGGGGTGCGGGCGGTACTCGTGTCCGGAGAGGTTGTCGAGCAGGTAGAGAAAGTTGCCTGTGTAGGACAAGCCCTGGGCGGGCCGGTTGAAGGGCCGGCCCTGTCGCATGCGGTACGATGCGGCGGCGAGCGTGGGCGCCTTGCCGATGATGCGGAGAATCTGCTTGTCGAGGACCTGGAGGGCGGCGGGATCGCCCGTGGCGGCATCCGTGTAGAGTTTCTGGCCTTGCAGGGATGGGTTCGCTTCTGGGGCAAAGGCGCCCAGGGTGGCAAAGGCAGAGGTCATCATGGACATGGGGTGAGAGTCATAACGGAAGGACTTGAACATGCCCTCAATGTCGCTGTGGATATACGTGTGGTGCATGATCTCATCTTGCCAGCTCTGGAGCTGCGAGCCGGTCGGCAGCTCGCCGTAGATGAGCAGGAATGCGGATTCGAGGAAGTTGCTCTTGTTGACGAGCTGCTCGATAGGGTACCCTCGGTATCGGAGGATGCCATCCTGGCCATTAATGTAGGTGATTTTGCTCTGGACGACGGCTGTGTTCATGTAAGCCGGGTCGTAGACTCGGAGGCCCTGGCTGGTCTCATCCTCGGCACGGTCGGTGTGCGACTGCGCCTTGATCTTCTTGATGTCGGTGGCCAAGACCGAGTTGTGCTGGATGGGAAGCTCATAGCTTTTGCCGGTGCGGTTATCCACCACCGTGAGCGATGGACGGGGGATGGTCTTGACCGTCATGTTGGCTCGGGGCCAGGCGCGCGGACGAGCGGAAGTGTCAAGGTAGATGTCGCGTGGGAAGACGCAGTGATGATGACGGAGAAGCTGGGGTCGAGGAGTGACACTGCAATTGGAAGGGGATGGTTGTGTTGGGCGTTGCGCTTTTAAGTCTGGCCAGAGGTGACGAGCTTGGCATATGAAACGGCTCAATTCGGGATGAGCTTCATCAAGACCGAGGCATCGAGTCCACGGTGCCAGCTGTCAAAATAACTGGGTCGCACAATCCGCCACATTCTGTTCATGTTCAACAGCACGTGCATCCAGATGGCCATTTGAACTAGAAACATGTCACGACCAATCAGACTGCATCGAAAATGCGTTCGTGTACGCGTACCAACATGACTGTACCAGCGCTGCTTATCCAACTCAGCTATCGTTGATTTCATATTTGCTACTTGAACCAAAGTCCTTGATCCATCGCGCTCATGGCCAAACTTCATTGGCCTTGCTACTTTGGCACCTGAGCCGGTGGCGGTTGACGGCAATGTAGCCACCAGGTCCAATAAATCACCATCTGGACAACATCGAGTCAATTTTCATGACCCCCAAGGTCATATATTTAGCATTGCCGTCGAGTCTTGTATCAGGATTGCCATCTTGGCGCCACCATCTCATCCCAACACTGCCGGCACGTCTTCCTGGAGATAATAGTCCCTCACCTCCCGTTTGAACCACAGCGTGGCGACCAAAGCCAAGCCATGGAAAACAGTCGTCAAAGATAGCGCCATGTAAAACGGGGTCCTCGGCGAGCAGACCAACTTGCAGACCATGACAAGCGCAGGAGAAGCAACAATCCACATGATACACACAGCAGCACAGGCCTTTCGCTCTGCGCCAACGGGACACGGCGACGGCACAGCCCCGATATCCTTGAGCACGCCCGCCGATTCCGGCACCACGCGCAGCCAGACGAGCGTCTGCCCTCGCCTGGTTGGCCCTTCGAGTGTCAACGGATACAAGGCATCGATGAAGCTCAACGGCCGCGGGATGACCAACGGCTCAGAGCTCGGTATCAGAATATGGAACCGGATCCCCTTGCCAGCATCTCCCATGGCTTGAACCAGCGCCACCCTGACGCAGAGCATCCATCTGCAGAGCACAAAGAGGTCGTGCGCAACACCTATAAACTCGGGCGGGAGCTGTCCCTCCGCCCTCTCCAGCCTCACAAACGCGCCCATCCAAGCGTTATCAGGGTGAAAAACGAAGAAGCAATGCCCGTTTCCGTCGTTTCGGTACTGGCTGATTTTCAAGGCGATAAAGTCCCATACCACCCGGGCGAACCCCAGAGAGCTGCAGTCCGTCATGACGATGAAGGGGTCGTTCATGGCGGCAACCATGCCGGCCATGTCTGGTAGGTGAAGCGGAATTTGATGGCCGTGGTACGTGTCGCAAGCCTCGGTGGTTATGGTTCCCGTGGCCATCAAGGCCTTGGTCCGCGATTTGATGGCCGAAGGCCTTGTCGGCGTCCAAATTGACGCCGAGTCATGTTGGATGACCCTTTTGCACGTCGATGCCGAGATGCCCGGTGCCCCGCGCGACAAGAGCCATTGAAATAGCGATGAGACGTCCCGAACCACGGAGAATATTCCCTCTCGCCACTCTGGATAGTTGCCCACGAGGTAGAATGCAATTCCTGCCGAATATACACATTGCCACATTGTCGCGACGTGCTGAGCATCGTGGGCACGTGGAGCAAAAAGTTGTTGCTACAAGCGACGGAGCAGAGACGTGGAATAGTAGCTAAACGCAACGATCTATATGCAATGCTGAGCGTTGATATCCGATTCTCATGGTGCGTATTGATGCCCAATGCCCCCGCTGCTGCAGCTTGTGTCAGACAAATGCATTTGTTCCTGGGTAAATGCGGTGTGACCAAGAAAAGAGTTGACGTCAAAATAGTCGCAACTGCTCAGTATGATATCCAAACCCACCAACGAACTTCTCTTTTTTTGCAGAAATTGGCAACATGTCAGATTCATTCTTGGCTTCCATGCGGAAACTCGTCCTTCCAGCCAGCGTATTCGATCAGCCCAAGGTGTATTGTACAACGACGCCGGCATTCGACATGCCGTCCCGTGTCTCAGATTCTGTGGCTATGCTCAAACCGTGCAAGAACACGGCATCCTGATTTGCAGGCAACTCCTGGCCCTGATGAACGTCATTCGACCGCATGTTGCACCAGCCTACCAGCATCGAAATACAATCGAGCAGTGATTTGGTGGTATCCAACGGGGACAGGTCTCGACGCAGCCCGCACTTTTTATAGCGCGGCGACGTAAAGCCGGCACATGGTGCGACCAGACTGGACAACATAATGGTCGCCATCAAGTCGACGCTAGCATATTGTCGGCAGACATCTTCTAGGAAACACACGCCAGGGCGCAATGAAAGGCCGTGTTGGCATCGTTTCGGTGATGGTTCCGTCTTCATTTGATAGCTCGTGTCGGCGTACGAGTTCAAGCCTCGTCAACGTGCTGTAGACACTATCAATCTTTCTGTTAGTGGGATATTCAGGTACGCTGGCTAGTCAAGACAGAATGCGGCTGTAAGTGCTGTCTAGTAACATAACCTGCTGGGTTTAGGCGAGGCCAAGGGCAAAGATACATATGTACCTACACTAATCCCAAGGGGAGCCCTATGAGAGCAATCTCCAGCCGCCCCTGCAACCTGAAAGATGAGACTCAAAAGTCCACCGGACGGTCATTCATGAGAAGCCGGCGGTTGGTAACCATATAAAGCTCCCAGTCGTAAATATTTAACCTCGGTCACAGCGCCTCGACCTGCCGAGACTCCTGTTGCCCTGTCTCGGTTCGAACCACCATTTCCGGCTCATACAAATCCTGTAAAAATTTCCTGTTTACCCTCTACTTTTTTGAATGCGTACGTATTTGCTCATTTCCATGCTCTCTCATGGTTGATCGTCTGCCGTGCAGCTTGCAGTGTATTTTGTTGAAGGATATTGTAAGTTGTAACCAACTTTTTTTCTTTCTTGCTGGTCAACTAAGCGGTCTAATTGGGATAATGCCATTGTTTTACAGCGCTTAAAGCTTGTAAGAATATAGACTGACTTTTCGTAAAAACTGCACACATACCATCTAAATCCCGAAACTTGCGATTAAATGTCATCGTAAATGCAAAGCCCGGCCTGCTTCCTGGCACTGGGGTCGTTGTCGGAGAGGTAGCCAATCAATGCTCCAGATTCTTCCCAAAAGGGAATATTTGCCCATGGAACCGGTGTGTTGATATGCTTGGCGTTCGGTGTACAGACCACAATCCCAGAGCGCTTTCACATGCATCATCGTGGGGACTCGAAAAGGTCTTCGTCCATCACTCACAAACTCGCATAAAAACGGGTCACTACCCAATGGGACATAAAGCCTTCACAGGGCAGGGCGCCTTCAGGTAAGCCATAAAGTTAAGAAAAAAGAATTGAAATGGACCGTATATGGTGACCCTTGTTTCCACTTGCGTATTCTACTCGCAAGCTTTATCATCGCTGATGCCCCGAACGCCTGCTCCAATAAAATCGAGCTGCTCAACCCATTATTCCTGTCGAGTTTTCGTAGGAGATGAATTCAATGGTCTTTACACTATGGCCGACGAGTTCTTACTTTGGGCATCGGTGACTGCGCACTCCACAGCACTGTAGAGATCACCGTGGAAAAAAGGCCTGTTGACGCCGTGAATTGCAGCCATCCGTGGATTGTCGGCTCTGCTAGAACCCTCCCACCTCCCTAGCTTCTTCGCGTAACCTGCGACTGCGGTGATAGTTCCTCGTGTCCGTTCCTCGTCAGTGTCAGTGTCCGTAACGCATCGGTTCTCGTCTCCAAACGGCCCTTCTTTCTCTGAAAGCGTCGCCGCAATGCTGTATATGGGCCTCCAATTTCTGACAGCCTCGGGATTCTCTGCAGTTGGATAACCAAAGCCCGCTACTCCTAGAGCGCGTCGCGTCCACCGGTTATGGACATTTGCAAAATGCCACTCAACAGTGTCTGGCGCGGAATAGTTATCTAGTTGGTTCCTCAAGTCGATGAGCCCTTGTACCGATGTAATATCGACATGATTCACTGCCCCGAAATCAAGGACAATGGCACGCAAATATGGAAGAAGATGAGAGTTTGGTCGGCGTGTCCTGCCCCCGGCGTCATTCCACAGACGGTCCGACTCTTTCTCGTACCCTTCATCGGACAACCTTTGTGTGTTCTGCTCGATATATTTGGCCAAAATGTCAATGTGGTACGCTTGATTGGTGTAATTGAATCCTTCATGTAGCTGATAAATGAAAACACCAGGATAGGGAGACTCAAGCTTAATGTCCGGGTTAATGGATCCAGATCTGTCCAGCGGTATAAACGCATCTGGTGCAGCATGGCATGTTTTGTCGCAGGCAGAATGGCCTTGGCCAGGCCTGTTCTGTTTCGCTGCCGAAATTCTCTTAGCCTTTACAACTCCCAAGAACGTTCCGCGCGTCCTAGCCAGTCGAACCAACACCAAAACAATTGAGAGGGCTGCACCCGCATAGATGGATGCCTCGAGCGAGACAAATATGGCCAAAGCGACTCCAACAACCCAGATCAAAAATTCAACGGGTGAGAGTTGCCAATATTTGTACAAACTACGAGGAGGCGTTAGCAAGTTGCAAACAGCATGGATGATGAGACCAGCGAGAGCAGCTTTGGGGATATAATAGAAGACTCCAGTCAAGGCATAAAGTGCAAGAATAAGGACCCCGGCACTGAAGAGTCCCGCTAGGGGGGTTCTGACTCCCGCCTTGGAGAGGACAGCAGAAGCACCAAAGGATCCTGTACAGACGTAGCCACCAACAAATGGACTGAGGATATTGGCAGCGCCAAGCGCTACGACTTCTTGAGACGGGTTAACCGTGTAGTTGTACAGCCTGCCCATAGCTTTCGCTATGGCAATGTGCTCAATGACCAAGATGATGGCCACGGCAGGCAATTCCGGTAGTACCTGCTTAACCAAATTCATTTCGATTCTTGGCACACCGGCGCGCTGAAAGCCTGTAGACAATGTTATGCAAGGCAAAGATATGATGGGTCTGACGATGGTCCTCACCTCGCTCTATGTGACCCACGATGCGAAATTTGGCGTTCCCCTCCGCCGTGCTTCGATTCGCCAAATAGCTGATTAAAGTATAGAGCAGCATAGTAAAAGTCAATCTCAAAGACGATATGAATGACCACATTCGCCTCCTCTTCGGTTGGCGCTGCTCCATTTGGGTGCATATCCCTCGAATACCGAACAGTAGTGCGATGGAAGAGAGGCCAACCGCGGCGTCGAGTTGAGTCTGGGGAAGAAGCTTGAGCGTCTGAATTATGACTTTATATGGTGGTTCTCTTGTGTTGACGCCTGGGAGGCCCAGCGCAGTAGGTATTTGGGTCGACATGATGGTGATGCTTGCCGCGGTGACGAATGCAGATATGGGAATATATGGGATGAACTCTACCACCCAGCCCAATCGCACCAGGCCCAGGAAGAGAAGAATTGCACCCGACATCATACTTAGGCAATGGGCCACCTGCTCGTTTGTATAATCTCCGGTATTTAGGGTGACTCTATTAACCACTTGCCCAACAAGCAGTGATCCTACTGCAGTTGTCTAGTGTTCAAATATTAGAAGCTAAACGGGACGTCGGTTCGGGCTTAACTATCTAGTCCAGAAGTGGGGGAATTTCCGTTGAGAAAACTTACACCGATGACAATGTCTTTGGACGTCCCAAAGATCCAGTACAAGACTGCTCCCGTAAACGAGGTGTATAAGCCGTATGGCGGCGTCAGATCAGCCAACGCAGCATACGCTAATGCTTGAGGTACAACGACCAAACCAATAGTTATTCCTGCAGGTTCAAATTAACTTGGCATTCAAAAAGTTTAGTGGCAGTAATGCCAGGACCCCTCATACCAGCAACCATGTCTCCTGCCAACCATTGAAGATTGTACCGCTGAATCCACGACGCCGACGGGAATAGACTAGTAACATATTCAATGGCTCCTCTCCTTGAAGGGGCCAATTCCTTGAACCACTCGGCCACCGATGGTTCGTCCTCTACATAGATGTCGGCAGAGTCGAGGATATCCCTAGCCTGCTTGTCCATGTCTGTTGGCATTGCAATGTAACGCTCAGTGACATTGATGCCAAGGACCTTGCGAACGAACAAATCGGGGATCCGTCGCAATGCCATGGCGACGAGGACAAATCCGGTTATTGCAGCGTGTTATCAGAGCAGGGATGTTGTCTGGGAAGCAAACCAGTGCACAGTGAAGCGATTGGCGCAGAATATATTCAAGAAAGTCGTTTGGGTATGAAGGGGCGAAATTTTTAGTACAAGAGGAATGCATAGACCGACGAGGGCTACATATATTTGGAACAAAACGGCCCACGGTCTCGAAATGATGCGGGCGAGAGGGATGGTGAAAATTATCCACGACCGACATGTCGTTATGAGTTCAACGTTGCCAAGACCCGGCAGTCGGAGGGAAGGAGCAAACGAACAAACAAGCTTAAACCTGAAGCACCCACGGGACCAAGTGGCAGCGTGCAGTATGCGGCGTGCAGCGTACAGCCATCAAACCCATCAACCGCCAGTCTTCAACTGTCGACCCGTGACGATGATAACTCGTTCCGAGCATCCCAGCCCCGTGCAGGCATCCATGACGAATGAGAACCGTGTCAGTGTGGCATTTGAGACAACAGAGCCAGCAGAGCGGCAGCCCATAGCAAAGACAACTCGTAGTATGGCGCAAAACCCTCACGTTCCCGCCATGCCAAGGCGATAAATCGCAGCCCAATATTGAATGGACTCGGGTGGCCATGCGGCCAAGGTGGCCGTGGGCCGGCGGCGGGAGTCGTTGAAAAAATCGTCGGCAGCTGCCTCTGTACCGTCGCAGACCGTGTTGCGGGTGTCGGTCACGATGGATGCCGCCGATGCCCACCTCATCCGTCACCTTCCGCTGGTCCAAGTTGCCAAGGCGGTTCTGGATCATGGATGGGGGGTGCGGCATGCGGACCCGGCAGCAACAAGGAAACCTGCCTCAGACATTCTTCGTGTCCTCCATCGTCATCATGGATATTTCATCATGACGCCGCTGCTACGTAGGGTACGGGCTGTTGGCCCACGGGCGGTTTGCGCCGAACTCGATTGACCCTCGAGCAGCGCCACTTGGCAACCAGATGGCCAAGTTCTGACTCTAGTTCAACGAACCCATAATTGGCTCGATGAGACCGCAGCAACTTCTTTTTTTACCCAGTGCTCGTCTTCGACATGCACCAGACACAGATATTCCCAGCATCAGTGCCAATCAGCACCCGAATATGCATGTTCCATATCTGCGGCATTCTGGGCGCATCTCCGCCGTCCACAACACACACAAGTATCAAGTTGAAATGAAATACTCTTCAATCTTGCCACGAGTTGGGGTTCTTTTCCTCAAACCCATGTTGCTACTGCATTGCGTCTAACACTTTCTGTGTGCTTTATGCCTCATCTACAATCCAGATACCTACCTCCTATCAACAGAGGAGTCACCAGTGTACTAATGCAATCCTCACTTCAACCTTCCTTAGACCCTCTTACGCTGTATCAAACAATGCTGCCCCCACTTTCTTCTAAACTTCTCTGGTATAATCTCAAGCTCGGGAACCCATAAAGTCCTTGCCAAGATGTGCGTGTTCGCAGCATCCAAGAACGGTTTACACTGGACAACCTCCCACGTGTCCTTGTCGGCTATGTAGTCCGGCTCGTTCGGGGGCAAGGGCTCAGTTCGCAGAGGATATTGGGTGTCGACTAGGAACGAGCATGCCCTGATGTCGACGTACTTGCCAGGGTCCTCCTCATTTCGATCGTTGAGGCCACTCGTTGGAAGCCACGTACCACTCCAGAAGCCGAACCCAATCTTCGCTTCAGAGAATTCGCCAGGCAAAAGACCGCGGAATTCAGACCGAATAAACTTGGCGTGCATATCGCGTGGCAGGAAGTAAGACGAGGGGAAGCGATACCACTCTTTTCCGAAACACACGATATCTTCTTCCCTGCCCACTGGTGTTTGGCCGTGGCTAGATTGCCACAGTCTGGAGTAAATACGCAACGGGGCAGAGTATGCCGAGTAAATGCCGTAAAGTCTAGCAAGACTGACATCTAAAGCCAAAAGCATCACAGCGCTGACGGCCAACAACTTCAGTCGAGCAGGAATCTTTCCAGCAATCGTGCTCGGGTCAGTACTTCCAACCGCTGCCAAGACGATGTGAAGAGAAATGCTGGCATTGAGAGTCAAAAACGGATACACTGGATACATGAATCTCTCTTCCTTGTGAGGCTGTGCTGTGAAGATGGCTAGCCACATATAGAATGGCGTCACAAACACGACGGTACGCAGACCGGACTGGAAGCCCTGTCCCGATGGTGAAATGACTTTTTGGAGTAAAAATAGTGGCAGTGCCAATAGTGCCAGGACAAACCAAATGTTGAAGTTGAGTGCCAGGTTCTTGAAGTAGAATGTCCAAGGTTCGGTCCCATACAAATCGGGGCCGCCCGTTGATGAGAAGATGTTGTACTTGACAATGTTCCAGCTGACCACAGCAATCTTCTTGTAAAAGAAGAGGTTGATCAAGAAGTCAAAGAACTGCAGCACGTTAGTCCTGGGCTGCTGCATAGCACCGCATCACGGGTTCTTTTTTTTTGCACTCACCAAAACTATCAACCCGGCAATCACGCCACGGAAGAACCGAATAATGGACTCAATGAAAGCATCCTTATCGCTGAAAAGGACAAGAACGAACTCTTCCAAAAGGTAAGGAGCGCAGAGTGCCGAGGCAAAGGGCCATCCAAGAATCCCTGCAGCAGCAAACCAGAAAATCCCGTGTGCAGTCTTGATACCGCCGCGCCAGTTCATAAATGACGCCGCACCAAGCATACACATGTACATTGCAAAACTGGATGGCAAGAATGACGCGCTGGCGTGAAAGTTTCCAGGACAGATGACAGTCGATATTAAAAAGAACATGCCGATTCTGCCGTTCATAGTAAGGCTGATGACTTTGAACAAGACAGTCTGGCAGAGGGCGCAAACAAAGGCAAGGCCGTAGCGGATAAAGTAAAATTCAGACACCTAAAATAGTCAGGCCAAAGATAAAACACACTTTGCAACGTTATCAAGCTTGCCTTTGACGACTGGGGCAGCAATCTACGGACGCTGCCGACTATCGAATGAAGCCCGACATAAAGCCAGCTCCGGATAGCAAAGTCTGGTGAGTACTCCCATGTCTGCAGGCCATATCCATGGGACAGGTAGTGCGCCGGCTCCCAGTAATTGAACGTCTCGTCGCAATCCTGGATCGGAGCATAAAGAGCTGCAATCATGCCAGCGGCGAAAAAGACGTAAAACGCAGTGATGGGCTGGATTGGATAGGGGCCGTTGCGCCTATCAGAACAAGCCAAGTTAGCATTTCACATGCGCCATGAGCCAATGCATACGAATCAAGGGGAGCAAGGCATGGACAAACTAAAATGTGAGTTGGACGAACTTCTTTTTAGCATGGCTTGAGGCCGGATGCTCAAAATTTCGCTGTGGTGGCGAAGGATTGGGCGCCATGATTGCGAGCAGCAACGAGCCATGAAACTAATGGATGTTGAGAGGTGTCGTCATTCGGTTGGGAGTTTAGTTCCATGTACATACATATAGGCCGTTCCGGACGGGCTGTAGTGAGGTGGGGCGGAAAATGCAAACCGAGGACCCACCGACTTACTGGGTGACCTATTGACGACATTTGGTTTTTTTTTTTTTTTCCTTCGCTAGGTCCAATTTTGGTGACGAGTTTGCAGCTTATTGAATCCTCTTTGGCAAACCAACCATTTATCATTGCTGTTTTTATTTTGACATCAGTTGGCGCATTTACATCTGTAACTGTAGTTTGTTCCGACTCTCAAAAGCCTTTGTACAGACCGCTGCAAACCTACCTCTCGCAATCAATCTCCGTCAGCGCCAATCTCCGGCTGCGACTCGTGGAACCATTGGAAGCTGGTCTTCCGGCACATCACCACCACCAAGATGTCTGGCTTTCAAATCCCTGGCCTGGGGCAAGCCAAGCCTAATGAGACATTACCGCCTCTCCCAGCAGATGTCCTGGCAGCTGCAGCTAGTGTCGATGCGACAGAAGCACCACCTGCTTCATCAGAGCCACACGGGACCTCTCAACCCAAGCAAAGCGACAACAAGACCGAGGGGCTCAACACTACTGTCGCAACAGCCGCGCTTCAAGCGACCGAAGAACCCGACGCAATGATCATCGACCAGCCCGACAGCCCATCATCTCTAACCGGCGCGCTCGAAGCCGCCATCGGCGGCCTAGACAGCACCGACAATGCACCAGAGCAACCCCAACCGCAAACCAACGCAGTCGCCCTCCAAAACGACCAAAGCGAACACCCTGAATGGGAAGTCGACTCTTCCCCATACGAATCGTCCTCGGAGTCAAGTAGCTCAGACTCGTCAGACGAAGACTCCGACAACGAAGGCTACGAGCTCCTCGGCGTCGAAGAAACCGCCCGCCTCCTCATGGAAGCAGAAGGCGGCTCCGACGACGAGGGCGACCACGGCAAGGGGTCAAGTGCAGCCCGACTACGCACCAAGAATGAAATCGCAGAAGAAATCGTCCCCAAGCCAGACATCACCATCACCAGCGAGATGAAGATCGAAGAGCTCGGCTCGATCGAACACATTGTCGAAAACACCGTGCTCGTAAAGGCAATCACCCCAGGTGAATACCAGGTCCTCGACACAGGATCCGCCCTCTGCACCGCCGAGCGCGCCGTCATCGGCGCCGTCGCAGAAACCATCGGCAAGGTCCTGCAGCCCATGTACACGGTGTACTTTTCTTCCGAGCAGGAAATCAAAGACCTAGCCCTGGAAGTCGGCACAAAGGTCTTCTACCCCGTCGACCACGCGTCGTACGTCTTTACCCAGCCGCTAAGGAACGCCAAGGGCTCGGACGCGAGTAATTTCCACGACGAGGAAGTCGGCGACGACGAGATGGAGTTTTCCGACGACGAGAAGGAAGCAGAGTACAAGAGGGCGCTGAAACAGAAGAAGAAGGACAAGTGGAGGAGCAAAAATGAAGACAAGGCCGGCGGCGCGGCCAGGGGACCGCATCCTTTGAGCCAGGAGGTTTCTGCAGACGCTGGTTTAAACTACGATGATGACGACGGCCCGTACAAGCCGTTGGCTCGACCTCCCGGCTTTGGCGACGGACTCGCGCCTAGTGAATCGTACGAGCCCGCCCCTCGACCTGGCTTCCGACGTGGTCGCGGCGGAGATGTCAGAGGCCGAGGTAGTCGAGGCAGAGGAGGAGCAGGGAGGGGAGGCGGTCGGGGCGGATACGGAAACACGTCGAGAGATGGCTATTCCCTCCCTCCCCAGGGCGGCCAGCAGAATTCTCAACAGATACCTAGTCAGCCTGCTACACAACAAGCAGCTGCTCCGCCAGTCATGCCCAACTTTGGCTTCCAGCTCCCCGCTTGGCCACAATCACAAGCGGCCCCAGGACAATATCCTGTGCCGCCTCCACCTCCTCCTCCAGGCTGGCCAGCGCAAGGTCAAGGCCAGGCGGGCGCTCCAAACACAATTATCAATCCTGCATTTGTAGCGGCGTTGATGAGCCAGATGCAGCAACAGAATGGGCAGCACGGCTGGGGGGCTCAACAGCAACCGCCACCCAACGGTGGCCAGGCTCAGTGATGGGTTCGTATATACCGGTGGGAGGGATCCATGACGGCTTACTTGGATGCAATCATAGAGGGAAAAAATCATGCATAATTGATTGGCGTTTGGATATATATTTTCAAGATGGACATTGCCTCGTTAGAGCATCTCCGGAAAGAGGCATGCATCAACCGGGCGTTATATAGGGGGTCTTGTTTGTGCGCAAGACCAAGCCTCCAAAATACCAAGTCTTACGAAACAAAGCCCAATTTTCACAAGTTTACAAGTTGACGATACGTTCGGTCAACGTAATGTTTAGTTTCCATGTATCCATCTCCTTCTCCGGCGGGCATCAGCGAGCACCCTATAGTTCGCCCTCACCCTCGACAGCCTTTGCAAAATTGTGGAAGCCAAGTTCGTAAACAAAGCCAAGGGTCATGTGAGCATGCTGTAGCATGTGGTCGAATGAAAGATACTCTATGAGGTCAGAAGTTGTGTGAATGTTGGGGTCAGACTTGTCAAAGGACGATTCGATAACAAAAGCTGACGGATATCCAGCCTTGGAAGCTGAAGCATGATCAGAACAAGCATAGCCACACTTGGTCTCGACCCAAGGGATAGCACAGTACTACAACATTGTCAGTTTCAGGTCATCCAGGACGGACACGAATGATGATATGTATACCTGCTCAATGACTGTCTTGATAAACTTGGTCAGGCCAGCATGAACAAAATCGACAATGACACCAACGCTCTCCGGGAGACCTGCGTCTAAAGTGCCCTTGACGTAACCAGTCATGTCCTGCTGCAGCATGGCCTTGACGTCGCGCTTCTGCTTCTCATACTCTTGGAAAATAGCCTGGCTACCCAGCAGACCTCCTTCCTCGGCACTGTACCAGTGGAACTCGATGGTGTTGATAGCCTTGCCTTGCACGACATCCTTGGACTTTAGCAAAGCTCGGAAGACCTCCATGATGGTAACGGTTCCGCTGCCATCATCATCGGCTCCAGGGGCAGCGAGGATGGGGAGCCACAAGTTGATGGAGTCCTGGTGAGCACCAATGACGATGGTGCTGTTGGTCTGTCCCGGGATAGTCGCAATTACGGAATGCTGCTTCCAGGTGTGAGGGAAGCTCTGGGCGGTAACCGTCTTGTCGGCGCCAGCCTCCTTGATCATTTCATTGACTTTCTCCAGCACCCAGTCTGACGACTTTAGGCCCCATTCGGAGTTGTAGTAGCGTGTGTGAAAGCTGGATAGCTTTTCGAGGTTGGCCTTCATTGGTGCTGTATCAAGGTTCTTTGCCAAACTCTTGACTTCTTCCTGATTGACGCATTTCTTTGGGAATTCTACAGATTCTTTGATTCGCAGGCCTTGACTGCCCAAGTCCTTGGTGGCGGTGATATCCATGAAGCGTTGGCCATCCTATCACGAGCAGACAACGGAGTGTTAGCCATCGACCAAGGTGGTGCATCTCAGGTATGTGCGTGGTTGCAAATGGCGTGTACTTACTCGTCTAAGCTCCCACTTCTGCTCTTCCGTCACCCACTGCGTCTTGCCGGGGGCGGTTTCGATCAGGAAGGTTGGCTCATCAGGGCGAAGGACAACGTGGTCGGCCTCCATGAGCTCAACGAAGCGGGCAGTGGCTGCAGGCACGCATGCCACAAGTGCCGAGACTTGAGACAATTTCATGTTGGGTCAGAGTTTTCTGGTTCAGTAGACACGGGGTTCAATGACGCGCAGCTTAAGTATCTGCGGGCGTTGATCAGAGCACTTGAGCTTGTGGGATGACGGGACAGGAGGTAAACTTAAGTATGTAATGAAACACAAGGCAGGCGGGTGAGGTGACGACAGCACATGCAAATGGAAGTGCAGAAGGAAGCACTGGTAACCTGCCTAATTTAGCGATAGCCTGAAGCGTCAACTGTCTCCACTTGGATCTAGTCTCCTTGACTGACTGTTTAGTTGCCCACCTACGGGTAGATGAATGGATGGGGTGCTTGGGTTGCTGGGTGCAGATGCTTGACGGACACTAGCCCTAGTGGTGGGGACATTGGGGCCAATGGTGTCTGAGCACGAGATATCAGCCCCCGCATTTCAAGCATGCCCGTCAGGTCGGCACGCGACTACCAACAGGGACTGTGCAATCCACCAGGGATGGACGCGACCACCTCGTACCTACTAGTAGTTCTCACATCGGTGAACTTGAGCAGACAAATAACCAAACAAATAAGCATACTAAATTGCGCGAAATCAGCTGTATGAAATCGACTTGATAATGCCCGCCTTGATGTTTTCTGGGATGTCCCGCAACGATGGATCACGGATTATGCTGAGTCGACGCCGGGAAATTCTTCAAGCCCCTACATGAAAACAGGAAACTTGTTGCAAAACAGTCATGTAACAACTTACCACGTACAGGTTTTCAGATCCTCACCCGGGATATCTGTACGCCACAACACCAACGGGCGCGATGGCTCTCATTACAACTAGCCTGAGGCTCTTCATTCTGTTGCTTTAACCCCTCACGACCGCCTGCTGGATGCTCGACAGCAGTTATGGGAACGGGGTATACCAATTCACATACAATAAACTAGGAGCTGGAGAGGAGATATTTCCAAACATGACCTAGTACAAAATCGACAGCGACGTGGCACCGACGCCTGCTAAGAACGCAAGCAGATTTCCAAAGAACCTCCGACACCGGAGATGCTTCGCCGGCAATAGCAGCATAGATCTTGAGGAACTCAACCGTGCCAAGAATGGTTTGATGAACTGGTGCGAGCGGTATAGCCCAGTGACCAAGTCCATTGTTATCTCTGTTTTCAACAATACGACGGTATATGTGGGTAGGGGGCTGGCTCATCATTCATTCGATAGATGATAAGCTGCCGAAAGGGTCAAATGGCTATTATGTCTTTAAAAATGCTTGTTTCACTTTAATTCCTTTCCCTCCATGTTGCCATGCTCCCCCTAGGAGCAACGGGGATGTGAATAAGCCGTGAGTAGAACGACTGCAAAGACGCACACGGGGTGATTAGATGATCTTGCTAACCATGTGCTATTGTGCTTGCCCGTAGATGACATTGCACGCCAGCGTCATGCTCATCGCAGAGCTGATATCCTCGACGAACTTGGATCGATCATGGCTCTCCCTGCTGTTTGATGTCGCAGTCTTACATAGCCGCAATGCCAATTAGAGAGATAACTTCGATCTCCATGGCACACCTATATTTCCGAGCAAACCTGCTGGTTTACCGCCTCGCCATGCCTTGCTCAATTCTTGCCCAATTGCCACCTTTCGAGCGCACGCCCGGGGGATAACTGGGCGCGGAACAAGTCTGTCCGTCCACGGCTCAATAATCAGCCCCAACGACAAGCAATCGCCAACAGAGGTTCCAACAGCTCTCGGAACTTCAAGCCATGTGTCTCATAATCCCATATCGTCGTCGCTTTCCTCTCCATCATCCCGTCCCTGCTCTTCTTCCTCTCGCCTCATGGCCTCAGCACTTGCCCCAATCGTCCTCACACCCTCCACTACGCCCGTAACAAATCCCCTGCTCTCGGCCAGCTCCATGGCCCCCACGCCCCTCAGGCTCATCACTCCATCAACACCACTCTCCAGCTGCGCCGTACTGCTCCTCATCTTGGCCGCCCGAACCTCCTGCAGGTCCCTCAGTAACGACCGCACTTCCGACGCCGAAGCAATATCATCGCCTGCGTGGGCGAGCAGCATCTCTGCCAACTCAAACCAGTGATAGGGCAAAGCCCCAGACGGCGCGTCGGCCGTACACGACGGTAGAAACGGCGGAGAGAGAATGGTCTCCTTGCCAGAGAAGGCGTTTATGCGTGTAGCGTTTCCCAGAGAATCGGCGCGTGAGCGCGGCGGAGGCGGTGGAGCCCATCCTTTGGTGTCGACCTTGGTTTCGTGGTGGATGACGTCGCGGAGGGAGTCGGGATGCATCCACGGCGGCGGCACGATGTTGGCGCGGCGTTGTTTTTTGAGCAGCAGCGCGAGCCAGAGCGGGAGATTGCTTCTTCTGGGTGGACGCAGCTGAGGCGTTTGGCCCTGAGTTTTTGCATTAGTTTGTCATCGTGGGACAGCGTTGAGAATTGGCTGGCCGGGGTCGATTCGCCGGCCCATGCGACTCGCGATGGCGACGCGACGGCGCAGCTGCACGTACCGCGAGGAGATGGATGCTCTCTAACCGCTGTCTCGGAACAACAGTCACGAGCTCCATTTCACATAGAAAGGCTACCTCGGAGGGAACCAGTCCCGGGGGCAGACGCAGGGCCATGGTTGACGGGACTGCCACCGACAGGCGCGTGTGGTCGCGTACTGATGCGAGAACTCTGGAGTTGGGATTGACGTCTGACAGCCCCTCGTTCAATGTCCCGTCTGGTCGTTCAGTTCAATGATTAGAGACTTGACTCCACTATGACCACCTTGGCCATGCCGTGTGACTGGCTCTCTGGCAAGAGCCAGACTCAATGCAAGCGTCAATCCATGCCACATTAGGGTTGATCCACCACAGCTAGTCGGCGGTGTCGGGCCTCTGGAGCTCCGCTCTTCCGACTCCCCGTCCCGATTACATGTCGACGGTAGTTATCCAGGATCCTCCTACCGAGCACCAGACAGCTGCCACCCTCGGTGCTTATTTCAGGCTACACGCAACCGTTGCATTCCAGTATGCCCTTCAGCTGCACAATCCAGCCATATCCAAAAAAAATATCAGCACGGACGTGACTCATTCTGACTTCATATGCCCCGCCCTTGAACGAATACGGCAAGAGGTGTGCATTCTGGCTTGAGCATCCCAGCATCGGAGTCGGGAAACATCTTGGAGCTGTAAGAGTGTAGAAAGCTGTGTAACAGCACTTGAGGCTTTTCCACGAACAAGCGTTACACACAGAAGGCTGCAATGGGGGTTCTCCGCTGGTCCAGTCCCTTGGGATTCGGGATGAACCGAGGAAACTGGAAGCAAACCCATCTAGGAAGTTCCACAATGGAGTCACGCTACATATGTAGCCTCAGAGACGGAATTTCAATATTCATCAAAGTACGGCACAATTCTCAGGGGCCGTCCATGGCAATGAGTCGTGTGTCTGGTCTGGAGAGTTCACGAGGCAGCATCAGCTCTCAAGTTGCAGAAACAATGACGAGGTTTTCTCAGAATCGGTGCCATTACGTGGAAATCTTTCCAGCAATAAATAATGTCTGCTTCATCTAAATCAACAGCGCTTGGAACTATTCTCCGTCTTTTGATCCTTCTAAAGCTCCCGCTGAATTCGGGGCCAGCCCATTAGGGAGCCTGGTTTTCTCCACCCCGAAATAAAACATATTTTGGTGTTTATAACGGCAAAAGTCACACTGCGCTTGTGAGAGAAGATGGTTTAAAAAAAAGGTAGAGAGTAGTAGCCCGCATTCAGGGAGACAGGCAAAATTCCCATCATACCATGAGTGTATCCAATATGCTGCCGCCCTCGTCGCCTCCGCGCTGATTAGCTTCATCGAGCCCAGACTCCCGAGCTTGCTGGGCGAGGAATTGTAAAACGTTTCGAAGCTCCTCGCGAAACCTTTCGGCGCCGTTGTATTCAGGGTCAATTTCCTCTAAAATCCTTTGGCCGCTTTGCAGATGCGCTTGTGCGGCCTCCTGGTCCCCATTTATTGTCTCGAAGATGACAAAGAACATGCAGCATATGACTGCTTCACGGAGGTCTATGTACCCCGTCGTCGCCTGCCTGGCTTCTTGCAGTGCAATCCCATGGCAAGATAAGGCCTCTCCGTAGTGGTCCCTTTCGGTGACTTTTCCGGCCCGTGCCAGAGTATGGCCCCTGGCAAAAAGGAGAGCATGAACTGCCATGTTGGCATAGCGAATTGCGGGGTTATCATGAGCGAGACGGGGAAGTTCGAAGGTCCAGAATGTGTCGTCGAACGTTGAACGGGTGTCTGGGACGGTGAAATAGTGTCCTGTAGGCTGTGGTTGGTAGCTCGTATATCCGTGAGAGCTGGCTTGGGAATCGATTGATTCTGGAGGGGAGAGATTCTCAGGGAGTTGAAGTTGATAGCCGCAATCATACAGACTGAGATCTAGCTCTTCAGGGGATGATGTGCCGTCATTTTCGGGACTTCGCGGTGTCACAAAAGCCTGCTTGGCGGGCGACTTGGGTTGGTTGAGGATAGGCTCGTAGCCACCACAAAACCCTGCCCATTTGATACAGTTTTTGCAAGCCGGCTTTGTCTCATCGCATTTCACGTGTCGTCTCCTGTGGTGTGTATTAGTATATGGACAAGCGGGCGGATATACGAGCACATTGTTCTTACTTGCCTACAGTGAATGTTAGTCTAACAGTTTTACTATTGATGGAACGTTGAACAGGGAGCGAAACAGAGTTGTGTACGTTGATGAAAACGCTCAAGACTTACAAGTGACACATCCAGTCCGTACTTTGGCGAACTTGGCACGCGTCGCGCGCTTTCGCTTGGTGATAGGAAAGCTCATCATTAAGTTTCCTTTATGTAAACTTCTAGCAAAGGACAGTGGTCAGAAAAGGGGGGTTAACAAAACGATGGAACTTTTCTGGAAAGCAGTGTTTGGCTCACTGGTCGAGTTGTTGCGTATCTGATACTGGAGACTCGTCAGGCATCCCGATAGACGATTAGAGCCAGTACCGAATAATTAATGGGGAATACGAGTATAAATCGACATGCGAAGCCAAGAAAGAGGAAACATTGGACGGGGGTATTTGCCCCGAGAAGGATTACAAAGTAGGTATAATGCTAAAACCTGGGGACCTGGAGAAGACGCCATGCCGCGACGTCTTTTTTTTAAACCCTTTCCAGCGCAGACTGCCACGCATCAAATGAAACCCGATTTCCGTCACATCTTAGGCAGTTGGGCCAGGATAGCCAGAATCTCGGGGGCTGAGCCAGCCACGGGAGGAACCACTGTAACCTTACAGTCGGCAACCTTCAGATGGGGGTGGGCTGAGTGAGTTTGTACATGACTTACTCAGGCAGGGGAATAGGAGGGCCACCATTCCATAATGGACGCAATGGGACAGGTTGACTGATGAGAACTAATGTCTCTATGCGCCGTCTGTACGTGTCATTGGTGCTTCGAGGCCCAAGAGATAGGCATGGGATGAAGCCCCGGCGACCAAAGAGAGAAGCTATTGGCCACGAGTGGCAGTGACTAGCAACAGGACCGCCACGTCGGGGGCCACTCATGGTAGTTGGGCGAACATGAAGTCTCCAGTCCAGATGTCTCCATGCCCACGCGCCTGGCATATGCAGGACTCTCATATCAGCCCTATGGAGTGGATCCTCCCACAGGAGATTTCTGACAACGGGGGAAGGGGTTGAAAGCTAGAGGACAGCCAGTATCGAGTGGATGCTGACAGGTGGTCATTCTGCCCCTGCCAACATACTGCCTGGTAGTATTCTGTCTTCTGTGACCCATTTGGCGAATGAGCCAGGCCGCACCCAGGTTTAATGTCTGTCCTGTTCGATGGCTGATGCCACCAACGATGGGGGCGGTTCGGTCTGATAGGCTTCCCCAAAGGAAGGATATGACTATTGTGACAGGCAGGGGCGTTGACATGTGCCGACGGGGTCCAATTTGAGCCGCGCCGGCGAGCTGACGACTCTCTTACGATAAGTACCGATACCGGTAGCCATCAGTCCTTTCCAAGAATGCCGGCCTGTAGAATCGCTGAGCAAGGTGACGACAGAACCTCGACCGTGCATCCAAGCAGTTACGGACAGCACACACCACCGCGGCCTGTCCGCGGCCTATACAGATTAGCTTTTTGCCTGGATTTTTTTTTGCCCAGACTCGGTGAAACAAACTCACGAAATCGTAAACCGTACGTCGTAGGAAACACTGGGCAAACGACCCAAAGACCACAACCGTTTGAATTGGGGCTAATTTGCCCGTACCTCTAGCACTTGAACGTCACTGGGGCAGGGTCTAGAGCAACCTGAGGTTCAGCGGGGCAACAAGCTAGCGCCGACCTGGGGTTAGCGACTGTGGTCGTGAAGCCTGGTAACATTGACCTATGTACGTACCGACGTAGATAGGCACTTGGGTCAACCGGTAAACGGCGGTTCTACAGACAATTCTCGATCTAAGCTTGTGCTGATCCGGCTCACAGCCGACTTATTAGCTGGTGCCTTGACGATTGTCCACTCGGACGAGACAAGACGCCTGGCTCAAATGGCCCGCTCTGCTGTGTGCGAGGACTAACCTCGATGCAGATGCCGACCTTTAGCCTAAGAGGTCCTGAAAGGTGTAGAGAAGTGGGGTCCCGAGCCAACAGTATCGTCGGCGCGTCTTTGGCAATCTATTCCCGTCGAGCAAAGGCAAACGCCTCCCTTCGCCTCCATCATGCCTCGGGAAGTCGGCTGTCCATCAACCACGCGTCGCCATCAGTGCCGTGGTAGTACCACTTGCACCACGTTTGCCGCCCATCTGGCACTCATTTCGAGTCCCCTGTAACCCATTGGCAACCGCATGGTCATCTCAGAGTCGCCAGAGACAGGCCTTGACCAGCTTCACCGTCCAGACCATCAGTACCAGATCCAACCTGACACCAGCAATGGGAGTTAGGCGGTGTGCCAACTCCTGGGGTTGAGGTCCACGTGGGCCGGTATAATTGCAGAATTTTTTGTCCTTCTTTTTTGCCAAAGCTCGCCGTATTATTTGCCTATTTGGACCTGCAAAGAAAACCGTCGACTGAAGACGCCACATGACCCAAGCCATTCATTCACAAACAGGCATTGATGTCAGACCAGCATAAGCCGCCACTGGTATGCCCACTGCAATTGGCAACTCCTCCGGGCTTGAGAGGTGCTGCAAACCGTCAATTCAATTCGTATTGCGCATGAAGGCTTACCTACGACATCAATCCCGCCTTCTCCCTGCCATACGTTGTACATGGATCTTCCTTTCGCCGTGGCAGTTTGAAGCAACGACATGTTCGGCACCCGGAAATCGAAAAGGTGGATCTCTGATGCCGAGCCTTAATTTCGGACCTTGTCGACCGAACCTTCACACCAACCGGGAAAATTAGAACAAACTTTTCGTTCCGGAGTACTACGAGACACACCCCCCGGAAGGCTGCCAGACTTGGCAAGCCATCCCCAGGAATAGACTCGAGTCCGGCTCTCGCTGGAATAGGGTGGAGCAGCATCTCGCGGCCTGACCCGGACAAAAGCTGAAGACGCAGGTTTATCCGCCTTCACCGCCGCCTTCACGGTCGCACTCGAGACACAGGAAACAAAACCTTCTAGGGGATATCCACGGTCAACTGTGAAATAAAAGTGAGGCTAATTCGCGCTGTGGCTTGATGCGACGTCTCTCCGACCATGGTGACATTGTCGGCAGGGCACAGTGAAACGAACCGATGCGGCCGAGTTGGTCTTGCCTGTCGCATTCATCGGGTTTGCTTCTAAATGTAACATGAGAATCCCGACTTTTCCAACACGCATATCCGGGGCGCGAGAACACTACCCATTTGCGTATTTTTCTGCGACGGGTTTCATGCATGCGCATGCATGCAGTGAAACTTACGGAGTATAGATGACTATATACAGCAAGGCAGTCTGTGCAGATTGCTGAGCGCTGACTACACGCCGACGAGCGTCGGACCGCCATTCCGCCCCGTGTCATCTCTCGTTCACGACTCTATGCCGCAGTATGCAAGGCTTGGACGTGTTTCCAGTGTAAGTATATTGTTGCTTGGCAAAGTCGCCAAGTTTACGACCCCCACTTCACTCGTTCAGCCATACCGTTAGCATGAGCCGCCGATCAGTCTCGAGATGGGTTGGCACTTGGCACGTAAGCACAAAGTGGAAACTGTTACTTCTGCCAAGTATTTCCACGTTGAAATTGAGCAGGCACCAGCAAGTCTGTATTCAAAAGTCTCTCAACCCGATGCTTCTCCGTAAACGTTTGCAAAAATACACACAAGTCTTGAATGAATTGTGGCAGGATTGTTTTACAAGACTCGGGGCTCCCTTATGCCATTACTCGCAAGGCTCCTCACTCTTTATGAATTGTTGCAGGATCTGGCCTTCCAGGTAGTTTGACCAAGGCTTGGAGCAACCGAAGTCACACGTGCTACGAACAATGAATTTATACATAGACTTTTTCAGTACGTATAGATTGGCAATGACACACGCGGCGAGTAAGAGGTCACGACTCTCATGTTTTTGTCTTACCAGTCACGTGCAAGAGATCCTACAGAGCTGTCAAGTATGGCTCCGGTCTTGGTTAAGATTGCCAATGTACCAGCAATGCTGGCAGTGCTGTATCCATTCTGCAACTACTACTCGACTCAGGTGCCACGGTCGCTCTAAAATCTGTCTCCGCGATGCGCAGTCAGACGGTTTGGGCTTGTATATTTCAGCACACACCCTCCGCCCCGCGAACAGTGAACTGTACTCAGTAACAAGATGGGGGAAAGACAGCAAGCAGCCTTTTTTTTTAGCAGGCATACGAAAAATACACGTTGGAGCTGTAGAGTCAGGGGTTATGGCAGTGTAGGCGTATTCACGTACACACGTGTGGGTGCCACCATAGCGGTGCCGAAACACGAGTTCCGCCTTTCAACTACCTAGGTACGTACGTAGTCCCATTTCATGTATCTGGGGGTGTCTACATTCACTCATCTTCCATCGGTCATCTGAGATTCCATTACTTTCTGGCTCAGGGTGTGAAGATGGAATCAGCGCGTTGTGGCTAGACTTGGTGTCCTTGGCAAGTCCCTGCATGAGCTGATATTTTTAGCCCAGTTATTCGAGATCTCTTGGCAATTACGGCCACAGTTCATTTTCTTAACCCTTATCCCATCCTTTTCTTGGGTGCTATGTTACTGCGCCTCCTCCATGATGACTTTGGTCTTGCGTGGCGTTCCCGGTGTGGGTTTCTCCGGTAGGCAACAACAACCGGACGGCACATCTCGAGCCGGCAGGCTAAATCCAGGTTCAACCGGGGGGGGCGGGAAAATCGAGGGCAATCGGCCCGCGACACCGGCGCTACACATGTATGCACGTCCACTCTCGTGGCTTTGTTTCATTCTCGGCAGAAGTATTACCGCGAGGTTCGGATTGTAGTTTGCGGTGGTGTACAGTTTGTCGGCAGGCGCTTACAAGTCACGTGCGATGCACGGCCTGGGACCAGAATGACCAGGAACGTCTATTGACGGCTTCGCGGCGTCCGCGCAGCGCCAGCGTCGGGGTAGTGACTTCCGCGTTCATTTGTTCTGTCGGTGCCCTTTTTCAATTGGTGCCAGATGCCCTCCCCACCTGTCCGTGTCTGGCCGGCATTTTTCTCCTCTGTTCTTCTTTTCTTCTTCTTCGTCCTCCAGTTGTCAATCGATGACTGATTGGTTACCTTAGGTACCTGGGTACCTAATAGGTCAGTAGTCGTGGTGCTTCAGACTTCCTCAACCACAGCAAGATTCTTTGGCCCCACAACTCCAGCCAACATTGAACCGCCATCTACGCCAGCGGCTCATGCCAAAACCGTCTGGAGTAGTCACGTTGCCAGATCTAACTTTGCAGCTGAGCACCCTAAATTTGGATGCGGTGGCTCTCTGAAAATGCCGACTTGATGGCCATATCGCCACGGCCCCGGTTCGGCGTTGATAACTGGCCAACCTATACGTTGCCGACTCGGCAACTAGGCTGATTCCATCGTGCCATGCCTATTGATGCACACATCGTTGTAGATATTCAGTTTGCCTGCTCACTTCGCCGCCAGGGACTGAGCACCGGACTCGACGAGGATTTTGCCGTAAAGCTCTTTCAGAGTGCAAACGGCCGGAATCTCCTGGCTTTGAGTTTAGCCTTGTCTGAATGTGGAAAATACTTTACGCCAGATACTGGTTTCGGCTGTTGTAACGTCTTATCGTGAGTTACAAGGAGTGGTTGATTTGCCATTGCTTTCCATCCCATTGCCATCTGGGTGGCAATGGAGAGATGTCCACCCTCCACTGTTCGTGGCGCTGACACTCGAGGTCAAAAGGAGAAGCCAACAATGAAAAGGAGCTGAACGAGGCTTTCCGCTGTGCGACTTTGTGCGATGAGCGAAAACAGCGAGTTGCAAAGTCTGACGAGTACAGCAGCATGGAATCAACAGTATGGCAGCCATGTGACTGACGCTGCCATCGTTTTCGTCCCCTTCTTCTTTTTGCGAATAGGATTTCAGGTTTCAGGCTGACGGCTGCATGGTTGCCATCAAGCACATGCCGTCTGTAACCTTTCCCTGGCCTCCGTATTGGCATCTTCTCACCGTACGTCAGATTTTGGGACACGGTATTCGTGCCCCCTGTGCCGTGCGCCCTCGCTGTAGGGCTGTAAAGCCAAAAGAAACGTGAAGGAGGCGGTGACCAAATATAAATTCCTTCTGCGGGCATTCTCTCCACTGCTGTTTCGCAAATCGACAACCTGTCTCCCATTGAGGTGTATCCAGCCGAGCTTGAGAAAGATTAATACGAACTCTTTCAACCACGGAGATGCCTATTCCTGGAGTTGATCTACCGCTGCGGCCGGCCAATGCTCCGGCGATTCCTGAACCAAATGAAATTCTGAAGCATCCATCCCTTGATGCACGCAAAAGGGAACTTGAAACTGATATCAAAGATGTACCATTTGTCGACATCGATCCTGGTGTCTTCGATACCGAACTGGTCAAGTTGAAGCTGTACGCCAAGCCAAACCCAGAGCACCTGGAGAAACCGCCAGTTCTTGGTGGAGGAAACATCACAAAGGGGACATACTCTGGAACCCAGGCTGCATTGACCCATGCTTACAGTCGAATTGAGCGAAGGTAAGAGTGAGACTTGGTGGCTCACAGCTAGCTGTAATCACGCGCGTTAATACGGTCTAGCTACGAATCCTACTTTGATGTCATGCAAGTTGAATCAACGCTGCCTCGATACACAGATCTTTCGACTAAAAGGGGCCTTTTCCAATACTCGCCGTACCCGAAAAACGCTGATGGTACTGTTGCACGGTATCCTCCCCACCTTCAAGACATTCCAAAGGATAATCAAGTTTCCTTGTTGAAGATTTTCAATGCTCTGGGTCTTGCAGAGACTGAAATATTAATCAAGCAAGTCATTCCTGACAGCTTTCTGGGAAAGACCGCTACATGGCTTCTTGATCTTGCCAATGGAAACGTCAGCGATGCGGCGAATCAAGGATACAGTATTAAAGCCTACGAAACATACAACAAGCTCCACCGCAAGTCTGGGACAGATATCGAGCAGGGAGCCAACCTGGGTCTCTTGGCGGACTGGTATGGCGATCGCCGCTTTGCTGATCAGTCCTTTACAGGGACTAACCCTACTACGATCGAGAAGATCCCCAAGGACTTGTTGGATGAGTTTATCGCCGAGGCAGGGCGAGGCGGATATGACGACTGGGCCAAAACCCTTGGTGCCACCGACCCAAGCTCACTCTTCGTCCAAGACTGCCGCTATTTTCGAAAAGCCGTTGGTGCTCAGCCCAACGAAGAGCTACACCACAAGGAACGCTCATCAGCCGACAGCTGGGCATGTGCGGCCGTGACGCTGTTTCAGCTTCATCCAGATGGCCAACTACACCCCGTTGCCATTGTCTGCGACTACAAGGTCAACATGGCAAGCTCGGTCGTCATTTTTAACCAAAGGAGGCTCCCCTCGGACCCAACCGACCGGCAAGAAAGCGACTGGCCGTGGCGATATGCCAAGACGTGCGCTCAGGTCTCCGACTGGATTCGTCACGAAGTCGGCGTTCATCTGACCCGCGCGCACATGATTGAGGAATCCCTGATTGTGGCTACGCATCGCACCATTCCCATGAACCACATTGTGTACAAGCTACTCGAGCCGCACTGGTACAAGACTCTCTCTCTCAACGCCGCGGCCAGATCGACCCTTGTGCCTCAAATCATCAAGGACCTGGTCGGCCTGAAGCCCGACTACTTGTATCAGTTCATCCGTTACGAGTTTGAAAACTTTGACTTTGTGCAGAGCTACATCCCCAACGACTTGAAAAGACGAGGCTTTCCCAACACGACACAGGGCCTGTCCGACGCCAAGTACAAGAACTACGCCTACGGCAAGAACATGGTCTCCATGTGGTCCTGCATTCGTGAATACGTCATGACGATGCTCCGAACCTACTACAAGGATGACAAGATGGTGCAGCAAGACCAATACATCATGGACTGGTCCAAGGAGGTCCAGACAAACGGGTTCATCAAGACTTTTCCTACCATCGGGACCCTGGACCAGCTGTGCGATGTCGTCACCATGAGCATTCACATTGCGGCGCCGTTCCACACCGCCGTCAACTATCTCCAAAACTTCTACCAAGCCTTTGTCCTCGCCAAACCACCCTGTCTCTGCAGCAAAATGCCCGAAAACATCAACGATCTCAACAAGTATACTGAGAAAAACCTCGTCGAGGCGCTCCCCATCGGCCGGCAGAGGCAGTGGCTGCTGTCAGTACAGATTCCCTGGCTGCTTAGTTTCAAGGTACCCAGTGATCGCAGCCTCATCACGTTTGCGCAATCCCAGTGGAGGGCGCACTATGGCAACGACAGGGCCGACCAAGAAATCAGGGCCATTAGCGAGCGGTTCTACAATGAGCTTAGGAAATTGGAGGTTGAGTTTCTTGCTACTAGCCGAGACATGGATGACGGAAGCATTCCTTACATGGTTATGGATCCAACTAATACCGCGGTATCTATTTTGATCTAAGCATTCAATGATGGGCTTGGAAACAATTTTCTCTCTCATTTTTCTGTCTTTCTTCCTTTTTTGCTTCTCTACCCGTTTGTCACTCGGACACCTTGTCTATTTTGTTCACTGGCTCGTATGCGTAGGTGACTAGCGGGTTTTTAATATAATGACGTTCGCTGAGATTGCCTATGTAGGTGCTGTGCCACGACATCTGATTTTAATAGTTTAATTTGTACCAAATTACACTGCAGAACTGTTCTTGTAAGCGACGCGTCAATTTCTTGGTAGTTGTGAACCTGCGAGCCCATGTCGGCGAGTACACGATTCCGCAGCGCAAAAAAGAGATGATACAGCTGGCTCGTCCACCATTTCTATTTAGATACGCGAGTCTGGACGCTGGAAATGCGTCCACAGACGATATGTACATGCCTAGGTACTTGGGCCAACAATCTTGTCATGGACGTCCTCGCGTCCACACCTGTCGGGACTCGCAGCATTCTTTGGGCTGCCCGCCATCTCCTCATCTATCTTTGTTCGGCACATGTCCATTAGGACAATTTATTGACACAGCCTCAAACATTCCCTTGAGCACATCCGACAAAATCTCGTTGGGCACATCTCATGCTCGCCTGTGTGCACCTCGCCTGCACACTCCCGCCAAGGAGACGCAAGAACCGGCGCGCTGCCGTCCCAGGTCATAGTGCACGCCGGGAACTATTGCCGGGTTATGTCGAGGGTGTCGGGTCTAGCTGCCAGCGGCTTCCGTGGCGAGACCGGGAGGGAAGATGTGAAGCGTCGCGTAGAGAGAGGGCATGATACACCAGGTCAACAAAACAGACATTACCGTCGTGTAAGACGGGCTTGATGATGCCGGCGAAACGGACTAAATATGCGACCCTGGAAAAAGCAAATATCTATATTTCGCGGTCGGGAGAGGTTTAATTGTCGAGGATTAATTTGTGCGCCTGTATGCACTGCTGGTGATGTCGTTTCTTGATGCCGTTGACACATGGCTTGGTTGCCAGTATGTGAAGACTGAATAAAACACTGGATAAAACAACCTATCAAGGTGGCATGAGTCTTACTCGAAAAAGGTACTGGCAAGTTCAACGCCGTGGATATATCACGCCTTGTCATGTCGACAATACATCCGTGTGTTGGGTCGTCAATCCTTGTCTACAATCGGGTGAGATGGTAAATGTTTGATCTTGTATTCGTCTCCGACAACACCAGGTCCCATCGCATAAGATGAGTGGTCTAGCTATTTTATATGGAAGTGTTACCAGTCTCTCTGAGCCATACGACTGTAGTATGTGGTAGTTTTTGAATATGGCACGCTCTCCTAGGTGGAAGACGAGAGCGAATACAGGAGCTCATCACGACATATATATATGCCACGAGATTTCATGACATTTACAATGTTGTAAAACAATGTTCGGTAACAATTTTGCGCCGCGTAAATATCCTGCAGCGTATTCCCTAACCGTTTACGTACTTGGCTTCAGCTTGGCCACCGACGCATCACCTTATTTGATGAGGCTAAGATTTACGCCATTAGCCAAACTAGTCAGTTCCGAGCGCAACCCCCCACTTTGCCATGAAAGCCAAGGCTTTTTGAAAAACATCTATTGAATTGAGGAAGAGCCAAGTGCTCCGATAAGGCTGGCTGAACTGAAGAAGACTTGGTCACTGACTCACGCATGGGTTCGGGAAATAAGAAAGAGAGAGGAAAACACACCCGACCAGTTCAGTCGACCAATGTTCGTTCCATGAGCTTAATATGTTACATTCTCCTGTTCTGGTAACAGTCATGGTGGCTCAAGAAGTCGAGTTGATCGAGGTATCAGAGGCAAAGAAGCTCAAGCCCACGTACCAGATCAAAGCTCATGGATGACATGATGACATGCCTCAAACACCCTATCCCACGCATAAGTGAACAACACTCTCCATCATGTAAAACCCACCACGGCCAGAGGGACTCGTAATGTCACGATCAGATTCGATACCCCGGACTTCCCCAATTCCCATCCCCACATCCCCCCTACCCCCGCCGTCTGACGATCGAGCAACCGAGTTATACAGTCAAGTCAACCTCTTCACGTTGCCCCTTTGCGTCACCATCACAGCATCTCGTCATCGGCTCTACATCCACACAGCTCCAGCCATGTCTCTGCCCAGCGCCACGTCCAAGTCGCTCACACTCACCAAGGCCACCAAAGATGAAAGAGTCTACATCTGGACTCGCCACCAGCCCATCTGGGGCCACAGGCTAACAGCCCAAGCCTACATCGACAGAGAAGAGCACCTCCTCGCCTACCAGCTCACCAAAGACGGCGGCCTCACCTCGTGGATCCTCACGGATCCCACCAGCACCGACGCCCACGGCGCCCCGGGCGGCCGCCCCATCCTCTCCGCCGTAGAAACATACCGCAAGCGCGCCGTCGTCCGCGACCCAGCCGGCGCCGTCCGGGACGTCACCGCCCACGGCGTCGCCAGCGTCTTCACCTTCGACGAGTTCCGCCGCCAGGGCTACGCCGGCCGCATGTTGGCCCTGCTCGGCGAGGCCCTCGCCGCCCAGCAGGCCGAGGACCCCGGCAGCGCCGAGTTCTCCATCCTCTTCTCCGACATTGGCAGGGACTTTTACGCCAACCACCAGTGGGTGCCGTTTGCCAGCGCACACCTGACGTTTCCCACTGCGCCGTTTACCACGCCGTACGACGACCGGCTCACGCTCGTAACGGGGGACAATTTGCAGGAAGTCGCCCGGCTGGACGAGCAGACTCTCCGTAGGAAGATTGCCCATCCTCCCGGCCGGGGGTATACGGTGAGGGCGGCGGTCCTGCCCGATTTCGCCACGTACGAGTGGCAGATGGCCAGGGAGAGGTTCTTGTGCGACTACCTGCTGGGCGAGGCGCCGACCGTCCATGGGGCCATGTACACGCCCGCGGACGCGCCCGGTTCCCGCGTCTGGATGCTGTGGTCCAACATCCTCTATGGGGGCAAGGAAAAGCCCCAGGATAACGTCATGAATATCCTCCATTATGCCCTTGAGGATGAGAATATTTCCGATGAGGACTTGTCAAGGGCATTGGGTGCCATCATGGGTCTCGTTCATACTGAAGCCCAGGCCTGGCTTTGCTCCAGGGTAGACATGTGGAATCCCGATGAGCGGACGCAAAGACTGCTGGAAAATATGACTCACCTACAGGGCAAACTGATTGTTCGGGACCAAACAAACATTCCAAGCCTCAGATGGTTTGGTCAAGCACCAGTGTCCGAGGTCGAGTGGGTTGACAATGAGAAGTTTGAGTGGTGTTGATGGCCCTATAAATTCTGGCGTAGCCAAAGTATAGACAGTACCTAGAGACAACACGGATTTATCATCGTCATTTTATCCATCTATTCTACCCCAAGGTGAATATCCCCTGCCAAAATCATTGAAAATCAGACAGACATCCACTTTTCCCCTTGTCCCTCAAATGCCAGGACTCCTTGTACTACATGCTACTCCGAGCGCCGAAATCATCTTCTTTGTTAAATACTCTAGTAGCTCCTGCCAAACATGACCCATTTCTGTGCTTTGCCGGAGCATTCCGGGTTCAAGCAGGCAGTTTCACCGGGGACAAGCTCGCTCCCTTGGGGCTGCTCAAAGGGAATGCAAAGACTCTTCATGCCCATGGAAGGGACCTTTTGATTCTCAGGGACATCTCGGTTGTCATCCGCGCGCGTGGTCAGTTCCTTGATGCGGTCCTCACACTTGCCATCCAAGCAGAAAGGAATAAGGACAACGTTCTTTTCATCAAGGGCGGGAAGCACGTCTTCCCACTTGGTGATCTTCTTGCGGTGCTCGGCGAAGGAGGACTCCGCTTTCTTGTACATGTCCGCTTGGATAGTCTCCAAGAGCTCAGGGATCTTGGTCGCAATGTCGGCGATAGGGATGGTTCCTTTCTCACCAGTGTCGCGCCGAGCAAAGGAAACGACTTCCTTGGCGGCATCCTTGGGTCCAAACTCCAGTCGCACTGGAACGCCCTTCATCTCCCAGTCGTTGAACTTCCAGGCTGGGGTGTAGCCCTCTCTCCAATCTGACTGCGTGCGAACACCAGCCTTTTTCAGAGTTGCACGCATATCCTCAATCTGATCTTCATGCTTCTGTCTGTCCTCAGGAGTGGTATTCTTGTTTATACCAACAGGGATAAAAATGGCTTGGGTCTGGGCGACACGAGGAGGAAGAACAAGACCCTTGTCATCACCATGCACCATGACCATTACACCAATGACTCGGGTGGACAGGCCCCAAGAGTTTTGCCACACATGGACGTGCTGACCCTTGTTGTGAGGGTCTTCGACTGTGATTTCGAACATTTTGCTGAAGTTTTGTCCCAAACAATGGGACGTGCCTCCCTGAATACCTCTACCGTTGGAAGGAATGTATCCCTCGACGGTTGTAGTATAATATCCTCCAGCAAACTTCTCGTTCTCAGTCTTCCTGCCCCGGACTACAGGTACGGCTAGAAGCTGCTCGTACACACCTGCGTACAGCTCCAAAATTTCCAGTACTTCTTCCCCTGCCAATTCTTCAGTCAGATGGGCAGTGTGGCCTTCTTGCCATAAGAATTCTCGAGTTCGGAGGAACGGCGTGGTCTGCTTAGCTTCCCAGCGCACGACCGAGTTCCACTGGTTCAGTCGGAGGGGAAGGTCTCGGTGGCTGCGAATCCATTTTGCGTAGTAAGGATACATGACAGCCTCGGAAGTTGGACGAATGGCGACAGGAACATCGAGCTTTTTGTCACCACTATATGCTTGTTAGCGACTGCAGAACACGTCTCTAGTCGTTGGCAAGTTCAATCCAATACGTACGCTCTCTCAACCCAAGCAAGTTCAGGCGCGAAGCCATCGACGTGGTCTTTCTCCTTGTCGAGCGACGTCTTGGAAAGGAAGAGAGGAAAGCTAGCTTCTTCCACACCAAGTTCTTCGATATGGCCCGAGAACCATTTGCGGATAGTGCTCCAGATGTGCATAGACAAAGGACGCAGAACAAAAAAGCCCGAAATTTCATGGTAGTATTCGACCATTTCGGCCTTAAGGACTACCTCTTGATACCATGCGGAGAAGTTCTCCGCCTTGGAATGAGTAATTCCAATAATCTCGTCCATCTTCTTGCCTCCAACAACGGGAAGAGAGGCTTTCTTTGCAGCCTTTGCCGCCTTTTCGGCAGCCAGCTTGGCCTGCTTCTCAGCCTTCTTCAAGGCGCTTTTCGACTGTTCAGCGGGGGGGTCCATGTCTTGCGAGAACGGCAGGGTGGCGGAAAATTGGCAACTACTGTGATAATCGCAATCAATTATAAATTGCCAATGAATGAACCGCTTCGATTCTCCCGAGGAAATAGAACAACGACAGAAGCACAAGCGTGGGCTCAAGAAGGCAGGTTTTTTTTGCCTAGTGTTGCTTGGGGAAGGAAAGGATAAGGGATTCTGAGTGACTCTTGCCGTGGTCGTCGGAGCAGCATCGGGGTCAATGTGCCCCGCGACGCTTGCCTTTCTTTTTTCCCTTCGTTGGAAGGAGGGGCAGTTTGGGGCACCATTCAAAATTTCAGGCCGCACGTGCACTGTCCAATCGGGGCGTTGGGCTTCGCCCCTTCTGTCGTAGTTGGTCAGGCCTGGACACAGGAAGAACGCAGGTCGCGGCTGCCTCCCGGCCCCTGCGCCACTACCAACAAGCAGACTAGTGTTGCACACTGATCTGAGGGCACATCCTGGGCCGTGGTTGCCCTGTGCCACTTGCCATCTCGGAGCCGGAACAATCCTGTTTCCGGGCAAAAAAGTCGAGGGGCAGCAGACGGAGATGTACTGAAGCTTAGTAGCTTGTGCTGGCTCCAGGACACAACCTGCAGGCCGAAAAACCCGCGATAACCACAACTGCCAGCTCCAAACCACGCATACTGCCCGAAAAACTGGACAGCCACGGAAATGGCGTCTATGTTCGAGCAACCCAGGAACGGCACCCTTTTTCTGGGCGGCCAGAAGATATCAGGATCCGACATTCGTGATCAGAACGGTAAGGCCCCTTGACACCTCGGTGGGGTGGCCGTCGACCATGTTCTTTGCTAATCTTTGGTCCAGTCCTCGCTACCCAGGCAATCGCAAATGTTGTCAAAAGCTCCTTCGGCCCTAGTGGTTTGGATAAGATGATGGTGGACGACATTGGTGTAAGAGTTGTCTTATTCGCCCATTATACGCCGTTGAACATACCCCTCACATACCCGTAGGACGTTACCGTTACCAACGACGGCGCCACCATCCTTAGCCTTCTCGATGTCGAAGATCCCGCCGGAAAGATTCTCGTCGACTTAGCACAGCAACAAGACAAGGAAGTTGGCGATGGCACCACGTCAGTTGTTCTCATTGCAGCCGAGTTACTGCGACGAGGGAATGAGCTTATGAAGAACCGCATACACCCCACAACGATAATCACCGGCTACAGGCTGGCTCTCCGAGAAGCTGTAAAATATCTCAACGAGAATGTCAGCATCAAGGTCGAAAATCTCGGACGCGAGTCCCTCATCAGCATTGCCAAGACATCCATGTCCAGCAAGATTATTGGCGCCGACTCTGACTTCTTCGCCGACATGGTCGTTGACGCTATGCAGGCAGTCAAGACCACCAACAACAGAAACGAGACGAAGTACCCCGTCAAAGCCGTCAACATTCTGAAGGCTCACGGAAAGGGTACTCGCGAATCGATGCTGATTAAGGGCTACGCCCTGAATTGCACCGTTGCTTCTCAGGCGATGCCCACTCGAATCCAGGATGCTAAAATTGCCATTTTGGATATGAACCTGCAAAAAGAAAGAATGAAGATGGGGGTTCAGATCACTGTTGACGACCCTCAACAATTAGAACAGATCCGGGCCCGCGAGTCTGGCATGATTCTTGAGAGAGTCGAGCTGATTCTCAAAGCTGGAGCCAACGTCATTCTCACTACCAAGGGCATTGACGACCTTGTACTCAAGATGTTTGTCGAACGCGGTGCCATGGGTGTCAGAAGGTGCAAAAAGGAGGACCTGCGACGGATTGCCAAGGCCACTGGCGGTACCCTCTTGAGCACACTATCTGACCTCAATGGTGACGAGAAGTACGAACCCTCGTACCTTGGCCATGCTGATGAAGTCAGCCAGGAGCGCATCTCCGATGACGAGTGCATCCTGATCAAAGGAACCAAGGCTCACTCATCTTCATCGATTGTTTTGCGTGGTCCCAATGACTACTCCCTCGACGAAATGGAGCGCTCAGTACATGACTCCCTGTGCGCCGTGAAGCGGACCCTAGAAAGCGGCAGCATTGTTCCTGGTGGCGGTGCCGTGGAAACCGCTCTGCACATTTACCTGGAAGAATTTGCCGGCACCGTCGGATCCCGCGAGCAGCTCGCCATCGGCGAATTCGCCCAGTCCCTGCTCATCATTCCCAAAACCTTGGCCGTCAACGCTGCCAAGGACGGAGCCGAGCTTGTTGCCCAGCTTCGATCACGGCACGCCCTGTCACAACGTATCCAAGAAGGCGACGGCAGCGAGGATGAAAAGACCATTGCCAGAAAGAAAGGCTACAAGAACTACGGTCTGGACCTGATGCGTGGCAAGGTTGTGGATGAGCTGAAGCAAGGTGTTTTGGAGCCTAGCATCAGCAAGGTGCGACAGCTGAAGAGTGCCGTAGAGGCTTGCATCAGCATCATGAGAATTGATACCCTGATCAAGTTGGATCCAGAGCAGCAGGCAGAGGATGATGGCCACGGTCATTAAAGGGACAAAAAAAATGGGTGGGCTGGCAATGGAAAGTGGGATATTCGGTTGTAATTAGATCATTCGCCCTAAATCTGAAGAAAAATATTCGGAACTTCCCGCGTATTGAGTTGTCCGCAAGTGTCGCTCTTGTGGTAAGTGATGCAAGTTGCATGTTGGGGGAATCACATGCAGGACATGTGGCAGTATTTGCTTCTACTACAGATAGCAGCTGACACCCACATGCAATTTAGGGTGCAAGGGTCCAGTGTCCGGATGTGAGGCGACGAAAGTAAAGGAACATATGGAATTATTTCGTAGTACGTTGTATTTTATACAAAGCCTGTAGCTCACGTCTAAGAAACAGGAGTGTCGCCTCATTCGGACATGGCAGCTTCATCATACCAACGGTCCTTTTCCCTACTACTCCTCGTCTCTGTCTCCTTCTGCACATTCCCACCGCAACATTTAACAATAATTTCTATTTTTCGGATCGCTCGAGGCCAGCCCTACTCATACACCAGGTTCAACCACTTAACCGACGACCAGCTTGCCTTCCTCGGGGAAGTCGTATTCGGGGATCTCGAGGTTTAGGGGCGCAGGGCCCTTTCTTATCCGGCCAGAGATATCGTAGTGGGAGCCGTGGCAGGGGCAGAACCAGCCGCCGTAATCGCCGGCCTCACCGATGGGCACACAACCCAGGTGGGTGCAAACACCTAGCGTCACAGTTAGTATGAGTGTTTATGTGCCGCGGTCAACAAGATGGTAGTCTCGGTAGCGACTATCGAGACTGCACCTGGTTGAACCCGTAACCAGGACCCTCGTACCCAACATCACAAGCCACTCGGGCTGTTTGACACGCTCATCATCGGTCTGGGGGTCTCGCAAGCTAGCGACGTTAACCTTGTTGGCCTGGTCGATTTCGTCCTGAGTTCGGTGTCGGATGAAGACGGGCTTGCCACGCCACTTGATAATGACCTGAAACGATCAAGTTAGATTAATTGGCAGGTCAATTGGCATCGTGTTCTCGTGGAGGTCGACTCACGTTCTTGCCTTCGGGAATGGCGTTCAGGTCCACCTCGACCTTGGCCATGGCCAAGACATCAGCGGAAGCGGACATGTTGACAAGGAATTCTGCCCCAAGAGCATCAGCATCATCCATTGAAGCATTCCCCCATCCAATTACACATCCGTCGCAGTCACATGAAGCTCAATGGCTCTCCACGCCGCCTCAATGTTGAAAAGAAATAGTCGGCCGCAACATACCCTGAACAGTGCTCTTGGCTCCAGCAGCAGATAGCGCACCGATGGTACCGACCATGAAGTAGGAAAAGAGCTTGTTGCTGCCCTCGCTCTTCTTGGACATGTACTTTCCGAAGTCCGGGATCGAGCTGCCCTTGTCGGATCCCATCTTGAAAGGGCTTTGGTAGGAGGAGGCCGCGTTGTCCGATCGCATGGCGGTGGTGCTGAGAGCGCGCACCGCGGGCATGGCCGGCTTGGCGGCAGAGCGCAGGCATAGCCTAGATGCGGAAGTAAGAGACGCCATCGTGAGGAGGGTTGCTCGGTGCCGGCGACGGAGTGGACGGGGATGCAGAGGTATGAGTTCTTTACTGTGAATTTCGAGGTACACCGGCCGCTAGATGATTTTCAAGGAGTTGCTGCCTGAGGCTACAAAATATCTCGGAAATTGGTGGCTTCTGATTGGATGGGGCGGCCTCTCAGAGCTGCCTTTCCGGGCTCGCCCGGCTATCTGGTCCACGCCTATTAATCGTACCACGCCGCTCACATGCAACGGGCGGGTTGGATGGCCAATTCACAACATAGCAGCATGAGTAAGTATCCTACAATTTATCAAGTCAATGTTTTCGTCTAATTTCTGCTTCCAAATAAGATGATACATTTGACTTGAGCACGCTGCAGAATTGATACCACTGCACTAAGAAGTCTAAGACCCAGTAAGCTGACGTCTCTGCCAAGATGTATTTCCGCTTAGCCGAGTATAGGCAAACATTTCCCAGCTATCATACAATAGCATAACGCACGATAGAAAAGTACTTTATCAGATTACCGCCACCTTGTCTGTCACCTTCATCCTCATCTGTATATTACATATGTGTCTACTTGGCATCTTATCATCCAGTGGGATCCATATTTTTAATGCATCCTTCTCAGCTCTTCGATCATATTTCTCATATCTTCAACACTTGGTCCAAGGCCCTCACAGACAAGTTCCTGCTTCGCCTCGTCTAGATCCAGAAACCTTTCTACCATTTCCCCGTCTACAAAGCGGAAGGGCCCGTCGCCTTCACGAGCCTTGTTCCTGAACGCACGCCAAAGGTTAAAACTGACATTTCCTGGAGCATAAATGTAGTCTTGAAGCCTTGATTGGAAGGTAAGAAGCAAATCTTGATAGTTTGGTGCAATTTCGCCAAACAGATATAGTGTCCCCTCAATCTGTACTAGCATTAGCAGTTGGGTCCAACAGGTGATGATAGTTTCTGATAAACCTACTGAACCAAGGAAGGCCTTGGGGGAGACTACGGCGTTCTCGTTCGATGCCACATGTAATTTCCTGATTTGATTAATCTGCTCCCCAATGTTAATCTCACTGGTGACTTCCAGCTTACTCCGGTCTTGCTCAGTAGGAGCTTCTGGGTTCCGCTGTAAAACGATAATATTCCCCTGGGCATCTGCCTCCAACCACCTCTCCCCATCTAGATGGGCTACGGACGTCGCCCAACCAGGTTGATAATGTCGCGCCGTCTCTTCCAGTTTAGCGCGAGAACCATCTTCGGATGGAATAAACTCTACCAAGGTCAAGGATTGCATTAGATCGACCACTCCAATGATGTTGCCGGAGATGTCTAGGCTCAGAGGAAATGATGCTGGACGGTAGGCTGCTAGTTTTTGCAAAGAGCCGAATACCGTGGTTTCTTCCACATAATGATACACCACCACAGTCTTAGAAAGTCCAGCCACGATGTGCTCTCCGAGTGTGCCGAGGCATCGGCATGCACCCTTCAGGTTGTGAGAGACGATCTGGTAAACTTGACGATTTTCGTCAACACCAAGCACCAGGATTCGTCCGCGAGTATCATTCTCCTCCATGGCATCATCGTCGGTTATGAAACTCGTTCCAATAATGAAGCGCTCTGCAAGATTTCCCATGCTATCTGGTAGCTCTGCTCGAATAACGGTCTCAACCATTTCCAATGATGTGGAGGTGTTGAAAATGAATGGCTTCCCAAGTTCTTGGAAAATAATTTCGTCAACTATTCTGAATGAGCTTGTTATAACCTCCTCATTGTGAATAAGCTCTTTTTTGATACAACCAAGCCCAAAAACCTTCAAGGTGGGCGAATATGCAACTCGTCGAACGGTTTCCTTCACCGAGAGTGTCTTGACATGTGTGAGACGTTCCTTATCAATATGGCTAAGTCGTATATGGCTGTCTGTGGAAAGAACAATGGAGTTTGGAAATGCCTCCGAGTCAAAAGGAGCGACATACGTTGCGTCGTCTGCCGTTGTTGCCGAGTATATAATTCTTCCTTCAGCGCTATAAATCAAGCTGGCGTGCTCGGTTGTTGCGAAAACGTTACAAGTTCCATCCTCTTGGGGAAGAACATGCAATCGAGCTGGGCTGCTTCCTAGTGTCACGCTCTTCCGGCCTGATATCGTGTACCCTTGTATAGACATATCGAACGTAACAACATTTCCATCTTCCAAAGCAACGAGGAGAGTGGGACCAGAAACTTTAGGTGGGTGCAGTTGCACCAGGGCAATATCTCGCGGCACCGACGCACTATCCTCAGTCTGTCTGAGAGGTTCACCATGCAGAGGCTGTAGTGTAGCGAGATCGACAATCGATATAGTACCCGAAGCCCACCATCCCACCACTCCTATATCAGGAGAATCTCTGGCGGCATGTAGACATGAGATCTGGTCCGGTTGAGTTGAGGATTCATCTCCAGATGTATCCCGCAAGACGGCGGCTAAATTGTCGTGCAGGTTCAACGAAACGAGTAATGAGCCATCGATTGAGAGCAAAGCCCATCCTTTATTTGCCGATGCAGCTGTGATTGCCTTGCCACTGGGGGCATCCCATGAGCACAAATTCACACCACTTTCAGAGTCTAGCAAGACAGCAGATTTAGGAGTTACTTGCAGGAGCTGGCCATCAGATATATTGACAGCCAGCAAAGTCTCCATATCTAAAGTTAAGCCTTGAAAGGCGTAAACTTCTTCTATGCCGCCCGCAGAGTCGAATCTAAGAACCCGTGTGTCTGCAACTGATGATAACACAAGTGTATCCACATGACTCGATTGGTGAGATCGTAAAGTGAAGAGGCCCTTGGTGTCCTGGATTTCATCAAGGATACCCTGATCTTCAAGACCGACACCGCTCCGAATACTTCGCAGGCTGCCATCATGATACGCACCGCATCCGGCTACAATCCTGGCCTGGCCTGAAGAGAACGCGTTTCCGAACTGACTGTCACCTTCTCTGTTCCCCATATCCATAATTGCAAAATCTAAGATTGGGGCATTGTTAGATAAAGTTTTGGCCACCACCATGACTTGTGCATCGATGTCGATACGAAGCAACTGTGAATCGCCGTGGTGGGAAGCCAAGAAGAGCATGTCATTTCCCATATAAACAAGTGACGACGCTCGAGAAGTACACCCTGATGAGTCAGGGAACCTCATGGGCGAGATCGCCATGCCAGTCACCACGATACCGGTTGATTCTGTAGTGGTTTCGATGGTAAGTAAGTCCAATCGTCCGTAGTCGTCGGCTAAAAAATAGTGGACGTCGTCATATTCCGTCCATGCTACATATATTTTCGGGTCCTGTAGAGTCGATGAAACCCTCGAGTAGGTGAGGCTGTCGAAGTACGTGATGAGTGTTTCTCCAACCACCAATAATCCTCCCAGGTGCGCCTTTGCCCCTTCGTTATTGCGAACATGATATCGTTTCTCTTCTCTGAAGGGGACTGGGATAAGCATAGATGCATATGGATCGGAGATGATTTGATCCAGCTCTCTCTCCCTATGTGGATCGAACCTGGCCACATTGCCGCGACTGTCGTCCTTGGTCAGCTTATATACGGCTATACGAGCCTCTTCTTGGTCGGTTTGAGTCTTGTATAAGAAGGCGATTTTGGGATGTCCGGTTTGGCTGTGCAAGAAAGTGCTAGCTTTCATCCAGAGCTCAGTTAAACGCACTTGATCTAGAGCCTCCAGTTTTGTCGTCATTCCCTTTCGCATAGGAAGACGGAACACATTTAGAACGCCTTCCCAAAGGTGCATAGCCATAAATTTGCCTGTGGGGTCTACCAAACACTTGTTCTGACTCTGAGAATGCCGCATGTACTGTTCAGCAACATCTTCTATAGTTTGCTCGACTGTGTCTAGCTGGTTCGTCTCGGGGTTCCAGGCAACGTTGAAATACTGGAATCGATCGGTACCTATGAAGAGCAAATCGGTTTCGGAATCCTTGGGCTTTAGGCGTTGGAGCATGGATATCGTCCCGTAGATTAGCTTTGTATGAAGACAAGTCATATCCTCGTCGGTAAGGCGCCATATCTCGAGCCGATTAGCTTTCCTGTCAGCACCAAAAATCAGTCCAACAGTCCAACCACAAGATATTTGGTAACAATCTAGAGCCAGGGCAGCTGGGGCAACTCACGCGACTACCAGGTCCTCTACATCTGGGGACAAGAACCTGATGCGCAGAGCATGCCGAATGCTCGTTGGCTTGTGCACCGGCGCAATGTACGACATGGCGAAGTCAAGGCAAGGCGATTTAGGGATGCACAATTGAAGAGGCTCTCCTCGAGAGCCACACGAAGAACTCCATGTAATGGTGGTGGTGAGGTTGCGCGGGTCGTCGTCATTGGTGATCGGAATTAGGGCGGACATGTGGAGGTTCTGGCAAATCTGTGGGCGCTGGAGGCACCTGACTGGAGGTACTACCTTGACCTGCTGGCACCGGAGTCTGGCCCAGCGCAGGTACATGTACCCAGGTACTTTAGGCAGCTACCCTGTGCTACTTTTGAAATGACTTGCAACTTGACAGCAATGAACTTAGACCTACAGCTTGGTAGCTCCTGCCTAAAAATCTAACTCAGCCGTGACACCTGGATCACCCGCGGTAATTCAAAATCTCGGGGGCAACCGAATGATAGTAGTGACAAAAATGTCAGCCTCATCTGACTCTGGTTCGTCTGCCTACTGCCCATATTGTCTGGTTCCTGAAGTTCTTAATCAGGCCCGAACAGGGGGATGAGAAATATTCCAGATGGAAAATGTTGAACCAGCGGGTTAATATGCGAGGCATGAGAATTGTTTCGTTAACCATCGTGGCTACCCTTTCGACATCGGCTATCAATTATCCTCTCTCCAACAAACAACATTTCCTGGCAAGCCTAATTCTCCAGAAGGAAAACACGAGCTTTATGCCGAACCGTTAGCTGCTCCAGTATTTGGGCAGAAAGGCCCCCCTAACCGATATCAGCAATTCTTAAACGGCCTGGAAGAAGGTTGTAACATCACAGAATCCCTCCCCCGAATGCTTCCAGCGTGGAATGATGCATTCAAAATTTTTACATGGCCGACAATTTTCTCAAAATGGATTTCGATCCAGAACTAGACTTGGCAGTGCATAAGGAACAAATAAGGGCCAAGAGGGACCCCGATCTCACCAAAGTCTGGTTGCCAGTCTCGCGAGTGGATGAAGCAAAAGATGAAGGTTTACAGTTTCCTCCGCGAGCGCGCAGATTAGCCCAGCTGCTTTGGCACCAGCTTGAGAATGAGAGGACGACAACAGATGCCGATGAAAGATATTTAGATGAGATTAGGCAGGAAGCCGATCGGGTCGTGGAAAGTTTCAGTAAAACATCGTTCCCTGTGTTGCCATCCGTAAGTTCAATTATTTAGCATTCTCAACTCATTATTAACGAACCCAGTTAGACGAGAACTTCGTAGAACTCGCGGCTGTGCCTACACTATCACAGCAGGATAGGGAATCCTCATACGATGCGGAGTCTTTTGTTTCGGTCATTGATCCTACGTCGGAGCCGGATTGCATCAAACTACGACAACACGATTTCGCCGTGTCAGCGACAGACCCGTATACCGATACAAATACGCTTATTTACTCCCCATCGCAAATGCTGCCTACCAACGGCTCTGAACTTTGCTATGAAGCGAGTGAGGACTCTCACAAGCAGGATTCGGAGGTGTTCCGCTCGCCTCGGATTCGTAATAGTTTCTCGCTATCCCCGTACCGTTGCTGTTCGGATGATTCCAAGTCATGCTCCTTTCAAGAACCCCATGACAAAGTCAAAGAATCTCTGGTAGCGGTCGTCAGTGATGAGATACCGGAGAAAGAGTCGCCCGAGCAGGAGTCTGTCGAGCTATCCGTTTCAAAATACTTTGTACAAAACGCAGCTTCTGATACTACTCATGAAACACCTGAACTTCCACGGTTAGAAACCCGACTGAGAAATCGAGGTGGTAGTATGGTTAATAAAGGATTGGGATGGAGTTTCTCGCAGAAGGGCACGACAGAAGAACGAGTGGCTGGCATACAAGCACAGGCCGCTACCCGCAATTTCCTCGAACTGTCGAAAGAGTCAATACAAGAGCGAAGTAGCAGTAAGAATTCTTACAACACTGGCAACCTGCTAGATCAGTTTATGCAAATGCGAGGTATTAGGAACAGTCGAGCGATTACCTCCGACAATGGACCACCATCGATATCAAGTCACCCAAAAGCCCGCAATCCGGACCAAGAATTGGCCAAGATGCAAACCAATACAAACATCGAAAAAAGTCCGGATCAACAACCTGCTCTTGCGCCAAGAATGATGACTCTACAAAAACCCGGATGTTGCTTGATATCACTCCAGCTGGGATACTCTATGATCAAGAACCTGGAGAAAGCTTGGCCGGCCAACAAGTTGGTTGACAGGGACTATGCGAGGCATCTACGCCTCCCAGATCAGTATACATGTGGCAACAACACCGCCTCATTTATTTCTCATGCCCATGAAGTTGATGTTTCTTTGACGCCAAATGACGGCATAGTTGTAACGACTCTGTTGCAGGTCAAGCAAAAACAACTGCCCGGGTCAAAGATTTTGACATCGCTGCGTCAAAGAATATTGAGCCTTAGCCAACAATACCGAACACTTATAGTATTTGTTTCTGAAGCCAATACCGCTGGTGAATACATGACAGAACTGCCAACGTCAGATCTGGCTGCATATGCTGATTTCGTTTGTTTCGTCTCCCACCTTGCAGCAGATATCAGTGTTTACCTTGTTCCAGGGGCAGATAAGACGCTCTCCAGCTGGATCTTGTCGGCAATGGCACACTATAATCCACAAATGACGCATCTTGAAGACAGCATGGCATTTTGCAATACCAAGTGGGAGCTGTTCTTTCGACGATCTGGTATGAATGTGCGAGCTTCCCTTGTGCTATCTCATGTGCTGTTCAAAGAATTTGGGAGCTCTGGACTGGCTTCCTTTCTACGAATGACGACAGAGCAACAAATGACAAAATATGGGGTGCCGTTGGGACTGGAAGAACATATTTCACGTGCAGGACGAATATGGGATACCGATGACAAGAAAATATAGTACATCAAATATTGAATGGTGGTTGACCAGGAAAGATTAATGATTTTCATCCGTACTCTTCTGACAACTGGCGGGCCCCGTACTCACGTTAACGGGGACTGTGACCGGGAAGTACTCATACCTCCCCTCGCTCGGTATCATCATAGCAGTGAACGCTTTTTGCCTGATTCCCAATTTCCAGCTCACTGAAGTTACAGGTTCCAGGATCTTCCATCCCAATCCAAAGGGGTTCATTGCATTTCTTGTCACTACATTCTAGCGTCAGCTCGCCCACCGTACAAGGGAGAATGTAAGTTGCAACAAACTCACATGTAGAAATCACACACGACGCCCTCTGGGACCATGGCACCGTTTATTTTTCCTGTCCTAATATTATTGTTCATTAGCCGCCACTGCATCAAGAGGATTTGCTTTTCATTGCACGTACAAGTCTCCAGGTAAGAGGGTGCATTTGCCATCTGGCTTGATCGTATACGCTTTGCCTTTGCATCTCTCTTCAGAATACACGGTTGCCTGCTGCGAATTAGGGAATCGTCCTGTCATTCGTTCAAGATGGTGAGCTGCGCTTGCCTTCTCTAAAACTAGAGCATTCACCGCCACAGAAAACATCGCGCCAGTCGCAAAAACTTGGAAGCGCATGACGGGCAGCTGGGTCTCGGTAAGCGGCAACACGTCGTTCAGTTTTTTTTTTAAATTTTAATTCTGTGGTAGTAGAAGATAAGGCATGACAGGCCCTTATAGCAGGATAAACTTGAACAAAAAGCAATACGGAGTTGGAAAAACCAGTCTTTGGCACATGGGCTCCCAGCCACGCAGTGTGTCACTCAACGACCGCATGTCGTCTCCCGCGCACCAGAATGGCGACCCCAGCGTCCCTTTCCCAGAATTAGAGAGATTGTCTCAATTCACATACGGAGCAATGAGCTGTGGATGGCGGTGGCAACACCATTCTTGAAAAAAGAGGAGGATATGATTCACCTACTTCGGCCAGGTACATGCCGATCACGCAGCACGTTGGCACGACACCATCCTCCCTGCTGCAGGTCTGAGACCAGAATTGTGGCTTACATATTGGGATCAGCGGCCCGGAAGCCGGTTCGATTACAAGGGAGCAGTAGTGCCGAACGATCCGAGGCGTGAAGGACGGTCAAGAGGCGATTCGTGATTTGCAGAAGCTACCACGGAATGTTGGAGGGAAAAAAGAAGAAGAATAGATTCATTCGGACGTTGAATGAAGAACCTTTGAGATTCTTGGAGGAAACAGGGCATGACACCGTGTTAACACGACCATGGGCACTAAATGAGAAAAAAATGTCACAAGGCGCTATGGTACTTGGATCATTATACACTGCTGATTCTTTTTGTGCCGTCGCTTTTAAGTGTCCACATGGTTGGTGGCATATGAGGTGCGAATGAACAGCGACCCAGCAATTGATGCCCTTGATTGACCTATTTCACCCCAGCTCAGAATCAGCCATCCGAGACTGGTTGTTGATTTCTCGATGCATTATATTCTCCCCGTGTATGCGGCGATTAATATCGACGAGTTGGACGCCCAAAGCGACGACCATTGTGCTATTCGAATCTTGTAAAGGGTCAGAATCGTATATATTGTATGCTGCATTATGAAGTTAATTAAAAAAAAATTAAAAAAGGGGGCTAGATGATCATGCAAGGAATCTAGTAACACTATGCTTTGGCCGCACCTAGGCCGGGGAACCGTAACTACCACACAATACACAGTAAGTACACGCATTGCGATGCGTCAGATACACAAGTCGAATTGGTGATTCATAAGATGAAGAAGGACACCAAAGAGCTAGCTATTAAAAAGTAGTAACGCCATGTGCAAATCTATGCTCATCGCGGATGGCTATGCTATATTATACTTCAAGAGATTGCGCTCTCAAATCATCGTCCAGCTGTTATTTAGAGCCAGGTTGAAGCTAGACGGGCTGATTTCCCTGACAGAAGCCCCCTTAGCATCATCACAGGCATGCATCTCAACGACGGCTCAGGGCCAAATAGAATCGCCACGTAACTCAGGGAAGATATCGGACGAGGATGAGATGCTGTGACGTTCTTGCTGGCTTGGCATAACTGCTTTCATGTTTGAACATGTCTCCGTGCAGTAGAATTTCCAGACTGTCGAGGATTTATGCACCTGTAACGTACATGGCGCTTTCGGAATAGCACAAAATACTTGCACGCAAGTTATTCTTGCTTCATCGGCCCCTACCATCCTACAAATGCACTGAACACCAGCCAGCTCACGTCTTGGGCGATTCAAAGCGGTAGTACTCCGTAGAAAAAAGTGCCACGGTAGCATGATGAGCAGACCTTTCGAACCAGGCCCCGTCCCGTCTTGCAAGTTCTTGCTGCACCAGACATTTCGGGAGCCAACATTGAAGACAAAGGGCCTCGGAACCAGCCAATCTGGGCGGCGGCAAACAGGACCGACAGAAGACGGCTGACACGCATGCCGAACTAGCCATAGGGCAGCACATGGATGCAAAATATCACTTGTGCCAGATGCCCGTGAGGGGGAGGCAGGCGACGTATAACATATCAAAAAGGATCAATATGCTGGTGTAACTCTTGCACCGCAGCAAGTGATGCTCCGTCACAACAGCTTGCCGTGTCTCACCACCTCGAGATCATCCATCACCACTGGTCTTCCATGGCTATACAGACAGACAGACAGACAGACAGACAACACACCATCCTGCCCCTTTCGTTACGATTCGCACGGAGATCCCTTCCCCGCCACAAACTTGGAGCCCGTCGACAGTGGACACAGCCTCGCCCTCAGAGAAATGGTGTCACTGGCTTCGTACCTTCGATGGCCGATTCTGGCGATCCCTGTCGCGGACTCGAAAGCTGTTGTACACACGCATCAGATTTGGCCCGTGGGCAGTGTATAGAATCCTCGGCCTAACTCTCGCGGAGTGAATCTTGAGAACCATCACCTCCATGACAGGCAGTCAGAACCGACAATTATCCCCCAATCTGGTTGTTTAGCATACAACGGTTGGACACGCAGGACACGCACCTTGTGAACCCTGACCCTTGGGAATCTAGAACCTCGAATCTCCAGACTTCATTTCCGCAGGGCTGAAACAATTTAAAAGCCACAGACTTTGCCCTTGCGCTCGGCCGAAATTGCCCCTGTCCAATCCAAGGATTTATACAGTATTGCCTGAACGAGTTGTGTCATGCGCGGCATCTATCCTGGACTGCAGACTCAACCCTCAGATCAAAGCCAAGACGGTATCACCTCCGCCCTTGAGCATGAGCCGTGTTCCATTTACGCAAAATGCACTGGTCATGGCCCATAAATCGGCGACTTGATGGTAATGAATGTCTATTCTCAACGCTGCTGACTCGGTAGGCTTGGCCGCCGACGCTTCTGTCAGTCCTACAAATAGGCTGCGCTTGCGAAAGCGCCTGTTTTCTATGATATGTCCAAATTGGGTCTACATTCAGAAGAGATATAAAGGACAAGACGGAACAAACACAGAGCTATTCAACACATTTCCCACAATGGTCGAGGTAGCTTCTTTGGCCACGACCCATCGAGTTGGTGGATTTGCTTCAGCCCGATGCATACGACTCGACATGATGTGTTGGTTGGGGTCATGGACGTTGATGCAAGGCCATAGTAATCAGATATGGCATGGGCCAGCCAGCGCCTGAATGTCATTAGTATCATTCCGTGCCACGTAGGAATTCAATGGTCCCTTACTTGAAAGCCGCACTTTCGCCCTCGCCAAAGGAGTCAAATACAAGGCCAGAATCAACTTGCTCCTGGGGAACTGTCCTCTGGGCCCTGCGATGCCGAGCCTCCTTCTTCTCGCGCAACTCTCGCATTGCACTTTCTCTGCCTACAAAGACAATTTCCTCGTCGTCCGAGTCCAGCTCAGATTCATTAGATATTTCATCGCTTCCGCGCTGTCGTCGTGCCGACTCCAAACGCCGGTCCTGCTCCTCGAAAAGGAACTGCCGGACAGGATCCTCTATTGCGTGGACCCAACTGCGGATGGCCGGAGTGCGTTTCGCCATCTCCCGTAGGTCTCGAGGGACTTCACCAACGCCCAGACCGGTAGCACTTCCCGTTTTGAGTTGTTGCTTCTTACGAACGGCTTGAAGCTTGGTTGTCTTCTCTTCAACTCTCTGTCGGACGCCTCGGTCCCAGAAGTGGGCGAGCTGATACGGAACACGTTGAACTGGATGCGTCGGCCGAACCTCCCAATCTGCAGCCGCCGGTGGCTGGACGTTGGGAACACCAACGAGCCGGTCTGGACGGTGTGGTAAGCAGCGGATTCGGCCTCAATCAAAAGACAAAGACGGCTGGAGTATTACCATTTTCCCATCGCCGACGCTGGCGACTCCCTTCCTTACCCTTGAGCAATTCATCTCGGCGCTTCATGCTGTCGCGCCTCGAGGGGGGTCGACGTGGGAGCGCATTTTCACCTCCAGCCTCGTTGAATGCAACGACACGCGTCTGCTTCTGTGTGGTTGCTTCATTGTCCAGTGGGATAGACAACGGAGTACCAGTCCCACGCGCAACTGGGGACACGCTCAAAGATTGCAGTGCAGATACGGTCCATGCATCAATATCGATGGCGCCATTTGTGACAGGCGTGGACGGCGACTGCAAATGGACAGGAATGTTGGTGTGTTCCTCTGGCGGAGGAACTGCACTGTAGATGGCCATGGAGATAGCGGACGGAGAGCCACAAAGAGAGAGCAGTGCGCAGAGAGCGAATCAATGGACCAATTCGAGGGACAACGCGGATAGGCGTTCAGTCTTTGTCATAAGAGACCCCTGGAGCCGGCATATGTCGTCTTTAATGATGATTGTTGATACGCTCCAGGCTGCAACCAACGTGAGAGTGTCGTCGTGGTATCTATGGAGGGGCGGGCGCATCCTAAAGTACGGAGTAGGCTGTCACGACTCACAAGGATCGCAACTGCCATGCTGTGACTCGGCAGCGGGGCCTACGAGGTAAAACGCACGCTGTGATAGGCTAGTATAGGCCAACGATAGGCCCGAGATAATACATGTACCCCAGAGATCTGTCTGTCATCGGCGATTACGCTGTGCAAGTGTTTGGCCAAGCGCCTTTTTGGCGACGCACAAACACGACTATCACCTACCTCATGGCTCTAGCGTTTTGACAGCCACGAATTGTGTTCCGCCCTACTCTCAGTCTGCCCAAAGATCAGGGCAGGAGCCCTCCAAAACGGGCGACCTTAATATTGACCATACTTGCTGCAGTACGCAGTACGTACATATTAAAAGCATCCTCCTAAAGTCGGAAAGTGAGATGCAAGCACTTAAAGCATGCCCCGCCAAAAGCAATGTGATACGTACCTTTGTCCAATCGTCATGTCACCAGCCTGACTGGCCTTCACATCAGTAGTTTGAGGAACATGCATAAGTGCTTATAACTGATCAAAACTGACTCTATTGTAGACTGGGCTCCTGTCTCTATATGACCAATCTCGCCAGTCACGTCAGAGACGGGACAAAGCCATCCTTTCTTCCCGTGGCAGACGATTGGCTAATGCAGATGTCCCATAACTCCAATAGATTTGGCAAAACGAGAGAATGCAGTTTCTTGGATCTAGTGAAACAACGCAATGCATTTTCTTTCCATTTATGTCTTCTCGGGAATGCGCATGCCCATAAACAGGAGCAATTATTACAAGAGAACGACCAAAGAACGACAAATCGCGAATTCCCTTGCGTACAGTCCAGAACCCAGGCTTTTTCTAGCGTTTCTTGGTAGTTCGATAATTCTTTCGAGGATTTCCAATACCGCCGGGGCGTAATAAAGGCTGGTTCTCCCGTTCAATAGCCCTTTGCTCTCGTTCCTGAATGTCGTCCAAGTCTTCTTCAGTTTCAGCGTATCGCTCCGGATGTCCCGTGAAAGGGCCCGGCAAGCCTCGTTCCCATCCCTCGGAATAAGTCCTGCTAGCCAGTGAAGGTCGTGGTGGCGCTGAATTTTGCAGGGAGGAGTACGTGCCGTCGGCATTTTGATTCGACTGTTGGCGTTCATGATGTCGCGCCGCCATCTCGTAGTAGATACCAAGTACTAAGACGCAGCCTTGCATGATGGCTGTCAGGAGATAAATCGCCCATGTACTCCACCCTTTTGGACCAAGCCTGGCATAGAGGCTTGCGGCAAATAAGAGGCCTCCGGGAGTCTGGATGCACATCATCGGAATGCTCAAGCTCCCAACATGTTTCAAGTGATACGTGGTCCAAATCTGCGGAAAGTATTGAATTGCTGCCAACACTGTAGCCATAACCCCCAAGAAGTTTGCCCAAGCTGTCAGATGGTTCGGCAAAGCAATTGTAAAGATGCCAGTGATGATGACTACCAGCAGGCCGTGCACGACACAGGCAAGGCCGACACCGACCGCGGTCTGCCATTTTGGAGATTCTCCTGCAAGCTCCTCAGAAGGTATAGTCGCATCTCGGTATCGAAAGAATATAAGAAATAGAACGAGTCTAGAGCCGCCATTGGGTCAATAAAAGAAAACTTGGTCAAGAAACCAAAGCAAGAGTTCCAACACCACCAAAACGAACGGAGGACGAATTACACATACATGAGCGTGAAACAGACCCACTGCGTACCAAGCTGAGCAACGCCCAATAATCCAGCAGTGCACTGAAATGCTTCTAATTCTTTGCAGCATCCTATGGCAGCCCTGGACTGCGGAACAGTCAAGATGTTGGCAAAGCCTGAGGTGGCGGACGTGGTTCCGAGCAAAACAAAGTAGGGGGAGATACCTTCCGCCGTTCCTCGGGAAATGATTCGATAATGCTGTGGAAGATATGATATTAAGAGGCCAACTAAAATAAGGCTATTGAAGGACTGCATGTCAGTAACTTTCGACCTGGGTTAGGCTGAAGGGCATGGTAGTGTAACATACATAGATATTACGAGTTCGAGGTAAGAGGGATCCTTGAGTGCCTCGCATTCAGAATTCCTATACGAAAGTAGAGATTCCATATTGGCCACCCGACCCTCGCATAGAGGAGATATTATTTCACCGTGTGTTGGATTGTTTCTGTTGCTTCGCGTCGGGTTGATATGTGGGCAGGCAATGCGCAACTCTGGATATTGGCGGTTGCGTAGGATGGTCAAGGAAACCAAAATGCGGTAGTTTTCGGATGTCTTAAAATCGGCTAATTCCGAGTACAGGGCGAGTTATATCAACGGACAGAACGCGTCAAGGCAGCACGAAAACATGTTTGTCCGTGAGATTGAGGCAATGGATGAAACGTGGTCGAGGAAAATGGTGCGGGTAAGCGTGAGGCCGATGAATAGATCCAGAGGCCGCAATAATTCCGAAGCAGCCTGTGCAGTGAGCGACAACTGAGCCGGAAGCTGTTGAAGCTTTCGAATGGTGGAGTCGGGCAGCTGGTGAGGCTCGAAGTTGGAGGAGAAAGATTGATATGGGGATATGGGGATATGGGTCGGGTTGAGGTGACATCCAGAAGGACCAGACATACAGGCTCGCAGCCACCTGGCCAAGGACGACTGAAGGGCAGAGGCGGCCGTGGACAAGGCACCTGGGACATCCGGAGGCTATGAAGCACCAAACAAGCACCTGAGGGGATGTGACGCAGGAGGCAGGAGCAGGAGTCAGGACCCACCTGCCTGATCGCGCCGACGTCGTCGTGTGGCTCCGTCGTGGCAGCGTGGGCTCGCAGCTATCCTTGCCAGGACGACTGGCTTGCTGCAGTGTTGATGGCGCTGCAGCGGCTCGAGCGGTCCGACTCCGTCCGAGTGGTCTTTGGCCAGGTCTGGGGCTCTTGCGCACCAAGCAAGTGCGGTCTTGTACATGGGTCCTGCCTAACGTGGGAAGCACTCCAGTACTAGCCATCCAACATCACCTGCACTCCGTACTCTGTCCACTTATATCCTCTCATTCAGAACAGGACCTGGTTTCCTATGCATCGCGAGCTGGTTGTTGGCTCAATAGAGCGATCCAGCAACACACGACACACGATTTTTAGACTCACATGCCCAAGTCGGCACTAACAGTGCAACAGCGCCGTATGACGCGACTAGCTCCTGCCCTAGTCAATAAGTACCGTGGGTCTTTCCGAACAGGACCATCTCGTGCTGGCCAATGTGGCTTGCAGGTGACAGAGAGCCTGGACTTGCCAAAAATATCTCGAACCAAACCTTGGATGTCATTGTCAGCACTGCAGTACTCTCACCTTTGTGCTCCTGATCATGATAATTATTAAGTACATTGACTTACTGTTAGTGTTGAATCCCACACCCATTTCTCAATGGCGAGCAAAAAGCATTCCATGCTGCAAAAATTCTGCATCAACGGGCATTGAAAGTATGTGAGGACCTGCACGAGAGGGGCCATTTGTGATCACACTGTGCGGTGTTCGGCTGCACCTCCTAAAAGTCAGTCTGGTGTCCACCAGACATCTCCTGGTCTCTGCATTCGTACATTACATCGCATCCAAGATGCTTAGCACGAGGAACAGACAATGGAGCATGAATCAGTACCATTAGTTACATGTGGACAAGCCGATGATGGCACAGAAACACAGATGCCCAAGACGCAATTATTGGCGCAGCACTTCGCGAACCCTCCAGCAGCATGCTCGAGGCCGTCTTCTAATCGGGTCTTCTACTCTTCTGCACAATGGACAACGGATGGCACAACAATAATCACGGGATCTTCTGACAATTCTGTCTCGTCCTTTGTCCTGCCCGCCGATCTATTGGATTTCGACAGCGGCACTCGCCAATTGGAACCCCAGGCGAAAATCAAGTTACCTGAACCAACTCAAGTCATAGCACCTGCTCCGTTCTTCTCCCTGTCTGAAGCGGCTTCGCAAACATTCCTTGTTGGGTGTCGAGATCATCCTCTGCATATTTATCATGCCTTTCCGGACGATCCTCGCTCTGCCCCCATCGGTCATTACAAGTTAATCCGGCACGAAACAGAGCAGTACATTGTACCGGCCTCACTGGTGTGGCAGTATCCCGGTACTCACTTCATATGCGGTTCTGCCAACCGCCTGGACTATTTTGACGTATCGCGTCATGGATCGGATGGACCTGTGTTAACAGTACCTACCATCCCCTCCAAGAGGCATATCTCCAAGGGACACGGGGTGGGTATGAAAGGAACCGTTTCCGCTCTGGGTGTCTCACCCCCGGATGTTAATGGGCATCCTCTTGTTGCTGCCGGCACATGGACACGTTGGATGGGATTGTACGATCTCCATCGCTCGGACGGCGCAGTTGCTAACTGGCGAATATCGGAATCCGATTTACCAGGTTCGTCAGACTCCTATGCCGGACAGGGAGTCGTACAAGTGCTATGGAGTCCCTGCGGTCGCTACCTTATCATCAACGAACGACATGCGGATGGCTTATTGGTCTATGATATTCGAGGTTCGGGAAGGTTGCTCAGCGTCTTGGCTGGCCGAAAGAATTCGTCGCAGCAGAGACTGAACTGTGACGTCTTTCCAGGCAGCCAATACGGGAACGGAGGTTTTGAGGTGTGGGCTGGCTCTCAAGATGGCTCTGTAATTGTTTGGGACCAAGTCGGACTGACTGCAGCAGAAATGCAGCCGTCATGGAGTTGGAATCCTCATAATTCTCCGGTCTGTGCCTCAATCTTGCACCATAGCGGATCAGTTGTCGCCACCTGTTCTGGAGGTTGGGAGCATTCCGATGTTAATGATGAATATGATGCTGTTGATGCGTACGCTGCGCAGGGACGGAGCTGCAAAATTTTGGAGGAGTCAAGTCTTAAAGTTTGGTCGCTCGGTGGCGGTGTGGTAGGGTGACATGACACGACGTGAAATCTTCACGGGTATTCTAGCAAAGGATATTTCTCAATACGGGGCAAGGCAACCGCAGCTCATGGATGTTCGAAACTATCGATTTGGTGCTTACGGATTAGCAAGTACGGTGTAGAGGATGTTGAACATACGACCCCAGTCGGAACTACCAACACAATACTCTTATTAAGAGGTACTCTGGGTGCAGGCTCATGAAGACGGAGGCAATATAAACTGCACTTGAGTTCTATCAAAGAACACATATTAGTGAGGTTTAACACCTGTGCCTAATCAGCCCATCGTCACAACGGCTTGGTGCACTACAACCGGCGACATAGCTCCGATTCACTTCGGTTATCTTGTTTGTCATCATCAAGTCATCGACATAGTTGGTGCAACTGATCTCCTCCACCCCACAGGCAGGAGAGTTATAACGGCTGGGGAAACTTTTGGGCCCCTCGACGATGATACCCTTGCTCGCGCACCAGAATTTGTCTTCCACCATATCGGACTGATCTGTGACCTCGTGCATCTTCTGGCCAGCGATATTACGATCGTGCCTACCGCGACTATTGACGAGTGCCCAGGGCTGGATTGCCTCTTCATAGGTGGGCCAAATCCTGCGTATTTTGAATTGCACCCGCAAGGCGACGGCTTCATCCGTCGCCATGTAGCTGCAGGTAAGCTGTTTTTCTCATCTGCACTGGAACGACAGACCTTGCTTCCACGGGCGTCCTGGATGGCAACTATCAATGACGTCGAATACAATACCGTAGGACTATGCGAGGGAGCATATTCGACTGAGTTTGCTGGGGGTTTGCAACATTGACGACTTGATAGAATGTACAAAGGCCCTGCCCAAGTTTACGGATCGCACTACTAAGTTGCTAACTTGAAAAGAAAGCAAAAAGCGTGGCTTTATCTAAATCACCAGACCCCGCGGCCGGGTCCCGCCCAAGCGCAGCTACTTACACTACTAACCCAAAATTGCAACATGATCAGGCACGAGAATACATGGCTGGTTCGCGCCGTCCTCCTTACGGACAGGTAGCCGGGGACATTTCTCTTCGTCCTCTTGAGACAAACGCATGTGCAAGATCTTGATTTCGATACCAGCTCAACTAATGGCCCAAATCACAATATAGGCCTAGCAAGGTCGTGTAAGTCGTGTAAGCAGCTTGCCGCAATCAAAGGTGCGCCAACTCACTTGACAAACCAAGTAGATGTATTATTCCAGCAGAACTACTAGTTCAGCATCCTTCAGCTACATTTGCCTAGGTACTTATGCATTAAGCTCTCGACATGTCCCGCCGTTGGGACACCGGCGCAAGTAGTTCCGCCGGCATGTCATATAAACTTCGACGCCGCATACACGTCTAAAAAGCAAGGCCTACGTTTACTGTTTTTCTGTCGTTCTCTCTCTTTACTCTTTATTCTTCATTCTCTATTCTTTTAATACTCCACCCCTTGTCACCTACTGGGTAACAAAACAGCCTCAAAATGCACCTCGTCCGGGTCGTGCTCGCCGTCATGGCCCTCGCCGTGCCAACGTGGACGACACCACCGCCGGCTGCATTCGGCCACAACGGCACCGACTTCCTCCTCCGCGGCAAGCCCTTTGTCATTATCGGCGGACAAATGGATCCGCACAGAGTACCATTCGACTACTGGCGGCGAAGAATCATCCTCGCCAAGGCACTGGGCATCAACACCATCTTCAGCTCCATCTTTTGGAACGAGATGGAGCCGGAGAAGGGCAAATGGGCCAGCAAGCAGCCCGCCAACAACCTCACCCACTTCTTAGATATTGCCAAGGAACAAGGCCTGTATGTGGTCCTCCAGCCGGGACCATACGTCGGCGGTGCGCGGGAATGGGGTGGCCTGCCATACTGGCTCTCGCGGATTCCCGGCCTCAAAGTACGAAGCTACAACGAGCCATTCCTCAACGCCACCAAGAGCTACTTCACCCGGCTGGCCAAGGACCTGGCCCCTTGGCAAATCACAAAGGGAGGCAACGTCATCATGGTCCAAATCGAGAACGAGTACGGCTCCTACGGCGCCGACGTGCGGTATAAGGAAGCCCTGCGCAACATGGCCGCCTCCCTCTTCGACGTGCCCCTGTACACCGCCGACGGCAGAGACAAGCTCTTGCTCGAAGACGGCCAGACCTCGCGTGTGCTCTCCGTCGTAAAAGGCGGGCCCCAAGGGTTCCCTCTGCGAGACGAAGCCGTCACCGACAAGTCGTCGCTGGGCCCCCATCTCGACGGCGAAGCACACATCTCGAAACCACTCCAATGGGGCCCCGAGGCAAAACACTACGCCATGGACACCGACCAGCCCAGTTTCGTCGAGAGCTACATCCGCAACCTGGGCATGACCCTGTCGGCCAACAACTCGATCAACATGTACATGTTCCACGGCGGCACAAACTTCGGCCTCAGCGCCGGCTCCCTATACACGGGGAACAGGACGACCCCCTGGGCAAACAGCTACCACGGCGAGTCCCTGCTCGACGAGGCAGGCCGCACCACGCCTCTCTACCACATCATCCGCGCCGAGATCCTCAAATACCTCCCGGACGCGAGCGCCATCCCCCCGCCCCCGAATAACCTGCCGCTCTTGCAAATCAACGAGTTCAAGCTGGAGCCCTACGCATCCATCCTCCACACCGTCACCTACACCAAAACCCGCAAGATGCCAGTGTACATGGAGACGCTCAAGCAGGGACAAGGCCTCATCCTATACGAGCACAAGGTGCTCGCCGCCGCAAACGGCACGCTCGAGGCCGGCGACCGCCCCCGCGACAGAATCATCGTCTACGTCAACGGCCTGCGCAAGGGCATCATCGACAGCTTCCACGCGTGCCCTGCCACCGTGAAGCTCTCCCTGCAGGCAGGCGACATCCTGCAGCTGCTGGTCGAAAACGCCGGGCGCACCAGCCACTGGCGCAAAGGATCCCGCGAGCCCAACCTCATGGACGATCCGTTCAAGGGCATCAACGGGTCCGTGACGGTGGGCTCGTCCGTCCTCCGCGGCTGGAAGATCCGACAGATCCCGTGCAAGGAGCCGCCCATCCTCAAGAAGCCCATCGGGGGGTCGATCCAAAAGGGAATTCTGCCCGTGTACTACAAGGGCAGATTCAAGCTTCCGCATCTGGGACCCGGCGAGTTCTACGCCGGAATGGACACGTACTTGACCATTGAGGGGGGCACCAGGGGTATCGTCTGGGTCAACGGCTTCAATTTGGGTCGGTACTGGGTCTCCGGGCCGCAGCAGTCGTTGTATGTGCCGGGTGCTCTGTTGAATCCGGGCCACTCCAACAAGATTCATGTTTTGGAGCTCACACCTTGGAATATGACTTTGACCGCAAGAGGGGAGACCACGAAGACGTGGGAGAACCGTCCCGACCCGGAGGCGCCACAATCATGATGTGATGATTGCTTCATAGAGTGGTGACCTCGAAAAACACGACTCAGAATAGGACGAGGTTAGGTGGGGGGAGAGAAGGGACATGAAATAAGGTCGTGTATTTGCTGCTGTAGGCCCTCAGAGAAACACTGTGCTTAAAAAATATACAATTAACAGCCTCAAATCCCAAGTGGGCCTCAACAAAAAAGCTTCTGTTCTGTCTGTATACCGACTGACTCGACGAAACCGAATTTCCAACACTAACCATTGGAATGATTAATTACTCTGATATAATGTCCTCGTTGGTGATGACCTTTTGAAAACCATGTTGTGGGACGCCATGTCCAGTGCTCTTTCATCCACGATAACGCCTCTGCTCCACGCCAATAGCAAGTTTTATTTTAACCCAAGCAAAAGAACCCAAAAGCAAGTTCGTTAAAAGGGGGGGAAGGGGTGCTCCCTTTGAATTACATCCACGCTAGGTTTCTGCTGCGTCTCCGGTTCTGTTGCCAGAGCACGCCACCACCACCGCCGCCTCTGCGAGGCCCGGGGTATGTTGCCATGTGATTTCGATTTGCTTCGACATCGCTGTCAGATTCTATAGCCTCCAACGCCGAGTTGAATCCGTGAGAAAAGTCGTCGAGCTCCCTCGTCAATGGGACACGGTCAGAATCATAGTTAGTGTGCCCACTTCTCGTAGCCACCGCGTCTATAGTATCGTGGCTGTATGGTTGCACTCGAGGACTACCCGAACGGCCACTCACAGCACTAACACTATCTGAAGTGCTTGCGGCCAGAGTGCTGATACCGGGGGTCCTATTGCCGGGTGTGCTATTCCCAGGGGTGCTGTTCCCATAACCAGCGTGGAATCTAGCCTCGGAAGCGTCATGCGAGGATGGGAGTGGCTCAAACTCGCGATGTGCTGCTGGTGCCATTGACCTACCATGCGTGTCAGTTATTGCCGTGCTGCGATGACCTTGCCCGTGAGCAATGAAACTTACCGGATGTATCTGCTATCCTTCTCATTTCCGGGACCACGACGGACGTTGCTCGACTTTCGTCTCCACAGAAGGAAAGCTAAAGTGGCGATGGCAAAGACGGCGGCAACACCGCCAACAGCGCCTCCAATGATGGCTCCGGTATTCGTCGAGCTACTTCCGTTGCTGCTTGGTGCAGCACCGCCGTGAGTTTCAGACGGCTCTGGGGGTTTGCCACTAGCCACGGGCGACTCCAAAACCGTGCTAGAGTCCGACGTCCTAGATGGCTCCGAGCTCAGCGTAGCAGGGCTTGACAGAGGCGTAACCGTCGCAGTCAATTTAACGGAGATGGTAGTAAGGTCCAACGGTAACCTCCCCGATGCAGTCAGAACGACGGTTGTCGCCAGTGCAGAAGCCGAACCGCACCCATACTGGAAATATCCTCCCTCAAACATGTTCTTGTAACATACATTCTTGCCGCGACATGTGTATATGTAGGGATCGGCCACGGTCTGCGGCCCACTGTTCCGGTCGACGCATCCCGTGAAGATTCCAGCATTACATGGTCCTTTATCGGGGCAACAGCCTATAACTCCATTCTCGACATCGGCGGCGCAGTGAGAGCCTGCTAAACATGTAGCTGGCAGATTGGGATCACCTCCTATGTAACCACAAATAGTATTAGACTCCCTGCGCAAAAGCTCCAGGGGTGATGCGGGAGCTAGTGTAGCCAGAGGCCAAGGCCTGACGTTGAATGCGTGCGCTTCGACGGTTTTGGTCTCTTGCGGCAGCACGTTGCCGGCCACCAAGCTGCACAAGGTGGAAAATACAAACAATGCAGTCGATGGCGGCGGCAGCTGCGTAAAGAAGTGATTAGAAATCATTTTGCTTTGTCGATGTTTTCTTTCTTGCGTTGCGAGCCGTTGAGCCCTGCGGTGGCGATGCGGTGCGATGCGATGCGATGCAGACAGGGTCGGCGCAATGAGCTAGTGGAATAATATCCAAGAAGGGGATTCGTGGCCCAGCAAAGCGCTCATTGCCGACGCAAGGCTGCGATGTGGGATGAATGATGACGGAGAGATTAAAACAGCAGCCAAAAAAAAAAACGACAAACAGGAAACAATGGGCTGGGGGCGTGCACAAGGTAATAAAGACCGGGATGGAGAGAAGACGACGAGTTTCCAAAACGCCAGGCCGGCCCAACCAAGATGTCGACTGGTACGGAGTGCATGTTACAATAGGCTGGTACTCGGCACGTATCATCCATATCGCTTGGCAAGAGCCACTGGCATGCCAACCACATGCAGCAGCACGACCCGACAGCACATACATGTACGGAGTAGTACTTAAGTACATTGCACCAGAGTGCAGGGTAATAATGGCTGCACATGTCGACGGTGCAAGAATTCTTCTTTCCTCGAATGCATGCTTTTTCCTGCGTTGCCTGGGGCGCCATCAGCCTCAGTGCCATGTTCCACTCGGCACCGACTGCCCAGCAGTGCCTGCACTTGAGGTACTATTCCCCTCCCCAGGGCGCGCTTCTTTGTCCCTGCCTCGGGTCGACGTGCTTTCCGTTGGTTTCCCAGGATGGTGTGTGGCACGGCATTGTCGCCAGGTGCTGGCTGTGTTGGCAGACGAGGGGGATACGAGACCCTGGCCGCCCACCGCTCTCGCCAAGTCGACCAGTGATAAATACATTGATGATGGCTGGGCTCTGGCTACGCACTCTGGCTCATGTACGTCTGGTGATGCTGGAGCATGTCCATTGCTGGGCAGCCTGCGCTCGAATATTGCATGCTGGTTCCATGCTTACTCCGTACTCCGTACTCTGATGCAGCCTGGCGGTTGGCGGCACGTTTACCTCTTCCAAGTTAGTCCTGTTGTCTGAGCTCAACGCGGCCATCCATTGCCCCCCATTGCTCCCCTTTGTCCCCAGTCATTGAAAGTCGGTCTGTGCATGGGGCCAAAAATATCACAATACTCCGTACTATCATCACGGACCCAACAGGGAAACAAGGAATGCGAAATGTGGAATGTCACGCTATAGACTGAAAATTAATGAAAAAAAGTAAAATCCAAGAAATAACAGGCCAGTACAGGGTCCGCATCCTCGGCAGAATTCACCAAATCTACCAAGGAAGTTATTTTATTCGTTACTCCATACAATACTCCGTACTCGGCACGGCTATTTCGTCTCGAGCTCGGGGTGAAAACCTGCTTCACCGGCCTCATCCTCATCCACCATGTCCATTTCCTTCCCCCGCTCTCCCTGTGGTTCCTGTGACAACCACAGCGTCGGCTTTGCTGTCCAGTTCCTGCCGAATCCAGCCACGGCTGCAGACGCTGCGGTCAACTGGTCCAATCGATCCCCCCAAGATGGCGCGGGCCTTGCATTGCAGACGTGGCCGGCCGTAATGCTGGTGTGCGGCTGTATTCTGCAACGGTACTGTCGACGAGGTGTTCTAAAGTTGTTCGGATTCCATTCTGCCGATATGCCACTGCATGCAACAATGCTAATACCCCATGTGTGCGTGTCGACGAGTTGGCAGGGACTTGGACATGAGCATCGCCACCAAGACCATCAAAACAAGCTTTTTGTGGCGCAGTCCAGATGTCAACCAGGTGCCGATGTCCACCGCTGCCGGCACTCTATCCGTAGGGCTAAAAGACTAAATTAGAATCTGGCTGGCATTGTGGCTATGCACAGCCACGGCACGTCTTATGCGGGGACATTTATCCGATCACCAACTTCATCCAGCACAACAGTTCAGTTCAGTTGTCATCCTGTCACTGCGCCATGATGCAAGTCATCTTTAGCAATGCCACCCGATTCAAACCCAGACTACCGTATACAAACCAGACATGCCATCCTCACCCGTTATGCGCTCTCGACCAGTTCGACTCGCTGCCGCTCTTGTATCGGCCATTCGCTCTCGCTGTTTGCCCTCCGAGTATCCTCGAGTACGATATTCTCAGTATTCATGTACTTGCCCGCAGACTGCCCCTTCTTTGCAACCTTCCTTTGTCGCTTCTCTTCCTTCTTCTGCCGCCTAATCACCTTCTTCTCCGCCCGCGTTAATCGAGGGAAATCCCCATCAGGCCCCCGCAGCACGTATCCCGGATGCATGACATTAAGCGCTACAAGTGCAACCAGCATCGGGAACGCATCCAGCAAGAAGGGCCATGTTTCCTTGCCCAACATTGGGTCGTAGTGATTGAGGCCCGGACCAAACTCGACCAGTCGGAAAACGATGCGCGTCTGCGACAGCTTTCCCGTCAGCACACTCATTTCCCAGCACCAAAATTACAAGCTACTCACCACAATCATACCCAGCACGAGAAGCATTGTCCAGATCAGCCAACCCATTCTCCCTACACGGCAGCCCGTAACCCGCCGCATCTCCCAGTAAAAGGACACCGTCATGCCCGTGAATACGGCGACAAACCCGAGCTGCAGTCCAATGCCCGCCGTGTACACCCTCATGCCGATACTCTTCACCCCGGCGGCGGAATCGCCAGAAAGCACGCTCCCACCTACACCCTGAACTATAAAGCAGACAACGTCCAGCCATACGAATATCACTGTGAGCCTGGTAGCTCCGATGCCCCAGATCTTCTTCCCAGGCAAGCCCAAGTATACCCCCCGCGCAACCGTCATGTAGGCGAAGGCGTTGATCCCTCAAAACAGTTATACGTCAGCGCGCCATGGTTTTTCAGCTTCCCCTTAACAAAGCAAAATCACAAGCGGAGACACGAACAACAAGGACCACGTACACAGCGGCGCCAAGAGAAGAAGCAGCTGGCCCCAAATCCTAAACTGCACTTGTTGCAGGTCGTGCGCGCCTGCGGTCCGGATACTAAAGGCGGCTGTTTCCCAGGCCCCTCCCATCAAGAGAACCCACGCAAACGTCTGTCCCGAAATACATGTTGTTAGTACGCTTGTGCGCCATGTCTAGGCTATTTATTGCGACATGGAATCGAACCTTTTTAAGGACAATCGCCTGGACCAGGTGGACCGCAGTCGAGAGGCCGAACAGCACGGCAAAAGCCATGTTCCCGCCAAAGCTCGGGTCGTATTCGTAGTTTGAGCCGCAAGACCCGGGAGGCACGTGGCCGTATTTTCCTGCCGCGGCGGTGGTACACGTTGTCGTTGAGCTGGCCGAGGATGAGGCGGTGCCTGGTCCTGGTCCTGGTCCCGAGGACGGCGCTGTCATCGTCGCCATCCTTGTCCTGGATACAATAATGCCGAGTCTTGGGAATCAAGTAGGTTGTTTATGCAGATTATCAGGCTGGCGTTGTATTCCTGCGCATGCTGAAAACATGCTTGTGTTGACTTTGGCAGTATATATGTAGGTGTATATTTCTCGGCTTAGACTCCTTTTTAAAAGTTTAGAGACGAAAATACACTAGGCCGATCTCAGCTGCCGCACAAAGAGGCTTAGTTGCAGCTGGGGAGCATCCACAGAGCATAATCGCCTAGACTATCAAGGCTATTATACAGCCTGTGGCAGGATATATTTATCTACTGGCAAGTATACACCCATCTATCACAGTATACTATAGTATAGAATGCAATAGCCAGACACCTGATCTGGTCCAGTATCATTGGCCCTGTACTGTAGGCCGCGTCACCGGAATGCATCTCCTGCCAACCCTTGGCCAGCGTCAGACAACCGTCCGCCATCACGGAGTCCAGCCGAATCAATGGCGCTAATCAATGTGGCGCCGCATTCGTAGCTTCGTTGTATATAGAGGATTCGTTACGGGATGATTGAAAGTTGGAAATTTCCCAACTGACACTGCACATTGATGGTGGTGGGTTTAGGCTACGAGAGCTGGAAATAACCAAGCACTTACAGGAGGGGCCATCGTGATTTGCATCGAGAACCAAGGAATATGTAATTGGCAAGTAACAAGGTGCTCAACAAGATAAGTAGATTGACTCTTACAGACATTCTGCACTTCTTCCATAGCCCCAGCCGAAAGAGTCCTATCATGGCTGGCCTCATGATGATGTAGGCCGTGACGTGTCGTACTGTCGGAAGGCGTACGCCTGCCAACCACACAGCCTCTGTGCCACAGTCCTCTAGTTCCAACCAGGACCATCACAGGCTCACGTACCCGCAGGCGGAGTGTCGTCACCAGCAGATTTGGTCTGCATGGCGATAACTAGGGATGTAAGCTGGTCAATCTTCTGGTGCAGTTCGGCAACCTGGCCCTCCACACCCTTGGGCTCTTCCATGTCATCACCGTCCCCGTCCCTTCTTTTCCCGTCAGCTTTTAGAAGAGTTGACTCTTGCGACAGCGAAACGTGTTGTCTAATATAACCAGATGACGATCTCTTGTGCACTGCAGGCCGACTACTCTTCTTTGACTCACGCGGTCCCCTGAAGCCGGCGTACTCGTCGTTATCCTGCGAGTTTCGTCGGATGTACTCGTACAGCCTGATTGCTCCAACAATGGGCAAATGTGTGGCGCGGAGAAGGACGATTCGTCCTGCACGGAATTTGCCGACTCTAGGTAGGATGAATCGTAATGGCCGAAAGATGACAAGGGCAATCAGGTTGAATGGCGGATAGAAATGAGTAAGCCGATTACTCGTTGATGCCTCCAGCACATAAACACTGTACACATAGAGGTACTCTTCTCTTGCCTGCGTGATAACACGAGAAAAACTGTTTGAAAGCATACCGGTAAGGGACCCCTGCAGAAGAATAGAAGTTAAAGTAATAAAAATAATCATGAGAGGAGGCCCAAAAATAGGGTCAATCTGATCCATGATGTCGAATCCAACGTAGCTTGATCCGAAGAAGATTTTTGTCAAAATGCCCGTCATTCGACCAAAGCTGAAGGCATCACGACCAATAAGGGAAAAGGTGGTCAGGAAGCCAAAGTAAACAATGACAACCAGTACCATAAACTTCACAAAGTCCTTGCCCATTTCCTTCAGACAAGGTATCAAGGTTCCCCAGTACGGGCTCAAGCTCAAAATAGAACAGATTCGTGGCATCATAAAAAGAGCCTCGAGAGACAAAACATTGAAGGCCATCTCGTTCATCGCAGCATTGTGTTTGGCAAGCCCGATGACTCCTAAATTGGTGGTCAGTAAATGCAATACTCACTCAATAATAGATCCAAAACCTTACTAAGGCCCGCAAATAGAAATCCAATCAGGATCATAATCATGTCAAACGCGTTCCATATGTCTGTGGCGTAGAAGATTGAGCCGGCATCGATCCATTCACTCAGTTCATCGTAGAAGAAGGCGGCTATCCAGATGAAGAGAAATACTTCTGTCAGTGTGATGCGTGTGTCGTCACGGGTGATGAGAACCGAGTAGTACAGACACAGAAAGACAACGAAGAAGAGAACTTCCCAGGTCTTGAGATACTTGGGCACACGGAGGCGTGAAAAGGGATCTGAGGTGTGGGGATTGTAGTATCGTGGTTTTTTCACAGAGTTGACCGAAAGAGTGTCCCAAAATACAATATCGCCGTTCCAAATGCCAGTAATGATCTTCTGGACTACATGCTGACTGAGAAAACGCTTTGCGTTGGCAATTGCGGCAATCTCCAGGGCATTCAAGCTCTTAAAGGCTGATGTTGGGTCTGCCTCGTCGTCACTCTCGTCGCCCAGATGGGTCAGGCGTGAGAGGGAGCTTAGCATCTTTGTCCGCTCCCTGGCGCTTCCAACAACGATGGTTGGCAACCCCTCGTCAGAAGAGTTTCTACGAATGAGGAGGGGGGAGGTCTCTCCAGCCTCTTGATCATGGCTCGCCTGTTGCGAACGATGTTCGTGCTCCGGGGCCACCGGTATCTCGTAGAGGCAAAAGTCGACTGCCTGTCTTTCGCTAAGTCTGGTGAGAAATCGCCACGCTGTAATCTCGCAAGCAAACGAGCGAGTCTCTCTAAGACTCAAGTGTTCGTTTGCAGCAGCATAATGCCATTTGAGAGCACTGTTATGCGAGTGTTGATTAGCCCAATTCAAATACCGCGGAGACGAAGACAAAGAAAGGCGAGGTCATGTGCGAATACTCACAGCAGGGCATTCACAATGGCAGGGTTGGTGCAGTTCTGACCGAGGTGGTCAACCAAGACACGAACACAATTTCCAGCCTCGGTGGTCCTTAGCTGCTCAAATGTGCTCGGCAGCTCGATGACGTCTGTGAAGTAGCTGAATGTAGGAGCAGCGAATTAGCACAAAGTTGAGGGTATGACTGCAGCGAACACAAGTACCAACAGGGAAAGCTTCTTGACCACGTCCCGAAAGGAGTCATCCTCGGCAATGTCTGGCATATCAAAGTCATATCTCGCAGACATGGGGCTGAGGTCCCGAACGGGCTGCGGCCGCATCCTCAGCCGGATGGGCATCGTATCAGCTGTGTGCGACGCGAAAGAATATAGTACACGAATATTTCAAATGGAAATGGAAATGGAAACGGGACGATGGAGAGAATACAAGTGAGCAGTGACGAGATGGTGGCCGGGCACGGGGTAGAACCGCGGAATCCACTGCCGAAGGCAGGTCTGGTACCGTGATGTCTGGTCAATACATACTGGTATTATTACAGTGGGAGGTGTATACTACTTATCTCTTCACAAGGTCCGTCATGGCACTGGCCAATGCGTCGCTCCTGCCAGGCCGTTTTATTACCTGTGGAACCAGGGGGGAAGCAGACGCCACATGGGAGTTTTGTCATGGTCTATTCTGTACAAGTAGAGGCTGGGGTAAAATGTCAACTGTCGCACAGTATGGGGGGGACAAGTCGTAAAGAGCCGTGGCTTGACGACGCCATTTTTTGGTATTTTTCTTGGTGACATGAACTGATTGCTCTTGCGGGGACCCATGAGTGTCACGGGCGACATCTACAGGCGGGTACCTAGTATGTATAATGCCGACGATACATTTTATCCATGGGCACTAACTAGTATTAGCACTCATTGTTACACCACATGCAGACCCTTTACCCCGTAATACGGTCAATCAATTTACCCCAGGTGAGGTGCCATCCAGTGCCATCAACTGATTGGCAACTAAGTGGGCTAAGGACCACTAATTCGTTGCCAACGGGTACTAATATCGAACCAGACAGCGTTGAGGTTGGCTCAATGTTCGGTTCAACGTCAACGTAAAAAATTGCCGCGATTGCCTCACACTGGGGTTGCTCATTTTTAGCAGGGAAACCATGCTACTTGATCGTTTTCTTTGTTTGCCCTGGTTTTTTTTTTTTTCCTGCAGACAATGTATGGGGAGAAGGAGCCCCTAACACAACTGTTCTGCTGTCTAAGTACTCAAGTAGTTGAAGTCTTGCAAGGCGGTGCCTTCACGGCCGTCTACAACTCACTATACAACCATGTCCCGAGTGGTGCAAGGCAGGTTTGTGCTTTTCCGCCAAACTCAATCAACAAGTGGCGTCCCAACGGCCGAGACGGACTATAGCAGTCATGCATTTTGCTATGCCCGGCCCCAGAGCGCCGGGGCCCGTGGCTGCTTGGAGAAATAGGCTAGCTGAATTACATTACTATCGACACTGAATACGGAAATATATTCAAATACCCTTACTGCATGTCTGGGAATGCTGTTGGGGGGATCTAAGATAAGGACGCCCTCCGCCTTTGGCAACACCTTGGGGGAGAGAGGGACCCAAAGCATAACTGCTACATACTTGAGTAGATGTGATTTTGGACAAGAATAAGGCTCAAAGGGTAATGGGGAAGATTGCAAACCTTTTTTGGGACCGGTATAGCGCAAGGAAGACAGGGACATGCAGCCTTTCTGATGTCATGCAAGTCTTTACTTGAGTTGCCCAAAGACGAGAATCACATACATCTCTAATCAAAGAAGCGCTTTCGCTCCACATTCCACTATGCGTATTATCTAATTTCTGCTTGTTTTTTAGCACCCAGTACAGCCACTAAACTGATTCTGTGTAAACCTTGACGATCACATCACCCACGAATAGCTCTGCCAAGACGGCAAACAGAGTTGACATCTCGGAGCACGTTGTGAGAGTCAAGCTCCAGTTCAAAGTCGGGCCCCAATTCGAGGATACAGCCATCACACGTCTTCCATTGACGAAACGCGCTTCGCTTCCTGCCGGAATTCGGGTGAATGACGAGAGACAGCACGTAGGCACATGTGCTCTATATCTATCATGCAAGGCTTTCTACAGCTATTGACGATATTCCTTACTGCCGCCGTGCCTTTGGTCACCGCCACGAAGGCTAGTTATTAGTGATTGAATTCTCACTCGCGCCTCGAGGCAGCTTACATTTGGATTCCTTGCCCCCTCCTCTTGAAACATCCCACGTTCCTCCGAAACACCCTTGTATTGCCATGAAGTAGTATAAGTCATGTATATGTGCCCATGCTGACACAGACTTGAAATATTCTGGGCCGCGGACACATCATCCATCGCAAAAATTGCACCCTATTAGTGCATACTCCATATAAGTCTCAGTGAGAGTTGTACCGCCGTCGAGAAACATATGTCTTGCCACGACGCCATTTCCGTCTCGAGAATAGAAAAGCTACTGATGACGGGGACAAAGTAGCCTGGCTGGCGCACCTTGTGGCGCAAGCTGGTGTAAAGGAGTGGTGTCTAGAGGATTGCCGCGGACGGCATGTATCTTTACTCCTAGGTTTTCTCATTTCTACTATGAACAAGGGATTCCAAGAATTTCTCATTTCGGCATATATATCTACCAGAGTTTGTGTGACGAAACTCGCCGCAAACTTGCTTTGCGCTTGGGTGGGTTGGATGCATGGCCAAATGCGTGCTATTTTATAAAGAATGCGCTTTACTCGTCGACGGAGACGACATCCAAATCTCTTGTGGCATGGATTTATTTATCCCTGTCGAATGTCCATGTTCTCCTTGAGCGAGCGATCCGTTTGATGTTCCGAGCTATGGCTTTGGTTGAGTGGGTGTGGAATGAACATGCAGGATGTGTCTAGCTCTGTGTAATTTTGGTCCTTGTTTGGAGAGTTGAGACTTATCGCAGTTCGTAGATTCAAGCCCTTGCCTACTCTACTCTCACGAGTATAAGAGCAGAATCTGTATAATCCTTGGCTAGTTGACCATTTGTAAGAACACACAGAGCATGGTTATACAATACAGTACGCCATCGTGCTTACGAGGCATGTCGTCCATGTGCCCGTACTATTGTTTCTAGTTTTACACGCTTCAAAATTTCCAACGCTCCATGTGTAGATTTTCTATCCAAAGTTCAAGAATGAACAGATGAAAAACGCCAACGGCTGATGACCATTGATCGCCCAAATTTGGATGCTGTTCCATGTTCACAGGGTTTACCACTTCGTATCTCCTCTCTTAATTTCACCATTTACACACCTCTTGACCCAATCCCAGACCGTGTTGTGCCAGACAAGAGAGTTTTCCGGATCAAGCACCCAGTGCCCCTCATTTGGAAAGGTCAGCAACCGACTTGGTACGCCATTTCCCTTCAGAGTGTTGTAAGTCGCAATGCCCTCAGTAATAGGACACCGATAGTCTTTCTCGCTGTGAATAACGAGAGTCGGCGGCGCGTTTCGCCAGTTGCGTAACAACTCGGGCCGAGCAGGGTTGAAGCGTTCAAAAGCCATGGGCCGTTGCCAGGGATAGAGAGCGCCTTCAAAATTTCCGCCCTCATACAAGGCGTCTGTTTGCAAAAAGAATGAGGGAAGGTTAAAGATTCCGTCATGCCAGATCGCACAGCAGAACTATTTGCAAGACATGTCTTAGTCACGCACATCGGCAAAATAGCTTGCGGCTGCTACATACCTTGTTGATGATCTCATGTCCAAGCATCCAGCTAACCATGTAGCCACCGTAGCTGGCTCCGGCAAGCACTGCTTTGTCCTGGTCAAGATAAGGCAGCTTTTCCAGATACGTTATGAGATTCAAGAGGTCCTGAAATGGTCGACCACCCCATTCGCCATTGATCCCTAGATTTAGGCCAAATTAGCGAGCGTCGGCTAGCACCAGGATAAGCCAAGTCATACTTCTTGCAAACTCAAGACCATAACCCACGCTTCCTGTGATGTTGGGACAAACTATTACGTATCCCTGTTCTGCCCAGGCAGCCATGTTCCACTCCATTCACCAACCAGTCAGTGTGAACTTTGCGGATAAAACCAAAGTTTAGGAATACGACTCACCCTGGTGCTCCAAGCGTCATCCCAAGAAGATATCGGTCCACCGTGTGGCATCAACACCCACGGGTATTTCTTATTTTCATCGAAGTCGGTGGGCCGCAACATAAAACAGTGAACACATACATCATCCGCTCCCTCATACCAGAACTCTGTGACCATGTCTGGGGATAGCCTGAATTTTTTACCTTCACTAGTTGCTGATGAAAGGGTTTTGACAACGGCGGCCTCGGACACATTCACAACTTGCCAGAGGCTACTGTCTATGAAGCTGGAACTGGAAACCAGAACTTCATTCCAATTATCATCTTTGAGTGGATAACACGCGGACGCACTACCGTGCTTGAAAAAAATATGCGGCGTCTCCCCATCTGCAAGTTTGAGCTTCGACAGAACAGTTCGGCCACAGTTGGCACTTGTCATGATAATGTTTTCAGAGTCGCCAGCGAACTCGAACTCTTTGGGTGGATCGTGTTCTTTGTCGCCGCCACCCCATGTCGGCGTGACAAGACCGAAGGCATCGAAGGCATCGAGGGAATTTGTCGACGCCAAAAGCAAGCGAGAGCCATACTCGTCCCCACGTGGAACATGAAGAAAGCCAATCATGGTGCCATCGGGAGAAAACCGAATGTTAGACATTATGCACTCATCAACGCCTGATGGCAACTGTATTCGCTTGGGTCGTCCGGTCGGTGGTAGGGTAAACGAATCAAGAGGCACAAAATATGCTGAGCTCACAGCAAATTCTCCGGGATCCAGGACTGTTCGGTCCTGTGCAATAAAGACGGCGCCTCTATGAGAAATATCAAAGCTTGACAGAGGATCTCCGACGTCCAACATTCCTCCAGGTGCATCTAGTTCGTGATTGTTGACTAGGTTGAGGAGATGGCCTGCAAACTCCCACTTGCCAGACGAATCCTGTTGCAGCTTATTGTACCACAAGCTATAGGACTGTTGATTCTGCAACGAGGTCCACTGTGATGCAAATTAGAAAAGAAGTTGGCGAGCGACAGATGCTGTCATCCGGCGCTTGAACTCACAGATCGAACACGCGCCCCGTCAAAGATGCGGCCAGTGGAGAGTTTCTGGTGAGCCTCTTCGTTGTACAGAAGACCATCATCATCAACCTGACCAGTAACCATGAATACGACAGATCCGTCATCAAGTTTCTTAAGTTTAAGATTTTCAATCGGTCCATTGAACTCGGCGAGGGGGATGTGTTCCCAGGATCCGTCTCGTCCCTTGGCCACAATGGCTTGCGTTCGGCCCTTGTCTCCAGACTTGAGAAACAAAATATCATTGGTGCCAGGGACCCAAACGGCATCGTGAACTTTGTCGTCATCTGATATTTGGGATGACTGACGGGTCTGCAAGTCCATAACACGGACTTGTTTCTCAGTTTTGTCACCGAACTTGTGGGTGGAAATCGTGTAGAGGGCCAGCTTGCCATCGTGATTCGGAACCGCGGCACTCCTCCTAGGGGCTCCGATGAGAGTTTCTGCGGTCAACTTTTGAACACGAACCATGATGACTGCTTCTGTGTTTTGATAGATTTATCATGGGTGAAATTTCCGGTTCAATCTCATTCATGTATGAGAGAGGTGCAGTGGATGTCATATGAAGTTCCACCAAGAGGTGTAAGTTGCCACTAGGCAGGGAACGTATGGTGCATACGAGTATTAGGTACTCGGTAGGCCGTGACAGAGTGACACGCAGCTCGGTATATTATGTACGTGTATTTTAACCGCGGCGACGGTGCAGAAATCTACTTGAGTATTAGGCAGCTTGCGCAACCATAAGAAATCAATGGCGGACTGGGTCCAGAATTGGGACATACATATTAGGTACCTAGGTTATTAGCTATCTAGTACCCATCAGATAAGTACCTACAAGTAGCTTCCACGGAAGCGTACGCGTAGGTGCCAGCTTAGTGTACGCGTTGGCTCACGCGGCCTGGATGGGCAGTTCGGAATTTGAGGTACAGAAGGCAAGGGCCAATGTTGCCCGTACGCAGCTTTACTTGCTGCTACAGAGAAAGCTCGGACATGGCATTGAAACACTTCGAAAATCGAAAGGAAGATGTCAGAATGCTTGTAGTTTTACAGTAAGAGGTGTAGGAAGGAGCAAGGGGAGACTCAGGAGACAGCACCTGGAGTCAATGATGTCACTACCAGACTCCAGCCTGCGTTGTACTTGCCGAGTGATTCGCTGCGAACGTGTGTACAGTGGGAGGCGAGGCATCGGCTGTCATAAACTTTATGTCCACCCGTTGGACATCTCGACACCACTTAATATTGATCCAACGTTAATAAAACCGCACGGTCTTAAACGTGGCCATCCATCCACGGTCATCTCCAAAACCTTGCTGCTGCCATTGAGTTGCAGAAACGGCAGCACGGGGTTGCTGTACCAGGACTTGATTCAACCAGACTCCAGCATCATCCTTTTGCACGCCATCACCCCAGGCCGCGACTACCCGCATTCTCGTGTTCAGAATGGCTGCCGGCATGTGCCCAAGGCCCTGGCTCCTTGTCCCCAGAAGGGGCCCTTGCTTCCACCATATCCGAGTGATTGGACGAGTTCGGGGCCTCTTGTCAACTGGCCATCCATGTCCTCTCCATGTCCCGTCTCCGATTTCGGGGAACCCGGCTGACTGGCCGCCCGGCCCGGTCAGCATTTTGAATCTTCGTCGACGCTGGTCCCCCGACGTCAATGCTCGGGGCACTTTTGACACGCTACGTATTTTCAATTCATCTCCGGAAATGTCCTGCAAGCCAGTTTGCTGACTCGCTTCAAAGCACACCGTACTGCGGGGGACTTGGAGACTTCCTTGACATTGTTTGCGCGGCTGTGCCTCAGGGCTGAGCACATCATCACCAGGGCGGGGGCGTTACGAAAATCACGACGAGCTTCTGCCTCATCATCTTGGCAAACCAGAACTTGAAGCGATTCCACGATAAAAGGATTCCCAAGAGCCGCAATGCGTCTGCAGCAATCGTTATTCGAACAGAAACCTCAAAGAAGAAGAAGCTGCAATAAAAAGAGACCTCACCTGGACCAGCCTTGTCGAGCGTAGCTTCTGTTCAAATTTCCAGTCGCTTCGTCGTGCCTTTGTATCTGTGCTGGCTCCCAGGGGGAAGGCTTTGGCCATCATGAAGGTCACCAATGAGTCCGAGTTGGCGACAGCCACACCAACCTTGGAACGTGCTACTGAATCAACACAAAGGTGGAACACGAAGAACTTGGGATGGAGACTGGCTGCTGATGCTGCCGGTGCTGCGTGCGCTGGTGTTTTGGTCGCGCCAGTCATTTCCATCATTGATCGGTACGATTTTTCTGGAAATCTCCATCTGCCGCCTCATATCATGCTCTAACATGTGAATCAGATCCATCATGGAGAATGCGTCCGGACGCAGTTCCCTCCTCGACTCGATCCGTTCCTCTGTTCGAAATTTCATCCTGCGACCCGGACCCGCGCTCTTCTCTCGACCCTGTGCCCTCATCTTCATTTTGTACGGCGGCACATATCTGACAGCCAACGCACTCGACACGGCAACATCCACCGCCACCAACAAACCCGCTACAGCCATCTCCTCCGGCCCAGGTAAATTTGCTGCCTCATCGGCCGCCAACGTCGGCCTATGCATGTACAAGGACCGCTCGTTTGTCCGCATGTTTGGCCCCGTGGGCGCTCCTCGCGCAGTGCCCTTGCCTTCCTATGCACTGTTTACCCTGCGCGACTGCTTGACGATATTTGCCTCGTTCAATATTCCCCCCCTCCTTGCGCCTTATATAGATTCGCGTTTATCCACCGAGTTCAAGAAGCACCTTTCGGGTCAGACTGCCGCGCAATTCGTCGCCCCTGCCGCCGTACAGTTCCTTTCTACGCCCCTGCACCTCCTTGGTTTAGACCTATACAATCGGCCCGGCCAGTCTCCTGCCGTTTCTTGGCGTGATCGCTTTCAAATTGTTCGATCCAATTGGCTTATTAGCTCCGCGGCCAGAGTGTGTCGCATCGTTCCGGCTTTCGGTGTTGGGGGTGTAGTCAACTTCAAGGTTCGGCACAGCTTGATGACAAAGTTGGAATAAAACCACATCTGCTTCTGCCGTCTGTTATATAATGGGTCATTTTATCTACAATTGGCATATGTTCATGGGTTAGCATCATGAGGCGTTGGGACTGTTGAGATGGTACTGTGTAGTGTGATTTTTGAACCTGTCATCCTCTATTCATGGAGTGCAGGTAGACGCCATAGAACGGGAATCATGAAGAAAGAAAATCTCACTTTCGCATCAGGCCACTTGCTGAAGAACGCGTTAATTTGGAAACAAATCACTCGGCATGCATTAATAGCCACGGCTGTGTCGTGCTGGTATGTACACTCATTAGGCCCTCCCTCCTAGCCGCGACTTAATCTGTGGTGTATCAAAGTGCCGCCCTTACCAGTTCAAGCCGCGCAACTGGCTTCGTTTCCATTTACTTCGTTTCTCATGCTCATGCTCATCTCAATTCATCAACTGAGTCATCGTCTTCGCCTTCTCCACGCCGTCTTTCCTTGTATGGGCTCTCCCCACCACTCCGCTCATCAGGCATCCAACCTCGTCAAGGTATCAAGTCGCCGTATTCCTAGCAGCAAAAGCAATTCGTCAAACCAGCTTCCGGAACGCCGTCCCCAGACCAAAAGTCCCCTATTTAAGTAGAATCGGACAAGTCGAAAATGTTAAATTACTCCACAATCATCAAACAGGATCCACGCAAAGTCCCTTTACAATGAGCTAAACATGCAAGTCCCCCCAGGTACTTATGAACTGTATGAAGGCTTGCATGCTAGTAAAGAATTTTTGTTGACGGGGACAAAAAGAGTCGAATGCTGCCCCTTGAAGAGAAGGGGGCGGAAGCTGCATAAGAACAAGTGGCTGGTACAGTGTCGCAAATACATCCGTATTCCAGCTACTAATCATATACCCAAAAAGAGGTGAAAAAGTGAGACAAACATGTTTTGAGCTCCGTGATCTGGTTTTTTTTTGTGTGTATGTGGATGAGGCTTAGAAATCAGGATGCGAGCAGATTCGTGATAGCATCTCTTATGCAACCTCGACATAGAGAACGAGTTTCTCATGCCGCTCAAGAGCAAAGTTGAGATCACTGTCGCTCATTAAATTAGGTTTGTTTCCTGTTGGCTCGTCCTTATAGAAAAGTTGTAATTGATTATCGGGGCTGAGTTTGAGTCGATCCCGAATCTTGTCACACAGCTGCTGATAATCAACTTCGGACGGTACACGAATAGCGATAAGATCACCATTGTAATACATCTTGACTTTCATCACGGCTTGTTGTGGCTGATTGCTTGTACCCTGTTGTGAGTTGCTCAATTGTCGAGATGTGGCAGGGAGTACGGCATAGGCATTTCCGTTCAGGTTGGTTCGGGAGCCGCCGTTTCCAAAACCTTCGGCGGACGGTTGTGAGCCCTGTGAAAGCCGCATGTCCTCATCGGCAGAATTTGGAGCGATCTCATAGTCTCCTTCACGAGGAGCAAAGAACTTCTTCACCAGGTCGCATTTCGAAACGCGGTCTGGCTGGTCGAGAAGATTTTTAACATAGGCATCGAGGTTGTGTAGCCTTGCCTCTGTGATTGCATCTGTGACATAACTGACAGGACCTGGCATGTATGGTAAAGTCCTTTTGTTCGTTCCGTCATGACCAGCCTCTGAAGGAAATTGGTTGAGAAGGGCAATCTGGAAGTCGTAAAAATCTTCGTAGTATCGCGAGAGTTCCCAATGTCTGCCATCCTCAAGAACAGCCACGATAACAAACCAATATTTGTCTTCGGCAAAGCAATATCGAGGTATCCAGGCTCTGACTGGCGCGTATACTGGAGTTATTTCCTGGTTGTGAGCATATTGTTGGGACTGGGAAATGCTGTGTTGCCCGGCACGGTGCTACGTGGGAGATAAATTAGTATATGGGGGCAAGAAAGATGGTAAAAATATCACACCGCGGGGAAACCACCGTGGTGGCTGAATGAATGAGGCCATACCTGTGATCCATTCTGTGCGCTCTGTCTCCCTTCTTGAAGGCTCATACTCTCCATACCTTGCTCAACTGCCCGTTGACCCCCTGCATCAGGGCCCGCGAACTTACCCAGAGTAATGCTGCTATTCTTATAGTTTGCCGCCATCCTCTTCCATTCCTCCACACTCGGAACCCCGGCTCTCTTCACAGCTTCCACTGCGTTGGGAACAACCTCTTTAGTTCTGACATAGCGAATCTCGACGTATGAGACGGGGATCAAGCCAGGACCGCCCAGTCTTGCGATGGGCTTGGCAACGAACCACTCTGGGGTTGACTGGGCGATGATGATGATTTGCTCATTTTTGGTAGCGCCCAACTCGTCTGGCCGCTGGGCCTCGAAATCATACATGACGGTGGCAAAAATTTTGTTGTCAATATCGGTAGACTTGGTACTACGGTGGGTGATTGGTACCGCTGTAGTAATGGGGTGCGGGGCATTTTCGCTGTAACCAGAGTCATGGTCGGGACTCTTCGCGGTAGGCGGCCTGCTATTGTCTGACTGGGCACTGTCTCGCTCGGTACGGCCTAAGGCTTGGAAGAAGGCGACCGGGACGAGGCCTCGGGCATCCGGCAGGGCAGGATTGCATGCCTCATACCAGTCTTGGTCGTTCTCGCGGCCAATAACGTGGAAAAAATCTCCTTTGGAAAAGCTCAACTCTTGCGACGACTGGGCTTCATAGTCGTACAACGCTCGAATCACCTGCGGGGAGACCAAGTGTCAACACTCAAATACTTGCAGGGTGGGACGAAAGTAATAGCATAGGCGTCTGGAGAAGAGGCAAAAGAGGAAAAGGAACGAAATTTGTATCCTAGAATCCGCTGCAACTGTATCTCTCGATATTCGATATATGCCACATCGCCTCGGGAGGGAATGGGCTGGGTCGTGGGAAGGGGTGTACTGCCAAGGCGAGAGAGGTTCGGGAACCAACCTTTTTGGGTGGGATGATGGCGACAGCAGACTTGGTCGCTATTGAGGTGTGGTGCTGCTTTTCCTTATCGCCCTTGATGGACCGACGAAGAGCCTGTATGAGGGCCATCAAGATTAGCAAGTCGAGAAACTTTGTAGGATATATGGAGTAGTCTGGGTATGTCGGATCATGGCGGCGTGGCAAAACATCTGGTACTCAATGCGGGGTGAAAACGAAAGCGAGAAAGACAAAGCAAAGGAAGGAGCAACTGTGCGCGTAAGTGCTTAAACCGTCCCGCCACGTAGGCAACCGAGCAGGTGCATCTGAGCGAGAACAAGAACGCACGGGAAACGCACGACAGCTTGTCGAGGTCCTCGAGACAAAATGCCCAGACTGTGGCAAAGGTACAGAGGGGGAGTTGTGCAGTGACGAGGGCCGGAATGCAGGGCCGCAACCATGAACCAGACGCGAGCGCAGATGAAAATTCGAGATGCGCATGGCGACGCTGCTGAGCAATGGGCGGCAACGTACCTTCATCCTGTACGACTCACTCTGCGACTTTGCGGCGAGGGCTGGCAGCAAAACGACGGCAAAGAAAGACAAGTTGTCGCACCGGAAGGGAGAGACGGAAGGGTCCAGAGTAGGAAGCGCAAAAGGTGAGCACTTTGAAGGGGGGCGGCGCAGTTAGTTTGCCTGTGCCTGTTCCTCGTCCTGTCCGGTTCGATCAAGCCGCGACAAATCCACTAGGCGTTACTAACAACCAGCCCAGCAAGGTCTACCTGGTCTACCCGGTCTTTGGGTCCTAGCCGGTTTGGTGGCCCGGTCTCACACGTCGATGTCGCCCAGAGGTCACAATGGTGCAGTAGCTTGGCTCAGGCCTTGGGTGGGTGGTCGGTGGATTCGAGGGTGGAGACGCTGGAGGCGCCTCACAGCGAGAACAGCGACTTTTCGATGCTGGACAATAAGCAGCAGGCCTGGCAACACTCGAGAGGGGGGCGTTGATGGCAGCCGTTTGATCGTTGGGGACTGGCGCGAAGTCAAATTCGCCGGCTTGCGTCAACCGCAGGCTGTTCCTGGTTAGTATGCGGACTGTGGACTTGAGGGTTTTCCAAGGCAGAGGAAAATTCACGGTGATGGATGCTGTTCGCGCTGGCGAAAGATGCCCAGTGTACGCGTCTTTGCGCGGAGATGGCGCACAATCTTGGACTGCGCAAGCGATGAAGGTTGAATGAATGTCTTGTTGGGCGGAGGAATCGCGGAGCAAACAACTGTTGGTGCTCGAATTCTCGCGTCGTACCTGTACGAACGACGAGCTAATAAGTCGGTTGTGAACGGAAAGTCGTATTTTGTCGCGGGCTTCGAGGTATGTCGTCTTCGACAACTTTATATTATTGATGCTGCTTGGCTAATAGCTTTTCTGGATATGGCTTAGTACATCCGAGGGTGAGAGAGCCAGGGCGATACGCCAAGAAAGGGTAGGTAGCAGATCGAGGGAGAAGATCAACAACAATGTCTCATGGCAAGTATGACGACAGCGGAGCCGGCAAGTGCAGGCCGGAAAAAAAGAAAGAGAGAGAGAAGGAGAAGGGGGGACTAAGGTGAGGACGTTGCCGAATCTCGAGGAGATATGGAGATATGGGGACGGGCCCGGAGGATATACCTTAGCAGATATGTATAAGATGGAGGCAAGGGAAGTGGTGGATTCTACACATGTATACGCTCGGGCACTCTCGTAGTGTGTGATATCAACGCTATGCGTGTCTGTCCACTTGAGCATTTGGGCAGATATGACTACATATGTTGGATCAAGTCGAGCCTGGTGTGATTGATGGATGATACTCCCGAATCTGGCCTCCAGCTGTTTGTCACCACTCTCTGCTGAGTCCTGACACCGATGACGAATTGACTACCTGCAGACATGGATACTGGGGACCAAGGACGGCGAGTACTTGTTGAAGTGAATATCATGGACTCCAACCTCCATGATCCATCTCACGCAGGCGCATCAATCTGAACATTCCCAACTACTCATCACAACAGGGTTGCGTGCTTGCGTCTTTAATGGCGAAGAATATGCCAGAAATCCGAAACCAGGCAATAGCATGGTTGCTTGGGCACGGAACACTTAAAATTAGGAAGTAGTGCATACACACGACGCCAGCACATGCAGGACTTGGGCAAACCTTTGCCGCCGGCTTGCGTGGCTTGCAGCATGACGAGGGCTTGAATACTACCATTGCTTTGCCTTGATGTCTGCCTGTTGACCAAACATGGATGTTCTCCCCAGGGACAAAGGAGTGTGAGATGGATGCATTGCCTTCAAGTGCCCCGTACGAAAAGTCAAGGTGATTGGAACTGCCAAATACAAATACTCGCGGCATCAAGCTATTGACAGGTAATGACGGAGATTTAAACTGACATGGACGGGTCAACGGTTCAATGTTACCGTCAATGCGGCAGGGGCGCCGGCATGGAGTCCAGGGGAGGGTGTCACTGTGTGGTTAATTCGTACCTCAGGCCACCACGCCGTCCTCTGTGGTCAATGGGCAGCATTCAGCATTGAACCCAACATTTGAACCGCGAGACTGTGTCTGGTGGCCAGCGGCTGTCAAAACTCCAAGTACCAGACGTTCAATGTTGTTCTCGCACAGCGTTCAATACAACCTTGCCACATTGTGTAACTCTGCCCTTCTTTGTTTGCATTGCCCCGTCTATGCGTCTTCCTCTTCTTGGCCCTTGTCCAACCTCGACCTCCCGACCGTTAGTTGATACGAGGCTCGGAGCACAGAAGCATACTCAAGGACAGAAGGGCCTCCTTTGATACCTGCCACTTCACAACAGCTACTTTACGCAACCACGCGCATCTTTCCAGTGTGCACATACGCGCATGCACGCACGCCCTCCCGCCGAGCGCAGAGACATGGCCAGGATCGTAACTGGGCATCATATACTCCGTAACGATGCCTGCTGGGGCCGGACATGTTGAAGCCAGCCATCCCTGAAGCCAGCCATGCAGCTGCGGCTTTCAGTGGTCTGGAGTGTTTCCATGCACGCATACATGTACATACGACAATATTGGCGGCGCTTTGCCGCACCCCTGCGTCCGTTGAAGTCGACTACAACATGAGGGTTGCATTGCTCAACGGCTGCTTTGGTCTTGGCCATTTTCCGTTCCATCTTGTCCCACCAAAGACGGTTGCTTGTCGCGTCTAGCTGATGTACGACATGTTAGCTGTTGATGTGCAAAAACAGCTGAAGAGTCGTACAGCAAAAGTACTGTATTACCTTGGCCTCAAAATCCTACGCCCTTAAACGCCATGATGCTATGGATGACGTTTATTGGAGACGTGAAAGGAGGCAGCCGATGGCGTCTTGACATTCCCCGTGGATGTTCGATGGACTCTAGCAATCAGCTACAGCGCAACGCCGTTCACAACCAGTGCCACCAATTGATAGCAATTTACATGCAACAACATATGCACCCCACAGCTCGCGATCCAGTTTATGTGTTTCATCATCTCCAGGCTATGCCCATGCTGAACTGCTCAACCGACGCCAAAGGGCTGCATCCACCTCCCTTTCCGATTCAGCCGGGGAGTCACCAGTGGCAGTGGAGGTAGAGGTGCCAGCGCTGCATCTGTCATTCTTGCATAACAACATCGATATTGACTCAGTGGACGGAGACGAATGGCACCAATATGACAATGCCCGACTCTGCTGAAGCTTGGAGAGAACGTTGCATGTGTCCAGCATGACACCAACCATATCGCGGCCATGGCCAAGATCAAGCATACATGCAGAGCCGAGTACAGAGTGCAACTCTTTCGGCATTCGCCGTCGATCGCGCATCAGCACGCCACAAAACTTGCAACACACACACAATCGCCTTATTCACTCCCCTCCGTCTCCAAAATCCCAAACACCAGACGGCTTTGATAGCCAACTTTGGCACATGGCCGCCCAGACCATTGGGCCCCTCCGCCACGCTGATCGTCCATGCGCATAAAGCGGCATAATAGCCGACCCACGCGGCCCCCGAAAAAGCCGTCACTGGAAAGCCGGTCTTGAAAATTGAGAATTGCTTCCAGTCCAAGACGGCGGGAAGCAAAAAGTCCTTGGCCTCCCATTACACCCGGCAACTGTTTGGTGCGCCATGTGATACTGCGATAGAGACGTTGTTACCTAGCCATCGACGCACACCAAGAACAGTGTTTGGCAGAATACACTTGCCTAATAAGAAGTATATCCCTACTATACCGTAGTATATTATCGTATTTAGCGCGATACCCAGGTACCTATCTGGTCAAATTCTTTTTGCCTCCACTGCATCCTGCTATGGACTGGTTGGCTGGTACTAGTACTTGTGTGCAAGAGAAGTAGAAGTCAAGGTCAACCATGCCATATTGCAGCTCTCCATCCACCACCATCCCTGTCTTCTATCGCAACTCTGAAACAATGCATCTGACCCTTGTCATGGATTGGGCGAGGGACTGCATTGACGGATATCTGTCCTGCCGGTGTTATACTCCATGAAGTTTGGTTTGCGCTGCTTATCCGCTTATCTGTGATTTTCAGATTCGAGATTTCTGGAACATTCAAAGCGGAATCGAACCGTATAGATATGCGCAAGTCGCGGCCCGCTAGCCAAAGCCATCTCGCGATAGCCTCAGCCACCGTCATCATAGAAGCAAACTGACTTTGTGCCGGTGACTCACGCCGAGTCACGCCGACAACCTAAAATGCCCACACACGTAGTATATAAGCGAGGTCTGCCCTCGTCGGCACTCCAAGTCGACTTTGTTCCTCTCCATCCAAGTCACTCCTCTGCTGTCAAGACCACAACCACTGCAACCACTCACTTGCTGACATCGCCCACAGCTATCTACTCTCACTACCATAGTTGCCTGTTGTAACCTTTAGGGGCTAAAGCTGACAAGGCCAAGGGGGCAAAAACAACACCACCAATAACGATTTAGAAGCCTTCTATAGTAAAAGGAATACTAGCTTTAGGGTTAAAAATCCTGATTTGAGGGAAATCAAGGTGACCAACCAGGTGATCAGGGATCTAGAAAAGAAAGCTTGGATAAACGCGGAGCCTAGAGCACTTGGCTTTTTTGGCCCTGCTGGCCTTTGGGCTAGTTTAACAGCTTTTTTGCTGCTGCGTCTAGGCTCCGCGTTCATTACAGCCTTCTTTTCTAGGTAGGTCCCTTATAGCCTGGTTGCTCTCCTTGATTTCCTTGGAATTAGGATTTTAAGCTTTAAAGCTGGTATCCCTTTTACTGTAAAGGGCTTTTAAATCGGTATTAGTTTGTGTTATTTTTGCCCTCTTAGTCTTGTCAGCTTTAACCCGGCGACTTGCTTGTGTTGGGCTTTGCGTTGGGTAGCTTGCCACTTTTGGCCATGTTATTCCTGTGAGAGTAGATAGCTGTGGGCGATATCGGCAAGTAGGTGGTTGTAGTGCTTGTAGGAGATTTATGTGGAGGCAGGTTATGGTCTTGACAGCAGAGGAGGCAGATGACTTGGATGGAAAGGAACAGGGTTAACTTGGAATGCGGGCGAGACCTCGGTGACGTACTGCATGTGTGGGCAAGACACAGCACCAATTGCGCTGGTATGTCTGACGCGTCGCGATGCGCAGACGGTCTACTTTTCTGGTCTCTTCCTGTTCTTGGCTTGATACAGCCCAAGAATGTGTTATTAGATGTTGCGCTTGCACGATCCTTGTGTCATGCTTGTAATCTCATTTGACTTGAGAGAGACAAAAGAAAAAGTTAATAGATATGCGTAACTGGAAACACGGACGCGTTGTGCCTGTCTGGATGGCTATTTTGGTGTCAAGGCCAAGGAAGACTGACGGGTCGAGGTGTAGATGTGAGTGAGTCCTTGTGCGTCAAACAGGTAGAATACAGATATAACTGGGGTAAAAGTTAATTTGGGGGGGGATTTTCGCTGTGAAGCTTGCTGCTTGATCGAAAGCTGCAAATACATAAATTACATGTTGAAACTGCAAAAAATGCGTCTGATGGTCCCGCTCAGCCTTGATTCTAGGAACCCAAGAAGAGAAGCGCGCTGTGCCGATGCCCCATGGAATCCTATCTGGTAGTCGCGTACTGGGACAAGTCCATTGCTGCCTTGCGGTTTGTTCCGCCGCGGAGTGAGGTGTCTCGATTCTGTTCTGTTTCTATGCGGACCATCTCTTCCATCTCGTTGTTCGAGACTTCTATAGGTCCTGAAGCCCCGTACGCATCGATATCAGGTGTGACATTTCATATGGAAATAAGGGTTCTTTGCCACGCTTCATTGTCGTCGTGAATTTGCCACTGGATACAAAGGGACGGCCATTTTTGGAGGATGACTTCCGTGAAGGCAATGCTGGAATATCACATCTGAGCGCGAGTATTATACTTTGGGCTGCCTGTGTGAGGCTTTTGAGTGAAGAATCCGTATGCATATCGGCCTTTGACAGCTCTGTCGGCCACTTGAGTATAATTCTCTGAAATGCTTTGCAGGAGGTTCATGCGCTGGGTTCTGTCATTCCTCGAACTTGAGTTAGTTAAAGTCGCGAATCTGGCGTCGTGTCTCTACAGAGGCTTCTGGGCGTGGGTTTATCTCTACCGGCATATTTACTTGGTACCTTCCAAAAGGAGAACTAGATCAGTGTACACACGTCAATCCTGGATGGGAACTTGGCTCCATGTCGCGAGACGGACTGCAACACCGAGTATTTGCCTAAATATTTCATCTCCGACAACGCTTGTTCGCGGGGCTTCAAAGTAGCGGTCATGGTTGTAATCTCTCAGCTTGGGAACGACATCAAGAGAGCTTGCCGTCGGCCTCACACGTGCTACTCAGCTTGTTTGCTCCAGATACAGCTTCAGGGTCGAAGCCTCAGCCGAGTTTCTGATGATGCAGTTGTTAACCCCACGGCACATGTAGAGCTCCGCCACCCGAGGGAACGACTAGGTGTTGTCTTTCTACGAATTGCCAGCTTTTTGTTGCGTAAACGGACGGTGGTCTGTAACGGCAGGCCAGTAAACCATCCAACATCACGCCTGGGTGGCTTAGTAGGTGTGTCGTTGACCAACTTCATCGACTCTGCAGCACCAGTCACCACAGGTCCTATTTTGACTACCTACCTAGGTAGATAATATAGAACTCGCCTCGTCACAAGTAGAGACTATTGCCATGCCAAGTAGCAGCATCCTCCTTCGATGCGAGGTTGGCAGACAACTGAAGCTGTGTGTCTGATTGGGCTTGGCAAGAAATTTATCTGATTAAATATGCTAGGCTAAACTATGAAGCGATACACGTCCCCACACTAGTCATCATATCCAGAATCATCTCCGTATCTGTATGCTCTATTGTCAATTGCTGAAGGTATGGTCGGTTATTTTACGTGTTGAAATTGGAGAAGCTATGTTTCGTCGCTCGTCGCATTGAATGCCAAGGGTCATGGGTATCAGGTCCGGATGAAAGACGCATATGTAGCCAACACCGCCCCGCTACATTGAACGAAAAAGGCAAGTGTCATAGAAAAGAAAGAAAGAAAATCGGTCATGGGAATCGTAGTCGTAATACCGTTTCAAACCGGCCAGGTTGCCCAATACAAGCTCTGAGGTTTAGTTAGGATTGAAATTGGCGTATAGCTCTGGCTTTTCGCAATATTTTCCAGGCCGATTGCAGGTCAAGTCAAACCGAAACGCGATTTCATTTCTCCAGGCATTCCGGGAGGGGCCATGGGCTCCTAATACGCCAAAAATTCCTCAGAGAATTGACAGCGTACACTGTGATCCATCTGTACAAAAGCGTCACTGTCACATGAATCGTTGTGGTTGAACGACAGGCGTGTTGGCATCTATTGTTGCCAAGGGGCTGGAGCATATGGTGTAGGGGGCAGATGCGTAAAGGTGAACAACAAGGAAAGCTCATCCAAGGTTAGATCTGTCCCTTGATATCAACTTTTCGAAAAGCTTCGGATCTGGATGATTCAAATAGCTGGCCGGCCTTCCCGCTCAGAAAAACGATGTTATCTGAGCGATCTTCCAGCAGGTGCTGTCCACTGTGGTCGATTATGAACTGGGCAGCATCGGCATCAGACTCGAAGCCCAACTCTTCAGTGATGAAACGGAGCTTAACATCAGGTTTATAACTACAAAAGCATTAGCATTTGCCGTTCTGTATCAGCGTCACACGTAACGGCATGAAACGTACCTTTTGCAAATATTACACAATGCAGCAAGACGTTCTCTGGCGACAAACATATCCAGAAGATATGCGCCCATATTGGGCGTGTCAAGGTAAAGCTGGAAGAACTTGTGATAATTCCCCAAAGCCAAAGCCGACCGAACTTGCAAAGCATGCTTAATCGGCTTTTCCTCCTTTTCTGCTGCGGTTAGATCTGCCATCGTGTCGCTCAGACCAGTACGATTGGCAGTATGAATGAAATAAAGAATACGATACGCTTTGAACTCGATAGGATTGCCTTTTAACCCCAGAGAATAGAGGGAACGAAGTTGGGTCTGGCACTGGTTATACTCACCGATGTCCCCCTTTTCCAAGGCAATGCGGGCATGTATCTCATAGACGGAGACAGTGAAATCGTTTTTAATGCGTTGAACAGTGAGATCTTGTCGCATGGATTTGAACTGGTCGCAAATGTATGAATAATTCCCCTCTTTCCTCCACTTCTTCTTCAGCAAGTCCAAAGTTTGGCGCAGGATATGCACAGGTCGAACATTGGAAGGAATAGGAGGAGCAGTTAGGCGAAGATACCTCTTCTCCAACACCTCACTGGTTCCAATAATTGGGCCTGAGGAGGGTGGAGTTGGACTAGGTGATCTGTATACCGCCTTGTATTCGCTCTCGAAGCGGCGTTTGCGTTTACTGGCGGCCTCTTTTTGAAACTTACTTGATTTCGCCAGGTTGTCGTCAAAAGTGGAACGTTTGTCTGGTGATGGATATGAAATACGGGTCTCAAGGGATGATCGCGAGTTAGCATTATGCCACGGTGGTTGGTTAGATCCACCGTCGACAGAATCGGAGGACTTTCTTTTCCTGGACTTGGCGACAGATTCAGAAGATGATGGCGTGTGATTTCCGCTGTTATACAGTGCGTCACGGTCGGCTTTCACGAGGGCTTGCGGCAAAGGGACAGCATCCCAGTCTATGGTATACAAAGTGCCATTTTCTTTGGCTGTGCCAATCGTCTCCTTGAGCTTGGCCTCGACCTCTGCGCGAGACACGGTCGGGTCGTCGTTTTCGGGAAGAAAGGATCGTTGAACATATTTCCGGACGGATTCAGGCCACTCCGTCTTCGGCTTGGGCTGCTCTGCTTGGGCAGGAGACTGGGCACCAACGGAAGGCGGCACATAACCTGGGTACGGAGGTGTTGGAGGAGCGTACTGGCTGAAGCCCTGGCGGACTTGGACTGGAACAAAGGCAGGACCTGTGCGTGTGAGCTGATCGGTTCTGTAAAAGAGAGAGACAGAGGTTGATGAGGTTTCTTACTGGCAGCATAACTGTACGCGACCGGCTGGGTCCGTTGTGAGACGCCAGGCGCTTGCTGTGAGGCCGACCACCCTGGCAACATAGTGCTGGATAGTCGATTTACTGAGTGTTAGCTTTTTTGGTCGAAATAGCTCAAATGCCTGTGTGTATTGGCTCGAAATGGGCAGGCGTAGCGATTGTCGAGAATATTGGAGTCGATGTGTTCGAACTGACGGTGTGGACGTGGGAGAGGAGAAAATGACCCTTTCGTGTGGGTGGATAAGAGTCTAAACGCCCAAGCCCGTGACGAGCCGGCAGATTATCGGCTAATACAAAGTGTGTGGGTGGGTGGGTCTGTCTTGCATCATGAATGACCTTCAAGCGAGTTCAACACACGTCCAGCGAGTCATCTGGGGAAGTTGTCGACAAGATATAATTCTATTCACCTTTCCTTAGCTCAAGCCTTCTATTGCATGCAACCTTCAGCCGTCACAACATAGCCAGTGGACTAGACACCATAGCTCTGAGCTAACTTCGACGCGGCTATTAGTTGTATTACCGACCGTAGCCGAGCATCCGCTTCTTTATCAGCACATAATAACACAATCACGGCGGCTTTGCATTTGGACATCGTCTCCCGGCTGATCAGCCACTACGACATGACGAATGTTTCTGAAACACATAGATCTGACTACTGCATTGCGGCCATCTTATTTGCCAGATGAGATCTTGTTGTTTGTGCAGGATAATGTTGGGCTCTATGAGGGGTGAGCTTCGCCACTTGGACCTTCTTTAATGAAGATTAGGGTTTTGTTAACAGAGTGTCACAGGAAGCTAAAGCTTCCGAACCACCAGAATGGCCAAGTTTACTTGACATCCCATCGAATTTGCTATGTCGATAAAGCTGAGCCTAGAACAAACTCTATGGCATTGGATCTCAAGGACATTGACCGGTATGACTTCTATGCCGGGTTTCTGAAGTCGTCACCCAAAATCACCATCTTTCCCAAGCCTTTGAAGCGGTCTTCGCTTCATAGTCGAGCTTTATCCAATGCGGTATCTCCTTCGAGAAACGATTCCGCATCTCCTGGGCAAAGGGACAGTGCACATAGACCTCCACCAGAGCATCCCCAAGTGACGACGGCCACTTGGGTCTGCACCATTTGCAGCTTCTCTAATCCGATACCGGTGAATTTTGATCCTGCGGCAGCGAACGCACATACGCCGCTACCGCCATGCCTAGCTTGTGGAATCAAGCCAACACTGGCACATGTTCTAAAAGCAGCCATTAACAACGCCAGCCAACGTCCAACGCCCGTAATAAACACTTCTTCTGGCTTCAGTTCGCTCTCGAATCGACAACATGAATCAGATGCCCTTTTAGCAACATCAACAAACCCTTTGGATTCTTTTCAGCAAAGCCGCGGCCAAGCACTCGAGCAAAATAGGTCGGGTTCCTCGGTCGACGCTGGGGCATCCTTTGCGTGTCCGCGGTGCACATTTTCAAATCACCCGTCATTACTTGCCTGCGAGATTTGTGGCGCGCCCCTTTTGTCACAGAATACCCCTAGCATAAAAACCGAGTCGCCCACGGTTCGTACGGAGTCCCCAGGTCCTGTCCACGAGGCTCCCAGCAATGCACCTTCAGGCATTGACGTGGCTGACAGTATCAAGATTTCCTTTCGGGGTGGGGGTATGCAGATATTTTATGAGAGGCTGAAGGGAGCCATAACACAAAGAAAATGGTTACTACAGAATGCTCCTCCGGTTCCCAAAAATGGAAGGAGTGCAGACCCAAATACTCTAGCTGGTTCATCAGATACATCGACCAGTCGAACCAAGACTGCGGGTATTGCAGGCCTGGAGCAGTTGGGTCTCAATATGCATAAGAACAACGAAATGCTGATTGGCAGTGCGTTTGAAGATCTGGAGGCGTTGATGTCGTCAGCAAAGGAGGTCATTGCTCTCGCAGAACGATATGCTCGCCAAACGAATGGTGTCACTGGCGGAGCTTCAGCCGAAGAAAATGCCATCTTGGCAGAGTCCGCAAGCCAACTAGGCTTGGTTACTACGAAGGACATTGTTGCCGGCGGAAGTTCTGAGTATCTATACATATCCGAACTGTCTCGGAATCTTGCCGAGTTCCTGGCTGATGACTCGAGAGGTGTCTTGAAACGAGCCGGAGGCATCATCACGCTCGTCGATTTGTGGGCCATGTTCAACAGAGCAAGAGGGGGTGTCGAGCTTGTCAGCCCCATGGACTTCGAGAAAGCTGCACGTTTGTGGGAAAGTCTAAAGCTTCCAGTCCGGCTGCGAACCTTCCGCAGCGGCGTAATGGTAGTCCAGGGCCACGATCGTACCGACGACGCGACTATCAAGTCGCTGCTTTCCTGGCTGCAGGATCTACACGAATTTCCCCCAGAGCGAGAAGTCACCTGGGATTGGAGAGAGTTTGGACGTGGCGTTACGGCCCTGGAAACTGCGGAACGATTCGGTTGGAGCATTGGTGTTGCCGAGGAGGAGCTACTAATGGCAGAAGAGCACGGCGCTCTATGCCGAGAAGAAGGGTTGGAGGGGTTAAAGTTCTGGAAGAATTACATTGATACGGGTGATGCCCCCCCGCCAAAGAGCAAGGCCAGGCTTGAAGATGAGGCTATCATAAAGGCACTGCAGGATAGCGGATTCATGTAGAATACCGAGCTTGCGTAAGAAGCCATGCACAGGCTAATACGCGGGCACTCGGATGCACAACTTAGACTTCAAGTGATATTGTGCCAATCATTGGTGTTGGTGAGCTCGTGCCTACCAGCTTGTTTACTGATTTTTTGCACGCCACGAGTTATATTGACAAATGCTTGTGCCCCGACTAAGAGCTTGCCCGCTTGATAAATTACTGCCATGGCCCTAACCGATGTCTATTACGATCCTAAACGCTATGCCTCTTTCTTTAGCCCCAGCCCGGTGACCTGGGTATTAAAAACTGTTCCCATCGCTATTTTACCATTTGAAAAAAAGAACACAGAAACCGACAATACGATGGACCAAAAAGTGGAAGAGAACACCACTCTTTACCACTCAAACAACGACATGCGTAGACATGTGTTCCACAGCTTCTTTGATTGTACGTAACATGCGCTGATTTACGCAGAAGGGGCAGCGTATGGGCCGGTCATTGGAAGAGACTGGTCCGTCCGAATGAATTGGTGTTAGAGTCAGATCGTGGCCACCCATTTCCTGTGTAGGCATTGTATACCGCGGGTCGGAAGAGGAGTCCTGTGGACCAGGCGTAGCTACCATGCCCGCCACATGTATCCCAGCCCGCTCAACGCGCTCCCTCTCCTCTCGAACCGCGGCAGCTTGTTCTTCGGCCGCCTGCTCCTCCTGTTGGAGCTGGCGCAAAGCGTTTTGAAGAACGACCTCGGGGTCATCGTCGGCGTACATTGGCTGCTCAGACGGGGGTGGCGGCGGAGGAATAGGTTCGGGTTGGGGGACGGCGTGTTGCGGCAGCAGCGAATGGTTTGATGAGGTGCTCATCCTTCTTAAGACCTCGTCTCGCACCAAGGCGCAGGTGTTCAGACTGGCTTCCACGCCCACCACGCGTAGGACTTGTTCCCTGATTGCGGCAGGACTCGTATCAGACGTGACTGCCATCACCCTAGGAACACAGTCGGCCAGGTAGTCGATATCCTCGGCGAGGTTGATGGCACCGTCCCCCGATCGGCGTTGTCTGCGGACCAGAAGACTATAGCGCTTCTTGAAGCGATGTATCCAGCCGGGAGAGAACTCGGGCACGTTTTGGCCTCTGTACCGTGGTAGTTGCAGAAATATCGACTTTGCCTTCTCGCCTAACTCGTCATTCGTCGGTGGTCGCCCTGCAGCCTGGACTTGTCGATACCAGAGAAGCACGAGCTTTTCGACGTCGGGCCAATTGCCAAATCGCAGGCGCGAGCCAGAAAGTTGTGGGTTGTTTCCGTCCAGCCGCGAGTACTTAGCTGACAGGGAATGAGACACGGTTGACTGACTGATTTGCTGGCCAAACTGTGAATGGAACCATGCGATGCAGGCTTTGTGCGGTGGGCGGATGGTTTGGGCTTCGGCCCACCTCCGCAGTGCGCGGCGTTGGTCTAGGGTTAACGAATGCCTTTCCTTGATCGTGTGTTCCGCGGTTTGGGTGAGGTCGGCTGGCGGCGACGGCATCAGCGCAGGGTCGGTCGACATTGCCTCGAAGCGAGTTTGCGCGTTGAAGGTTGGAGTTTGGCTAGGACCGTGAAGGTGTGGTTGAAGTCAGTTTAGAGTGGGGTCGCAACTGCTGTCCCGGGAAGCAAGTTATGGAGAGCGGACGTGAGCGCGATGAGCCATGGCAATCGAACATGGGGGGGCACCAACCCAGGTACCTGGTAGTACTAGGTAAGTGCCCCATACTAGCTAGGGTACCTAGGTACATACTAGGTACAGGTATTCGACCCCTCCGACGTCAATCAATGCGGCCCGGCGGCCTATTACTTGCGGAACGAACGAGTGACCTTGACTGCTACTTAGAAGTACTAAGTACGGCGTACAAGGTGTTAGGCTTTGATATTGCCGATGGGTTGGGCCCTACCGAAACTCCAGAAAATCGTCCGCGCCCAATTTCGTCTGGTAATTCTTAACCCTAACCCTACACATACCCTGGAGCCTAGAACCCTACAAGACCGAGATCCAGCCACGTTTGGCCATTACCCGTAATGTGGAACTTTTCAACCCGGTAATGTCAAAAAAAACTAGTACGGAGTACATGTTTTGATGGTAGCTCCGGTACTTTCCCGTCTGTACGTTGCATTGTTACGACTTTGAAATCTTCGCATTCTCTGATCTTCTCGCCGAGATGTCGTCGGGATGACTAGAGAATGGCCCGGAAGCTCAGTAAGATGCGACGAGGCGATGTGATGACAGGCAACATGGCATAATAATGGCGCTATTGACGTGCCTCCGGTTCTCCGCATTTTCACAACTGCCGGTCAGCGTCAACGCTCATCGGCGTCATCGCCTACTACGTACGTAAGTGCTTAGATACGGCCATGTGGCGTCAACCACCAACCAGAGCACTTTGATGAGCATCACAGCCCATTCCCTCCCGCAAGAACTCTTCGGCCACATCGGCCGAGCAAGTATCCGGCTTGTGATCCATAAACAGTCATCACTTCAGCTTCAGCCATTCCCAATAGCCCGACCCTGATCATTGGTGAACCATGACCACAACCGTATGCCCAATTGAGGCTCTACCCAACGAGGTAAATCTGCGCGCTACCCGCCTGATCCCAGTTTTGCTTAGACGACATACCTAGGTGTTGGCTGCATCGTTGGCATGCCTCTCGACAAGGGAGCTCATTCAAGTCGTCCCGGTCAGCCGCTGCTTCTACACACTCGCCACCCGGATTCTCTATCGCCGCTTGATCGACGTATCGCCTCTCCCAGACAATCGACTGATTCTCGATTGCTACCACCCCAGCGAAAGATTAACGACGCCGCCATTGTCATGCAGGTATCTTGGTCTCAAGCGAGTGGGCGAGCAACCCATCACAGACGAATCCCTCAAGTTTAGTGACCTCGGCAAATTATACTCGTCTTATCGTCCAGTCATGAAGGAAGAAAGTCGCGATAGACGGAGAGCTTCCCGACGTACGGGGAGCAAGGCTTTGCAGGGTGACGAGACTGCCACCCAGGACGTCTACCTTGACCACGATTTGCTGTTTTCACAACTGTGCGCCGTCACGTACGTGGTGAAGGAGGCCTCAAGGCCAGGATTCTACATCAGCCAGGTGAATACGTGTGACGGCGTTATTCGCGTATGGCGACCATGGCTGGCAGAAAAGGCGAATCTGAATGGTGCCGCTGAGGGCTTACACTCCAAGATTGTCGATTTTGACAAGTTTCTATGGGTTGATGTCGGCAAGAACGTTGGCCTTAGATTTCGAGTCGTGCTTGGACCAGCCGAGCGGCTGCCGTTGCTCAGTGGCCCGGGCGACGATTCACCGGTATCCTATACCTTGATCTACGAAGGTATGTCAGCTGGTCCAGTTTTGAAGTCGTTCAGGATTTGTGAGAGACAGCTTCTGACATTTCACACGGGCGCAGAATTGGTTGTGCGAACGACCACGCTGCTCATGGCTGTGGAGGCGTCGACTGTGCAAGAGGCTTCCCCCTCATCTAAAGCTATCATAATTTCACAGATTTAGGTGCCGGGACTCAGCATCTTGCGCCAGCTTGACCTTCGAAACGCGTGTGCTAAAGATGAACTACTGCAGGCCTTGTGTCAATCGTGGCATATCGAGTTATGACTTTGATCCTGAGAGCATCCTGGAATATCGCGGGCGAATCTAAGGTCTCATTTCAGGTAGAAAGATTAACAACGGCTATTGGCCTTTCGATTCTCGCTTCTCGGGCTTTTTAATGATGGATAAGTTGCCCGGAACGCCTACGTTTTTGGTCAAGTTACCTACTGCGATAACCAACCATCGCCTTCCAAGCACCTTGTTACGGAATCTCAGGTAAGGTCAGCAAATTGTGGGGAGACGTGATGTATCGATGGGATAGTAAGATGTCAAGAGGTCCGCCTTTCCGATGCTATAGTTTGGTTTATTAAATTTATATCACTCACAGTTATTCTGCCATATCATCCCTCGTATAGTGAGATGCGGAGTGAACAGTTTAGCAGAGCGTGGATGTACTAACTGAGTTATATTTCTTTGGGAAATGGCCAGCTTGAGGCTATGGTCTGAGTTAAACCCGAACACATGCTCTTTTGTAGGTCTAGTAGAATTATTAGCATCTGAGAGATGCCTTGGTCATCAGACTATTGACTGGGCGTGCGCCACATGATGGAGATCCTAAAAGCAGATCACATACGACGATCTAATTGGCATTCTTTCGCCGTGAGCCGCTTGCCGGAATGGCGGCTAGCTTCATTAAAAAAGGATCAGGGGTCATACAGGAGCAACAGAAGCGAATGTGTGTTCAATGTTTTGTGCGTGTCATAAAGATTTGGCCTTCAATAATCTCCAGCACTGAGAAGCTATACAACGCGGATCCCCAACTGTTCACAGGACATGGAGGTCAGTTGACGATTCGGCAAAGGCGAATACTGAGAAACTGCCTTGCTGCAGTACAGCTACTGACCCGTTCTGGCATGAGATTAAAAGGAAGGCGAGAACAGGTTGGGTATTGGGTGGACTGCCGCCAAGACAGCGATGCGTTAATCTATTCCAAACTTGACGGATATGGATCATGAATAACTTCCCATGGACTGGGATTACTGAGCAGTGTACGGAGCAATGATATATCAATATCTGAAGAGGAGGTACGAATGCCATACTTCTTGATGCATACCAAAAAGCCGGAGATCAGGGAGAGGGGAGAGTCATGGCACATAGGGGGAAAGACTCACTCACTCACCCTCTGGCTGAAAATATCGACTGTATCCTACCTCGCAAATCACACGGAGCCCGTGGTCTCGTTTGCCCTCGCACAATTCATAGATTGCGGGCGTCGTGGCGCTGGGTAAGACTGCCATTGATGCGCTTCATTTCTGGCATTAAGTAAAGGATGGAATAAAGCTAGGGACTATTGAAAAAAAGGGACGTAGAATATGCGTCCGGAGGTAAAAGAAGGGAGATACCCTCCACCCGAAAAGCAATTTTTCCACTTACGACGCTGGCGAGGCATGGTTCATTGGCATTGTCAAAGCTGGTGAGCTCCAACGAGTCGCTTTGATGATTGGTGTTTTGCGAGTATGCCGATATTTACGAGCGCAATACGGCCTCATTTCGAATTTATGCGCGTCTTTGTGCAGCAACCCTGAAGTGAAGCAACCCGTTCACTCCATGGCCGATGTGTTGGCGTTTGAAGGGGAGCTCAAAAGTCTATCATAGACCGCCCTTGCGTCAGACGTGGAAAGTGGCCAATGACCCATCTGAACAATGCCCAGGGGGGGGGGCAGGTAGGCGCGATGGAGCTAATCCCTCCATGTCCCGTCCCTGCCTACTTTACCCAAGTGCTCAGCAGCTCCAGCAGCTCCGTCCCGAAGAAACGGAGTGGAGTGAAGCGCACATGTGCACTGGAGACAGGCGGGGGAGGGGGAGCATGGGGACGTCAATGCCTGCCAACCTGCTCCCGAACTCCTTCAGCCCCTCGCTCTCTCCAGAGTGTCGATCCTGCCCTTGAGTTCTCCACACCTGTCAACTTCATCCGCACCTGTTCCACGCGCGCAAGTTTCATCTTCTGCCTTCACGTCTTTTCCGCAGCTTTGGATCGAAGCCATCTGAACCCCTGCGATCCCGTGCTCCGCCCTTACCGCGGCCACCGTCACCCTGCTTCCAACTTTTGTCGACAAAGCAATAACTTGGGTCCCAGAGGAACTCGAGAATCGATATACAGCCACCATAAGCATGTCCCTTGGCTGCAGGTCATGGTCTCGGGGACTGACTCTCTCCACCTGCGTCAACTCCATCCTGTCATGAGGAACCAAGCACCTCAATGACCCAACCCCGTGAGAGAGGAGGCAACTGATGAGGTGTTTACTAATTCCGTGCCAAGCGTGTCTCAGCTACTGTCGTCTGAACTTTAGGGCCGTTGATCGAAGTTGATACATGCACACTATATGCACACAAATTCATTATAGGATGGGATATCTCATCGTCCGGTCTAGGAAAGCCTCGCCATGGGAGAGGGGAAGAAATCCAGCTATCTACGCCGCAATTTCACTGCCTTATGAGCCTGTATCTCTTTTTTTGATCATGGCAAACCCAGAATGCGCTTTTCGAGTTAAACCGAAACGATGATGTGGGGATCGTCCCTCGGCTTTGACCCGATTCCATTACCATGTTCGTTGCATCGCTGCGTGATGCGCAGCGTGGATCAATCCATACTCGGCGTGCAATCCCTATAGATGCAAATACAACGGATATATAAGCTTCGGCAATACAACGTGGTACATGCCGTGCATAAACTTGGCGGCGAGCTGGGTGGTGTGCGACAAAGCAGCCCCATTCAAAGGGATGCCATATTATGCCTAGCCACGTCGGTGACAGCATCTCCCTAAAATTAACGGACGCCTGGCTCGTCACAGACCTAGTATTCTCGGGCATCTTCTCGTAAGCCTCCGAGGTGGCTGTCATTTTTTTCTTTTGGATTCCACAGTGTACATATCTACAGTGAGGGTCTGCATCCATACTTGGCTCCTACGAAGAAGCATGTAGTCTCGTGTAGTGTCGAGACCATTTTTCTTTTGCTATCTGGCGATCCAGTCGTAAGGATGTCTCTCACTTGTGCCACACAATCATCCGGTTTTTCACTTTTGCATTTTTAGCACAACAATCCAACAGTGTAACACGTCGGTGTGAAGAACTCCAGCCGTTTCTTCTTCTCAGTTTGTGTTCTTCCCATTGTGGGCTTCTACATCCTGTCTCTTGTCTCCGAAGACCTGCTTCACTGTCAACGGTGATCGTGTCTCGTTTTGTTTCTCACTAAAGAAATATTAGCAGGAATTGGTATCTATCTTCTTTCGCTTTCGCTTTCGAGCTTGGCTCTCGCCTCGCATTCTCTGGCTCCTTATATACCACTCTCCCTGCTTTCCACTACCGCTTGCCCTTCGATTTGTATGGTTTTATCTTCCAATTGCAGGTTCCAAGATGAAAATGGCATGGGACATCAAAAGACCCGGCGATATTATTTCGAGGCCGCTTCCTCCGCGGATACCCAACTCTCCAGACTCGTTCGACACAAACAATGTTGAATATTTTAAAGATGGCGATATTCCACCAAGGTCGATGACGAGTTCATCATTCTCAAACTGCCAAAAGCCGATCAAGTATGGAAGGGGTAAATATGCTCATGTTGAGCTTGTACCGCAACCAAGTGATGACCCAGACGACCCTTTGGTACGTACATGTATGGTTTGGCATTAGAACAAATTCAACTAACAATACCTCTCTGAAATAGAACTGGCCACGATGGCGGAAAGATCTCAATTTGTTTTCACTTCTCGTCATGGTTGGTCTCATTGGGGGGATGAAGACGGTATTCATTACTACTGCCGGTTCTCTGGCGACTCATTATCGAGTCTCCAACATGGCCATTGGCGCCTTGACGGCTGGGCCTCTAATGGTTTCGACGTTAACAAGCCTAGTTGGCTCCATTGTTGCCAAGTTGTATGGCAAACGGCCGGTTTACTTGATATCGACGTTATTTTTATTTCTTGGAACCATCTGGAACATGACTGCAGGCGATAACTACGGTTCATGTCTTGGAGCTCGGGTTTTTCAAGGCCTAGGATGGGGTTCATTTGAGACGTTGGTGATGGGGTCCATTCAGGACACTTACTTTGTAGGTGCAATCGGCAGACACGTCAACTCTCCTCTACAATGGACGCTAACATGGGCTCTTCATTGTTCAACAGGAGCATGAACGAAATCTGCCAGTATCCATATATAACCTCTTGACCATTACCACAACTTGGGGCTCGCCTCTTCTCGGTGGTCTGGCATCTAGCAATGCGAAGAGTTTCACAAGCCAGTTCCGCATCATCAACTGTCTCTACTTTCTGGCTCTCCCACTTCTTGCCTTTGGAGCCCCTGAAACAGTATTTGACCGCTCAAGGGCAACTATAACTCCTCTCCCCATACTCGGTCTGGACGGAAGGCGACCCCGGCGGTTTCGCCATCGGCGGAACATGGAGACTGCCGTGGAATACATCAAAAAGATGAAGCCGCTCTCGTTTAAAGCTTCGATAACAATGTCGACTGTTCTTCAGGTCCCTCGCGCCATCATCGCCCCGACTACCAGCCTCCTATTCGTCTTGACATTCATCCCGTACGGTGCACTTTGGGGTTTGACATCTTCGGTTTCTATCCTGACCACACCTGCACCTATCTCACTAGACGTTTCCCTCACAGGAACCATGATGACTGGTCCATGGATCATTACGTCACTGGTCGTAGGGGGCTTCTGTTTCTATCGTGGATTGTACGAACGCTTCACAAAGCGTGTCAGCTACCTCATTATCAGCACGGGAGGCATCCTGTCCCTGACAGGCTTGCTCTCGTATGGCCTTGGCATCCACAATTTCATGACAGCCGATCCCGGGCCTCCCGCTCCGTTCTTCACCTCAAACACTGCCGGTCAGATCAGCCTGCCCCTGCTGTCACTGCAACTAGGCATCCTTGCCGGCGGCACTTATACCCTTGACACAATCACGAGACCCCTGCTCGCACGGTCCGCATCCTTCACGTCGTCCAGCATCGCCGTAGCTCAGCGCAGCATCGGTGACATGCATTCCGGTGTAATTATACTGCGAAACCTTGCCGCGGGGGTATTTGTCCTCTCCATGCCCAACGCATTCACCGTCTATGGCGCCCTCAAATCGGTCGTCATTGGCCTAGGTACTACACAAGTGATACTCACAGCATTGACCATGACGTTGTGGTGGTACTTGGACGAATCCATCTGGAGAGCGGATGGAAGGGTTATGAGACTCGTTGACCTAAAGCTTCTGAAGCAATCATTAAATTTCTTCGATGCCGATTAAATCAGTCAAAGCATAAAAATGAAAAAGAAGAGTAAACAAACGACACGGACATAAAAAGAGGACAGAAACGTCTGCCTCTGCGCCGAAGATGGGCAAGCACGACCATATGTACTGAAACTGCGGTATGGGCATACAAAATGGTGATTGATCGATGGGATGGGACTTTCACTTTATCAACGGCTTGGGACTCAATTACTTTTCCCTTGTTTTATGAGGTGTTATGACCCACGCTAGATGACATGGTGGCGACTGAAGCTGATTGATACCGGCAAGGCTATCTCGAATGTATATGACTCACGGTTTAGGATACGAACGCAATGAATGCAGGCAGAGTAAATAACGGCTACGTTTAAATGGACATCCATGTGCATCGATACTTTGTTCTGGGCCCAGGCCGCCTCGGATTTAGTCAGTTTATTCAATTACAACGTCAAGATTTGCCACGAGGAGAAAAACCAAAGCAGGGCACAAGGTACCCAGGTTTAAAAATACAACACTGCCATATCGTCGTGCAATACTTGGAAACGAGATGTAGCAATGCCTCTCCCGCGCTGTTCTTATAATGCCCCAACTCCGTATTCGCCAAAATCGCAAAAAAAGAAAGAAGAAAACACAATCACACAGCTACCCCTTTCGTAGCTGTGTGCTCGACCGCGCGCAACTCGACATCACTACGTGTATGTAAAGACTCGGCTTCATCATCCGTCGAGGCCCTACTCTCTTCTCTATTCACGGTCCTCTCGAGCGTCCCTATTCTGCTGTCATTATGTGATGCCGGCGGCATCCTGCCAGCCCTGTACATGACGTCGTCTTTGACTGCCCTCCAGCTCGTGACGAAGAATATGACGCAGTTCCAGAATCCTTGCAGGGGCAGCACAGCGGCGCTGGCGACCTGGTACGTGTATGGGGAGTCGCCATTTATCCAGCTGTGGATGCGGTTCATGCTGCTGGGGATCCAGGTGACCAGGACACTGAGGCCGAAGAGGAGACTTGTCCGCAGGTACGCGCGCTTGATGGGGTCCTCGACGGAGAATTTGGAGGCGACGGATTTGCAGGCTGACACCGTGCGGTGGATGGGGTTGAGCAGCCGCAGATCCTGACGGCGAGGCGGGGCGGACACGCTCGAGGTGAATGCCGCAGCGTCCGCAGAGGATCGGAGCGTGGCGCCCGGAAAGGAGGCGGGTTCCCGGTGCCGGGCGGTGTGTGCGCTCTTGGGGTGGACGAGGTTGCTTGCCGAGGTGTGCGTGACGAGGACTTCGGTGGTGACGGTTCCATAGAAACCGTCGCTTTGGCTGTGATCGGCGGCGGAAACCTATATGTGATGACAACTGTCACTTCACGTCTTGCATGCATGCATGGATGTTGAGCGGAAAGGAGGTGGTGGTGCCTGGTGTTGAGGAAGCGGGAGAGACTTACATGGTCGCTGTGGCCTGCCTCGCGGCTCTTGGACACGGAGAAGCTACGAAGTCTGTTTCGGGATCGGAATACGTGGTATCCAACCAGTGCGTAGCTGATAATTGTGCCAGCAATGCATATCAAGATTAACAGGTAGTATGAGTAAATGCGCACGCCGGCCCATTTACCACCTATCCAGCACCATATCTAGCACACCGAGTTAGTCCACCAGACATGATGGCGGTAGGCAAGACGAAGCGGATAGGGGTGGTGCTTCTCACAACTGCATCTCCATATACCAGCCCCTTGGGCGAATTCCGTATAAGTAGCAACGACAAGGCAATGACGAATGGCCCGCCATAACATATCAGACAGTATAGCCACCACCAGCGACGGAAGGAATCTGGGCTCGTACGAAAATAAAAGACGAGAACGACGTTGATGGCCATGGCCAAGGACCACCAAGGGTCAGATTGCATAAACCTGTTCCTTGTCAGTCCATGCTCTCCAAGCACAGCAATCCGCGCCGGATCGACGCAACTTACATCTCGAACAGAAATGCCTGTGTCTGGCACAATGATGTTGCTTCACCTAGAACCAATCCATCCAGCGCAATGATACAGGCTATACTTGCACCGACGTTGGAAATGCTGGCAAACACGATGAAGGTATTTTGAACATTGCGGGCTCGACGCACAAGCGCATACGCGACGAAGATGAAGCACACGGCCACAAGGCTGATAGCTCCTCCTATCCTTTCCAACGTTGTGATGGTTTCTATTTCGCCCCGAGTGAGGTGATCAGAGGATGATACGGCGGTCGTTCGGGGGGGATGCATGGTAGTTTTTAATATTCAGAGGGCCATTAAGAGGTCCTCTCCCCTCCAAAAAAAAAAAAAGGGGGGAATCCAAGTACTTGCGAGAGGGGGGAAAAAAAGATAAAAATAAAAACAAAGATCAGCCCTCGTTCTAATAGCGTCGACAGCAATGCTGGGCCTTATTACCGAGTAAGCTCAGAGATGAGGCTGACAGGTAGCACTGTCAAAGATGTAGATGACGGTTGTGATGAGGTGCTTGGGCGACGGATGGCAACAGAGGTTCCGTACCGTCATTCAGCTCGACAAGAGCTTGTGTTTCCAGCCCAAACGCCTGACCACTTATCGTCAATAGCTGGCATCGGCCAGGATTAATACGACAACCGGAGCTGTTTAACGCCAGCCGGCCTGGGCTCTGGACTTGTGCCACACAACGCGATGCGCCTGGCCGTGCTTGGCGAGAATTCTGGCAATTCTCTTGTTTAGAGTCCGCTAAGCTGGTAGATGCCACGCAGCCGATTTGGTGTAACCGGATCCGTAGGTCTGAGAAATATCTTGACGGGTTGATGAACCAAGATTTGTAGAGGATTGATCCAGAGTGGTGGCACCTGGTGTTACTGACAATCCTATTGGCCTAGTTGAATCACCTACTGCAATTTGATACGGGACTTTGAAAGTGTAAAGACGTTGTTCCTTGCTGGAAGAACAACGATAGAAATGACAGGATTTGGTCCCGGCGAATCATCACCAGCTCAAGTCATAGGTCGGATTCTTCTTAGCTTCATTACTCATCTGAACTGAACAAGTTTCCGACGAGGATAGTATTTCAAGCGGGAAAGCAGAACGGATAAAGCTTCTTTATAACATGATGGCATGCATCGAGGGCCCGTGAGTGCTCACCGTGTGTAATGGTTCGAAACTAGCAACCACGACATCTCTTAACCGCCCGCGTTGACGGCCTCGGGTACAAATCATGTCTCGGCTAATATCGAACAAAGGCCTCATTGACCCTCCAGATCAAGACGAATATCGACCACGTTCCGCTAGAGCGACAATGCCCATCACTTGCTACTAAAGGGCCCGTACCCCAGATGCTCTTAGCCAGGGTCTCGCATACCAGTTTGGCGAGGCGTCCCATGTGACAACAAAGGCTTGTCTCGGCTGCCACATGGATTTTCCACATGGCAGAGACTGGCTTGTTCTCCAACTGGACGGCTTCTCCGCGTGTTCATCGTCCAACAGCCCTTTCCAACGTTGTCTTGTATCTCGTCTGTGAGCTCCAGGGCAGTAGACGGTCCGTAGTATGCACAAGACGACTACCGTTCATGATTGCTAACTGCGCCATAAAAAAGGCCCACTGTGGCATGTCAATACACAAAAGGAACGTCCATCATGTTTGACTCGTTCACTCCAGATCGAATCCAAAGGGGAAAAGCTGGGGCCTGGCCCTTGAGCCGATATGTGCTAAAAAAACGACACGAGTCGCGGCCCATGGATTGACTGCATTGCATTCTCTGCCCCGCCCTTTAAGTCGATGCTTTGGTGCTTTGGTGAAATGAAGCTCCTATGATATTCAATACAAGATGAGCAGCCATTCGTTCAAGTCTTGGTAAGCAATGTATCGCAGTGGAGGTTCATAAGCTCGCATCTCAGGTCGCCTTCTTGTCGATTGAGGGCGCAACGCTGGCTTGTCAGAATGCCGATATTGCCATGCTACAAAGAGCATTCGCGGTGGTTGACGCCATTTCACACCAACCGCTGCCTGGTTGTGGCTTACCCACGGTCCCAACTCCCAAGAGTACATGGCCATCGCCGGGCATATCCATCATTGTCGTGCCTTGGTGCGCTAATTTCATTGGCATCACAAAATACGGCCCTGTACGCTGGGGCCATCATACTTGGTGGTCTGACAATATGACCTCTGAGAACACGAGCCAAGTACTCGATCCGCTGCAGCTGTTGGGCAGAAAGAGGGAAATGATGCTCATCCTCTCTGGCCGTCTCATGCATGACAAGTACTGCTGCATCCGGTCACATTCTAAACACTGCATGTTATCAGTCTCCATGAGCTAGGTGCCTGTGAGCCATTTATGAACCCGGTTCTTATTCCGTATGAGAAAATCCATCCGAGTCGAGGGCCTTGATGTCTAGACCAGCCCAGATTAGAACACCTCAGCCACTAATTCCATAGCAGGAAAGCAAACTGACCATGGGAGGTCAGAAGTATGAATGCCTCGACTTCAAGAATATCTTTGGTGCGGGTATGCTAGTCATGTCTCATTAATGTGGCGTACTGTGATTACGTTGGATAATTTTGCCTTGTCTTTACAATAATGTGCCTAGATGCATCTCATCAGCACAGGTGGCGTCAAATCGGACTGAGCCGGAGCCATGTGGCTGGGAAATTATCCAAGATGTACTCCATATTCCAGTGAAAGATTCGCTCGAGTGTCGTTTCAATCACTACCAAAATACTCCGTACCGTCCATAATCTGTAATAGAATGCCGACTCGCACGCGACTGGTTCCATGGAGTGGCCTCCAAGGGGACAATGGCCGAGCCAAGCTCGAGCCTGATTCGAGGTTCGCTCAAGTCGAATGAATATTCTCTGGCTTGCTCATTAAAAAGCCACCTAGGTAGGAACTTGATGTGCTTCGAGTACGAAGCTGTCAGATGTATACTAGAGAACAATGACTGGGCTCTCCATCTACACCCTGAATAGTCGTGCTACTCAAGCTGCAGAGGGGTCTTCATCCATCCAATTTCGTCACCCCTACTTGTGTCCTACTTAACAGCACATGAAAATAGTAGTGGTATCCAAAAAATATTGACACTTTAATCAAAAGCATCATGTCTGACTATATCCAAAATTGATAAACATTAATATCCAACATCTGTATCCCTGCAGTGGAGGCCGGTATAGAGAACACTAGCAGATGTATACCCGGAGGATTCGCTGAATGTGTGTCGTCTGACGAGTTCATCGCTATGCAGTCGTTCCTGGTGATGCATACTCGCCACATGGCCAGGCGTACAAGGTCTCCAGCACTCACGGTTAGAGGGTGTACAAGAAGTCGGGTCGCTTATCGCCAAGGGCATTGATCTCTTCCTCAGTCTTACCCTCTATCCAATGGTCGCGCTCGCCCTTGCTGCGTTTCCTGTTTTCGAATTTGAGCATAGTAGCGAAGAGCAAACTGCCTCCAAACATGCACACGACCAGGTACGCAATGATAGTTCCATGGCCCTGGAAGTAGCGAGGTGGCCATCGGTAAATGACACTGCTGACCACGCCATTGAGATTGCCCCAACCGATAACAAATCCAAGCACAATGCCGCGCTTATAGACACCTTCAATGTTGTTGGCTACCCACGCAATTGTTAATGAGATGGGCGGGTAGATACCCATGGCGCCAAGAAAGGTGCCTGCATACTGGACAGCCGGATTAGTTGTTGATATCAACATAACGAAGCCAACTGTTCCAATAACGGCACATCCCATGATGAAAACGCCACGTTTTTGTACCCTATCAGACCAAAATCCAATGATGACTGTCAGTACGGCTGCAACCGCATACGGCGGGACACTAAGGAGTTGATTCCTGATGATCTGGTCGGCAGACGTGAAGCTCATGGACTGAATAATAGTAGGCAGAAAGACGCTGAAAGAGTAGAGTGGCATCAGAGGGCCCATGTAGATCAGCATACCATTGTAAGTCTTCCAGTCCTTAACGGCGGCCCACATGTAGTCCCATTTGAAGTCTTCGTGCCTAGCAGAGTGTTGGTTGTCGTTCTTTAGTCGGAGTAACACACGCGCGCGGTCTTCGGGAGCCAAGAACTTGGCCTCGTCTGGAAAATCATGCACCATGAAAAAGGAGAGGAAGCCAACGGCGATAGTCAGTAGACCCTCGATGATAAAGATCCAAGCCCAACCCGGGATACCTCGGAGACCGTCCATCTTTTGAATGGCAGCCGCAAGCAGGCCGCCAAAAGAGCCAGCCAACGCCGCTGCTGAAAAGAATATGGCAGCACGCAGTCCAAATTCGTTTCTCTTATACCAGCATGACAGATAGTAGTTGACGCCAGGGAACAAACCGGCCTCGGCCACGCCAAGGAACCATCGGGCCGCCATGAGACCAGACCAGTCCTTTACAAAGCCCATGCCAAGCATGCAGCAACCCCACAGGATCCTAGAAGATTGATTATCAGTGTAAGATCAACAATGTGGTAAACTGCGTCGGTTCTTCGATGGACGGGATGGGCGTCAGCTTACATGATGCTTGGGATGAACCTGGATGGCTTCCACTTCTTGAGTAGGAAGTTGGCGAGCGCCTCGAACATGGCGTAAGAGACGAAGAAGATTATAAGTGTGGCCGCATATTTGAGTGATTTCGGGTCCATTCCCAGATCCTTCTCCAGATGAGCAATCTTGGCATTGCCGATATTGGTGCGATCAAGAAAACAGATCAAGTACAAAAGACAGAGCTTTTTTGTTCATTTTCAAAGTTAGCAGACGCAAGACGAACTGCCCATGTGGCGAACAGTTTCAATATACAAGAAAAACAGCACATACCCATGGGATGAGCGTCAGGTCCAACTTCCACAGTAGTTTGCGTTCCTTTTCAAAGAGACCAAAAGGTTATACGTCAGAATAAAGTGAAGAGTAAAGAGGCGTTGCGCGAGGGAGAAAAAAGCTTACCGCTTCCTTCTTCTCAGCCTCTGACAAGCCGGCATCGGGATCGACGATGTTTCCGAGGTCAGAGTTGGACAAAGCATCCCCCTTGCCTTGGTCAACTGGGCTCGGTTTTTCAAGTTCACTCATTTTGCCGAGTCGTAAGGCGATGAGCAGCAGGGTGCGATCAAATGGTCCTCAAGCTGAGCACAGCAAGTTGAAGTCGTGACGGCGACAGGCGTCGGCGACGACGACGACGTGACAGGAGTGACAGGAGTGAGAGGTATTCAACGTTGCTGTGGACACACTTGGGCAAAAAGGCGAGGACCGGCACGTCTTAGTCTAGTCCACGACTTTGTAGTCAAGGCCAAGTGGGAAGGAGCAAACCTCAATTTGAGGAGAAGGCGATGTCGGAATGTCGCGGCGTCAAAGCTTTGAGTGGCCAAGGCATTGGAGATTGGAAAGCTGCTTTCCATGGCACACACAGGAAAACTCACACCCAACCGACAACTGATTATCGATTCGACTTGGACACACCGTCAGCATCGAAAGGCAGACGGGGGCGTGGGCATTAGCACCTTGTCCATATCCCATTGCTGCCCTACTACGGAGTACTCCATAAGAGACAACGGAGCACCCCGTCCACGTCGAGTACAATACACACCCGGCAGCAATGCTCCAAAGCGCAAAACGCCAGTCTCTGATTAATTTGGGATCCTTGGTCCCGGACTCCCGGCTGGTCTGTTGGTCTGTACTGTCAACTGGTAGGTCATGGTCGCACCAGACTGCACATCGGCAATGGTCGGAGCAAGACCAAGACCGGGCTGACCGTGGGAGCCTCCCTGGCAGATGAGCAGCGCACAGAAGTTGGTGGGCACAATCGTACAGAACACTGTGGTCCAATGCGTAGCCATGTGCTTGTTGGGCTCGTCAACCAGTCAACCAAGGCAAGGGTACTCCCAACACCGCCGCCGTGCTGATCATCATGTTGGATCAAGTTGATGGTCCCAAGTGGTGGCGTTCGGCCCCTCAAGCCCCGCGTCAGTCTCCATTCCCCCTTACCTTCCATCCATCTTCCCTCCAGACTCCAGACTCCAGACTCGAGCTAACCCCCATCGCCAAGTCCCATGCTATCCCTCTCTTGGGTTAACCCTCGATGCAAATGCGGAGATGGCCTCATAGCCTAAAGACCATCCACCTGTTTACGCGCGGCTTCATCCTCACCTTGTTGGAGTCATTGGGGAAGGCGAGACGAACGGTCCAACGGATCCGCTTAAGCTTTACTGCCAAGCTCAGCCAAGCCTTCGCCTTTCAAGAGAGGCGTTTCTGATGGCTTTTTGTCAGGAAACAACTCAGTAGATACACAATGATCATACGGGAGTGGTCAAGCAACGGGCGGGTTGGCGCCATTCGGCAGTTCGCCCAGTCGTAACACCACACGGCCGACGTACCAGATGAAGACGACCAAAGTCTGCGTCGTACGGTTGCAAGAGGCAGATCGCGTATCGATTTAGAAGACTACTTGTACACATCCGCCATCTCCCCAGCATCAACTGCTAGAACCAAGAGAGACCAAAAATTGAGCATGCGGCGAGTGAAAGCAAACACCAGCTGTCATCAAACAGGAGGTCACTGCTCCGTACTTGTCTGGCTTTGGGTCCACCACACTGTTTCCACTGTCATGGTTAACAAGCTCGTGGGCAACAGTATGGTGAGACAAAGCAACCAGTACTTGGACATTGGAGTACTACTTGCTGTGTCACCTGGTTTCTTGGCTTTGGTCCGCCAGGACTCCAACACGAGCAAGACGCCATCACCATGGTATTCATTTCTTGATACGGAGTGTTAGACTTATATTGTGGTAACAAGAACCAAGGCAAATGCAATGCTAAGAAACCTCCTTCGAATCCCCAATCGAACACTAATGGTGGCGTCGCCAATTTGGGCTTGATGGTGGCACAAGGCAGTTATGGTTGGCCCCTGAGCAGCTACCTAGCAGACGAAGCCGTTTTCTTTCCCTAGCTGTCTTTTTAGTCTGCTTACTCCGTACCGTTTTTCGCTTTTAATGTAGCATGTTTCATGTTCTACGAGACAGCCATGCGAGATCATTTTTGTGTGCAATGCATCAGCCACTATTTGGCTCATCCTGTGAGTTCCTAAGGATGGTGATGATTTGCTTGACACTAACTTGGACGATGGGCATTTACGCCGCATTCAGAACAGATCAGTCTCTTCACAGCACTCTATGAAGCATGACAATATGGCCCAGCACATTTACGGCATGCCACAAAACATCCATCTCCAAATTACATGCATATATGGCCAGGGCTTGAAGATACAAGCCCTCTACGGGGCCAAACTGTACCTCTTCTCTTGCAATTTACCAGTCGACTTTATACGCGGTTGTCGGGCCTTTGGCGGGACCCGATGAAAATGAGAACTCGGATATCAGGCAGGGCCAGCCGCATGCGCCGTTCTGTGGTGCGACCTTGTCACTCCATGCCGCCTGCTGTGCTTTCTTTTGCCAGGCATCTGGTTAATATTGACCCCGACGACTGGGCTTGCTGATGTGGCTTGAGCCACGACTAATTTTGGTGACTTTGGTTGCATCAGTACATTGTGGATGGAAGATGTCACGAAATGCGCCATATTCACAGCCTCGCAGGGATCTCACGAAGAGCCAATAGCTTGTGTTACTCATAATTTAGCCCAGGGACCATGATGATCGGAACAAAGGACCCTTGAATTACTACTGGTTAAAATGAGGAATGGCCTGGACCTCAAACCCATGTCATCTAGTGCAGCCAACAGTATTGAGACTTCACAAAGAAGCCCAGTTTTGCCTTGAAGGTTTCGCAAAATACGAGCGCCATTTCAGCATTGTGAATGCATATGCCATAATTTGTGATGACAGACACTTTGCATGATTCATATATCATTAAACTCATTGCAAATACCGTGGCTACCTAAGTGACGTGTGCTAATACAGGGGCATGTCGCAATAGTTGATATATAATAGTATATAGGTCTTGGCCTGACAGAATATTATTGCATAATGAGAGACCTAGTTTGCCCACGTACTGGCAAGTGAGGTTGGGAGCGGGAACTTCGTACTCTGCGCAACCAGATTTTAGATAACAATCCTTTCTGACCATGTATGTCTGTATGTGAAATTCCTTGCAGGCATCAATAGTGTTAATTTGCCCTTGTTCATCATGTATAACCTAAAGTCTGGCAGCTCTCCAAATGTCCAAGTTGACCATCTTCTCTTGTATCTGGAACCCGTCGGCACACAAGGCCGGGTTCATGCAATCGAGAGTAGGCATGGCGAAGAGTCCGACGGAAAGGTCTAGCCGTAACAACGTCTACTCCGTAACACGTGATGAATCATCCCCATAGAGCAGCATTCAGCCTTCACATAGGGATCGCGCATCTCCTCCGCACTTGGCAGCTGACGAACAGGACAATGAAACGCGCCGCTAACTTGTACTCTGCTAGCGCAAGCATCCCCCTCCTACTTAGAACAAGAAATACCACGTCGGACCATCGGCCAAACTCTAACCCTACTTACTGGGCGAGTTCCACAAAACTCTGACACAACCCACAAACTTTGCTTTTCTCACAACTCAAAGGTAGCCTCATGGCGATGGGACTTGCTGCATGTCGAGGACCATCTCCCTACTCCGTACTCCAAGAAACAGCAGGCATGCAAGTGTCACCGGTGCCATCTCCCCTCGGGCGGGTCAATCAGCGGGACGACCCGCGGCGCCACTACGTCCCAGCCGACATGGAGTCACGATCCACGATTTTGATGCTGGTCTAGAACGGTCCCTGTGAGGGCGACCAATGACCTCGACCTCGGGATCTGCATCAGCTTCACGGGCGAGAAACGTCATCAGTATGTACTATGTATGTATGTATGCCTCGTTGCGTCGCTGCAGCAAGTCACATGCAACGGTTTCAACAAAGAAAAGAAAGTAAAGTAAAACTACAAAGTACGATTCGGCATGCCCTTACTTTCACAATTTTCTACGCATCCTGATGAGACACGGTTACTTCCATGGCTATGAACAATCTACCCATGATTCCAACATACCCATTCATGTTACACACTTTTCTGATTCGATCCGCAACCACATGCATGTTCTTCTCGCCCACCAGCACAAAATTTCAAAAGCACCAAGACTAATTATGCTACATGTACTTGGAAGCAGCGCCTGTCCGGATTCCCAACCCTTTGATTCTCGCCAAGGAAATACCGCCTAGCCGCTCGTACTACACAAAAAGACCCGAGTGGGAAAAGAGGCAAAAACCACCAGACATCCTACCCTCTTCTGGTAGAGTTTGGATCCCATCCCGACTCCGACTGCCTTATGCCGTGTCACCCGGCCCGTTGCGTACTTCTTACAAAGGGAGGGAGGCATCAAGAGGGCAGACTGCTCCGTACGGAGTACTCGCGCCGGACGTAATTAATCATATGCACTGTTGTCCCGACGCATGTTGCGGGTAGGCGCAGCGTGCAGAGACGCCAGTATTTACAGACGAAGCCGGCATTCTCGTCAGATGCTCCGTAACTACTAGATACGCAGATCATAATTTTGTTAGAGACGCCTCGCAGAATAGCTAGCAAGCAAAATTACTATACCAAGATACCAAGTCACAATAATTCTCTTATTCCGGCAGTGACTCACGTCCATCACTGACACGGGACATAACCAGCCAGCAAATAGTTCAAAACACACATACATTGTCCACTTCATAACAAACATTATAGTAGTCGCTACGCGACCAGTCATTTCATCATCCAACGCCGCCCATGTACCAGCCCAAACGTAGAAGTCCCTTGTCCCCAGCTCTTGCAAACCGTCCGTCCATCCATCCAAAATTGTATCCAACCCAGTTCCCGCGCGCCTCCTCTACTCTATCGACAGGCTCTCCAAAACATTCATTGCCTTTGTGCCCTCCCTCTCGAACTGTGTGACCATGGCCTCACATTCATGTTTGAGCTTCTTCTCTGCCTCCCCCGCGTTGAAGTGAATCCATTCCTCCACCGTCATGCGCGTCTCTGGGCTACTAAGTTCCTTGCCTTGCTTCAACAGCCGGCTAACCGCATTTTCCTTGTCATCCCCGCAGCGTGGTGTACCCATAACGGCATCAATGTCCACCGCCGTCCACGGAATTTGGCTCTGCAAGCCGGCCGCAAGCATATTGCGTTTTGACGGTGAGTTGCGGGCCGGCGTAGCTGCCAAGGGCGCGAGGACAACGCGCTTCGCCTTGGCACTGGCCGGGGGCAGAGATGACGGGGGCAGGTTTTCAGCGTCGGATGACTGCGGTGATGGTGACGGCGACAACGCTGGCTGGCGTGCCGACGGCGCTGGTGACGTGAACTTTGGGGGAGTAGATGGCGGCTCAACCCCTAGTCTTGACCTGGACACAGCCGGCGAGGAAGCTTCCTCGAGAGGCGATGACGCTTCCTCAAGCTGGGGCGTCCCTGCAGATTCACGTCGATGAGTTTCGCCGTCCGCCTCAGAGACCTCATCATCAGCATGGCCTTCACTTGGCTGAGTAGATTCCGACGGCTGTATAGGTTCAGCCGTTGTGCTGCTCGGTCTGCGGCCACGTCTAGCGGGTGCTTCTGCAGGTTTTGATGCAGCGTTAGAAGCTAGCGACGATTTTTTGACAGCTCTTGAAGGGGCCTTGATTGACGGAGGAGAATCTACGGTGTCGGTATTCTTCACCACAGCATCTGTGCTCCCAATGCTAGCTTCATGCTCCTCAATCTCTGAAGGTGGGTCAATAGCCTCTGGTTCAGGTTCTGGAGATGGTGAAGGAGCCTTGGCCTTCTTTGCCTTTGTCTGCTTGGATGCTTTGCGTATTCCAGTTCCAGGTTTACGACCCTTTTTGGGAACATGAAGTTTTTGGTTTGGCTCCTCAACCTCCATTTCGGCTTGAAGATTTCGAAGTTCGTCATCCAACGCATCTTCGTCGTGCTCAACTTCAGCAGGATCAAACATGGCGTAGTCTTCCAACTGCTCATCGGTCAGTTTTCCCTTTGACTTCTTATTAGCCATCGCTTTCGATCGCTCGGATTCTGAGTCGTGTGCAATTTCATCGTCATCCGTCAATGCCCGTTCCAAGTCTGCCTCGAGCTGGCGCTCAATCTCATCATCGTCAGGGAAATCTGCAAGAGGTGCCCGGAGTGAAGCCACGGATGCCCCCAGGGCAGATGGCTTGCGGCTTGACTTTACACTGGAACTCCTGGCGCGACCGGCCGATTTTGACGCCTGCGCATCAACAAACTCGACATCTTCAGGTGTGATGGTAGAGCTGTCAATTTGACTGCTTTCTCGGTTTTGTGTGACTTGTTTCTTAGACGCTGGGGCCTCGGATAAAAAGAGAACGGAATCATCAATGGCGTCACTAGTTCGTTTCTTGCCATGGGTTGCCTTTGTGGCTTTCGGTAGTGACACAGGCTCTTCGTCAACAGTATCGTCCTCTTCTCTCTCAATTCCTTGCGCCTTCTTAGTCTTAGCCCTGCCTTTTGTCGTTGCTGGCTTCTTTTTCTTGCTCGCCGTCTTCTTGCTCCCCTGCGTCGCCGTCGATGTAGTAGTGAGAATACTATCCTCTGGTTCTGCCGTCATATCGGCAACAGACGCGATGTCAGAGGCAGTCGTGGCCACCGATTGCATAGATAGTCGAGAAGTCTTTGATACACCCGCCGCCTTGCCTCGAGCAGTCCTCTTCTTGGGCCCTCCAAATTCGTTGACCAAGGCAAAGAATGTGCAGTTCGGTGATCGGTTGTAATGCTCGTCGCTTCCCAAGGGTCAGTTTCAACACCCTGATCAAGATCTTGCGGGCCTACTTACTAAGGTTTGTCGCCGGGCTCCCATCCATCTAGAGCCAATTGGCAATACGCACAAGTCGCCATGTCATCTGACTCATCCGTAGGTGTATACTTCCAGCCAGCTTCAACAAGCTAGAGTAATCAGAGTAAGCAGATGCCGTAGCTGTACGTGTCCTTCACAGCTTACCTGTTTTGTTTTGCACTTCCATCCTTTCCTTCCCTCATGGGGCCATTTTCCAGCGAATGTCGCCTTTCGTGCCTCTACCATATGGGGCAGGGTCGGGTCTTGCCTTGAATACTCATCGATCTCGGCTTCGATTGCTGATACTATGGCCCATCCACATTGGGGGGAATGCTTGAGATGCTCCTCGAGAGGATCGTCACCAGCTTCCCACCCATCTAGGCCCTTTCCGCAAAGGAAGCAGACACAATTGTCGGGGTTTTCGGGATATGGGTCGAAGTAGAATCCAGCTATCGCTAGCTATAAAGAACATCGTCAGCCACATTTGCGCAGGAGGGGTTGGATTCAATGGCGCGTACACTCGCGGGCGCAATCTGTTTGTGCGGCCAATTCAAAGCCTTGCTACGCCCACCCGCTGTTGATCCCCTCTTTTTCGAGGTCTTTTGGAACGATGCAAGTCGCGCCTCGTATGTAAAGTATTGGTCCATTGTAGAGAGCGACAGGTGTCGATTTGTTTTTGCGTCGTCGTGAAATGTCGGTCAGTGCAGAGCGCATCGACAGTCGGTGCGCGTCGCGTTAAGTATTGGAAAGCTCAGGTGCGCATGCAAGGCGTGTCTGTTCTCATGCTGCCTTATCTTGAAAGAAAAAATAGCCTTCACCTCCAGATCACGGCGACACTGTGAAATACAACAGAGTAAGTCATGCGATGTTGCGATGTTGCGCTGTTAAGGGCGATTGGGAAGTCGGCCGTGACGTTGGTCGTGGTTGGTTGGCCATGAACGTGTTTGTTTACTTCCATGCCAAGTGGGGCTATCCAACCCTCACGGATCTGCGGGCGTTGAGACCCCAAGACCTGGCCTTGTTTCTTGGAATAGTACTCCGTACATAACATCGAAGCTTTTATAAATTATAGCAGCTCATAACGGCTCTGCAGCGATGGCAAACAGCTTAAATAATACGCATAAATATAGGCGGTCAATTTGGCCACAGTACCGCCCCGAATGTTTACTGAATGTTTCCAGCGACTGGCTTGCGAGTATTCTCTGGTTGCGCCTCGACGATCCGAGACTAGTACCGGCGTGCAGGTTTTCAAGGCGCTGGAACCAAGCTGCCTAAATTCGATTTACTATTCGCACATGTGCATTCATCATAGCTTACCAGCCTCCTTCATTGCTCTTTCACCATCGACAAGAACGCACCAACCATCATGCCCCCGCCCACCATCACCATATACCACAGACTCAAAGGCACCCTGCTCCAGGGCCAGCTTCAGAACTGCATCGTCAAAGGTGCCCGGCTGCAGCCAGATGACTGGAATGCCAATCTTCTTGGCTTCCTCAAGCACCTTGACAGTGACAGGAGGTGCAGTGATGATGGATACCGAGGTCTGCTTAGGACTTGGCAACCCAGACAAGTCTGGGACCGTGGCGTACTCTTGACCGCCCACAGACACGGAAGAAGAGCCCGGATTGACTGGTGTGACGTTCAAACCATGCTCCAAGTACCAAGCATGGACTATTCCACAGGATTAGTCGGGGCGAAGCGGTAGATGGCGGATATATCTTGGAAATACGAGCCTTTATGACCGAACTTGGCGGGATTCGAGCTGGCGCCGACAACGGCAAAGAACGGTGACGTAAAGAACTTGCGGGCGGCGGTTTCGGTGGCCATTGTACCGGCGGTGGTGGCTATGTTGTGTGGTGTTGTCAAGTTGGTTGTCAATTGCTGGTTGCCCATTTGCAAGTCGCGGTTAGTAGAGTGAACCACGAAATGCCAGGGGTTGCCGGTAATAATAGTAACGCTCTCGGCTGATGTCCTCATTCGAGCAGAAAATGGCGATAAGCGCAAAGGCAAATCCGTCGGCTTCTGCGGGGTTTCCGAACCTGACGCGGTCAAGCGGTCGAAGGGACGCCAAGTTTGCCCCAGCCGTTGTAAAGCCGAGGTCGGCCGAATCGGCAAGACGTGGTGTTGCTACATGGCTTGGACTCGGTCCATGACATAAAATTCCAATTTAACCCCAGAAGTAAGGAGCCAATGCAAGAGCAGCCATTGTAATACCGTACAACATGTTGTTATAGCAATGTCTCTATTTGCGTAAGAACACCCGATTGTTGTGTGCGCACTCCAAACATGCTGACCAAACATCTCCAGCAAAGCAACATTTTCCGCTGCAGGGTATGCCGCGGCACGGCCAACATACCCTGCAAGTTTGTTTAGAACCGTTCTGGGCTATCATAATGCCAACATCTCATCAGGGTCGTTACTGGATATTGGGTGCGGCCATGGATTGATTGCCAGGGAAATGAGTCCTCATTTCGGTAGCGTGATTGGCCTTGATACAAGCCCAGGCATGGTGAGGCAAGCCGCATCAATGACAAAGGATGAGAAAGTCACGTTTTATCAGGGCGGCGCCGAAGACCTGTCCTTCCTCCCCGATAAATCCATTGACATGGTGGTGGCTGGACAGTCCGCACACTGGTTTGACTACAACAAAGCGTGGCCTGAATTATCTCGCGTGGTGAAACCTGGAGGTTCTCTTGCTTTCTGGGGATACAAGGACAACGTCCTCATTGGGCACGAGAGAGCCAACCAAGTATTTGACAAGTACTGCTACGCAGATGGAGACGTCGAGCCAGGCGTCGAGGGAATGAATGCTTACTGGGAACAGCCTGGCCGCAATAAAGTCCGGAACCTGTTGAGGGAGGTGGAACCGCCTGCTCAAGACTGGACGGCCATCCGTCGAGATCTGTACGACATCAAGGCCGACTGTCCAGAGACACCGGACCCTGGAACAGCCTGGATGCAAAGGAGAATCAATCTAGGGCAACTGGAGGCGTATGTCCGAACATTTAGCGCATTCCAGGGCTGGCGTGATGCGCATCCAGAGGTCAAGAGCCGGGCGGAGGGAGGTCAGGGGGACCTGGCTGATATTCTCATGGATCGTATTGTGGAATCAGAGCCGCAATGGAAGGGACTTGGCGATGGGTGGAGGGACGCCGAGGTTGATACGGTCTGGGGCACGTACATCCTTATGGCAAAGAAGCGTTGAATAAGGAGCAATGGTTCGTTGTGTTTCGACCGATGACTGCAAGTACTTGGATGTGTTTGAGCGATTATGCGAAACGTTTGGCGAGGTTTTGTTTGGTGTATGTTAATGCTGTAGGCTAGTAGGTAACTTCTAGCCTCGATGTCTCATTGCCAATGAATCGTGGGCCTTGATTGACATGGAAGGTGCATAAAAGCACACCGCAAGTTGTCCACATCTCGAGCACGGAGGCTTTGTGCTCCGTTGTACATCCCTTCAGTGTTTCGAACGCGGCCCCTTGCCCCTGCTCAGCTGGCACCGGCTGCCAGTGACATGCTCCAGGCAAGGTGACGGAAAATGCCATCAAGAAAATGGATTGTGCAGCGGAGAGGATGCGGCCTTGTTCATGATGATACCAAGAAATGTGAGAACGCGGTAGGCGGGGGACATGGTTAACATGAGTAAAGTCAAGTCGCTGCGGGATGGGCATGTGTGTGTACGGAGTACATGTAGTATGTACCTTTGAAGCTGGACTGAACGGGCGAAGTGACTGGTTGCCGGGCCAAAGAAGCAGGCGCAGGGGACAGACGAAGCAACAGCCCACCGTGCCCTTGGCAATCAATGGGACCAGAGCGTCTGTCTGTGTCAGGAGACGAGCAATTCCATTGTCGTCCTTTTCTTTGCTACTTGACACTTCTCCAACTCCTTCATCAGTGCCAAAATCACCTTCAAAGCCCGAAAGTCCCTTGCGAAACCCTCAGCGACCTTCTTCACATCTTGGTGTTTATTGCCAGAGCCACATCTCAGGTACACGACAGAGTTCCAGTCGGGAAGCTGCCGCTAGTGCATTTATTTGTGCTCAAGTGCTCCCTCCTGCACTCTAGCCCTCCGACTACTCCGTACTTGGGTATTGACTAGACACAGACACAATGGTGAGTTGCCCCAGTACCCGACGCCGCCTTTGTAAACAAACAGCAGAGGAGAGGCCCCGCGGTCGACGAGCCTCGCCATGTGATTCGCCAGTTCGATGCCAGTCATCACCGTGTGCTTGCCCCCTTCGGGCTTGGATTGCCTCCAAATGCGCCCAAACGACGCGGCTCCGAAATCTTGGTTTGCACAACACATCTGCCAACTTTCGTAACGAACGACGCATTTTCTTTTGCAGGCTGTCAACATCGAAGCAGGCGCAAAGAAGCACTCTGTGGCTAGCTGTGCACACGAAGAATCTCTCGATTGAGCTCAACCAAGCGCGTTACTACGGGACGACAGGACGGGGCCTCCTCTTTCTGTTGCAGCAGCATCATTAGCAGCACAGATTACAGACTTGATAATGTCTTCTAACCAGTACGATTCTCAGGCTTCCACCAACTACAAGGAGGCCTTTGCTCTCTTTGACAAGCGCGGCAATGGCAGGGTGACTGTAGACAGCTTGGGTGATTTGCTCCGAGCCTGTGGCCAGAACCCCACCTTGTCCGAGATCAAGGACCTCGAGCAGAATGCCGGTAGCGAATGTGAGTAGATTGAACCGACGAAAAAAGAGCGAAGGCAAGGGAATTCGTGAGCGCGAATGACTGACAGCGCTGTTGAGCAGTCGATTTCGAGACATTCCAGCGCATTCTGAACCGCCCTGGCGGTTTCCGCGACCCTGGCGAGCCCGAAGAATATTGCCGCGGCTTCCAAGTGTTTGACAAGGATATGACTGGATTTATCGGCGTTGGTCAGATCAAGTACATCTTGACGAACCTTGGCGAGAAGATGTCAGAGGATGAGGTTGATGAGTTGCTCAAGGCTGTGGACACCAGTTCTGGCCAAGTAAACTACACCGGTATGTTTTGCCGCGCGATTTGTGACAAGCACAGGGATACTCCTGGGCCTGTGACCCCCCAGCATTTGAATATTTCCTGACGTCAATCTTCCAAAGACCTTGTCCGAACCATCCTCGCCAACTAGGCGACTGTAAGGCTTCCGCTTTCGATGATGGGGTGTTATACGAAATGATTGCTCAGTCTTTTTGCATGTGCGGACTGGATGGCGTTACTCTGTCTTCTTCTTTTCTGTTGTACTGTTTCTCTCTTACATGACAGTGTTTGGCGATGGAGGATGCAATGAGGCATGGAGTTGGAAAGTGCGTGGGAGTAGATTGGGATTCAAGTCAAGAGTCATTATTTTGTGTATGGATATAAGCTCTGGAGTGGTAGATAAGTTGTTCAGAGGGCTATTCTTGTGGGACTACTTATTTAAGTCAACCTCAACCTTTGATGTTGACATTCTATTTGTGCATCGTTGATTGGGTTCTGGCATGTAGCATACAGTTTGCTTTGATGACATTTGTGTTGTGAAGGTGATAAAACACCATGGGTGGGCACTTGCTGCGGGAAATGCGACTGAACAAGGACTGGGTCTTTAGGCAAGCTGATTTGATCGAGGCCTTCTTGCTCGGCTACGGAGCTATCTATAGCAATTGGCGTTGCCAGCCTGTTGCATGGCTCTGAGGTGCTGATGCGGACGATATTCAGCACTTGGGCTCCGTGCGGTCTGGTTTGGTGGGTGTTCCTTGTTGCGTCAATGCTGCCCCTCGCCGCCCCTCGCCGCCCCTCGCCGCCCCTCTGTCATGGAGAACATTTGAACGTGGCCCCTCAGTGCCTCCCATCAGTCCGGATGTCCCTGCCTCCTGCCACATGTAGTCTGGGGACATGGAAGCTTGCTTCCCAAACTAACCGACCAGACTTGACTTCGAAAATTTACCAGAAATCCTCCACGCCCAACATTGAAGTGTCACTCTGGTGTCTGGTCCGTCGACTGCGCAACATCTGACGTTACCTGTCCCAGGTGCCCTCTTCTATCTACCTACGGAGTAGGAAGTAGTCTCGGTGCATGTACGGAGTACGGCAACCTGTGTCTCTGCTAGCGAAGCTGCTGCTGCTGGTGCTATTACCATTGCTTGCATAACCGGTGCAGAAGTTCTTGTCCGATCTCGTACTGCATCTGCAATCTGCATCCGCCTTTATTACGCAATCGAAACCTATCTCTGCACGAACCTGGGTTACTCGAGCTCGCTTCACAGTGTCATCGTTGGTACATTGCATTGAACTGCGGCTTCCTGCACCTGCAGACGGTTTAACAGCCCTCCGCCGCTCCCATCCTACTGCATCATTCAACTAGATCGAGACGGCCTCTCGCTCCTTGGACAGAAGTTTCCGAATTCCCTCGCGTACCTGCAGTCAAACTGGATAGGCGCAGTCATTTAAAGCAGCCCAGGCCCCGTCCCCTCTTATCCCCCCTCCTTGCTCTGTCCCTCGTCGTCTTCATCCTCGCCGCAACCCTGGCCTCCTCACGGGCTTTCCTCCGTCTCAACACCCTTGTCAATCATTTTTGCTCAAGTGCGGACCGACGCATCCTTCACCGTTTTCGTCCATTGATGACAAGCAGCATGGCCGGTGCTCAGTACCAGAACCCGCCTCAGGCACCACCGCTCTTCACCGGCACCACCGAGTCAGTTGTTGCCGATATCAACAAGAACAATGAGCTCACAAAGAGTATTTTGGACAAGGTAGTGGCTGATGTGAAGCCCGCAAATGCCATCTTTGACAGTGTCCTCGAACCGGGTCTGGTGAACGAGAACGAGCTGGGGCGAAGCTACCGCGTTGCCCAGTTCTACCAGTATGTCTCTGCCAGCAAGGAGCTCAGAGAAGCTTCGACAAAGGCCCAGGAAATTTCCGACGAGTTCAATATCGAACTCAAGATGAGAGAGGATATATTCAAACTGGTCGATGCTGCATTCGAAACCCGCGACTCCCAAAAGCTGGATGGCGAGTCTCTGCACCTTTTGCAGAAGGAACGCCAAAAGTATATCCGTAATGGCCTTCTACTGCCAGCTGGCCCCCAGAGGGACCGCTTCAAGGAAATTCAGAAGCGTCTTAGTTTGCTGTGTCTTCAGAGCCAGAAGAACCTGAACGACGAGATGGGCGGTGTCTGGTTCACCCCTGAGCAGCTTGAGGGTGTCCCTCCTGATGATATTGATATTAGCGGGCTCGAAAAGGGCACCGGAGAGAACGAGGGCAAGGTCAAGGTCACTTTCAAGTACAATCATTTCTTCCCAATGAGCAAGTATGCTATCCATGAGGACACTAGACGCACCTATGTCATTGCCGAATCCAACAAGGTCAACAACAATGTTCCCTTGTTCCGTGAAATCATTGCCCTTCGAGACGAGGCCGCTCGTATGCTTGGTTTCCCGGACCACGCTAGCCTGGTCATTTCCGAGAAGATGGCCAAGACTTCAGGTAGAGTCATGGAATTTCTAGGCGATCTGCGCGAGCGACTTGCCCCAGGAGGTGTAAAGGAGGCCGATCGCCTTCTCCAGTACAAGAAGGAGGATTGTGAGGCGCGGGGTGCACCATTCGACGGTAACTTGTACATGTGGGATGTTCCCTTCTACTCGAGGATTATGAAGGAGAAGGAATACAGTGTGGATGAGGCTGAAATTTCTCAATATTTCCCTGTTGATAGCACATACCAGGGCATGATCAAAATCTTTGAGCAGATCTTCGGGTTTGTCTTTGTTGAGCTTAGCAAGGAGGACCGCGCTAGACTCAGCCCTACTGGCAAGGCAGAAGACATGACCTGGCACGAGGATGTTATTGTCTATTCTGTCTGGGACGATGAGGCTGCTGGCAGTGGATTCTGCGGATACTTGTACCTGGATCTCCACCCCAGAGATAACAAGTACGGCCACAATGCCAACTTCAACATCGAGCCTGGCTACCTGAACAAGGACGGAACTCGCAACTACCCTGCGACTGCCCTGGTATGCAATTTCAGCAAGCCTAGTGCAACTAAGCCCGGTCTTCTGAAGCACCATGAGGTAATCACTCTCTTCCACGAGCTCGGCCACGGCATCCACGACCTAGCTGCTCGCACCAAATACAGCTACTTCCATGGCACCAGTGTTGCTGGTGACTTTGTCGAAGCCCCCAGTCAGATGCTAGAGAACTGGTGCTGGACACCCAGTGTCCTGAAGTTCCTCTCTCGACGTTGGGACACAAACGAGAAGATCCCCGATGATATGATTGAGAAATTGGTCAAGACCAAGCACTTCAACTCGGCCACCTCCAACCTTACGCAATTACTCTACGGTCTTTTCGATATGACCGTCCATACTCCCAAGTCTCACGAAGAGGCTAAGAATATGCCCATTGCCAGAGTGTGGAACGAGTTCCGTCGTGATATTACTGGAATCAAGGGTCCCGAGGCCCAGGGACAAGGACTGTACGTATCTGTGCTAAAGCACACACACTTGTGATGAAACAATAAGTTGCTGACATTATATCTCGTAGTGAATGGGGTAATCGATTCGCTACCATTGGGCATTACACTGGTGGATACGATGCCGGATATTACGGCTACCTGTACTCGCAGGTCTTCTCCCTCGACATGTTCCACTCATTTTTTAAGAAGGACCCCATGGATGGCAAGGAAGGTCGTAGATACCGGAAGCTAGTTCTAGGCCGTGGCGGCAGCCAGGAAGAGCTACAGACCTTGAAGGACTTTTTGGGCAGAGAACCCAATACTGAGGCTTTCTACCAAGAACTCGGTCTAGCGTGAAGTTGGACCTAAGGAGACAAATTGAAGCATAGTCATGCATCTGTAAGCACGCAAGAAGCCATATTCCTTGCACGCTAGACGCATATATATATTAAGAAACTGCCTCTTGATAACACAGTTTCTATGAAATCAGACATCGTCAAATTTTCAAGAAAGGTATCCTATGTCTTCCAACAGCGCCCGAGTTTGCATTCTCTCATGTCCAAAGACCACCACATTAGATACATCCATTACCCAAACAAGCCAAAACCAAAATTAATAATTCAAAAGAATGTGAGAACGTTCTAGGTATTATGTCCACATTTTCGTTTAAAACATCATGATCAGTACTGATGAAACAAGAATTGCTCCAGCAGAGTAGAAGAGACTGGAAAGATGAGAGGCAGCGGCTGTAACGACCGGAGGCGTCGATGTTGGGGGATTTCCAGGTGCACCTTCTGTCGTGGCGCCGGGTTGACCGCCTCCGCCGTTGCCAGCATTGGCATTGCTGGTGCTTTCGCTCGAGCCTGGGTTTGTACCACTACCATGGCCAATCTTCGAGCTCGGGCCAGAGGCAGAGGCGGAGGCAGGGGCGGAGGCAGAGGCAGGGGCGGAGGTAGATGCAGATGCGGAGGTGGAGGCGGAGGCGGAGGGGAAGCCAAGACTGCTTTCGACGACAGTGTTGCTGAGCCTACTGGAACTGCTCCCGCTGCCGCCGGTAGTACCAACAGCAGTGCGGTGGGTGGTAGTGGGCGAGTACGTCTCTCCTCCGGTGGAAGTTCCAGGTCTCTGAACACCAGAGCTTCCACTTGTAGAAGATCCCGGAGGTGTAGATATGGGCGAACTCTGTCCAGAAGACGGGGGAGCCGAGTGAGTCGTCTGCGATGAAGATGCATCGCTGGCTGGGGTAGAGCCCACGGAATGGGTAGAGCCCACGGAATGGGTAGAGCCCATGGAATTGGTAGAGCCCACGGAACTGGTAGGGCTCGGCGTCGACGGAGCAGATGAGGCGATATTCTCACTAGAGAGAATTGGCGTGAATGCCGGGTGGCTTACATCGACTTGCGTGCTGGTTCCAATAGTAGGCTGCTGGGTAACAAGCTGCTCGGGAGTTGTGGGTGAAGCAGTTGGAGGTTTCTCAGCCTTGGTACCACCACAGAAATTAATAAACTGCTCAAATGGCTCCTTTTGTGCCTCTCCAGTAGAGGTAGAGTTGCTATTAGCATTGGCCTTGATACAATTGCTGCAGGAGACCTCGGCAGCCCTGAATTTTGAATCTCGATCACACAGCCCGTCTGTTTTTCCAGTACCTTGAGCAATGAGGTAGGCTTGATTGCAAGGGTTATAACATATGGAGGGAACAACAATGTCTCTCTTGGACTTGTGACAGGCTTTGTGGTCGTTGATACGCTTGCGCATTTGGCCGTGCGAGGCCGGCGGGGAGGGTTTAGGCCAGGCAGTCAGCGATGATTGCGAACCCCAGTTCCCTGTTGTGATCATGGAAGGGTGTCCATTTATGGTCTCGTTGATGACTTTATATTCGAAGATGTCGTACGAAAGACCGAATCCTTCGGGGTCGAGGTTGAAGTAGCCATACGAGGGTGGGTAATAGCCGGTTTCGCATTCTTGCCATTCGACCTTTGCAAAAGGCGGCGAGGGGATACAGTCATTTGGATCGCAAAGGAAATCGTCGGATGGAGGTTTCGGCCACAGATTGCATCCATTTGGCTTAGGAGGGTTGCATACATAGCCAGGTTCGCAACCAAATGTACGGTTTGACTTGGCGTCCAACGGTGTTGAAACTCCTGTGGGGGTCGGGCAAAGGCTGACGTCAAACATGGGAGTCACGGTGACAGTAGTAGCTGGCTTTTTGATTGTTGTGGGAGGGAGGGTAAGTGTGCTGGTCTCTATCACTGTGTATCCTGGCCGAGTGATGGTCTTTGTTTCTTGGTCGTCGGTGATGTGGACTGTTGACGGGGGTAACGTCCTTATCTGCGTTGTCACAATCGTGCTTGCTGGCAAGGTTTTGGTTACGCCGGGAAGAGTGATTGTGCTTGTCTGGCCGGGAGCCGTGACTGTTGGTCCTGCGAGGGTTTGAGTTACATCGCGGCCGGGAGCTGTTACGGTCTCGCCAGGAGCTGTTATTGTCTGGCCGGGGGCCGTTATAGTCTGGCCGGGGGCCGTTATAGTTTGACCTGGTAGTGTGAGCGTGGTCACAACAGGGAAGCTTGTTATCACTGTCGACACAAATGTTGTAACTATGGTGGTGGATTTCGTAGTGTACTTGGTGTTGTCGACAGTCAGAGTGACTGGGTGCTCGCTAACGACCGTTTTAGTCTCCGTGTAAGTTGTGGGCACCCATATTGTAGTCGAGTCGACTACAGTATGTGTGTCGTGAATGGTCGTCTCCTGCGGAACCGTTATCGTGGTAACAACGGACTCAATACCAGTAACTGTCTTTGTAGCCGTGGTCGTAGCCCAGGAAGTTACTGTTGTTGTCCTACAGCCGTGCGTCCGTCCCTTGAGTTTTGGAATCTGTTCAGTGTTTGTGCCCTCAGTAGATTCATAACCGTTTGTGTAGGGAGGGTCACAACTGCGTCACCATGTTAGTGATCTTGCTGTAGCCAGTAGCTGCCGGATTAAATTGATCCTTGGTCTTCGAAGACTTTGCACTTACTCAATGACTTTAGTTACGGTCACAGGATAAGACTTGGGCTATGTTAGCAGATATCCATTCGTTCTTGTCGACGATATGATCCATACCCTTGTGTAAGTCGAGAGGGCTGTTGTAGTAACGTATTTGGTTGTGTATTGCACCTCGGTAGAAACGTCGTGCTGTGTTGCGGTAGTATATATCTATCTCCCATGTCAGCATCGGCCAACCCATTTTCCCAGTTGACACCACATAAGTCTGACCGTTTTTTCGCTGTAAATCGTGGTACTTTTCCATTGTTAGCAAATACATAACTACGATACTAACAAGTGCTACTCACTAAATTTTCGATATGACTGTTCTTATTGTCGTTGGGCAACACTCATCACATCGGGCGGCCAGAACGGAGTCCGGAAACAGGTTGAGATCAACCGTAAGTAACCCTTCAACGCCGGCCCCGACATCAAGCCCAGGGACTGCAGCGACGAGGCTTGTAAAAAGCCCAAGCGAGCTGGCAAGACGCATCTTGCGTGAAATCTGGCCCTCGCCCAGCTAACGAATGTAGCTTTCCAACTTCGAGAATGTGCCTGAAACGAATGGAGAAACGAGTGACAACCCTCTGGCTCTTCTGTCCTCCCAAATGAAGACACTGGTCCCAGGTACAGATGGAGGTAGGCCTAAAACAAAAGGGCTCTATAAGTAGAGATTCCCAGTGACTATTTGGCCCGGTGGTCGAAGTGGTTGCCCGCGATTGCTGTCTTTGGCAGTGGGAATGGTATCAGGTATTGACAAGAATAGATTGGGCTCCAAGCAAACTGCGCTGATTGAGACTGAAAGGTCGAATAGTCCGATTGAGATAAAATCTGATGTGCTTGGTGGCAATTGTGAAACTCCCGCAAGCAATGGAAGGACCAACAAGATTTCAAATAATGGCGAAGACGAGCTCAGATGGGGAGAAGAACAATTTACAAAATACACAGATCAGTCTGCTACTAATAACAAAAAGCTTAAGGCCAAGGCGACAGGTCTAGCATGAACCACGCTCGAAGCAATCGCTGGGTGTTACAAACCGAATTTCCCCAAGACAATCCAATCGTAAGCGCACGCATCTCTTGCGGTGACGAATCGAGCAAATTTCCATGTAACTACCTACCTACCTACCTACCTACCTAGGTAGGTACTCGTACGCAGTACGAAGTACACAAGGCTCATTTCCTGCACGGGCCAGAATCTGGCCTTGGATGCTTGCCAAGTTGCCCGGGTTTCCAGAGATGCGGCCCCCGGATGACAGCGGCCGTCGGGAGGAGAAGCTGCTGGCTCCATTATCTTGCATGCATCCGCACGGCGCCCCAAAGTACTCCACACGAGGCAAAAGATTGAGGCCTTCCTGACGAGAGGTCGCTGTTTGGCGATTGGGCTTGAGCCCGAGCAGCACAAAGAGAGGCTCTGCGTCTATCCCCCGGCGTGGCATCTCGCTGCCTGTGTCGGGGCCACGCACTAGTACTCTCCCCAACGCAAGGAAACAGAATCCGCATCTTTTTTAGAAAGTCCACATGTCTACGGAGTAGGCGTGTAAGGGAAAGCCCCGTGGGGCCAGAGGAACTATTTTTTGTTTTCCCTTTTGTTTTGAGCGTAATTTGTTTCCGGAAAATAGCCGCTGCCGAGAGCGTTAGCGAGACTTGTTCGAGTCCCTCATCCCTCATTATTTGGCTCCGTAGCCTTTTCTCCGGCCATCGTGATATGTCTGGAGGACGCAGAAAGAAAAGGCCAAGTAGATATGTATGTACTCCGTATGTATGCACTGTTGCGACCTAATCGGGCCGCTGCGGTGTCTGCACTCAAGTACTATGTACTATACTCCGTACTCTGCGTATATGCAGAGTCGAAGTCTTTGGGTTACGGTGGCAGCCTTGTTGGCTGTGTTTGTGCCAGTACTTTCGTCTGGTCAAAAATGACGGGATGCATCCAAGACCACCGTTGGGTCTGAGTGGTCGAATTGACCTGAGTGGTCTTCTGAGCGAATATCAGAACTCCAGTCTCGGCTGGCCGGAGCTTGCTCTTGCCTCTCTCGTGCATCGCGATTGCATCCTGTTCAAAGATTCTACCTCGTCAGCTCGTATTACTGAGGCAGCCGTCAAGTCGCACATACTGGAGTCTAGACAACATGGGCATTAAATCAAGAGGCGTGCCCGCACCAAGTGCCGAATCCTCGTGTCAGAGCCTCGTTCATCCATGATCAAGGTCGATGGAGCCATCTCCGAGGAGGGGAGGACGGATGAGCAGGGGGGTGAGGAGGCAGTTGCGGCTGCAAGTACGGGAAGCACGATGGATGTACCGAGTACTCTGCGTACTCCGCCTTCCAGAATGAGACATCGATAGCCATGCATTCATTATTGACTCACCACCCCATCTTGATTTGAAATTTCCCGCCATCTTTTTTGTTCTCACACGTCCCGCTCGCTACTGCACAGTACAGCCCTTCTGGCACTCCGTGCATGCATACATATATATCCGAGATCAGTGTACATCCGGTCATCTCGTGGTCTTTTGACAGAGCTGGGGTCGGCCACTGGTCTGGGTTCCCCTCCTGCTTGACCCCGGCCGTCCGGGTTGCCCTTCTAGTAATCAGGAACTGCTATTGTCCAATTCTGGACCCTTGTCTTCCCTCCACAATACACACGTACGCCTACACCGCAGCTTCGTCCCGACTCCCCAGAGACACCGACTACCTGGGTGCTTTCACCACGCCTCCTCCTCACATTCGTTGCCTTGCCATGATCCCCGCCGCCTCGTGTCTCGAGAGCTTGGGTCGAGAGCTTGGGCCCGCGCCCAACATGCGAGGAGGGGAGACGGGGCCCCGGGGCCCTGGTATGGTCCATGGTTGAGGGACTCGAGGGGCTCTTGTAGGACTCGGTCAATATATTCCTATCTTGGCAGCAAACATGGCCTGGTCATGCCCATGTGGTACAAGCCCTCTGTGGAGAGGACATGTAGTCGGTCCAAGCCGTGGTTATACAGCATTTGTGTAAAGTCAGTCGGAAGACGGGCAGGCCGACTGGGAGAGCATTGATTGGAAGGTGAGTACAGAGTACGGAGTCCAGGCTGGCGTCGCCGGTAAGCTTCTTCTCACTCAGTGTCTTTCTTATTGGTGGCAAAAGGCCCGTGTATCACAGACCAGAACCACTTGTAGTCGTGGAGTATCGCAACCATCTTCGTCTTCACCGATATCAGCCTCACAAACCCAGCTCCAGCCTTCATTTGTCCTTGAGACATACTCCGTACATTCAGCCTGTCCAACTGCACTTGTCGTTGTTCCAGACTACAACCCACATACTCCGTACAACCTTTGGGAAGTCACTTGGAGAATATTTGCCGGTGGGCTGTACGGAGTATCCCATCAACAGAAAGTATGGGTCATGGTGACACGACACATTGAAACCTCACGCGCTACCGAGTTACTACTCGAGAGTAATTACAATACTGAGACTATTGTGAACCTTGGCGGATCACCAAGCAATTTTCAATGGTTTCCATCCATCATCGCAGCTCCAACAATTCAACAAAATGAAAATCAGCTCCAAGGCCCAACTGGCGATATGCATAGGATTCGCGTCTTACTCCAACGCGCAATTTAGCAACTGGCTAAGCGACCAAATCAACACTAGCATTTGCACATGGTCGCAGCCCAGAGGTATGTCACTCTTGTCAAGTCGTCTCTTGTCATGATGTCTCTTGTCGCGATGTCTCCGCTCACACTTCGACCCCATGCAGCTGCGCTAATTCGCGATACCGTCTATCTTGATGGGGGAGATATCTGGTGGAACTCTGGACTTGCCTCAGGGAAGTTTGGTCCAGTACTCGATCAAGGCAAGTTCATCATAATTCCACTGGCAAGATAGTTTCAACTGACATGCCAAAGGCAATTTCCAAGGATACGTCCTGTCATACAATTTCTCTGAGTCCTTTTCAAAGGACACAAATGTCACTGGAATTCTTGTAAACAAGCGCATGTCCAAAGCAATAGGCGGGGAGCAAAGTGGCATCAGCTCAGAACCAGGCTACGACGATGGTGGTATGCTGGCTAACGACGCCGAATTCTTTCTTTATGGAGGAGCCGTGACTGCGAATACTCTCGCTTCGAACCCCGAGCCTGCCGCAAATGCGGTGCTTGCTTATCGCCGATATGCATATGGCCCAGAAAAACCTCTATGGCAAAGCGGCTTCAACAGTGGGCATCTGGATGACGGTGTAACTAGGTATATCGCCTATGGAGGGCCGGTCAATGCACCATCAGAGAACAAAGCATGGTATTTTTCAGGCCTCACGTCTCCAAGCAGAGGGCCAATCAGTGTTTTGACTTATGAGAATAAGACAACACTGGCCATGATTCCCTCTAACACGCTTATTGAGCTGGACATGACGAATCAGCTTTTCGAGAAGTGGACCAACATAACTCTTCCTGATAACATTAAGCCAAGAGCAAACCCCGAAGTCGTCTGGGTCCCAGTAGGGAAGCAAGGCATTCTGGTTGTTTTGGGTGGAGTTGTGTATCCGGACTGGGCATCTGGAGATCTCGAATCCGCGAATGAAACGGAGAGTGTAAGTAGGCCGTTCGTCGAGGTGGTCGTATTTCCTTTAAAATGCCCATGTTAACATTGTAGAAGAAGCTTAAAAGCCCAGAATTTATGCGTACGATCGACATTTACGACGTTGCCAACAAGAAATGGTACCAACAACCAACGGAAGGTGGTCCAGGGGCAAGGACGCGAGGTTGTGCCGTCGTAGCGCCAGCGTCAGACAAATCTAGCTTCAACATATACTATTACGGTGGTTATGACGGAATACACCCGAAGAACGATTTCTCTGATGAGGTTTGGGTTCTGTCACTACCGTCATTCTCTTGGACCTTACTTAACAAGGGAGTTCCCGTCCATGGTCGCTCGGGACACAAGTGTTTCAAGCCATATCCAGACCAAATGATGGTTTTCGGAGGATACACACCCACGATTGGATCGTCATTCACATGTCTAGATCAGGGTCCCGTGGTTGTTTTTAACTTAACTACTGGGGAATGGCTGGACGGCTACTCACCAACAAAATATGGCAATTACGGTGTACACGAAAAGATCATTGCTGCTGTAGGTGGAACCGCATCCGGAGGAGCAACTGTCTCATCGCCTGTGCCCTCAGGCTGGGCTTCAAAAGAGCTAGGGGCTGTCTTCTCAGTGGCGTATGACACGAAAAAGGTCAAACAGTACTGGCCATATGACTCTGCGTCATCGCCGCCGCCACCACCTGGTGCTACAACATCTCCTCCAGAGCAGGCTGTTTTCCCGCATGATAGCCACTTGCTTCAAATCATTCTTCCCGCAGTTCTTGTGCCCATAATTATCTCCGTCGGACTTGGTATTGCACTGTGGTATTGTTGTGCCAGGAGAAAGAAATCCTCCGCTGCTTCATCAACAGACTCGACCGCGGATGAGAGCGGGTTGAATATCATGACGTGGGCTAGAGGACCCGGGGCGGCCAAAAGATCAATGATGATACAATCACTTCAAAAGCCTGAAACTGGAACTTCTCCTGATCTCGAAGAGAATTCCACCTTCGAGCCGATTGCGACGGATAAAACAGATACCACACCCCACGAGATGGAAGACACCCAAGTATCTGAGCTGTGCGGTAAGTTGGGGTTTACATAGCATTCTATCCCTCTCAGGTATATAACGACTAACTTGTTCTCATAGATACATCTTCACCTGCCGAGTTACATGATACTGGATTCACACCAATGAGCACATTTCAAAAACAATTTGGCCCCTACGGTTTCGAAACAACCACTTCCCAGTACAATATACAACCGGGACTTGGGAGCCCAGGTGCCGATTCCCATACGCACGACGGCGAGAGGGAATGGACTGAGTCTCCTTTACTTGGCACATGGTCTCAACCCCGTCCGAGATTGGAGATACCTAATTTCTCCAGCGTTTCTGAATCCTCCAAAAATCAAGACCCTCCAATGGTCTCTCCTGAAGAGCGCTCTCGGCCCGATATACCCATATCTCCAACCTCGACAAGTGAGAGGTTTGGCGGCGATTACATTTCTGCGACTGCGGTAATGAGCCCCCTTGATCGGACTATGTCTGGGGAGTCTGAAGACGGACGTTTTCCCAGCGAGTGCTAAACTAATAGTTGCGGTATAGCTTCTGATTTATGTTTATAATGATTTTGCAATGTGACACGATGATTAATATCCTATCTTTACATAGAGAATGCACTGACTTTTTTTACGTACTGTTTTACGTACTGTTTCAGAATAGCTTTTAATTTGACCGACGTATTCCTGCCAGTGCAATCACGCCTATTGTCAACATTGAATGCGCCATATAAGGCGACACATGGATGCGCTTCGTCTCCATTACACTTCAACAATCTCGTCATCCTCATCCACTTCCTGTACCTGACTACTTGCACCGCCCTCTTCCCCCTCTTCATCCCTCATCAAAACCTGCACCAACCGCTCGCAAGCCTCTCTAACGCCCTCATCATCCACCCGTAAATGCGTCTCTCTAACGATTGGATACACCTTGACTCTTCTCATCAGTTCCCTGCCTTCTCTCGTCGTCGTCAACAGCGTCAACGTCTCAATATGCGTCTGGATATTCTTCTTATCCGAGTCCCTCTTTTTGTCCGGCGATAGAAGCTGCAGGTCCGGCAGCATCTCCATCGTATCCTCCACCTCATACTCTTCATTTCCGGTAATAGGAAGCAGCACATAGGGCAGGAGATTGATGCCATCCTCGTCTAGAAACACAGGGTGGGAGTCGATATCAAAGGCGACGTTTTTGATGGTACTCGCTACACCTTTCCGCCTGACGTCCGATTCGTGCTCTGTGAAGACTCTGATCTTGGTGAGGGGGATGACCCCGTCGTATTTCTGCTCCGTGAGGAAATATTGTCGGACTTTCTCATGTTTGGACAAGTCAGCGAACACATAGGCTAGGTAGTCAAAGTTGGCCTTCTTGTTGTATGCGCCGTCCTGGCCCTTGACGAAGAGGTCCATGAGCTGGTTCATAATGGAGTCGTCGGAGCCGAGGGCCGAGGGGGCAGTTTGCTTTCTTTCCAGGATGGACTCGAAACTATCAAGTTTGGCTAGATTCGCGAGAAGCATGGCTAATAAGTTGGCGTTGGGCTCCCCTTGGCCCTAAACACGGAGGTGGTTAGATGATTTAGAAATTGTGACGCTACGTTGGACCTGGGGATGGATGATACGTACAACTATGTGGTCTAATACCACACCGATGAACTTGTCATCGTTTGCCAAGTCCTCCAAAATCTCAGGGTCTCCTGATAGGTTGATCAACATGGTCAGGACATGTTCGGCAATTTTCTACACAAAGGGTTAGTTTCCTTGCTTGATTTTCACCTGAACTCATGCAGAGGGTCAGGGTTTCCGGTCGCAATATACCGGATGATCCCGAATCAAAAGCTTCAAGTTTTTAATGGGTTTCATCTCTTCCGTTTTAAATATTACAGGCTCCGACGTTGAGTATGGCACTAGATTCTCGGTGGCCGCCAGCCGAATCTGTGGGTTGGGATGAGCAATGAAGCCCACAAGCTGTAACAAGAAGCCAGGTCAGGATTTTTCTTCTTTATTTCCTTGCAAAAAATTCCAAAATATGTTTCGGCTGCTTGGAGGGATTCTGACGCACCTCTTCCAGTTCTGTGGGCATCTTTTTGGTTTCAGGTGTTCAGTATAGTGTGTGAGTGTTACAGTGAGCACTGAGGATGTTCAATGACTAGACATCGATTCGACATAAAAGTTTTGGAGGGGCAGTTTTGATAGTGGGGGTTTATCGGAGCCTCATGGGGGGCTTCAGCGTCATCGCCAGGGGCCAATCTTTAAACGTTATATCAACATGATGGCGATTGTCACATTCATCAGCCCTTTCCCAAAGAGCAAAAAATACTGGGGGCTATGGCTACGAAATATTGTCCTTCCGCGTTGCCATTATGTCGCAACTCGTATCATACCCCAGCCCTTCCGTACCCGTTAGGTGATTTGAGTGACAGCGCGGCTTTTGAGCGATGAGAAGCCGGCAACCGGCAACGTCGGAACGCATATCATGAAAGCAATTGCGAGTCTCTGCGATAGGATTTCCACCATTGTTGGAATTTAAAGTCCGAAATAGAGATGTCGAAGTGCCAACATTCCAAAGGCGGTGAGAATGCTCTGTGGTTAATCATCTCGACGCTAAACCAGGTTTAGAATGAGGGGCGGCAGATCGATAAGGCACAAATTTTCGATTTTCCATCCCACCGCCCGCGTGCCACCATAGAGTGAGAGCCCGCGAGACTGGCGTAATTTATAGTCTACTTGGGCATTTGTTGTCGTCAGTGCTTCCATCGCCAAAAGAATACGCCCAGAATGCCCAAGGCTACTACTCCAAAGGCCGACCGGCCTGCCCGTCGCCATAACCCTCTCGAGAACGATATTCTCGCTACTGGTCTCTTGCGCAACAAGCCCACCAAAAAGAAGTCAAAGAACATTGAGGATGCCGATGAAAGCTTTGTCGATTCCAAGGCCTCAAAGAATATCTTGAGGATAGGTCGTGAGTTAGCTGAGGAGGAAAATTCTGAGAGAGCCTCTTTTGCTCCTGAGCCAACCATCGACTCCTTCGGGTACGACTCTCGATTCGACGACAAGCTTGATAGTGAGGAAGTCAAGACATATGACGATGATGACGCCTGGGGTGATGACGACGAGGTTGTGGAGGAGATTGAAGTCGACCCTGAAGATCTTGAAATGTACAAGAAGTTCATGCCCGACGAGGAGGACGATCTATTGAAGCATGGTTGGGACCTCAAGCCCTCGGGCGACGCAGTTGAAGGCGAAAGCCGCAACTTGGCAGATATCATTCTGCAGAAGATCGCAGCGCACGAGGCTGCTGAGGCTAGAAAGGATGCCGGCGTGCCAGTTGACGATTATGAACTACCCCCCAAAGTAGTTGAGGTTTACACCAAGTAAGTACCCGTCGTGGAAAAAAAAGCCTAGGGGAGATTGTGCTGACCGCAACTGTAGAATCGGAGAGATCTTATCGCGCTACAAGTCAGGTCCATTGCCGAAGCCATTCAAAATCCTCCCAACTATTCCCCACTGGGAGGAAATTCTCGAAATTACCCGACCAGATCGTTGGACACCAAATGCTTGCTTCCAGGCAACCCGAATTTTTGTTTCTCATAAGCCAATTATCGTGCAGCGATTCCTCGAAATGGTGGTCTTGGAAAAAGTCCGTGAAGACATTTACGAAAACAAGAAGTTAAATGTTCACTTGTTCAACTCTCTCAAGAAGGCACTGTACAAGCCTTCTGCTTTTTTCAAGGGATTTCTCTTCCCGCTTATTGGCAGTGGTACCTGCACCCTGAGAGAAGCCCACATCATCTCCGCTGTACTTGCTAGAGTCTCCGTCCCAGTTTTGCATTCTGCTGCAGCTCTCAAGGGTCTTTGCGAGATCGCTGCCCAAGAAGCCTCCCAGGGAAGCGAAGGTGGTGGTGCTACCAACATCTTCATTAGGACATTGTTGGAGAAGAAGTACGCTCTGCCATACCAGGTCATTGACGCTCTGGTATTTCATTTTCTTCGATTTCGTAGCGAGGACCCTGCCAGCGTCCAGGAAGGCGATGCCATGGCCGGGGTGTCCGGTGAGGGAGACGTCAAGACGAAGTTGCCTGTTATCTGGCATCAAAGTCTTCTAGCATTTGCTCAAAGATACAAAGGTGATATTACCGAAGACCAACGTGAAGCACTTCTGGATTTGCTCCTAGGCCACGGCCATTCTGCCATTGGTCCGGAAGTGCGACGAGAACTGCTGGCGGGACGGGGACGTGGTGTTCCCTTGGAACCCCAAGGTGAGGCTCTGGATGGCGATGATACCATGGCAGTCGACTCTTAAAACAAAAGGAATTGGAGAAAAGCATTGGGGGCAAGATTCGAGCATGGCATTCGGATCCTCTTGCATGGCGTTTGGAGCTAGTTTCGGGCAATAATGGCTTCGCTTTTGCGTTTAGAATATGTTAGCGGAAAACAGTTAATTGTGTTACAATAAATGGCTCTCCTCGTGTCCAAAAGGTAAGAAAAGAAAAAGACAAAAATGGCATTGGCCATTGTCTCTCTATAGAGATGGGTTCACTTGACAACCACTCACCGTTCGTTCCTTCTTCCAGATGGATGCGCACCCCATGGAGTTCCCTGTGACCATTTCAAAAACACCCACAATCTTGCTCCTCAGCCTGCCTGTCAAAATGTATCTAGACCGTCCCTAATCCAAACCGACCCTATGCAAGTTTTCCTATCCAACGCCGAGATCCTAAAGGTCTCCATTCCCTAAAAGGCTTCTTTTCACACAATTCCTGACACAACTTGACGATCCGAACACTTGAAACCCACCAATGTGGCACTGTGCCGTGAAGGAAATCAGCATCAAAAACCCAAGGCTTCACACGGTTCATCTAGTAGAGCCGACGCGCTATTAGAGAGGTCCCATGTCGGACTCTCTGGTTCGGAGGATGATGCTACCTAGCCCAACGGGAGCAAGCGAGATAAAGTATATCACTCAACACATCTCCATACATTACAATGGTTGTGCTGATTATACTTTGCCACAGCTACTTTAATCTTCCTTTCCAGGGTTTCTCAACTCCGCCATTATTCTATCTTACCTTTCCAACACAACCCCCCGGGCCTAGAGATGCTCGAGGAGAAGGATGGCGCAGTACCATGCTTGACGATAGAGCGAATACAGGATCATCTTCCTCTGCCGCCTCGCCATTTGTACTACCGTATTTATTCAAGAGCTGCAACCCCCCCATTGTCTTTGGTGTAGACCCGCCACGTCCAGCTCGAGAGGGATACGAATAGGTGTGGTTCCCAGAGGGCTACTGGGCAGAGAGACAGCCTGCAGCCGCACCACGGACGAAGAGTAATGCGAGCTCTCGGTTTTGGAGGTGGAAATCACGATCACCCAAGTCCACAAGCGAGACGGACGGAAGAGATGCATCATACGCGTCTCCCACGGCATCGGTGTCATCACCATTATCCAAATTTGACACCACTGGCGCTCAGCAAGCCCCCAGCCCGTACCTTTCTGAGTCTGCCCATGTCTTATCTTTACAACATCCAGTAGGCAAGACTTTGGCTACTGGGTCCGATGAAAGTGTCAGAGTATCGCCAAATTCGAATGAGTCTAGAGTGAATTGGCAAGGGAATGAAAATACCCCTGGCCCGATCTTTGATGTATTGCGTCCCCAGATGGCACCTCATACTCCGTCTATTCGGTCTCAAAGTTCCAAAAGATTACGAATATCCAAAAGAAGTGACTACTCTGAACAACAGGATGAGTTACGCCTCGACAACATACCATTGGAGCATAATACGGTTGGTGATATAACACAAGAAGTCTACGCTTGAATAGCATTAACTCACTAAAGGTACAGATGGAAGAAGGCCCTAATGACGACCACAAACCAGAAAACAGTAGCGTCACATGTGCTCGTCTCCCGTGGATGTCTGCTTGGTCACACAGTCTTGGCAAGACTGGTACTTGGTTCAAGGAAGAAGTTGCGCACTCGAAGCTCAGTCACAAGTTCTTTGGTCGGGCTTCCTCGCATCCGAAGCATTCTCACCAGTCATTATGTGCAACTCCAAACTCCTCGAGACGAGGATCCAAAAATACCCGTAAATACGGGTCAGGAATGTTCCTTAGCACCAACAGTAAGTTCATGCCTTTCTCTACTTGCAAATACGCACGAATAGGACCAAACCCACAGCTTCTCAGATAGTTTCCGGTCCGCAAATAGTCAATTTCCTGGAGGAGTAAGTACACATCCGCTGTTGTTGGTCTGCAACGCTATAGTCATAGTTCATCACATTTAACAAGGTTTCAGGAAGCTATTCGAGTCAGCACACCGCCTCTGGACAAGGACACGGCGGACGGAAAGCCCAGGGGTTTCTTCACCTCGATGACGCCTCCAGATCATAATTCAACTAGCAGTCCATCTCCAACGCAATCTTCCGCCCATTCAAGCCCTCACCATGGCTATCAACGCAGCAGTTTCTCCTCTCAGCCTCGAGAATGGTTTGATCCAATGCCTCCGCGCAGCAAACGCCGTAAGCAGCAGCATCAGCAGCCATCCGCTGAGGACTTTGTATTCGATGTACCGGAGCACTTGCCAAGCAGTCCTCTTTGCCCTGCCAATATTCGACATAAAAGCGGCGGGACAGGACTGTGTGTCTACCACGGGCGAAGGAGAGCCAGGTCTACTCTGAGAGATACCAGTGAGACGCGTACCAGCACAGAGCTAACCGGGGGCCTTTATTAGGTTGAAAATATCTCTTTCCTTGTATCATAAGTTCAATATCACTGTCTTTATATAGAAAAAAAAAACACAGATTTTTTGGTGGTCCAAAAGCCGTACTGCTGCCAATCGTTATGCTCTGATCCATTTCCATTCCTTCCCGGGATAATTCGTCGTCTTTTTTTAATCTCGTACACCAACGCCAGGCTAAGTCCTATGAGAGTTATTAAAATAAGGTTTCTCTGCTTCTCAGGAAACGCCAATCTAAACAGCTTCAACCTCTTCATTGTCCCTCTGAGGTCCAGCTCAAATGTGGGAGGCGCCTTTGTATTCCTTGGACTCCTTGAGGGGGTCATAATGGGAAGGTGACCTTTCATTTCTATTACAAACAGCACCGAGCTCCCCCAGTCGGTGCATCTCGTACGGTAAGCTTGAGCAGTTTTGAACATCCGGCTTTTGATCCGCACCACCCAGTCGTTGCTAGGCATCATAAGTACATCAACAGGTTCGTACGACTGCTTCTTTTTGAGTGAGAAAAAAAGTCCCCGCCCGCTTGAAGCTTTCTCCGTTACCGCCAATATGGGTGAGAATGAGAACAGCGGTGTAGACAGCAAAGATGGGAAGCATCAAGTTCCTCGGACGGCGAATTGAACCATGGAAGAATAAAAATGAGACCCGTTCCCAGGGCCGGGGTGATGAGTATAATGAGACGTAGGATTGGCCAAGGTTTCCATCGAGTCGGGAGAGATGTTATAGATAGGATGGCCATTAGAAAGAGGCAGCACCCTGCGGCAATGGACCCGTAAGCAAACTGCAGAATATTTTTCATTAGCAATTGATGAGAAAGAGTTTTTGAACTGATATGGCACAACAAGGAGTATGCTAGATGTCATATGTTATCAGTATATGTACCACAAGCCGATGACGCCGCCACGTCTTATTGGCAACCTTGTTTTGAAGCATGCCAGCATTTATATTCCCTGTTGTGATTTTCTGGTCGGCTGAATGACGTCCTTGACGACGTCGATTCCAAAGACTTGGAAAGGGTTTTTTTGTCGTGGATTCTATGATGCTTTGGACAGATGTGACAAAGGTAAAAAACGCATCCTCGTTCTTGGAGAATACATCTATATCTTGTGTCTCGCTGTACGTTCTGCAAAGTTCATTTTGACCAGTGTGATGTCGCGAATGTCGTAAAATGACTGCATTCAACATGCCAAATATACTATCTGTTACAAATTGCACATCATACGATGCCGCAAGGAACCAGGTGAGCCACAACAGACTACGAGCTCACATGTCAGCACTGTTTCTAAACCGTGGCCCGTTTTCTCAAGAGCCCAAGATGGTTATACCCAGGAGATATTCCAACTGTGAGGGGGCGTAACTCCCACCGCTGCCATAATGAGAAGAATCTTATAAGGAAGCTTGGCAAGTGTCTTTGGCTGTTCTTTGAGTTGCTGTATATCGTCAAACTCAACGCCGTCAGCTCATTCTATAGATGCAGCATCATCAAACCCTTTGATGATTGTGTATTTGGTTTGGAAGTCGTGCCTTTAGAGTGTCCCGAGCAGACTGAGGTGACTGATCCATTAGATGGCGTATGACGATTCGTTATCGATGGCGGCTAGACGTTGATGAGTTGGCGTTTGGGGCTTTGTTTCTCGTAGCTTGACGTTTACGAGAGCGATCAGTTGTAGGAGGATCTTCCTCGTCATCTGGGAACTTTTTTATATCCGCATCACCGTTATTCAACATTGCATTGCAACCACAGCACCTTTCATGTCCTAGCACTTGAGTTGACCTTTGAAGAAACAGGCCTGGAGCCACAGTTGGGCCAGCCACTCTGTGGGTCCCCGATTCAGTGGTCTGGTGGATCAGACAGCGCCTTGCCAATCGGCTTCGCGCTCAACGCGTCTCGCCCAAGTCAATTGACGCGCCAAATGACCTCCCTCATCTGACGACATGCCAGAGGAGGCGGTTAATCAACCAGAACACCGTCGTATCAACTATCGCCTACGAGCTTTGCATTTCAGCTCATAGCTGACTTGGTGATGGATCAGGATGTTACCCCGACTGGCCGAAAGCGATCGGTGGACGACATCGAAAATGATATAATACCCGACCCGATCAAGAGGAGAAAGTTGGATGATGCAGCAGCTGGCTCACCCTCGACCCCCAAAGCCCTTAAAGCCATTGCCTCAGCTATCTCGGGCGTTTTTGGGGCCGCCCGCCAGTCTCGGAAAGAGGTCAATGGCACCGAACCATCTTTGCCGGCTACTTCGACCCAACCCAAGCCTCTCCTCAGCACCAACAAAAATGGTCGTTTGCTCAGCCCAGCTGCTCCCGCTGCTCCCGCTGCTGCTGCTCATCCAGCTTCGTCACCGATGAAACGGCCCGCCATCAAGATAGCAGCATTGAGAGGAACAATATGGGACAATGGCGATCTCCCCGAATCAAAGAAATGTACTGTTCCAAAGCGCCCAGTCAAGCAAGCCGTGATGGGAAATAGGTATCAGGGTCCATTGCCGCCCGCGTCTGTCTACCAGCCCAAGGAGGCGACAGCATCCGCCCAGAAGCCGGGCTCTATCGCTGGCAACAAAGCACTGCCGCCAAAGGGCATTCTTACACCAACCAAGAAACGAGGCCGGCCACGCAAAAACGTCACCTTTAACGGGGGTACCAATGGCGAAGTATACTTTGATGATTTACCCAAGACCTCGACCGCAAGAAAACCAAAAGCGATCAAAGCGCAAATGGCACAGCAAGAGGACGACGGTATAGTCTGCGAGATGTGTTACAAGCCAGACTCAATAGCGCCAAACGAGATTATACTCTGCGACAATTGCGATTTTGCCGTGCATCAGCAATGCTACGATATCAAAGAGGTCCCCGAAGGCGACTGGTTGTGCAAATCTTGCTCTCAGGAAGATGTGCTCAAGGCGCCAGGCGAGCCCACCCCCAAAACGAACGAACCTTCATATCCGGTCGAGGTGCCCGACATACCGAACCTGGATCATCATCTGCGAGGGTTTCAGCGTGTGCTCTTGGACCGATGCTCGGGACGGCGGCGGATACGGATGTTCGGGCAGGAGGAGCCGTATGAGAAGGTTAGGCAGCTTATTGAACAAACTGTCGTGGCGGGAGAGGGTAACTCAATGTTGGTCATTGGACCACGTGGCTCTGGCAAGACGACGGTAAGAAATAAATGATGATGGATTATGCGGCGTATGGAGAGTGTACTAACGATGAACGATGTGCAGTTGGTGGAAAACATCATAGTTGACCTATCAAAGGAACACGGGCATGAGTTTCACGTAGTACGGCTCAATGGGTTCATCCACACTGATGACAAGTTGGCCCTGAAGGAAATTTGGCGACAGCTTGGAAAGGAGATGGAGGTTGAAGACGACCTACTGAACCGGGTACGCTAACAACATAACATGCATTGCCAAAGTCAACTGCTAATACAGAGTGCAGATAAACTACGCAGATACGATGGCATCACTTCTGGCTCTGCTCTCGCACCCATCCGAAATTATGGGCACCGACGAAAACCTCACATCTCAGTCGGTGGTATTCGTCATTGACGAGTTTGACATGTTTGCGTCCCATCCCAGACAGACCTTACTGTATAATCTTTACGACATTGCGCAGTCTCGCAAGGCTCCGATTGCCGTTTTGGGTTGCACCACTCGTATCGGCGTAGTAGATATGCTTGAGAAGAGAGTCAAGAGTCGTTTTAGCCACCGCTACGTGTATCTCGCTCCACCCAAATCTCTGCCGGCATTCTGGCAGATTTGTCGCCAAGGCCTTATGATTGACAAACCTGATGTTGAGAGCGAAGGTGTAGATGTTCACACGGAGGGCCACATTGAGTTTCATAAATATTGGACTCAAAAGATAGAGGTAAAGTTCATCTCAGCGTGACCTTGGGCTTTCTTTTTTCTTTTTTCACCGAGGTCAGGCTGACAGATTGGCAGGAGCTCTACAAGCAACGGCAATTCCAACACTTGCTACAATATCATTACTTTACAACAAAGTCTGCGGCGGCCTTCTTTACGGAATGGATATGGCCTCTTTCTTCGCTCTCGTCAAGGAACCTCACAATGAACAGCCCGACAGCATTGTCGCCGACGACTTCGTTGGCTCCCCCAGACTCACGGATGCAATTGCTGTCCACCTTGTCGTATCTTGAGCTGGGACTACTCATCGCCGCGGCGAGGTTAGACATTGTGGCGCACACGGACACGGTCAATTTCGCCATGGCATACGACGAGTACAGCTCGCTGGTGGGCAAACAACGAGTCCAATCGTCGACGGCGGGCATGCTGGCCATGGGCGGCAGCGCGAGGGCATGGAGCCGCGGTGTTGCAGGAGTGGCCTGGGAGAGGTTGATTGCGCTGGGATTGTTGGTGCCTGCTGGAATCGGCGGCAGCAGGTCCCTCGGACATGGAGGGCTGGACAGCAAAATGTGGAAAGTTGATGTTGCGCTGGAGGAGATTCCGACGGCAGTCAAGCTGAGCACGACCCTGGCAAGATGGTGCCGGGAGATATGAGGCATGTTTCGGTGGTTCTTCGAGGCAGGTGGCACTAAATGGGACATGATGTATCATAGGCGTTAACGTGGCATTGATGATAGCATTGCATGTAGTCTGGTGGGAGCATACAACCAGGGCATAGATATGGGCGGGCTGTAGTTGACTTTTTGGCTCTCGTTTATCCTACCTACCCGGTAGCAGGCACCAGGTCAACTGGTAATTCTTATACCCGTCAAGTACGTGCTAGTTGATACTAATTGTCTGTCGGCTCGATGACCACAACCGGCACAGCTGTTCAATGCTGGCTCGTTCATTTTCAGCAGCATTGAAGGTCGGCACACGTGGACTGCACCAACCAGGCTGTCCTTGTTAATGAATGAGGTGGTACAATTGTTGGGCCGGGCTGGGCTTCGTTTGGTACGTTCGGAAGTAGGTGCCAGTTATTACTACTCACTGCATGTTAGTCTGGTAGTACTACCACGGATTGCTGCGGCTCCGAGCCGGCGCCACTCATGTCTCCGGTTTAGGGGAGCCCTGGTGCTGCAGGGCTGGAAACGGGGGAGCCGAACCAGACACCACATGCATGCTGTCAGGTGCGCCGTGCGTGCAGAAGGGCAGTGTCCCCTAAGAATAGTACCAGACACCGACGTGGACCATGGACGGCATTTCGGGGACCCCAGCCAACCAGCAGCTGGCCGCCTGGCTGCATGTGAGATCCAATTGATGGAATTGATCTGTGCCAAGCCCTGGGATCCCTTCTTTGCCGGCCAGCCCTGGGGTGCAGATCCCGGCACTATCCTCTCCTCGCCTCTGCTCGTCTGCTACAATGGTACGGAGCTGGTCGTTTGGGGTGAGTGATTTGCGTCTTCTCCTTGGCCGGAAGAAGACGACGACGGCCAAGTGCCGGACGCGAAATCGACACCAGACAGTCAGCGGGACGAATGAGGTGCATTTCCCAAGACACGCCCGCGCCCTCGCCCTCCTCCTGAGTCCTTGCTCAATGTTGGGGTAACCCACCCAACGTTGACACGCACGTGGCGCTCGGGTCCAGGCTTGGACGCTGCGAGCGCTCGAGGCTGGAGTCTGGTGCTGCGACCTGCTCCGGGTACTTGCACGGGTAAGTAGTCAGCCATCAACTAACCGGCTGGTCTGGTCGCATCAAGGTCAATGCAGGGGGCTGAGACTCTGCAACTCTGCAACTCTGCAACGCTGAGACGCTGAGAAGCCTCATGCGGCCTGGCGGCTTCAAAACACCATCCTTGCCCTTGCGACTGGTTGCGGCTCATTTTCATTCCCATACATGATTGCCGGTGTCCTCGTCGCCCCCCATCGCAGACCGGCCAGATGCTGCCTGTGCCTGCGCCTGTGCTGTTGAAGTTCTTGCTGGGCAGCCCCTGTACCGGAACACCCAGACGACGGCATCAGTCTTTGCTTTGGGTTGAACGCCCGTAACGGAGTTGCATCTGCCTTTTGCTATCCGACGTCGTTGGCATCATCATCGTCAACAGCACCCGCCACTGGCTACAAAACCCTACCGACCTAAACCGAGACTTGAGATAGAGTTGAGCGCACTCGCCCAGCAACCATGTCCAAACGAACCGTCTTCACAACCGTCACCCCCCTCCCCTTGGGCCTCACCCGCGATGCCGCAGTCGCCTTCCTCCATGACCACCTCCAAATGATCGATCTCAACCCGCTCATCAAGGACCGGCACCGCATTCCACCACCCCGCCACGCGCCCGACGAAGAACTCAGCTGTGTGTGGTACTCTCTCACCGACAAGGTGTCGTACCTACCCGGCGGTCTCGCCTCCAGCGACGTCACCTACACGGCCGCCTTTCACGACTTGCCGCGCGGCATCCAGACGCACTGCTACGCGCCCATGGGCGTCGAAACCCGCTCCAAGTGGTCCATCGGGGGTTCCATGCCCGGCGAGCCTCTGGAGCCCATGGAGTTGGGGCTCGGCGCCCCCACGACGGGCTTGTACCTGAGGGAGGACGTGGACCTGCGGTGTAATATTTTCATGGCCAGTTTTGTCAAGAAGACCATCAAGAAGAGCCACTCTTCCCTGGTCGACCGCCTACATCGTGTCGCCAAGGGCCAGACGAGCAGCGAGAGCTCGACGACGACGTTGCAGCAGCAGCAGCAGCAGCAGCCCCGGAATGCGCAAACCACACTGCCGGGCTTCTCCTGGCAGCGTGATAATCGCTTCCACGGGCATAGCAGGAATGTGAGCACCCCGGCCTTGGCAAGCGGCACGAACCCGTTCAATGATCGGCCGTTGCCGCCCACGCCGCCGGCCGAGTTGTACGATTCGAAGCCGCTGCCTTCATATGACCCTCTTGCGCAGCGCGAACCACAGGCCGCCGAGCTTCAATAAATATGCGCTGCTGCGCAAGTATACATGTTTGGCTCCTCCAGTTAGCGCTTGCGACGAAAGCCGCCAACAGAACCCTGAACCCTGTCCGGTCTATTCTCCGGGGTTGCCAATTCGTTGATTGGAAAGCCAGTTATAATAATATCTGCGAATACAAAGTCAGGGGTCATTAGAAACCTGAAGCCACCGATGCCATGGTTGTTTTACATTGTGGCAACACCTATATACCCGTGTTAATAATTGCATCAATAAACTACCAAGAAATAAAAAAGCCTTTCTTTTTTCTTTACTTTTTTTTTTAATAGAAGAGACATTTGAGACATCGACGATAAAGTTACAGTCCATCAAGCAGTCGACACTTGACTCCCCGGACAGACGGATGGATTTAGCAAGTCGTATATTCAAGGGCGCTCACGAACCCGGCAGGGCATCCAAAGCACCGCCCGGCTCGCGAACAAGCCCCCCTATGCAATGCTATAATGGAAGTACAACAGCAACCACCCATAAAACAACTCCGGCTGACAAGTCGGCGCAGGGAGCAAATCCAAGTCCTCCAAAGTCGCCTCATGATCCAGTCAACCGCACTATATTACGTAGAACCACTCTCAAAAAAAAAAAAAGATTAAAAACCCTCGTCTAAGAAATTACAACCCAAAAAAGACCCTCATCATTGGACAAGTAGGCCTGCCCCCTTTTGCGCAAGGGAGGAAAAAAGAAAAGAAAAAAAGGGCGGCTCATGCCACCCCGCCCTAAGTGTCTATGACCGGGCTTACAAGGCGAAAACACCACCGACGAGACCAGCGGCAGCCATGGCGAAGCCGTACGCGGCGGTGAGGCCGTCGGCGCCGGCGACGACGACGCCCGTCGTGGCAGCAGGGGGAGGGGGCTGGGGAACGGCGGGAGTCTGCACAGACGGCTTGGGGGGAGGAATCTCCTTGGTGTGAGGAGGAGGAGCTTCCTTGGAGGGATGCGGCTTCTTGTGCGTCTGGATACAAAAGGCCAGGTTAGCAAGTCGTCCTCATTAGAGGGAACAAACAACAACATACCTCGGTAACGGTGCAGGGGCACTCGGTAATGGTCAGGGTGGTCGGCTTCGTCACCGTGTACGTCTTGGTGCCGATTTCGACGGTGGTAGGCTCAGGGCAGTAGGTGGTGTAGCGGCTGACGACCTGTGTCTTGGTGACGACGGTAGCATTTTGGTGACGGTCCGCGGAGGAGCCCCACGAGGGCTGGGCCTCGGCCGACGAGGCCTGGTGCCACTCGTGCGACGCGGCCGACGAGTGCTCCCAGTCGTGGTCGGGCTTGGCTGTCGGAGCCGGCGCCTCCCACGAGTGAGCGGCGGCGGCCTTGGAGGAGCCGGCGCCCAGCTCGACCGACGCGGGCGCGGGCGCCTGGCCGACGACGGAGCCCACGAGGGCGGCTGCAAAGATGAGTGCCTTGGTCTGCATGGTGACGGGTTCTGGGAGAAAAATAAGGACTAGCGAGTGTTGTGTTGTTGCGGCTTAGTGCAAACAACAACGGCAGATAATTAGCGAGTGTTGTAGAACGAATGTCTGGTGTGCTTGATAGAGCAGGAGCAAAATAACAAGGCAAAGGGAGCTATCATCTCGAGGGCCAGAGACGCGCAGCTATTTATGTTTGGATCTTGGTTCTGTCCCTTTCCCCCATTTCTCCTGGTTGTATTCACATCCCGAACCAGGCCTCGTTCCTGTGCACGCGGCCCAGAATTCCGGCCTACGAAAACAGACACCTGCCAAAAATGCAAACGAGGCACCGCGCACCAAAAAGGCACTTTACTAGAAACAAAACACGCCGTCTGTCTGTCCGTCCTGTCCTGACCGTCTTCGTGTGAAACAGTCAAATCTCGTCCTGTGAGGGCCATTCCACCCCCTTAAACACCAAAAAAGAAAAGAAAAGAAAAGAAACCAAACTGGTCGACGAAGCTTGCCCGCCGGGCCAATGAGCACGCGCCGGGCCAACGCGGCATTCCAGTCGCCCCGTCGCTTCTGGCGACATCCATCAATCTAGTGACACACAGCACTGCGTGCCAAGCTGGGCGATCCCGACATCTGTCAGAGGCCACGGCACTTGGACACGCTTTCAAATCAGGAAGCCTCCTCGCGTGCCAGCCGGTTCGCGCGCCCTGCAGTGCTCCCGCGGCAACCAGACATTTCGCATTCCTCGCAGACACCTCTTGTCGATCCATCACCACCTGTTGCACCTGCTTGGGGAATGGCTCTCCTGTCCTGTTGGCTGCTGCAACTGTGCATGCATTCGTCCAGTACTGCACACTACGAGTTGCGATCGTCACAAGTCCAACACAACCAACCTATTAACACGTCATGGCACTTTCATACTCTGACAGCTCAAACGTCGTCTGTTCAGTCTCTCTTTTTTTTTTTAATAAAATAAATCATCTATGTACCGGCCCCCACGTGCCGTCTGCGGTCTGTCTGCTGTCTGCTGCCCACCGTCTGCTGCCTACTCGCTGCCAAGCGTGCCCGCAGACCTCAGACCCCGAGTCGTAATGATTTACATTCGTCTTCTAGGTACGACGTACATACATCCAAAGCCTTGGAAATCTCAAACATTTGCCTGAATGGGGAATCCCAGGGAATAAGACTCCGCCACCACTTCGGCTTTCGGGATGCCGTTGGGGAACGACACTGGCGACAGGCCGGTCCCATCTGATTGGCCTTTTGGGGAGTCTCTGCGCCGTTTTGCGTTTCGCCCTCTCCTCTTAAAGTCTTCTCCCGACCGTTAAGTGGCAGTATTGGTGGCTTGGTGGCTTCTGCATGACATGGCCAATGCCGCTCGTCCTGCGCCGTTCCACGTCTCCCATATGCCATGACATTTACGGACCGACGCCGAGGCAAAATTCTGAATGCGCCCAACCAGAACATGTCGCTGGTCTCACTGTGGCCACAACTCGGCCCGACGCCTCACAAATGGCGCGATATCAACGCATGCCATCCATGTTCGCATTGTTGTCATCATAGAAAATGTGAAATTGCCCCCCCCCCAAACGCCGTCTTCATTTCCAATCAAACAGAGACACAGAAAACAAGGCCACGCAGGCCAATGCCGCAGGCCAATGCCGCAGGCCATCGCAACAAGGGCGTTTTAAGAAGGGAAAATAATAATAAAAAAAGGGAGCATGCCAAACGTAAAGCATAAAGGCAGCAGTGTTGACCAGCCAGTTCAGAACACTGGCCACTGCGCTCACTCAATGCCGTTGACTGACGTCTCGTTCTGGATTGCGCGCCTGGTGATCCACACCCATGGGTGTTGGTATTGTATATAAATGAGGCCATAAAATGAGGCAAAAAGTATATAGTTTCCGAAAATAACGCAAAGAACACCGATTGATGCAGAGGTATAAGGTCTCGAATCTAGAACATCTCATGATAAAAACAAAATGACCATGTAAAAAAGTGAAATTGACGGCCGCCTCGTGAGTGGTGGAAAATGCTGTTCGACGCAAGCGTATAAACTTTAATTGATGGTGCATGACTCGGGGCCGCTCTTTGGCCAGCCGCCTCGGATTCTCAGCCCAGTAGAAGAAATGTTTCTTATTTGCGGTTGGAACGACTTTGGCTCCGCTCGGGTGCGCGGGCCGACATGTCAAGATCGTAGTTCCTGAGTTGCTGCTCGTACTTGGCGTTGCGAAGAAATTTCGGTACCGAATCCTGCAAACAAAGGCAAAAAATCTCCGTTAGCACAGTCTGCCGGGCCTGCCGATCCATGCGCGCCACGGAGCCCCGGGGGCGCAAGGGTAAGAGGCACCGATTCTAGAAAAGGATAGACTTACGCTAGCCATCAGCTTGAAAACTGCATTCTGTGCATCCTCGAACAGAGCCGTTACCTCCTGCAACGTCTCGATCATCGTGTTGTCTTGACCCACAGCCTTGGTCATGCGAGTAGCCAGGTTGTTGCGGAGTTGGTGGTCGATGTTGAGTTCACAGGGTGATCCTGGAGCCAAGAAGGCATTGTAGATGCCGTAGGCTTGAGCCATGATTTCCTTGATGGTGTCCATGGAGCTCGCGTTCGGTGCCTTTTGAGCTTGACGAATGGCATCCTTGCAGCTGCGTACGAATTCGCCAACGTCCTTGTAAAATGATAAATTCTCCTCGCAATGGGTTTCTCGTAAATTTTCCCTGAAAAGAAGGCGCAGAGCAGCATCGTTCAGGATCTTCTCTAGTCTCTGAGTGTTGGAATCTCTCGTGATGCCATTCCGTTGAGAGCCTGTACCATTTTCGCTCTCTGATGCGCGGCCCCTAGAACCACTTCCACTAATTAGCTCTTTACCACGGGTAGTGAGCTGGTAGATGGCATGCTTCGTTGGCTGAAACAGGTTGTATCCAGTGTTCTGTGACATAAAGGCCCGATCCTGAACGACAGGCTCCATCAAGTCGTACTCTACAAACAGAGACGCAATCTCGACGGTTTCACGACGGTCGACGATTGTGGAACAGTCCATCAGCCAGTCCGTGGTGGCTTTGCCGGTGAATGTGTCTCTGTAGGCCTTGCCGTTCACCTTCCGCTCTGCTGCCATTTTTACTCCGGTGAGCCCATCCCTATAATCGTGTAGGGAGTCAGAGTCGGCGGCAGTGACGCTGGTTTTGACGTTGCGTCGATCGGCACCAACAAAGCGGCGGAATATTACCTCGATAGTCCCCCAATCGTGTAGAAGCTTGTCTGTTTGCTGGTCACGTTCCAGAATGACCAACTGAGCCGAGCTCATATTGGATAATTCGCCAACCTGCTTCTGTTGGATGCCATTCCTGGAACAGAAGCGATCCAGCACCGTGATGCCCTTTGGAGTTAATTGCCAAACAGATCCCTTCATGTTGTACACTTGCTGGTATTTACCGTCTGCTGATTCGATAAAGCGGGCCTCCACGAAGCGTTGGCAGATGGACCTGGCCATGTCCTTGGCCATGGAAAAGGTCGTTGTTGTCGTCGTGGTAACAATTCTAGAAGGGTCCTTGGGATCGGGCATT